GTGGAAGTTCTGTGATGAAATCCATGGATAGTTCGGCCCAGATTCGTTGTGGAATCGGTAACGGTTTAAGTAGGCCTTGCTTCGAATCTCTCCAAATCGTGTTTCGTCCGCAAATGGTGCAATTCCTTAAGAATCTCCGTACATCGTTCGTCATTCCTGGCCAAAAGAATCTACGGGCCAGTATCGTATAGGTTGCGTCCCGTCCTGGATGTCCAGTCGTGTAGGAATCATGGACCTTCTGGATCAAGGTTGTGCGTAGTGGTTCGTTGTCTGGAATCCATGTCCTTTTCCTAAAGCGTAGAAGATTTCGTTCATCTAAGTCACACTCGGATAGGCTTATTTTCAGGTTCGATTCGGCAGGGATTCGTCGGTCTCCCTTTTCAAGTGCGAGTGCGAACTGCTGGTATATTTGATCTTCCTTCCGCGCGTTATTCCATGCTTCCTGCGTTTCTGCTTCTTCAAACATCGCCACTGGTATATCAAAGTCTAAAGGTGGACTTGGTTCAGTGCTATTGTTACGGATTGTTACTGATTCGAAGAGTTTCCGGAAACGATTCGTGAGCCTCTCATCAGAGATTCCTTTAGGTTCGTCTTGTCCTCGCCGGGATAGAGCATCTGGTTGGATCGCCTGTTTCCCGGGTCGATATCGTAGCTCAAAGTCGAATTCGGCCAGGATGTCTGCCCATCTCATTTGTCGTTCGCTTAGATCCTGCGCCTTATGAAAGTATCGTAGATTTTTGTGGTCCGTTAAGACCACGAATCGCGGGACCATCTTCAGCTCTGGCTTCCATTCCCGTAGCGCATGGATGATAGCGAGTAATTCCTTATCGTGTATCATATAATTGGTCTCTGCAGGTGAGAACTTACGCGAGAGATAGGCGCATGGTCTTAGTGTCCCATCTTCTTGTCTTTGTGATAAGACTGCTCCTGTCGCCCATCCAGATGCGTCTGTTTCCACTATTGTTTCGGTGTCTTCTCGGAAATGAGCCAATATTGGTGCAGAGATAAAGAGGTCCTTTAGGGTCTCGAATGATTCTTGTTTCTCCTTGTCCCATTTAAATATCGTATCTTTCTTTGTCAACTGCACCAATGGTGCAGAGACATCTGCGAATCGTGGTATAAACGTCCGGTAGAAGTTAGCGAATCCAACAAAACCACGTACTTCTCGGATATTAGTAGGTGCTTCCCATAGCTTAATGGCTTCAACTTTCTTCGGGTCTACACATAGACCTTCTCCAGCTCGTATGATGAACCCTAGGTATTTCACAGAGCTCTGTTCAAATTCAGATTTCTCGATATCGCATTGAAGTCCAGCATCTCTTAGCTTCTGGAGCACCTCGCGTACTTTTCGTCTATGATCCGTGATCGATCCGTCGGAGTAAATAATGATATCGTCCACATATGCTGACACAAACTCGTCGAGAAATTCGCGTAGAACTTCATTGATATACCGTTGGAAGGTTGCGGGAGCGCCAGTCAGGCCAAAAGGTGTAACTAGCCACTCATAGAGCCCGTATCGTGTTCGAAACGCTGTCTTCCATTCTTCGCCTTCCTGCATTCTGATCTTATGGAAAGCCGCTATGATATCGAGTTTGGTAAACCAGCGAGCCTTCGACATGTTTCGTAGTGTTTCTTGAATCAGAGGTAGGGGGTAACGGTCCTTGATGGTTATGGAGTTTAACCCTCTATAATCGACACAGAATCGGATGCCTCCACCAGGTTTTCGTACTAATAACACCGGTGAAGCTGCTGGCGATTTGCTGACTCGTATGAATCCTTTTCCCAGTAGATCGGTAAGAGTTTTTCGTAGAACTAATAGCTCTTCTCTATTCATTCCATATAATGGCCCATGAGGTGGTGTCGATTCGTTACCATTTCCATCGCGTGTCAAGGGTATCTTATGATCGATCCCTGGGCGATGGCTCGGAAGCTTGTCTGCTTTCTCCTGGCTAAAAACATCTAACCAAGGGAGATATTGTGGGGGAAGTTTAGCTCTCGGATCGGTGAATTTCTTAGGTTGCAGCGCCTTGTCGATATCGTCCATAGTCACTTTGGCTATTCGGAGGTGGTCCGGCGACGAAACGCTATCGAATAGTTCTTTGATTTCTCCCGCAGATGATTGCTGTACTTTCAATCTCTTTACTTTTATTGGACCGATTGACGGGTCGATACGGTTCCAACAACGAATGCGCTCTCCATTTCTCGAATGGATATCTAAATACCCTCGTTTCGCAGCGTAAACTCCGTCGACATCTTTTAACCAAGGCGTCCCAAGTATCATTTCGTCTGACTGTCTTGGAATGATGTAGGCAAAGACTTTCTGCTGTTGTAGTCCATTAACATCAAGATCGAAGTATGTGGCCTGAGTGATCCGTCCTTGATTCTTGATGACTCCGTTCAGGATTCGCGGTGGAATCGGGATACGCGGAAGGTTAAGAGATTGCGCTAGGTGTCCGCTGATAGATGCATAGCTATCGCTTCCGTTGTCTACTAAAGTCTTCGCGAATTGAATTCCATTAACTCTAGCATCGACATAGAATGACGCCTCTTTCTTTAGCAGCTTCTCAACCCCCTTCTGCTCCTGCTCGCGGTTTAGTGCAGGAGCTAATCTTTTCCCGAATCATTCTCCGCTTCATCTTCTTCGATCGCTGGCGAATACTCCCTTCTTCGGGGGTGGCTCGATCTTGGTTCTTCGACTACTGCATTCCGTACCACTACTTGGTTCGGATTCCGTGCGGGCAGTAAAGGGCATATACTTTGCCAACAGTTATCTCGACCACATCGTAGACATCTCTTTTCTGTACGGCGACGTTGGAGTTCTTCTTTCTCGACCCATTTTGCACGTTTTCCCACGAGATGTTGATCCTCTTTACGAACCTGTCCCTTTTCGTTCACGAATCGGGACGAATTCGTCTGTGTGGTGTTCGTGTTTACTGTTGGAGTCCAGTCCATCCTATCCTCTGTGGCTATGGTTGATTGATCTCTTTGGATTCGCTGGCGAGTGGATAACTGGCGTCTGCCTAATGCGATATTCAGTGTCTCGCTATCAGTGTCGATTTCGTGGAGCCGTGTGATAAGACCTATAAAATCATAGGGAACACCACGATTCATAAGCGAATTCGTCATATCTTCGTTAAGAGCGTTTAGTAAGAGTTGTCGTTTTGCTTCGTCGTGCCATTCGGTTGCACCAGCATCTGCGAGCTCTCTTTCTAACTGGGGAAGGAATCGTGAAAAAGGCTGGTCGGGCTTCTGTTTAAGCTGATGTAGACGCCGAGCTGCTCGTGATCGAGCGTTAGGGTCTCCATACATCCTCTCAAGATATTCCAGAAGCATATACGGGTTGCCTTCGCTTCGTTGTGTCTTCACAAACGTTCCGGTGTTCTTGGCGGCCATTTTCTCTAGGCGGGAAAATGTATAGAGGAATTGCTCTTGTGGGGTACCGATGGCAGCTCCGTCTACTAGCAATTTGTTCTCTATCGAGATTCTCCAGGTTGGCCAATCAGAGATGTTTCCTGCATACATCGCGGGGTCGGGGAGACGAGGGCGAGGTCGTCGACTCTGGTTATTATCGCTGGTTGATTCGATTGGTATCCCTTGTGGTTCCGTGGGTGGTTCGGGAGCGGCCCGCTCCTGGGACCGAACCACTAATTCTTCGAGTCTTCTAATTCTCTCATCGGTACTAATACTTGTCTGACTGATGTGCTGCATCAACGTCCTGGCCCACTCGGGTGGGCTCGACGGTTCGCTTGCAGCCATGATGATGAAGATATTCGTTTTCTTCTCGTGTTTGAATCGGATGCTTTCCGTCTTCAATTCGTTTGTAGGATGCTCAACTAGATACTTTCTAAGAGCTTTTCGTATTCGTTGGTATGCTCGATCGGATTCTTTCCGAGAGCGATTCGTTCGTCTGTCGTATGTGGCTCGATCAGATACTTTCTGAGAGCGCTTTTCTTATCGTCGGTCGTGGGTTTTACTCTCGTTAGAGGAAGGATTTTGTATGTGAAGGGCTAAAGCTAATCTTAAATTCAGAACTAGCTAGGCACATGCTGTTTACAAAATCCTTGAAGAACGTGAACAATTCGGGGTGGAATCGTGAGGTATGCGGTTGGTGGGTCACGTGGTACAACCACGTGATAGTTCACCAGGATTCAACCTGTTACACAACAACTCTTACTAAACGCTCTTAATAAAGATATAACGAATTCGCTTATGAATCGTGGTGTTCCCTATGATTTTATAGGTCTTATTACACGGCTCCACTGTGAAGGGCTAATACTAATCTTGAATGCAGAACTAGTGATGCCGACAAACTGTCTTTATTAAGCTTGAAGAGAAGAGAGAGAGACTAGCTATGGACATGTGGCAATATAAGGGATGCGGGTGCGGGTGGCACGTGACGAGCATGAGTGGCACAGGCATGAATGCTAAAGCAGGCACCAGCCTGTTACACATCTCGATGAATTATCTGCTCGGCAGTTCTGGCTAAGTTGCCCACGGGTTGTTTGATTGCTAGAAGACCCCGAGGAGAGTCTTTCAATGTCTATGCCATTTTCCTTTGCACATTTCAGTCCCACAGACATCAGCTCAGAGTCATGACTTCACAGAGCGCGGAGACCTATTATTCTACCGCTGCCTTCCCCCCTCCAGACAACTATCGATTCGCGCACTGTCACTGGATACCGGAGACGAGGAGGTCTTTTCGTCTACGTCGCCTTGACAATTTCATTGGAAAGATCAAACACGATCATGATTGTTTAATGCTTGCAAATGCCCCTATGACGAGCCGTCTACAACGGCTGCATGAGAAAAATGGTAACCTTGTTCAAATGATCCACCTGAAGGACGAACACCTTCGAGCAGCTCAGCTACGCATAGAAGAGCTCAAGCAAGAGGTCGATAGATCGAAGGATACTGCGGTACGGATGCAGAACCGGGAAGGTCGCTTGGCAGCGTGTGAGCAATATATGGCCATTTTCAAAAATCATCGAAACAAATCCGACCTACGCTGTGTTCAAACGCGGGTCTTCAAGCAAAAGAGTCAGGACGTGTTTTTCGACGTAGGCGGTCGGGTCGGTCAACGAGCTGGAAGGCGAAATCTCCCCAAAGTCAGCAATCCCCGTAACAGGTGCGGCAATGATCAGTGGAACGAAAGCCACGGATAGCGGTCCTTCTACTTGGCCGACGAGGCGGAGCTGTGTGCTCGCTTTAAGCGGCTCACTCTCTCGCGTTCTGGCGGAGTTCAATGAACGGTTGGCTCGATATATGTGATGACGTTTGTTGAGCTCACTCTTGATGGTCCTGCAGAGTTTGATCATATAGTTTACCAACAACATGTATTTGTATTATTTACTAGAATGCATCATTAAGATTGTATGATGCCACTCGTAGAAATGTGTACCCAACGCCAAGTGACAAGTCTTAACGCCTCTTGGATCCATCGTAAACGCGCTCGTTCTCCCCATTAATGACTGAGACCTTTCGGCTATCGCCGGATACTCAAACCCATCAATAATCCGATATCGGCCTATCTACTTTTAGAACGAGTTTAAAATCTGCTAGAGCTTGTCGATCTGGTCCATGATGTGTCACTTCCAACACGTACCAGCCATACAATGTCGTCAACCGTGCGAGTTCCCGATTTGAATGACTCGGTTTCTCCCCGTCGCGTCTTTATAGTCGGAGGCGGAATAGTCGGCGCCTCCCTCGCCTACTTTCTCTCGAATGAAAAAAACACAGACCTTGAAATTGTCCTCATCGACAAATCCCTCGATGAACTCCTAGGATCTACGGGCCACGCTCCAGGCTTTGTGGGCCAGCTCAATGAGTCGCCCGTACTGACCAGCCTTGCCAAAGAAACCGTTTCTGCGTACATGAAAGTCCCTGGTGGGTTCAATGTCGTAGGAGGGTTGGAACTGTCGTCAACACCCGATGGCGTCGAGACACTGCATCGCCGATGCGACCTAGCGCGATCATCTGGTCTCTCCGCCGAGATCATTACACCAGACAGAGCCGCCTCCTTGGCTCCCGACTTTATTGACGCCAAACGTGTTCAGGCGGGCCTAATTTTCCCCTCGGATGGAACAGCTAATGCCCAAACCATTACCCGTTACTACATCAGTGAGGCTCGGGCGAGGGGCGTCAAATTCCTGGAAACCACAGTCACGGGCCTTGTATCCACGGGCGATCAACTGACTGCCCTGCGTTCTTCGCACGGGGATATCCAACTGAATGGCAGCCTGACCATTCTCGCCACTGGTATTTGGACTGCATCATTGATGAGCGACGTATTCCAAAATCCGGTCCCTATTATCCCAGTCGCACACCCATACACCTTCACTCTCCCTCGCCCTCCCCGGTGCGGTCCGGCATATCCATTCGTGCGCTGGTTAGATCATCACGTCTATGCCAGAGATCACGGCGATCGCGACGGGCTAGGCAGTTACAACCACCCACCCCTCCAGGCGAACCCAACCAGGGCAGCGATCGGCGCATGGCCTTCCGACTTTGAACAGGTTCTGTCCGAAGCCGCATCCTATTTGGAAAATGGTCAGGAGTTCCTGCTTAGTGGGCCCAGCGCCAATCTAGAGGAGAAACGTCCCTTCAATGGTATCTTCTCAGTGACTCCCGATAATCTCCCGCTTGCGGGTGAGGTGCCTGGTATATCTAATTTGTGGTTGTGCGCTGCAATCTGGGTTACCACTGCTGCTGGTACTGCTCAACTAATATCGAGGGAAATCTGTCGGGGGACGAAGCAGGTCGACCCTCAAGATGAGGTCCTGCTGAAGGCTTTGAGTCCGAGTCGTTTTCAGGGGCTCGACCCAAGTCTGCTTGAAACCCAGGCACTAAGGAAGTATAATGATATATATAATCGAGATTCGGACTGAGGCTGCTGAGTCCGGTTTCAATGTCAATATGCAAGTTTCTTAGAAGTGGAGAGGAGACCATCGGGTCTATAAAGACAGTGAGAGTTTTCGAGCTAGTCATGTTTGAATGCGTGATTAACACGAGTTACTACTTCGGCAACAGTTCGGGTGATTCCCAAGACCGAAGCCGATAGAATAGTAGCACTGTTACTAGTAGTTCTGTGTATATTTAGTATATATATTTAGTCCCGTGCAGTATTTTAAAATCAATGATCACTGCCCAGGTGGAAATCCAATACGTGTCGAGACGTGACGCGCTAGCAGAGTTTAGGAACGCATCAGTAGGCCCGGAAACTACGGGCGCAGTTCCCATAGGCAGCCGATCGAAGGTAGCATGGACCAATCAACCCTTTTCAAAGCCAACTTGGCAAAAGTCCCACGCGGAGCACCGTTGCTTATTAAAGAGCTTTCTTTTGTCTGCATGCAGCCTTCTCACAAAACCAATGACATCTGAAGTGGCACCTAAAGTTGTAAAAGACATCAATTGATGACTCTATCCTATAACTAGGGGCGCATATCGCTGTCCGTAGGCTTTGTGTCTCAACTTAATTAGTAGTCTTCAGTATTTTGTTCCCGTCCCGAGCGTCGTCCCATCCTTCCCCAAAGTCACGAAAAGTAATACAGGGATGAAGAGGAATGCAGTCGATTTATTATGACCCATCAATCAAAAGGTCGAAACGACTACGATGGAATTCTGTTCCAGTAGCTCTAGATAATCGCGACCAATAATGTACGCTTTAATAAAATAGTCACCAACCCAACCGAGGCTCCGCCAATTGTGTCCAAATGGAGAAACAAAGAACTGGTGCAGGGGACTCGAAGATCGCAAAAGTAGAATCTGACGCTCATGTTCGAAGACCATGGGCCTCAGAAGCATGCCTCCGCAAGTGCATCTCGTGCAGGACGAAAAGATCACAAACATTACATCTTCGGTCCATCAAGTGTGAACCCCTAAAATGCCTCCTCACTCCATTATAGTCGGAGTATGCCTTGGGACATTGGAAGCATGCGAATGTTTGCTCTGCATTCGGGATAAGTTTCCCGCTAGCGGTGTGTCCCTTCTCCCACGACGTAGTTGGCGGCGAATCAGCCTTTTTCTTTCGAGCTGGCGGTGAGGGAACGACATCCTCATTGTCGGACGGGGCAGAGCGCTTCCGTCGTCCCCTAAGGGGCCCACCCTCCTGAAAACCGCAATATTGTATTCCAGCAGCAACAGCTTTGTTGCGCCGCGTCCACTCGTCTTCTAATGAATCGGTGGTGGGCCAAGTAAAGAACGTCTCCACGAGAAGAATCTGCTCCGATGGCATTTCAAACTTCTTCCGCAATACCTCGCGCGCAGGCTCATCACTGACAGCCCCACCAGTCAACTGTCTTTCAATGTCAATCACCGCCTTTTTCCGACCGAACTCGCGGCGTGTTTCTTTCCGCCGTTTGTCTTGCAGACGCCGGCGCAGATTGTGGACTTGACGCTTCTGGTCCTCCAGCATCGCCCGCAGTGCTGGGTTGTGAGAGCGATCAGCGCACTGGGTCTCTAAATCGACTTGCCAGTATATGGCTGATTGCAGTTCTGGGTCTTTTTCCACTGATTCTCGATCAGCGTCGCTCAGGTATCGTGGTCGCCGCCGATCAATCCAACGGCTCATCCGGGTCACAGCCTTTAAGAATTCTTCGTCTGGATTGAGGCCGCACATGATTTCTTGTAAACCAGTATGCCGACGGGGACGATAATGTTTGATAAACGTTCTGCTAGTGGCGTGGGCCATGATCACATTACGCTGTGCTTTACTGACGAAACCTAAACAAAAGACTTAGTTCGCCCATCTAGAGAAAACTTGGGGATTGATAGTCCACTCACCACTCTTATCCAGTAAATCACCTCCTCCGTATCGGAATTGGTGAGAGAAAAAAATGATTAAGGAAGCCGTGTATCTCACTGGATGTCCTGAGCTGTGCGTCGAGTGTGCTTCCATCCATGGGTGTCTCCCATAAAATGCGGGGCTGGCCACAGATCACCTCGACCTTCGGGAAGACATAGTAATTATCCATCTCTTTACTCAAGGGAAGTAGCATTTCCTGTCGACCACCCTCGACAAGCAGTCTCCGAAGGTCTTCCATCGATGTTAAATAAGGCGCTTCAAAGGCGTGAACATAAAATAATATGATGAAGAGTATGACATGCGGGCTGAAGACAAGTGACACGCCGTAGACAATTTCAGGTAGCGCGAACGTGTTGCTAAGTAATATTGATCAGTCAGTCTGATTGTAGCAAACAAATATGACTCGGGTGCCACCTACAGCTTCGACATGCCTAGGACGCTTTTCACAAACTGGGGCTCGAGTTCGATCATCGGCTTCGGAGGTCCTCCATGCGGATCCTGCTGGAGCGATATTTGTAGATGCTTGAACTGAAGGTCAAGCATTGCCTGTTTTCGGTTGATGGTAAATAACCTAATAGTGTTGTATAGACATAGGATAATGCGCTGAAACCCTAAGTGGAATAGCTTCTCCCGTGTTTGAAGAATTGTCTCATTGAATGGAATCATATCTTCGATATATACTGGGACATTTGCGCGCGGTTGTTTGTTCAGACCGCGCTTATCCACCAAGTATCTCATGCCCTGTCAATCTTTGTTAGCGCAGGCCTCCTGCAGACGATTAGGGGGAGGTCGAAAACAAACCGTGCGAACGGCCTCGCCCATCTCTTTACTCATCTCGATTTTGGTAACTCGCTGGTAGTAAATTCGGAAGTACTTCCAATCCGCTTCTAGGGCGCTGGCCTTTGTATAGCCTTTCTGGCGGCGACCATCGGGACTGTACTCCAGCTTCAGACACCAATTAAGAAATCGATGCATGTCATTTGGTGACGCCTCACGCAGTGCATCCTCCGCAACCCCCTACTTGTGATTAGTGGATGGTTCCATTGCTTTCATTTGGCAGTACCTGAAATGAGGCAAGTCGGTCAGTTAATATTAACACAGTATAAGCTTTCAACGATATCCTGATCACCTACCAAGCCCAACGCTCTTTCAGTCGAAGTTTCAACTTCTTTGTTTTGTTAGATCGGCCGTAATCCTCCGGTACTTGGGCCAGGTCCTCATCTGTGTCATCATCATCATCGGGGACTTGGTATCGGGCCTGGTGGACACGTTTCACATTCGACAGGTCTGTTGGTAACAATTTTGTTCCAGTCTTTGGGCTTGGCTTCTTCCGAGCAATCGTTCGACCCGCTGGAGGGGAGCGCTCCGGCTCGGTGAGATCGGTCTCAGAGGAATCGGGCTCGAACGGTCTATCATTGTCGGTATCGATGGGAGAGGTACAAGAGGATTCGCTCGTGATCCCGTGGTTGCCGGTATTGGGCGTCCTCCGACGATACATGGCTATTAGATTTCGCCGACCGTGCGAAGGAACGACCTCGGAGCTCGAGATGTGTTAACGCACGACACGACTGAATAGAAGAAAGCACGACGGAAGATCAGAGGGAGATTTTTGGAGTGGTGTTTGAGTCGAAGTGAGGACAGTGATGGACGGGAGATGGGTGGGAAGGGGATATTTATAGCCATGGCAGCTGGGAGCTGGCCAGAGTGCAGCTGGCGTGGTGCTGAAGGAGGCCATTTTCGGCGCCTCCCTCCCCAGTAGGCGTGGTGGAGCTACTAAGGAGCCCTCGGGGAACCAAGGATGTCAGCGCGCATGAAATCGCAGCCTGAGGCACGTACTCGTGAGTGGTGTGGTGCGTGGTCGAAGGAGGCGGGAGCGTGGCGGAGAGAGGTTGCTGAAAGACGGCCTTTTTCGGCCTCACCTGCGGCCGAAAAAGGCAACCAAACAGCAAAACGCAATTCTTTGAGAGGATTAATGATTAACTAGATCAAGTTCATTCTTAAGGTTTTTAAGGTGCCTATCGAAGTCTAGCGGGTGCTAATTTAGGAGCTATCTAGCTCTCTTATAAGCTCTCCGGGATAGTAGAGGGGCGACTACGTACTTCTAGCATAAGCATTTAGTCTAGTTTTTAAAGGTGGCCTAGTCAGAACGGAGGGGATAGTCGATTGGTAGATGCTCGGTCGCATTATAATAACGAGACCTGGCCTCCTAGTTAAAGAATTGGAGGGAGGAGATAATCCTATCATAGTCTGGTAGTCCGATGTAGTCTGCTCGAGAGAAAGTTCCTTCCACATCTCTGAGCCACATAGATCTCTGGTGTAGGGAGAAGGAGGTGTCGAATTTTTCGAGGCCATCGAACTTGAGCTGAGGGCTCTTGCCCATCCAAGGGGTCCGACAAGGGTTTTGATCAGAAGGAGGGTGACTTAGAGTTGAATCGAGAAACTCTCTAGGTCGGATCCCTGCAGGGGTGCTAGCATTCCTAGGATCTCTATAGGTGGCGACGCTATAGGCCGAGCTGGCTAGCGAGTCGACTAAGTCTTGAGGGTTTAGGACTAGGTTTTTTAGTTTCTGGATTTCTCCCTCTAGGCGGTGGATAGTTTATAGAATTTCGGCCATATTCGGCTGGGGATCGCTAGGGAGAGTTGAGCGATCAGAGGTTGGTTCGGTAGGAGGTCGGGCTTCTTCTTCTGTGGCCGGAAGTCCTCTTTCAGGAGTGGAGTCCTAAGTAGCTCCTCGTTGCCTTGTGGTGGGAGCCATCTCAAGGGTCTTCAGTTGCTTAAGAGAGAAGAGTTGTAATTATAAGGGTTAGAGTCCAATGCGGTTGGGCTACTGTAAACAAGAAAAGAACTATTATGAGAAGGCTACTAGAGGACGGATGTATAGGTGTGGTATCCCATAGGGCTCAATTCCACTAGGGTAAATTGGGGACAAGAAGCTCTCGACTACGGTTACGGATACGAATAATCCAAAATCTTACGGATATGTATCCGTGCCGACCTCTATCAACGAGATTGATTCTGATCGGTATAGCTGCGACAAAGGATCGCAGACTCCGATGCACATCCTTCTCCAGCGTCCGTTATACATAGAGGAAAGAGTCTGGCTCCGGAGAAAGATCAATGCGACTGACCTTGACGCGGAAAAGCGCTTAGACTAGGACGCACTAATGAACCACCCACAGGCGATACGCTACATCGCGAACTTCATGCACCAAACAGGCCTCCTTGGCCAGTTCCGGCATGTTGAAATTGAGCCAGATCCGGACGAGGATGACCAAGAACAGATAGGCCTAGCAGCCATAGGAGCAGGAGGGGAAGACGATGGGTAACGACACCGTGAAAACCTGGGCACCGAGCACCTAGGAATCGACATCGAAAATACAACAAGAACGCAACCGACGAAGGGAACAGAGGAAGACGCCAACTAGGGAGAGAATACAGAGATTCTACAGGAGTGGCACAGAGGGAAATGGTGAGTGGGAAGAGGCAAGGTGGAAATTTACCTGTTGGGCAACTGCCCAGATTTTCTTTTGTATTTGATTTCGGGATGGCGTTGGACACAAGTTCATGCTTCAGACGGATGAAGCGCCTGCATAGCATATACGCGACTAGTATAGCTCGATCGGGTTAATTGAACTTTGAATTGAATTGAATTGAATTGAATTAGGGAAACCCTTCCACCCTGCCTGTATACTCCTTTGACACATACATATAGAAAGAAAACCCAAACCTAGATAAAGGCTATGCAATTTATCTTGACAGGCAAATACTTCTATCTCCCTCTTTTCCCATGGCTTTATACAAGAGTCAAAAATGAAGTACATTTGGGCTGTAGTGATAATCAAAAAAAGTTGTCACAGGGAGCTCGAAACAGGATTGGCAGAATTTAGTTGCTTCAAGAGCGCAGACAGTGTAGAGTCGCATCCTTCTCCACGCCACGCGACAATACCATCTGGACGAACCAAAATAGCACCATATTTGCTGACATTGCAAACCTTTTGCCAAACGCCATCTCGGTCTGTCCACCCATCCCCTGCGTCTATCACTTCAATCTTCACAAGGGTGCTTTGGGCCCAATCCCAAGCGCCTACTGTTTGAGTAAATAGAACGAATTGAGTGGGGACAATCAAGTCTCTGGTAGAGACAGTCATATCAGCCCGCTGTAGCCAAGCGTGAGGAACGTGATGACCGGGGATTGTAGAAGGATGGTAAATCAGCTCATCGAAGGTCCCATCCGGCTTGATCTGTCCGTCATGGTTGTTCTTTTTTCCTTCTCCCTTGACATCCACCGAGGGGTAGAACCATCCAACTTCTGTCCCATGAGCACCGAACTCACTATCCAAGATCTCTTGAGCTTTGCCAATGAGGACCTGTCTCTGTGGATACTCTTTGCTGGTGGGATCAAGGGATATATCAATGGCAGCACTATTTTCCTCGTATGTTTGTTCCACAGATAGACCAATAGCCCTATCCATAACACCAGCATGGCTCTTCAGATTCAGCAGACTTGACTGGGCAACGCGTAGGGCGATTGGGCGACGCTCAGCTTCATAAGAGTCTAGCAGTGTGTCGACGTCTTTTTGATCACCCCGTAGAGCAAATGCAAGCTTCCAGATCAAGTTAAAAGCATCCTGCACGCCTGTGTTCACTCCCAAGGCACCCCAAGGGGGAATACGGTGGGCGGCATCACCAACCAGAAACACGCGGTTAAGTTTGCTCCGGAACCTTTGGGCTACGATACTAGCAACCATCCAATGACTGATACTTAATAGGTTAATATTCAAGTCAGTCACGCCGAGTGTTTTCGAAATTCTTTTAATCATAGAAGCTGTATCAAATCGATCGGGATCGTCTGGAAGCATGGCACATCCAAAATACCACTCTTCGGTCTCTGGCTTTTGGGGATACGGACCTAAGTGGTACATGTAACCAGATTTGATGCTACCTCCCGTTGCTGGATTGATGAACCAGCTTATGAAAGCCCTTGACTCAGGATGATGAAGACTCAGGGGTGCTTTAAAATGGGCAGACACCATATCGAAGATGTCATGTTCGCCTTCCCATGGGATGCCAAGCCAGTCTGTCACCATTCTTCCTCCATCTGCCCCTAGTGCATATTTCGCTTCCACATCAAAGGCGACTCCATCTGGGCCCCGCACCTTAACAATAACGCTGTTTGAATTCTCTTCGACCTTCAAAACCTCCGAGGAATATTTGATCCCATCGGGATTCAGCTCCAAAGCGCGACGCTGCAAGATTGGCTCGAGACGGATCTGGGGCAGCATGACATAGGACGAAGGACTGGCATCTTCAAACGAAGGCCGATATCTGCCACCTCCCCATGCATCTCTGGAATGGATCTCTCTTCCATTTGGGCCCAGGCTAGTATACCAAGCAGTTCGGCTGTAGGTGTTGTCCGGGGCGCCTTCTTTCAGCACTTCGTCTTCAACGCCAATGTGTCGAAAGATTTCGAGTGTACGTTGATTTAAGCCACAAGCTTTAGGATGGACGGATGTGGACGGATAGCGCTCATAGAGGACGTGGGGCACTTTCTGAAGAGACAAAAGGATAGATGAGACAAGTCCAATGGGACCGCCTCCGATGATGACAACAGGTAGCATTAAAAAGGGTGAAGTGAGAGCGGAAGCTGGAATTCAAATAAGATATGTCAAAAGAGAATTTACCCAGGAAGAAGTTTCTTGCAGCTTTTATTTACAAAGCGCAGTGGGAGAGAGGTTCTGTGATCTATGCAATCCGTTCGTGTGCTCCACATCCCCCACACCCACACTACACTTGGGCATTCCCCCACACCCTCCACATGAATGAGTAGGCCCATCTTTTGAGTTTACTTCGAAACAAACTCACAAGATACATGGAACTGACGTGGGACTTGTGTGCCACCCCCGCATCTACCTGATGCTAGTTGCGCTGACGGACTACGCCCTCAAGGCCACCTCCCTGTTTCAGACTTAGTTCAGAATAAGTATTTTCTCCTATCGAGAAAATTGGCGTATCTCCAAAAGATTTGGCTTGGTGTATTTCTAGTGTTTTAATGGTTTGACTAATTTCCTATACATACATAAACCTGCTTAGCTCTCTCTCCTCTTTCTCAGCTATTTGAACTATCATTGAACTGATCATTTGTATAACTTTGACCTATAGGCCAAATTTCACCACGGATTGTAAGAGAATTATAATATTAAATGTCATACGTAGTCTTTCATCGGTAAAATACCAAGGTTCGAAATTTTTATGCCCTAGATACGGACTCGACAACAGCCTCAAAAGCGATTAATCAAATTTATGAAAGTCGCATTTGATGTTTCCAGAGATGTGCTCCATATAGATGAAATTGGACAAAGAGTTTGAACTATAGTAAGCTGTTCGTGAATATAGATGATGTAGATCTAATTCGCCAATTGTACATCAGAAGGCAACAAATTCTCACGACACAACTCCTCCCTCTCGCAACTGCTTGATCTCATTCTCATTCAGCCTAAGACGATGCTTCAAAAGTTCATCTGTGTGTTGACCAAGGAGTGGCGGTGGTGATCGAATAGTAGGCTGTGTCCGCGAGAACTTCACAGGACTGTTCAGCAGCTTAAGTGTGCCACAGGCTGGATGCTCAACTTCAACAATCATGTTTCTTGCAAGTACTAATACCAAGTTAGTCACATAATTTCCCTAGAAATCTCTCATGAGAAGGTAGCGGGACAGCTGGGGCAGAGCTTACCGTGCTCATGTGTGAGGGTATCTTTGAGATCGTTGACCTTGGCGTAGGGTAAGCCCGTGCCCTCAAAGAGACCCAGCCATTCTTTTGTGGATTTACTTGAAGTAACGCCTTCAATCATGGGCTCTAAGACATCTCGGTTCAAAACGCGGGAAGCGTTGTTGGCGAAGCGGCTGTCTGTTGCCCACTCCGGATGACCTAGGCCATTACAGAGCAAACCAAAGAGTCGATCGTTTGCACCTCCGATCAAAATATCACCATCAGATGTCTTGAAAGCTCGGTAAGGCACGACAGATGCTGCGTTGGCCGGTCGCCATTTGTCAGTGGTCAAGTTTGAGGGGAAAATGCAAGCATATGAACTTACGATGCGCAGTGCCCCATCTCCCAGTATCTCTTTCACCGGTAACTAATACCGACTCAGCCATGTTGCTCAGGGTCGCAACCTGACAGTCACTCAGACAAACGTCCAAGTACTGTCCTTCGTTGGAACTGGCTCGCTCAATGATAGCGGCAAGAATGCTGTTCGCAGCATACATGCCCGTTGTAAGGTCAGTAATGGCAACACCGACCTTGACAGGTGGCCCATTTCTACTGCCCGTGATATGCATCAATCCCATTTCCCTATTTGATCGAATTAGTTAATCCAGATGCCTCTTCTGTTGGATGCAATTATCATGTCGCTTGTTCGCACTCACGCTTCTACCATGACATCGAAGCCAGGACGATTGCTGTACGGGCCCGTCTGGCCGTATCCCGTAATGCTTGCATAAATCAATCGAGGGTTGAGCTTTGATAGAGTTTTGTAATCTAAGCCGTACTTTGCCAAAGTTCCAGGAAGATAGTTCTCCACAATCACGTCGCTTTCTGCGGCAAGCTTATGCAGAATTTCAACACCCTTGGGTTCTTTGAATGAGAGTCCCAGAGACTTCTTGTTTCGATTTGCCTGATAGGATTGCGTAAGTAATCCGAGTCAATCACAGTATCGGTTGACCTCTCGAAATTTACGAGAGTGAAAAAAAAGATGTAATCAAAATGAAAGGGGGAGTTTCTCACGGCAAGATAGTAGGCACTCTCGCCTCCAGATTTGTCTTGGTATGGAGCATACGGCGGGCCCCATGCCCGTGTATCATCACCTCGGGTGGGATGCTCGATTTTGACGATTTCGGCCCTAAATTGGAGCAAAATAGGGTTAATCATCTTCTCAAGCCATTGAAGAAGCCACATCTGAGAGCTTACCCTAAATCCCCCAGTATTTGGGTACAATATGGCTGTTTTATAATCTTAGCAAAACCACACAATGATCAGGCTGAATCAAGTCGTATGCTGAGACCTACACCAGCTAGAACCCTAGACAGATCCAGAACTCGAATTCCGTGAAGAGGGAGCTTGGGCAATTTTGCAGAACTGAAATGCGCCGTGTGTCCCTTGGTGAATGGATATGTGCGTTGCAAGGAAGTGCGCACAGGGACAAGCCGACGCGCGCCGTCCAAAAGGATTCCTCTGCCACTCAAAAAATTCATGCCGTGCGATAAGTCACGTGGTTCCTTAGATTCAGATCAAAATCAAGCAGGTTGGGTTGGAGGGTAAGATAAACCAGGTTGCTATAACGTTCAAGGAGCACTCTAGCCGAAGTACGCCCCATCTATGTGGGACTTGTCCATACTCGGACGCTGGTGGCCAATGTCATCCTATCATAATCTTGTTCTTTTTTTTACATGCTATCTACGGAGACACAATAGTGGTACACAATAATCTTCGATAAAGTGGAATGGTTCCCAAATTTCAGAAGTCTACCTCATGTGAGTATGGTGGTAGTTGTGTGGGGAAGGGGCGAATCGACCGGAAAGCAACGACAAACCCACATAGATGATCATGTGGGGATGTGTGCAAACCACTGGAACAAATAGAAGGTACATACCAAACTCCACAATCAAGGAGCACACTTCGAGCCTTGTGTGAAGTCTTTTATTTTACCAGACTATCTTAGGCCTACACGCGGACCGAGAATTCAATTCACTTCACAACTGACTCATCAACAATATGCAAAGACCGGTCCTTGGAGCTTTAAGATGGTGCCAATCGTATGGGCCTAAAAGGATGTTTTCGGTATCTTGTCATCGTCTCAGGATAGACAAGATTTGCGTGGGCGCGGATGAAGCCATCGAAAATGTTCGAAGCGGCTCTATGATTCTTGTCGGCGGTTTCGGCTTCTCAGGGGTGCCTGCTACTTTGATCAACAGTATTCGAGATCGTAAAGACCTCGGGAACTTGACCATCGTATCTAATAATGCCGGCATGCCAGGTGTTGGACTCGGTAGGTAACATCTGGCACGCACATATAAATTTGAGCTATCCTGCAGAAAACTGCTAACACATTGAGTTGTAGGACAGTTGCTTGAAACGGGACAAATCGGCAAAATGATTGCTTCCTACGTCGGGGAGAACCAACTCTTCGAGAGCCAATACATCACGGGAAAGCTCGACCTTGAGCTGCTCCCGCAGGGAACTATCGCTGAAAGGTGTGCTGCAGGAGCCGCTGGCGTGCCAGCCTTTTACACACCAGCAGCATTCGGGACTATAGGTAGGTCTTCTTCCATTCCGGCTTCGAGCGATTTATGCGGCATGGCCTAGTTCTGACGGCAAATTGTTCAGTGCAAACGGGTGAGCTTCCCGTCCGGTACAACCCAGATAAGACAGTCGCTGTCATGTCGAAGCCAAGGGAGACTCGTGAGTTCAACGGAAAGTATTTCGTCATGGAAGAGTCTTTCTTCGGTGATGTAGCCCTTGTCAAGGTCAACAAGGCAGATCGACTAGGCAACTGCACATTTCGAAAAGCGCAGAACAACTTCAATGAAGTGATGGCGAAAAACGCCAAATACACCATCGTGGAGGCGGATGAGATTGTCGAAGTTGGGGATATCGCACCCGAAAACATCCAATTACAGGGCATCTATGTTGACAAAGTCATCCTAAGCACGGAGCCGAAAAAGATCGAGAAGCTCACACTGGCGAAATCCCCGGAAGAAGTGGTAGCGACTGGTAAGAACACGCACAAGCGTGACGGAGCATCTGTTACTGACACATCACCGCGCAGCTTCTAGTTCCAAAGATACGAACAAACGAGAGCGAATTATCAAGCGAGCGGCCAAGGAATTGAAGGACGGTATGTACGTCAATCTGGGAATTGGGATTCCCCTTGCTACACCAGCCTTGGTGCCAGACGGAATCGAAGTTATACTGCAATCCGAGAACGGTATTCTAGGAATGGGTCCCTACCCAATCAAGGGCGAAGAAGACCCAGATCTCATCAACCCTGGCAAGGAGACGGTTACACTGAACCCAGGCGCGTCGGTTTTCGGCAGTCACGAGAGCTTCGGAATGATCCGTGCTGGTAAAATCGATGTGACAATGCTGGGTGCCTTGCAGGTTAGCTCATATGGAGGTGAGTTGAAGTAGCGCATTGCTGGTCTTCATGGAAGAAGTTGCTGACTTATGCACTCCAGATCTAGCTAATTTCATGCTGCCCGGAAAGGTCAAGGGCATTGGCGGAGCAATGGACTTGGTAGCTAACCCGGAGAAGACGAGGGTGATTATCACTATGGTAGGTCAATTCTTCTCTCATTGTTTCGTTTCAAAGAAAGACCGAGTACATTGCTGATTCTTCCTCTAAGGAGCATGTCGATCGGAAGGGAAACCCTAAAATCATGGAATGTGAGTATTCAGAATCACTACGAAGGAAACAGTTTGAAACTATCTTTTGCTAACGCGAAACAACATAGCCTGCACTTTCCCCCTCACTGGGCAACGGTGTGTTTCTAGGATAATCACGGATATTGCTGTTTTTGACTGTACACCCGAGGGCTTAGTCCTCCGGGAATTGGTGCCGGAAATGAGTATTGAGGAGCTCAAGTCGATGACCGAAGCTAGCTTCAAGATAGCTGAGGATTTTAAGGATTATGAGACATAGATTGATTGTCAATCACTGAAATTAGTTCTCGAAGACCCAAGTGACCAGCGCGGTGCGCATAAATACTGTATTTTATTTTTTCGGAGCCCACGAAGCGGTGAATAATAAGGTATTTCGCGTCGCGGTATTTACATAATTTGTATCCTCAAATTCCTTAAATGATTTTTAATCTGATGCCGCGAAAATGTTAATACTAACTAATTTTCTTCTTACATAGAACAGCCTCATAAAGTAAAACACATACGAGCGGCGCACACAACCGAGTGGCGCACCCCACCAATTTTACGCGTCAGCTTCGTGTTTCCTATTTTCAACTACCCACCATGCCCCCCCCCCTAAATGCTCTGGTTATTCAAGATAAACAGGATCAGGAGAATAGGGCCTTATTAGCTTTACAAGCTTATAAGAATGGCGATATACCGTCAATGCGTAAAGCTGCAGCTATATTTGATATACCTGAATCAACCCTCTGACGCCGTGTCTCTGGTGTTCAATCTCGTCTCGAAATACGTGCAAATGGCCATAAATTAACTGAATTTGAAGAGGATTCATTAATTCAATGGGTCTTCTCTCTAGATGATCGCGGATGTGCTCCTAGGACTAAAGATATTGGTAGAATGGCCAATATCCTGCTCGCCGACCGCGGAACCAACCCTCCTCTTACGATCGGTAAAAACTAGGTCACCAACTTTACTACACGTTTACCTGAAATTCAAACTACCTATTCGAAACCCCGCGATTGGCAACGTGCGCGTCAAGAGGACTATGATGTGATAAATGATTGGTCTAAACTGGTTGAAAGCACGATATCTATAATTTCGACGAGACAGGATTCGCGATGGGACGATGTGCGACCGCAAAAGTGGTTACTAGAGCTGGTTATTATAGTAAACGAGCCAAAAAACAGCCTAAAAACCGTGAATGGGTTACTATTATTAAGTGTTTAGGCGCGTCTGGTTACACGCCTCCACCCTGTATCATCTTTAAAGGAAAGGTAATGATGCAGAACTGATTTGCTCCTGACCTTGGTTTACCATCTAATTGGCGAATCGAGATAAGCCCGAATGGCTGGACATCAGATCAAATAGGGCTCCGATGGCTTGAAAAGCTCTTTATACCTGCTACTGCGCGTACTAAAGGACGGTATCGACTCCTAATCCTAGATGGTCATGGTAGCCATTTAACCCCTGATTTCGACCGGATATGGGGAAAACATGATATTATACCACTTTGTATGCTTGCGCATGCTTCACATCTTCTACAACCTCTTGATGTTGGGTGTTTTGCGGTGTTGAAACGCTCTTATACTCGGCTGGTTGAGTCTAGAGTAGAGCTTGGCTTCAGCCACATCAATAAGGGAGGTTTCCTAGAGATATACCCTACCGCGCGTATTGAAGCTCTTCAATCTGCATCTAAAGCGTTCGCCGCGACCGGAATCGTGCCACTTGACCCTAGTAGAGTGCTTAAAAAGCTTACTATGCGCGTCCTAACACCACCACCACCACCTTCTAGGGGGAGTGATTCAAGCCGAAATTGGACACCAAGAACCCCTAAAAAGATTTACGGCGTCAACATAAAGCTATACTCCGCATAGTATCTCGAACACCACCATCGCCATCTAGGAGAGCATTAGACCAGATAATAAAGGTGCAAATACCCTATATCAGGAGAATGCTCTTCTACGCCAGGAAAATGGGGATTTACGCGCCGCGCATGAGAAAAAAAGGAAGCAAAAAGCACATCCAAATCGACAAATGGCAGTAGTAGAGGGGGTTACAATTCGGGAGGGAATGGACCTATTTGACGCGTCAAATACTGCTCCTAAACCTAATGATGCCAATTTACCATTAGAGGATCAGGCGCCTTTACAGGCGCCTCCAACCCAACGCCGATGTGGAATATGCAGGAATCCTGGCCATAGGAGGGAAAACTGTCCTGACCGACCGATTCAATAGTTTTTTTTACTAGTATTATATAGGTTTAAATGGAGTTATTGGGATTCGAAAAACATAAGTAGGTCTAGGTGCGCCGCTCGTATGTGTTTTACTTTAGTTGTAAAATCAATGAATACAAGTGATTCAGTAGCAATCACCGAGCAAGGAAGGGAGAAGAAGGTTGATGGGAAAGTAATGCTGCCACTCAACTTCTCATCACACATGGCCGAACAAAACCACCCCCGAACCTTACCTACTCACCTACTGAAACGGGCAACGCTCTACCTAGGTAGGCAGCACAGTCGGGACATGCAGGTCGATTGGCCAAGGAAACCCAACCAGAACCACGAAAGAAAGTTCAATGAAAGTAGGGAGTCAAAAAGTGAAGTGTGTAAACCGCCTTCCTGGTACGTACTGCTGCATAGGGCTCCCCACTACACTACGTAAGCACCTATGGACTTCAACATCCTTTCAAAGGACCGATTCCCAATTTGGCTTAGTGCATGATTAGTCAGATTCCTTGGTTAGTATACCCCAAGACTGATGCATATGGATATTTGAACGAGACTGGAACTGCATGAAGAGATTTCAAACAGATTAAACTTAGTGGGCTTAAAACTGGGGAGAACTCATCTCGAACGTGAGACTCAGTCTTATAAGATACGTCTTCTATTCAACACCACTTCAATCCGATTAGTTGCAAACACAGCAAGAATTGTGGAATAATTTGAAATATATTGTGGAAACTAAAGACTTTACATGAACAACTTGGTCTCAATAAACAGCAATGAAACTGAATATACACTTGTACACTTCCCCTGTGTCGTAGTAAGAATACGCATCATGTTGATAGTTGGACACGTCTAGGACCTCTGGAAAGAACCGGAAGAAGCTAGCGTGTCTTCTACCATCCTTAGAGATGACCCAAGGTAGTTGGCAGGATCACAAAGCTCCTCAAGTCGCTTTCTCGGGATTTTCTCTGTCACTTCCGGCATGTCAAGCAAAACCTCAAGCAGAGTAAGCTTTTCTTCAATGGCCCGACGACAGCCATCATACACAACATCATGCGCCTTTTGCCGTCCTATAAATGGAGCCAAACCCATCATGACTGCCTCACCAACGATCAAGCCGCCCGTGGAGTATAGGTTGTCTACCATTCGCTGGCGCTCCACAACCAACCCAGAAAGCACAAATTCTGCCTGATGAAGAGAGCCAACAGCCATGACAAACATTTCGGGAATGGCAATCCACTCTAGGTGCCAAGGACCTGATGCACGCTCAAAGTCCGTCACCATAGCATCCAATACAAGACTCGCATTGGATCGAAGCGACTTGGAGGCAGCAAGCATTATTTCACTAGAGATGGGATTGCGCTTCTGTGGCATTGTGGATGATGCGCCGCGGTGGGGAACAAAAGGCTCTGCCACTTCACCCACCTCGTTGGAACACATAATCATGAGGTCAAGGGCGACTTTGCCGAGAGAGCCTCCGACAAGCGCAAGAAAATTGGCAATTTCCGCTACACCGTCTCGAGCCACATGCCATGTGATGGGAGGATCCTGTAATCCGGTCTCCAATGCCATGGCTTTGCGAACTTTAACGCCTTCCTCGCCAGCGCCAAGAGACGCCAGAGTGCCTGCTGCACCGCCGTACTGGACCAAGAGACACCGAGACTCGAGCTGCTCCAACCTCTCCATGTGGCGATAGAAGCTAGATAGCCAGACGGCACACTTATAACCAAATGTAACGGGTAGAGCATGTTGTAAATGAGTGCGACCGGCCATTGGGGTGGCCTTATGTTCGCTTGAGAGCTTTTCAAGCGCAGAAATAACGTTGATGAGCTTCTCTCTAACAACTTCAAGACCCTTTTTCATCTGCAACATATTGGCCGTGTCCATGATATCTTGAGTTGTTGCTCCCCAATGCAAATAGCGCCCGTGTTCACCAATAGTTCCAGAGAGTTGCTTTACCAAAGAAAGAATAGGATACCCAACAATCTCGGTCTCATCACGTAGCTTGTCTAAGTCCAGGGTTGAAACATCGGCCTTTTGGGTTATGGAGTCCGCTGCCTCCTGGGGAATGACACCACAAGCTGCTTGTGCCCGAGCGAGGGCGGTTTCAGCGTCAATACATCGTGAGAGGTATGCTTTATCACTGAAGACCTGGCAGAAAATTCTAAATCGTCAGTCAGGCATTCATGGTGCTTCAGAAGAGTAGAGTAGACTGGAAATCAATAAGTCAAGCTCACCTCTCTGATTTGATCGGTGCCAAATATATTTTTGAAGACCACCGAGTCAAATGCGCTGATTGAACCTAGAAATCGAACTGAGGCTGGTGCGCGCTGAACATTTCGAGTCGATAAACGCAGTGAAGGGACCAATGATGACCGCGACGGCTGGTGGAATGTACGGGAAAAAACTCGGGCCAGCATTCTGGGATAGGGTTCAATTGGAGCAACGGATCAGTAATTCGAGCGAGATCTGATGGGTTACTACTCCCTAGATATCGCATTCACGGGGCCTCGAAGAGTAAAAATGAGCTTGTCATTGTGGGGCGTGATTCCAGTCAGTCCCACATGAAGCCCCGGTCCCATTTTATTTCATGTGGCACTTTTACTTACAGATTCGAGGTAGAGCCCTTACTTGGAACGCGGATTGCCCCGCAGTCGATCCTCAACTTGAGACCGCGGGGCAATCCGTGTTCTAACGTCTCTTCGCTCCCAAGTCTGGCTGAGGGATCCAACGTAAAATTACGAATCATGTTACTTGCTGGAGCTGAAGCTCATGTGGATTTGGGGAATTGAAACTTCTTGCAACATAACTCATATTCCAATTTATCTTGCCATGGTTTTTCTTAGCTCTTCATTGAAAACATAAAATACACGCAACGATATTGGTTTACATTCTGGTTTTATATTTCAAAAGACATCTACCCTGAAAAGCTTGAAACTGATCGGTTCAGATTTTTATCTCATCTGCGTGAAGCTGTTTATCACACAGGACCAAGACACCCTAATTCCTTTGTCTCAGGAGACTGAACAGCCCTCATCGCCGCATGCACATTGCGAGAATTTCTCTTACTTGCGCCTCTTCCGTGATAGGGAACGCGTTTGTGCGTATCCAAATGTCGTCAAGACTGTTTTTCGCCAGTGTAGAAATATTATCAGTGCTCACTTTGACGTCCTCAAGATATCGAGGCATTTGGAGGGTCGAAATCACGGCATCGAGAACGTCGCCCAGGTCAAATGTACTGAGTGTATTAGTTCTCGCCTTGCAGATATCCTGAACCTCGCTCTGCTGCATGAGCAAGTCTCTGACGGCGGCCTGTCGCTCGACATTTGCCTGCATCTTGAGGTTGAATTTGCAAACCGCAGGCAGCAAGATACAGCTCGTCTCACCATGGCCTACACCAAGGGGCCCAAGCTGGTGTCCAATAGCGTGACTAGCACCCAGCGGAACGCCGCTCGACACGGCGGCCATCGCATCAACAACGCCTTGCTGACAGAGATGGTGAGCTCTGAGAGAAGATGGATCGTTCATGCACTGGAGGAGACCGGAAATTAGTTTAGGGAGGGCTTTTCTTGAACATTCATCGCCTTTTTCGTTCGACACCAAAGAGCAGAGAGTCTCGACACAATGATCTACAGCTCGAATACCCGTGCTAAGCCACACCCACTGAGGAGTTGTAATGCATAGCTCTGGGTCTTGGATGACAAGCTCTGGATTCACGCCACCACAATAAAATGTCCGCTTAGCGTTGCTCTGTGACTCCGTACCCCCAGCAATGGCCTGGTATTCGCCCCCAGACAGCGATGTAGGGATATGGATGAGCGGAACCGTCGGCTTGTGTACCTTCTCTCGGAACTTTGGATTGCTCTGCGTGTTGCCCCAGAGTGTATCCAAGTCCTCCATGGTTGATGCAGAGTTGGCCAATGCGAATCGCACAATCTTCGCGCCATCGGTTAAACTCCCAGCACCAAGTGTGACCAAACAATCGACTTCATGCTCTTTAGCATCTCTGATCACCTCGAGGACTTGGGTAAGAGGGGTATGTGGGTCGATACCGACTCGAACACCCGCGACGCGATCACCCAACGCCGAGCGCAGTCGGTCGAGGGCATCAGTGTTCCGCGCCAATGAGCCTGAGCAGATTATGTAGATTTTTGATTTGGAGAAGACATCTTCACAATGTCGGAGAGTGGCCTCGGGAAATCGCAATCCGTACGAGACTTTAGGTGTATCACCGCCATCGAAGGCCGCACGACATACTTCTTTACCGAATTCGAAAGCCATAGGATCAGACGAGACCGAATTTTACTCAAAAGAAGATCGTGGTAACCTTGCAACGTCTTTTGAAGTATGAATGACAGGTCTGGGGGGCAAATGGTATAGAAACAATTTGAAAATCGGGGAATGTGCCGATAACTCGGAGCCTTACATCATACCAATGAGGCACTCACTCCACAGCTGAGGGCCCACTTTTCACTAAGTGGAACTCAAGTTCGGGAGAATGTGGTGCCCTTATGCCCCACATGAAATGGAGCATGTCACAGACGTGGGCACAAGGGAAACCCATTGGATTTATCCTGATAATCGAATTCATTACGAGGGATTATCGTGCACACACATCTTTGCATTACTCATACCTGTAGGTAGTTTGTCGCATAACCGCGCTGTATATCATATTGATCCCTGAAGCCTGAATGCGACAGAAATCAGAGACAACAACATTTCTCCGAGTAAAGCACTATGAGGATGCTTTCCAGGGGCTGCCAAGCCGTGAGGAGTAAAGCTCCGAATGATGTGGTTGTCCTTTCAGCCGTTCGCAGCCCGATCACTCGCTCTTTCAAAGGGAAATTCAAGGATGCTTGGCCTGAAGATATCCTCGCCCCGGTATGTTTGAAAGATCTGCCAGCAATTAGAAACAAGCCGGCAATCTACTAACACACTGATTATAGGTTATGGCCGAAGCTCCTAGACGTGCCAAGATCGACCCCCAGGACGTCCAAGATGTACTTATCGGCAATGTCCTCGCTGAGCTCGGTTTCGCCAAAACTGGCAGAATGGCGCTTCTGCACGCGGGATTCCCTGTTTCTACGACATTCCATACGGTCAATCGCCAGTGTTCGAGTAGCTTACAGGCCGTCATGCACCTCGCAAATTCCATCAGTGCCGGTCAGATTGATGTAGCCATGGCTGGCGGTGTCGAAAGTATGTCAAAGAACTATACGACGCGTGGTGTTCCAATTGATGTTGGTCCGACTCTTCGTGCCACACCAGTCAAATCTGCCGCGGATTGTCTGATGCCAATGGGCATCACATCCGAAAACGTGGCGCGTCGGTACGGCGTTGACCGCCAGATGCAGGACGAGTTTGCCCTCCTCAGCCACACGCGGGCCATAAATGCTCAAGCCCAAGGCCGATTTTACTCCGAGACTGTGCCTGTTGAGTATAATATGCTGGATTCTGAAAGTGGCGAAAAGACGACTATCAGAGTGGAAACTGACGACACTATCCGGCCCGGCGTGACAATGGAGAAGCTCGCCAAGCTAAAACCAGCCTTTATAGAAAATGGCGGAAGTACAGCGGGAAACTCGTGAGTCAAAAAGGTCAAAACTGCGATGTAGAGGTCAAAGTGACTGATATATACGGGCTTTTTGCTGTATAGGTCCCAGATTTCCGACGGTGCATCAGCAGTGATTCTTGCTCGTCGGTCCTGGGCTGCTGAACGCGGAATAGAACCCATCGGGCGTTTCTTGGGAGCCAAGGTCACTGGCTGCGAGCCAGATGAGATGGGAATCGGGCCTTTACACGCCATTAACAGTTTGTACAAACACATCGGCATGGCGCAGAGAGACGTTGATATTTTCGAGCTTAATGAGGCCTTTGCGAGCCAGACTTTAGCTTGTATAAACGAGTTAGGCTTGGATGTTGCCAAGGTTAACCCCAATGGCGGAGCCATCGCGCTAGGCCATCCAACCGGTGCCACAGGGTGCCGACAGCTAGCCACACTTCTTTCGGAGCTTTACAGGCGGGATGAAGAGGTTGGTGTAATCAGCATGTGTGCCAGGTAAGACTCGAAAATCGTTCGTAACTGGAGAATCATCCGTTCTTTCTGCTGACACCATTATGCCTGCTAGTACTGGACTTGGCGTAGCCGCTGCTTTTGCCCGAGAGTAGTACGCGGTCAAATTGAAGCAAAGCGATTTACTTTTTTGATTTTTGATTTTTTTTGTTAAATGCTGTATCTGCGAGACAAAACGGATAGAAGATCAAGGATCTATTGAGAGTTTGATTTCGTCGACATGGAAGCGAGGAGCAATGAAAACATTAACGTAGTGCTCAGAAGATACACATACTTCTGCGATAAAAGTATCAGCTTATAGTTGAATGAATCTCCTAAAGCTTTTCTCGTTTGAACAGACAGACAGCTTGCCCAAGTTAAATTGAAAGTTTCTTCATGTTCTTCTTTACTTTTCTCATGCCTCGGACAGCATGTTAATTACAGTATTGTACACAACCAGCAGCATCCCTCCTCCGGGTGCAAACCGGACAGCCTTTGGCACCAAGCCCTTATACAAGGCCTGGAATCTTGATGCGGCTCTTTACGACATCCAACGGAGTATTCAAAGCGGCTCCGAATGTTCCTCCTACTGAGCCAGCAATGAACTGATTCAAGAGTTCACTCTCTTTTGTTGTCACCTGCGGAAGAAGCGACCCTACTTTGAAGATGCAACCGAAATAACCAGCATCCCAAACAATGTGCCGCCAGACGGTCCTCTTAAAGCCTCGGTAAAGCCCAAAAAGCCCAGATTCTCGACCAACTTGAATGGTACAGTCAAGAACACCTCTATATTGCTTGACTGATGACTGATTCTGGAGACGGATTTTTACCAGCTCAAAAGGCACGACGACAAAAGCTTCCGTCGCCCCAGCACTTGCCCCAGTCATGAAGGCCAGAGACTAACTTGGTTGCTTTACTCCAAGGACAGAATTCTAAAATTTTCTCCACTGATCATTGGCTGCAAATTTCGTGGCTCTGGTCATCAGAGTGGCAAATGTCAGCTCATCGAAGCCGGAACAAGAGGTAAGGGAATGGGACGCAACGAAACGGATGAGGATGGAAAATCAATATCGAATCACTCACCTTTTGGGCATCTCCATCAACATTGGAGCGGCGATTCCACGATATAAACGGGTGAACCTGGAATATAAATGTTTGCATCTAACAGAACATCGCAATTACTGGCCTTTTCACTTACCCATCCTCCTTTATAGTCTTTGCAAGGCAATTTACCATCCCCGAATACTGCAATGCTCCACCTACTGTCCTTTGAAGCTGTCTTGAAAATATATTAGCGAGGCAACTTGAGACAGAGTCGGGATTATCGCTTACAGCCTCGTTTTTACAACGTCCAATGGATACCTTAGTTCATGTGAGAATATTATTTTTAACCTTCTCACTACCAAAATTTCCTTTTATCTTCTTGCTGTATTTACATCACTGATAACTATCCAGGGATGTAAGCGAAGGGCTTGAATATCAGGCACAGCAAGGCCTAGGCGTCTTAAGTCTCTACTTACTTCTGAGATTCCCGCGACAGCACCTGTAGCAAAGAGTCAGTTCCTGGAGCTTCCTAGTGCTCGGCAAAGATATCGAATATTCGATTCATTGGTCACGTGGTCATACCAAGACTAGGATATAGAGCCCGTCACTCCAGTTATATATAACAGACATTCATTGGGTTGAATGTGAGAAGGCATGACACCCTTTCAAATTGTAGAAAAAATAGCGCACGCATTCAATTTTCAAAAACAGTCTCTGTATATACATCTCTTAATAGAACTAATTTCCTCATCGTCTGACTATTCAAAGAATGTCAACGAACACCAATTGTATCCCGAACTTGACTGAACAATCTCTCCACTGATACCCTAGCTGAACATATGGGCGCATACATGACATAATATAGGCGGTGGCAGAATAAATAAAACGAACAAAACGAATCGAATACGAATAATGCTACCCCAAACGAATACGAATTCGAATAATCCAAAAATCTATTCGTTTTATTCGATGCCGAGCGATAGAGCTTCCATGCTATGTCTCCTTTTCATGATATGATCTATCACGTATCTGCAAGAAATTGATGCGGAGATGGAGGTCCATTTTTGCGGTTGGTCATTTCAGCGATTAGTCCAGGCGAGGACACCACAGAAGAGAAAAGAAAGCAGGAGAGGAAGAAGTCACTTATCCCAGCGAAAACCTAGGTGTACCTAGATGCACTTGCACAAATATTTTCCAAGGTTAAGCACCTAATGTAATCCGCGATATACGAGATACGAAGTGCCCCACATAGTGGAAAAGCCCGATAAACTGGGGTCAGATCCTTCCCCACAACCATTCATCCAAGATGGATACCGTGCCGGATGGGTTGATACCATGTGGAGATTGGAATTTGTCGGAGATGATGCATTTCCCACTTTGCGTGGCAACTAAGTTGTTATATAGGTGACGTCAAAGGTGCCACTTAATTGTATCTTATATGGCCTCTGTGCATCGAGTTTCCGAGTAACAGATTTCTCAAAATCGAACTACCAATTTACAAACTCCATTTGAACTTCGGGTGATATTCATTCTCAACTTTGCCATGTCTCCAATTGTTTCAAGAAAGGCAGAGACCGACCCACAAAAGGTATTCCACTATACCGACCTACAGAGGACGAAGCCTACTCGTGAAAATGATCCGTACGACTACCAACCTGGGTTCGGCAACCGATTTCAGTCTGAAGTGATTCCAGGCTCATTGCCAATTGCACAGAACAATCCCCAGGATCGTGGGTTTGGCCTTTACACTGAGGGAATTACTTATTCTGCTTTTGCGGCTCCACGTCATGTCAACTCGAGCACGTACATGTATCGTGCCCGACCATCTGCCGCTCACCGTAAGTACTACTTGAGAAGCTCAAACATCCTATATGTTACCTGGACAGGAACATATGATAGAATGAAACAGAAAACAGTCAAGCTAATGGCCTCGCAGAGGGTTATGGAGACATTGAAACCAAGTCTCATATCGAGAACTCGTTTCTCTCGTTGAATCCTAAAGTTCAGCCACTGCCGCAGCAGGCTGAGTGGTCGCCATTCCCTCTGCCGAAAGATGATGAGCAAATCGATTTCACCGATGGCCTACACACCATCTGTGGGAGTGGTGACCCAAACTTGAAGCAGGGTCTTGCCCTTTATGTCTACATGATGAATACCGATATGAAAAACAAGGCATTCTGTAACACTGACGGAGACTTCCTCATCACACCCCAACTGGGCATCCTCGATGTGCAAACTGAGATGGGCAAGCTCTTTGTACAGCCCGGTGAGATTTGTGTTATTCAACGCGGAGTTCGCTTTAGGATTAACCTGGCCAACGGGAGTCCTGTGGCTCGTGGCCATATCGCCGAGATCTGGGGCTCAACATGGCAACTACCGGATCTGGGACCCCTTGGTGGTCATGGACTGGCAAACCCAAGGGACTTCCTCCACCCGGTTGCATATATCGACGAGGATTTACACATGCCCTTTACCATTGTGGTAAAAAACACCGGGAAGCTTGTTGTGATCAAGCAAGACCACAGTCCCTTCGACGTAGTTGCATGGCACGGTAATTGTGTTCCATATAAGGCAAGTTCAACAACAGATCACCATTCTAGATGAAATGTGACTTGGGTTAACAAAATGCATAGTACGATCTCACCAAATTCGTTGCTCAGAACACAGCCACTGTTGATCACACGGACCCTAGCGTGAATACTGTGCTCACTGCTCCATCTATTGACCCGCATCAGCCCCTGGCGGACTACCTCTGGTTTGGCCCTCGGTGGGATTCGGCAACCAACACATTCCGTCCGCCTTATTTCCACCGTAACAGTGCATCCGAACTTCTGGCCTGTATTTACGGTGCGGGACTTGGTCGGTCGGATGAGTTCCAGCCAGGCGGCTGCAGTTACGAAGGTGGACACACGCCCCACGGAGGATTTAGCGACGAGTATCTGTATGAGCGTCCGCTGCAGGTCAATGAACCACGTAGAATCTTGGAGAGTCAGTCACTCCACTCTCTAAATGCCATAGCTAAGCACTAACCATGAGATACCTAACAGACCAGATGACAATCATGGTCGAGTCTTCTCGTACCTTTCTTTTCACTGAGTATGCGCGCCAGATATGTGGTGTCATTCATACTCAGGGTACTGACCCCAAGGTTTGGGACAAGCTGCCCGACCACTTTTCAGCTCACCCTCTGACCAAGGAGCTGCTGGCGCGAGTGGCCAAGGACAAGGCTGAGCAGAGGAAGGCAACCGACTATTACCACTCGGTCAACATCGAAGAAGGGTCTCAACTCGTCGCCTCGCTTGCCAAATGAGACACCGGAAAATAGGTTCAGTCCTTTTAGTCATATAGTTAATTTATGCAGCTTACTAAAAAAACCCCCTCCATTTGCCTTCCAAGGTTCCATTGAGTCCATTCAGTATGTGGATCATAATAGGGAAATCCCAATGTATGCACGCTTGAATGTAATTCAGAATGTTTTTCTCGGGGTGTTTATCGGCGTACCGGGCTCATAACTGTCGAATGAGAACTGAATAGTGGATTCGTGCGAGCAAATAGGAACAGAGTAGTCAAATATGTATGTGTGTGTATTCGCAGCAGTAAAATTTGCCAACGTATGAGAGCTGACTAATAATGCACTAAACTAAACTTGGAATCAGTCCTTTGACAGATCAGATAATCATTATGGTTGAGGCTTGTCGTACTTTTCTCTTCACTGAGTACGCTCGCAAGGTTTGTGGTGTGATTCATACCCAGGGGACAGACCAAAGGGTTTGAGATAGACTGACTGATCACTTTTCTGTTCATCCTTTGACCAAAGAGCTACTGGCGCGTGTGGCCAAGAATCAGGCCGAGCACAGGAAAGCAACTGACTAATACCACGAGGTCAATATCAACGAGGGTCTGACCTCTTCGCATCGCTTGCAAAGTTAAGAGGTGGGAAATGCTGCTACATAGACATATGTTTTTGAGAAAGACTGTTTCCTTTTAAGAATATTCTATGTTTAAAATTTGCCACCTCATCTTGCATAAATGTATGTACAAGTAAAACTTCTCAAATTGAATATTATTTGATCTTCCTTTTTGGCTGGATCGACAATTTCGTCATGGTCAATTGGTACAATCCATATCGACTAACGAGTTACTCATTATCCGGAGTACTTGACTGAGTCCTTCGATTGTTCCCTTATTGAGGTCCTCTAGGAGATTGGCATACTCCAAGAAGATCATATGAGCCCCGTCATATCCACCGTCAATAGAATTCCCCATGAAGCTAAGAGGCGACTCGCTTTCTATGAATCGGCTGGCCGGGCTGTCCGACCTTCGGTCTCCTATCGCCGTCTCCGATAATGGCACGAGACCCATGAGCCCTAGACCTGGCCAGTCAACATCGTCTAACATTTCACAAGGCTCCGCATCGACCTCCACTGACTTTCTCCTCTCAGCATCGTGTTTATCGTCGTTGTTGGAGTGAACCGTGAAGATATATAGGCCTAGGACAAGGGCTGCGAGAAACACTGACACTTCGGTATGTTCGGTATGAAACATAACACTGTCAGTGATGCGCCGTCGGTTCATAGCTTTAAATATCCCCGCTGCGTGGAGACAGGCCCGCCGCGCATAATGAGTTTTGCTCCACAAAGCTATGATTTGCAGGGCAGAATGAGCATGCTCGAGACCATAGCGCCCGGTAGCACTCTCGAGAGTTTCAACGTTCACAAGTAGCTGGAGGTTGAGGAAGTGCCATAGGGTAACGCAGTTCGGGTTTTCGTATTGCAGAAATTGAGCGTAATTTATATAGACTTTTTGCAGACCGTGGCCTATCATTTTACTTGATTCGTCTTTCGCGTAGATGGCTCCAGGTACGATCAGTCGCTTGCCTTGTTCTATCTCCATAGGGCCTTGTGGTATGATACGCCGGCGGATCTCCAATATGCGAATCCAAAAAATGGATAAAAGACCCATCATTCCTATCGGAGACATCTGTTGCGCCAATGGCAGCGCTAACAAGGGCCTATGCAATTCGATCAATACTGGCGGATGGTCGATACAAGCGGTTGTATCAATAAGGCGCTTCCAAGACTTTGCAGACGAGCTTCGGAATAGTTCTGTGGAGCAAGGCAAGTCATAACGCATTGCGTGTATAAAGATAAGAGGGGTCGTGCCGAGTTTATATGACCACCAGGAGTCAGTCACAATGAGTGTGGCAACAAGTCTAAACAGAAATGCATGTATAAGCCCGGGAAATAAACTCAGAATGAGTCATGGAAAGCACGAGCAAGGTCCTACCTTTTCATACTCTCGACACAAGCCCAAAGCTTCCATTGCACGTCAATGTCACTTACAGGCTCATTTTGCAAAGGACTATTTGCTTGTGCCTGACCTAGTAACTCGGCTATTGGGGGTAGGCTCGAATGGGGCTGAAATAAGCCAGATAGTTGGGCTACCTGAGATACTGCGTCAGGCATATCATACTAACAAGGGGCGGATGAGATTGAATTGTCTTACTGTGATCGTCTGGTGATACAACATCTGTGACATCATTGTTTCTTGGTGATTCTGTTTCTCGAGATATTAGCCCTACACTATCTCACTCTCTATGTCCTATGAGAGATGAAGGAGCGTTCGTACCTTACTTGGATGAAGTGACACTGCATATAGAAGTAGAGTGGCAGCGCTGAGATTTGAGACAAGACGCTTAGAATCGTCCGGGCCAAAGTTGGGCTCTGCTAGGTCTGCACAGCACTTTTTTATTGCAATCTGGTGAATAAGAATGATCAGCAATAGCAATATAGTGCAGGCGAAACTGGCAAAACTAGCAAAACTCACCGGTAAATACCTGTCTACATACCCGTTTGTCTTTTCCGCGTTGAGCACCAAAAAACCCAACAAGCATAACGCAAATACGATGGATTTCGGGGCTGCACGCACTACAAAGGTTGGTTGGTGCAGAAATGAAACCAAGCAGTGTGTTTGCCGCAATACTGTGGATAATCCTAAGTTCAACAAGCGAGTGGACGGAAAGCCGGAATCAGAAGGCATACTCGAGCCATCATAGCTACGGCTGGTAGTGTGGCTAGTGGCGTATGACAGGCTGTCGCTCCGTTGCGGCTGCGCTGGGGATTTTGGGGCAAATTCTCGCACTAGCTCCTGTTGCTGGCTGTCGTCCAACCCCCAATCCGTATTTTGCGAGCCATTCATAGACACCATTGAAGACCCGGGGTGAAGATTGTCGCTTGCTGCAGTATTCCTACTAGGCATGATCAAACTTTTCCACAGGTTACATGTAAATCCACAATCCTGCGAACTCCATCGTTTTGGCCAGAGTCGAGACACGAGGGAGAAGCGTTCAGCTGGAATACTGTTCGTTCGCTCTTCACTGGAGGTCTCCGAGCCAGAAACTGTAGAAGAAAACTCAGAGAAAGGGAACTCCAAATATGGTGCCACGTTGGAATCAGGGCTATGGAGGAGGGAGAATATGTCGGCACCAAGAGGAGGTAGCTCCAAATTAGTGAATGTATCGTCTAATATGAGTCGCCAGTGAGCACATGTGAAACGCAAAAGGAGGGAAGTTCGGTAACCGTACTTATTTGATGAAATCGAGGCGAAACATTGTCAGATTCATGATTAATCATGGAAACTCGCTGATAGTCGGGGGTATCGACATGCCTTTCCTGCGCTGTTGGGCGATGGTGTCCTTCAGAGGATTGATTCGCCATAGGATGCAATTGATGGTGATCAATCTGTGGAACTGCAGGCCGATCACTTAACGGCGACGGCGCATTATTCATGGAATCATGCTCAGAGTGCCCCGCTCCGTTCGTACCTCTGGGGATAATCTGCTCGGCCACGGGGTTGTCATGGGCGAGAAGCATCGACGTCGAGATGAATTTGTCAAACTGAAACGCGGAGGAGAATTCAACCTGACTCAAGTGTGGGTTGGACATAAGTGCATTATTGGGCACGATATCATCGGTCATGGACGATGAAATATCTTGAGATACAGGGTTCGCCGCTCGGGCATGGACGTCCCAAAGCGAAGTTTGGTTTACTGGTGTCGTCCTTGAATCGGTTCGAGATTTGGTCCTCTTCGAATTGGCGGAAGCTGCTGGCACTTCGTCGTGCATGTATTTGACATGTCGCAGCAAGACATCACTATACGAGTAAATATGAGCGGGGAACGAAGAGAGGGCGTGGTAGAAGGAGCGTTTCAGACATCCGGCTCTGCCGACTCGAGGACGGCGAGGGGGTCTACTAACCTTCGCCCATACCGACGGTCGCAATGCGGACATGCGTATGGCTTTTCACCCGTGTCTAGTGGTGCGAAAAAATAAGGAAGTCAGTGCCGTAATCCTTGTCGTTGACTCGTCTGTTCATGACAGGCTAATGCACGACGTGCTAGCATTGAAATGCATGTTTGAGAATGGAACTCACGTGAGCGTTGATGGCGAAGCAGGTGCTCAGTCTTGTGGAATCTTCGATCGCAGTAAGGACAAACTTTCATTTTCTTTGGAGTGCGCCAGGAGCTCATCAGTCAGACACTGGGAGTCTGGCTGTCGACATCTAGGGGCACGATACTCTGGCAATTCAGCTGAGTTCAGAAGAGAGAAAGAGAGAGAGTTGTCGAGAAATCTAATAGAGGTTCATGGATTTGAAGGTTTGAAGAGAGAGGATTAAGGGGTTACTGGGTTTTACAGAGAAGACAAAGATGGGAACAGGAACTCGATAATATTGCAAGACTGATTCTTGGACGAATCATGGGGGATCCGGGTAGTTGTGCGTATTACATAATGGTCATATCATTTCCAGATTATCAACTCTGTTACAGAGAAGAAAAGAAAAAAGAAGAAAAAGAGGAATATTTACACGTCATGATTAATATCTAACCCCGGGGTTTTAAGCCGTGCTTTTAATTGGCGAATAGGATTCGGTACCATGTCATCCTGACCCACACTTAGTGAACCTTAGGCCTGAATACTGCGGGGGAACTGAACCATATTCTGTATAGCCGAGGCCCCATTGATCGGCACGGATATATCCAAGCCCTTTTTACAAGATCCGTATCCGTGGCCACTAGCTAATATCCGTAACTAGTGCTCGACAAAGATATCGAATATTCGAAATTCGATCGAATATTCGATTCATTGGTCACGTGGTCATACCAAGACTAGGATATAGAGCCCGTCACTCCAGTTATATATAACAGACATTCATTGGGTAGAATGTGAGAAGGCATGACACCCTTTCAAATTGTAGAAAAAATAGCGCACGCATTCAATTTTCAAAAACAGTCTCTGTATATACATCTCTTAATAGAACTTCCTCATCGTCTGACTATTCAAAGAATGTCAACGAACACCAATTGTATCCCGAACTTGACTGAACAATCTCTCCACTGATACCTTAGCTGAACATATGGGCGCATACATGACATAATATAGGCGGTGGCAGAATAAATAAAACGAATAAAACGAATCGAATACGAATAATGCTACCCCAAACGAATACGAATTCGAATTCGAATAATCCAAAATTCTATTCGTTTTATTCGATGCCGAGCGATAGGTATAACTTCTCGCAGTATTTTGTTGATAGTGGCGTTTACTGCGAAGGCGATATCCAGAGTATGCGAAGTCGCGTAGACCTCTGAAGCCAGGACGCTTCGAGTAACTCTCTTACACTTGATCGAGCTCCAGTGGATAATTTTGGCGTTGATGTGACCATCCTTGGTGCTGTGGCCATCTGCGAGTGCAATAACAAAGCCAATTTGCGAGCTATTATCAGCTTTATTTGCAAAGGATGCGTCTGTGAAAGCGAGTAGCTGAAGGTGTTGTCCTAGTTTGACGAAGCGGAGGCCTCTGGATTCGTTCTTGATTTGCCAACTCAGCCGTTGATTTAGTCTTTTCGCGTTTTCATTTCCTGGTTTAGTAACTTGGGCGGCGAATGAGAGGTCAAATGCAGCCTCTGGTTGACAGACTGTCGCGATATAAGATCCTCTGGCGCGTTGAGCGATGTATGAATCTTTAGAGACTGGCCCTTTAGGAACTGAAGAGAGCTTTCTGCATTGAGCTTCCTGGGAAATGATGATGGCTTCTCGAGGAACTGTTTCTTTCTGAATGATGCACCCATTGAATTTGAGGGGATGCGATGTTGACAATTTTTCTCGTCCTTTGGCTACAAATTGGGCCTGCTGGAGCATTTTCTCTTCTTTATTGGCAAAAACATCGTCTCCAAGAATTAGAGTGTCGTCAGTCTGGAGGCCAATGATGCCAAATAGGTCGTTCGAGGACAGTAAACAAGGGTCAAATATGGATTGTTCTGTCCCTAGCTGATTCAGGTGGTGGGAATGGTACGTCTTGAACCAATGGTTTCCTGCTTCAGGGATGCCATAAAGTGGTTTTACTACCTTAAGGGCAGTATTTTCCTGTAATCCAAATTCAGCTGGCGGTCGGATATAGATCTCTCGATTCAGATTTGTCGTGGATTGAACATAAGCTTGGGAAATATCCCTTAGGAACAGGTTGTAATTGACTTCTGTTTCTGGCCAGAGTTTCATGGCGGCGATGCAGAGAATAAGTCTCTGGCTTACTTTCTGAATTGTGTGCGCCTGAGTTAGAACAGTCTCTTTTTCCTGGTCATTGTAGGCTTGAACTACTAGTCTGGACTTCTCATATGCTTTATCTGTCCCTTGGTGCTTGGTTTCATCAACGAAACGGGAATTGAACAGTCTTAAATTCTCAAAAATTTTGGTAACAAGCTTAAAGACTCCTTTTATAAGTAAATCGTCGATCTCCTTTTGTCGCGAGGCCTGAAACTGTGTCTTGTATTGTGGTTTAGACACCTTTATAAAGGTAGTTGGCTCTGAAGTTGTTTCTGAAGTTGGAGTTGATGTCGTGTCTGGATGTTTTGGAGCGAATTCAGGGTGTCTCTGCGCGTCTAGGTATGGCTTTACCACTGTTGTTCTGAATGGTGTTGGGCCGATCGGTAAATTGATGATGCAGGTTTCTCCTTCTACTGAGAGTAGTGTAAATGATCCAGTCCATTGTCCTGTCTTCTGGGCATTCACTTCTCTCCATAGTAGAACTAGAGAGTTCAGGGGTAGCCCATGGATTGCCGTTGTTATCGGCCCGTTTCGTGTATTCAGGGCATCAGAAATCGAACATTCTGCGCGAAGTTTCTGAATCTCTGCCATAGCCTTACTGATGGCAGCTGCTCTCTGAGAAACTGAGGGCGATGGCGCATCTAGTTCGGCCATTCGAGGGTATGCGCCGAAGGTGAGAAGGGTGGGAACAAGACCATCGGGCCCAATACTATCGTTCAAGGCTTTGAAAGCCATTTGGAGAGCCATATTGTGAAGGGATCGTGCCTGCGTCCACGTCCATCCCACTGAGCCAAAAGACTATAATGATTTCGCTCTCAAGAAATCATACGCAGGTTCTACTTATATAGTGCCACTCTTGATCCTACACTAAACATCATTTGTCAAGGTATTCTTTTAACCTATGACACATATGTCTGTCGATTCTTGATCCTAGCTCTGCGATAATGATCTGGTAGACTCGCCGAAGTGGTCCATGATATCGTTCGACCATGCCGATCGAATTCTGGGCGTCCACAGGAACAGCTTTTATGGAGATTCCTAGTTTCTTGGCGTAATATTTGGAATCTCTGCTCACAAAGTTCTTGCCCTGATCATGTGTGATAACATCAGGTGGTCCTTGGTATCCTTGGTATATGTCTATCCAGCATGAGCGGATGACGTCCCAGGTGTGCTTTGCGGAGATATTATCAAGCCATCGGCCGGTCTGGAATCTAGTAGCCGTCGGAACATGGATATTGCAATCTTGCAATACCATAAACCCGGAACGGAACAAACAGACCCCCGAGTCACGGGGGAACGACTCTATTAGGAACTCAAGTAGCTACATGAATCGAACACATTTCACACCACTTTGCACAACGTATATACTAAGAATCTAGGCCGAACCATAGCCTTTTCCAGTGTATATAGTGCAACGTGTGAACCCTTTCCTTTCAACGTAGTTGATCGACAGTAGCTTTATCGACAATATGTAAAATTGGCTCTGATCTTCTGTTGTTTTCCATATACATAATATCGACGATGATGTTATAGTTGAATCGAACATCATCACCTTGAAGCTTAAACCGGAAACGGCCTGGCGATCTGCCAAATTTCTGACAGTGTTGGCAGAACTTGGCTATCTGCTCTAGAGCTTGATTTTGGATATCGTGGCCAGATCTATAAAGGATAGACTGGAGCTTTAGAACTGATGGGTGGCCAAATCGACGATGTAGGCGGCGAAGTTCTATGTCTGCAAGAAGGCATTCGGTGCTGAATGATGATATGATATAGCCTGCGACTGCTTTCTAGAGCAGAAATGGGTGGCCGAATCGACGGACAATTGGGATTGATTTTAGGCTTTTTGAAGAGATAATGACATTCCAAAGATTATCATAATAGAATCCAAGTCGATCCATATCTGCAAGGCAGAGTAGAAATAGCGTGTCTGCATGAACCACATGGAATTGGATTTCGCCAATCGGGGTGTGGATAAGGACTGTGCCGATCGAAGAGGTCGCTCCAATTCCAAATTTTACAGAAACTTGGCCAGCTGAGGACGTATTGAGATTGATATCGATGAGCTTTTGGAGGGCTTGAATTTGGCCATATCCGGCTGTAGACTTCCTTAATGCTCCAGTATCGATCATTATCCCAACAAATGCGTCTAAATTGTATCTCGTGGTGGTGATGGTGGTGTATGTAAATGGGTCATTTTCAGTGGTTTCTACTAGAGATTTGATAGCCGAAGACTGACTGGCTGGAGACTGGCTTTCTGGGATAATCGAGTGAAGATATGCCCTATCAGCTAGTTCAGATGTCATGGTTTCTGCTTCAAATGGTGTCATTTCTCCGCATGAAGTCATGAAGTTCTCTTCTTCTTCATCAGCCTCTCCAGAATCTCCAGAATTAGCATCATCCTGGGTTTGAGGTTCAGAGATAAGGGTTTCAAATGGCTCTGAATCTTCTTCTCCTTCGCCATCTTCTCCTTCGCATTGCACCATATATTGTTTGAATCGTCTCTTGAAGTTGCCAGAGCCACCATTCCGCTCGAGTGATTGTCGATATCTCTTTCGAGCTTGTTCCTGTTCGCCTTTGGTGTGTTTCCATGATAGATAATCTGGTTGATGGCAGATATAACATTTCTTCTTTGAATTCCATCTGCTATCGCGTTTTTGACTATAGGAGCGCTCTCGCTGACCGTTTCGGTCATTCCGATAGTATCTCCGGTCGGTGTAGAATGCTTCATGGTTCTGGAGTGTCTCTTGAGGCCGTGAATTTTCCTATGCTGTGATTGAGATTCGTATCTTGGTAATCATGGAGTTTGGAGCCCTATAGTATGAAGGAGAAAGCGGTCTACGACGGCAGAACCATCTGGTACCATTTATCTAGAAGTTGTGATAGTTACAGAATGAACACCTTTACACACCTCTTCACTTTTTGACTCCCTACCCTCACTGAGCTTTCTTTTGCAGTTGTGGTTGGTTTTTCTAGCTGAATCGACCTGCACGCTGACTGTGCTGCCTAGAGCGTTCCCCATTTTACTATCTATTATAAAGTAACGTTTTGATCACATGACTGCTTTGTTCCGTATTTCAACAATTATGTTCTTGTATTTAAATATGGAGTTGAATTTGATGCGTTTATTGAAATTATTGGTGGGGTGCCCGACCGGCCGGGATGCCCAACCGGCCGGGAATTACGTTAAACCCATCTATCTATTAGAAATCGCCTGTATAATGCAATCTATAAGGATGAAACATGCAAAAGAAATAACAAGAGCAAAACAGAAAACAAGAACCAACCACCTGCACACTTCACACAAGCAAACTATTCTGCCTTCTTGGATGCCTTGGTCCTAAGCCTCATCATCAAGTACACAGTGGCGTAAGAGCTCAAGGCGAAAATGACGCAAATTCCAATATCGCGCCAGCCATAATAGTAGTGTTTGATATTTAAAGTGCCCAAGTAGTCTTGTCCGGTGGTGTATTCGCAAACCTTGCAGTCCGAGGTGGCGGATGGGTTAACAAGATTGGCAGTAGAACCAGCGGTGCTGTTGAGATAGTCGGTAAGATATGATTGACAAGTTTGGCCACTAGGCGGATCAAACAAAGCAAACTCTTTCTCGGCGCAATTGACGTCCACGCCCCAAATGGCGAAGGTGAGAAGAGAGCCACTGATATAGGTGAATGGGTTGAGGTAGTAAATCCAGTACCGCCAGAAGGCTGTAATCTCAGAGTAAGGGACAAGCATGCCACAGAAAGCGACGAGGAAACCAAGGATGAGAGGATTTGCTAAGGCTGCGAATGTTGCGTTGGGCGCGTAAGCAGCGATGAATTGGCCCATGCCGGTATAAATGAACTCATATATCCAAATGATGAAGAAGTCTGCGCCAGCACGAGACGAGTCACTTGGAAAACCAACAGTCCAGTAGTAGCACACGTAATAGAGAACTGCACAAATGCATAGATATGGGAATTCCGAGACGATCAGCCCAGTGACAAATGCGACCCACGAGTACATACGGCTTTTCTTCTCGCGAGCGTCATATATTTCACGACGGGCAATGAAAAGAGGTTGTAGCTGACTGATAACACCGGGAGAAATGAAAATGACATTGTAAATGGCGAAAAGACGAAGCTGTAGATCGCCTATAGTATCTCCAATTTTCCAAAAAGTAAATCCATTGAATAGACCTAGAATGATGTGGAGAATCAATTTATTGTTCACGTAGCCGGTGTTCCTGAACATCGCAACATTCATTCGTTGGGTCACGATTTTGATCTGCGTCATAAGAGGTGTTGCGAATTCATTTTGATCGTTGTCAAAACCTGGCGGCTTAGAAGCTGCATCAGATACAATTTGATCGAGATGAGAAACCATGTATTGATGCTGTGGTGACTCCAGCCACTTCTGATGCCATTCGACACCAGGTAAGATATTGCCAGAAACAACATCAATCATATACTCAGCCGGGTTAGTTCCTGGAGGACACGGTGCTCCAAGGTTACCGAAATATTCTTTAATACAGGAACCGTCCTGGCCAATATCGCCAAGATACACCATTTTACCACCCTTCGCGAGAAGAAGTAGTTTATCGAACTGCGAGAAAAGCTGCGCAGAGGGCTGGTGAATTGTTACTAACACGGCCTGGCCGTGATCAGCAAGTTTTCGTAGGAATCGAACAGTATTAAATGCAGCCTGGCCGTCAAGACCAGAAGTGGGCTCGTCAAGGAAAATCAAGATCTTGGGCTTTGAAACTAGTTCGACTCCGATAGTGACTCTTTTCCTCTGCTCAATGCTAAGTCCTGCGCCGACTTGACCAATCAGAGTGTCCACAATATCATGAAGTTCTAGGAGGTTGATAATAACGTCGACATACGCAAGCTTCTCTTCTCTAGAATACTCTTTTGGTTGTCTGAGGAGGGCAGAAAACTCAAGAGCTTCTCTGACTGTAGCATACGGTTCATGTACATCAAGTTGTTCACAGTATCCAGAAGACCTCTGGAACGAGAGAGGGAGTGGGCGACCGTCGACAAGGATACTACCATGAATTGTGCCGTCAGTTTTCCGTTGAGCAAGGACATCCAGCAAGGTAGTTTTTCCAGCACCACTAGAGCCCATAAGAGCAGTAAGTGATCCTGGTTCAACCCAACCATAAACCTTGTCAAGTAGGACTCGATCTCCAGTAGGAGTTTTCACGGTATAAGTCAAATCTTTCCATGTGAAAATCGATGAGTTACGTTGCAGGTCCCTATTGCCTTCATCTTTTTCGTTAGGTGATGTTGATTCGATCGCGCCCTGGTCCATAGCTTGTAACTCTCTCTCTTTGGCTCTCGCATGATGTTGTTTCATCCTTTCGTAAGGGATAAGCATCGAGGGACCAGATTCCGAGCTATCGCTCCATGTCATAGTAGCAGTAACCGTGACGAAGACATTAAACGCCCAGAATGCCCAGTAAAATCCAAAGTTTCGCCAGATATGAGTATGCGAATAACTCATAGCATCGAGATACTGATCGCCGGTGACGAATGTTGCACCTAGAACAGCGCCAGAAACGCCAGTACACGCCTGGAGGCTAGAATCGGTATAGCCATCACCTGACGGGATCAAATTGCTGCCGATGCATTGAATGATCTTGCCATGGAATTCATTAGCAGCAAGTGCTTCGAATGCATAGGCGATTGGGTTAACATAGAAGATCCAACCAAACCACATATGCATTTGTGGTCGCTCAATCATGTATCCTGCATATACGATAAGGGCTGTGATGAGGAAACCGGAGACCTTAGAGGCACCGTCAAATGTCGAAAAGACAGCTCCAATTCCACGGAACATAGCCACCATACATATCGTACAACCGAAGAGATGGACCCAATAAGTAAAGAAGGCTCCAGCAGTCATCGTAAGTCCTGTCATGAAGTACAGAATCAATGAGAAATAGGAGATCTGAAGGAGATAAATCGGGATATCAAGAACAATCTGTGAGATGCAGAAGGCGACAGGGTGGAAGAATGCGAAGTGTTTTTGCTTCACAAGCACTGGACGACCATTGAACGATGCGACAACTTCAGCAAGAGGTGTCAAGATGCCGTTATAGATAATAGCGAAGAACATGGAACCGGACTTAATAAAGAGACCAGGGCTGTCCGAGGAGGCATTATAGAAAAGAGAAGCAGAACAAAGCGCTTGAATAAGTGTTGAAACTTGTTGAATCAAAAAGGTGGCTTTGTCGCCCTTAATGATCTGATACTGGCGAACGATACATGCCAGAACTTGATGGTAAAGACCAACAGTGAATATGGTTTTTCTGCCGAGGAACTTCTGCTTCTCCATGGTGACAGTTTCTTGGAACGCTGCAGTACGCTCTATAGCTGTTTTCGGATACTCCTCCTCCTCTTGACACATCTGTTGGAAAATGGGAGTGACTTCGTACGCTGAGCGAATATCGCGGGCTGTGCGAGGAAAAGAGCTTTCATAGCCGGGTGTGATCTCGCGTTCAGTAGGCACTGTGACACCGGTACAGTAATCTGCCACATTTGCTCCTTCACGGCAAGTAAACCCATTCGCTTCAAGGAATGGTCTTGCTTCAGACATAGGGCCATAGTAAATTTCTTCACCTTCATCCAGGACCAGGACCTTCCAAAATTATTCGAGTTAGTTTTATTTCATAACTCCATCTCATAAAGTGTGAGAAAGACTTACCTTATCAAACAAGTCATAGATTCCATTTCCGGCCTGGTAAAGGGTAACAATGGTGGCTAATCCCAAAATATCGGTAAGGGTTCGAATGAGTTTTGCCCAGTCAAGTGCCGAGCTTGCGTCTAAACCACGCGTGCTGTTATCCCAACAGAAAACTGACCCTCGAGTGGCCATACATTCAATGATAGAAACACGCTTCCTCTCACCTCCAGAGACTCCACGGACATACTCGTTACCAACCTTCGTGTTGGCGGTGTGTGTAATTCCTAAAGACCGAAGGAGAAAGTCCTTAAAGTCTTCACGATATTCTTTGGCGGTAGGTAAATCGGTTGGCCTGTTAAACGGAACTTTGTTCTTTGTTGCGAAATCCATCGTGTCGCCAACAGATAGGGTAGGGAAGAAAATCTCCTCTTCGGTATTCATCACGATCTGGCCTCTGTATGCTTCGGCTTCTTTATGGTCCATTGTTCCAAAGCGAACATCCCCTTCAACATCATAGGCACCGCGGCGGTTCGCTAGAAGCTTCAATAAAGTGGTACATCCAGAACCAGGACGTCCCAGAACCAAAAGCATCTCTCCAGGCTTCACGCAACCATGACTGTTTTTAAGAATCTGCTTCTGGGCAGGCTTATGGCGGAAAGCTCGAAACTGGTGCAAAAAATCGAGTTGGGAGATAGCGTTATGATTGATGGCCGAGTCAGCTTCAGGAACCGAAACAGTAAGATTCCTCCAGCTAACACCTAATTCACGACTCTTTAGTCCAGCGGAGAGCTCTCTATCTTTCAATTGCTTGACGTCTGCGCCAAACGCCCAATCTCCAAGTTCCGGGTCGTTGCCACTAAGCTTGTCGATGGAAACCTTTTCGGTGAAGTTCTTAAAGGGGGTCTCAACATTCTGGGAGCCGTTTTCGAACGTTTCGACGATAGTTGCACCACTTCCATTCAGCCTAGGCTGGTTGTATGGGGTGTTTGCCTCCATGGTTGGCGATGTAGAGTCAAGCCAGAGGAAGTAGACTCCTTTGTACAAATTTCAAAACATGAGAAATTCGCCATTATAAATAACTGAATGGAACCCCTAAGCAGAGAAAAATCGGATATACTGCTAGTTCTAATATGATTATATCCGAAGTAATGTGGATCTTGATATTTGACAAGTTCCGTGTCACGTGAGACGGAAGTAATGCTGCACTGACCTCGAGAAGTGTTCGGGTGCGCTCTTGGAACTGCTAGAATGTGAAGCCATAACTAGGTCACCTGAGGAGTTGAATTAAACTGACTTGTTAAATCTATCTCGAAAAATGGAAGATTGATAGCCCCTGATAGATTATGTAGCTGTTATTAAATTTAGACCCGAATCTTAATCTATGAGCTGTTCGGAAATCTATACCTATTATAAAATAGCGCTGATTTAAGTTTTGCTTAGTGTTCGGAGGAAAGTTCTTCTGTATCCACTTATATTCATGGATGTATCTGATTTCGAGATTAGCCTATCAAGATATCAATGATTATATCCGAAGTAATGTGGATCTACACTTGATACGGAACTTAATTGGCGCTATTCTATAATAGGTATAGAATTCCGGACAGCTCGTAGGTCCAGAATCGGTCTAGATTTAATCATAATCTATCAGGGGCTATCGATCTTCTATTTTTCGACGAAGATCTGCAGGACAACTCGACCCTACACGCTCTGTTTGTCTTCAAGGCCCTCATCTTCCGCGGCGTCCCTATCAAGCAACGCCCGAAGCTCAGCTATGACACTAAGAACTTTGTGTGCGTGCACCCTCTTCAACTTGCGTACAGTGACCAACAAGGACCTTGTGGGTGAGCCCGCGCTGGAGGGCGTGCACAGTGATGGAGTCGATTTCACTATGACAACCTTCCTGGGTAGCGAGAACATGACCAGCGACAGTGCTGTAACTTTTTTGCATGATATGCGCGCGAAGAACGCCCTACGCTGGGATGAAGTCAACCCCGTGCACACCATGGGCAGTTACCAACACCGGGACTTCTTGGACACATTGCTCTTCGTCGACCACGAGAGGAAACACAGCCTGTCTCCCGTCCACGCTGTTGATCCTGCTTGGCCTGCCACCCGAGACATGCTCATTTTCTTTACGCGTAAGCCAGTGGTCGAGGGTCACATCTCGCACCCCTATGATTCGCTGAACTCTCACCACTCCCTATGCGGGTGGAGTTGGTGTAGGTGGGTCTCTACGTCATATACTAAAAGAATTTTCTCTTTTCTTTACCCAAAATGCTCATGTCTTTTCATTTGTTTCTGTGGCTGATCGTCTATATTTCTCGGCTTCTGTCGCTCGCTTGGCGATATTCGAATATCTTAACTGAGAACGGTGAGCTCCAACGAACCACTACTCAACACCGTAGACAAACCACCAAGTGTAGTGGTCTCTACAGTACTGAATATTGTGGTTGTTGTGAAGTCTGATTTTTCATTGATGAAAGAACTAGCTACTTATAGTACATGGGCGCCCCTCTGCTCTGAACGAATGTCAACATTCGTCCGAGACAGAAGAGACGGTGAAGACGGGACATTACTGTCGCGGATGCACATCGCTCAAGGGTGTCGTTTGCGATGAATGCATATCGTTCAAGGATGCCGTGATATACTAATCCAGTTCCGGAGTCGCTGTCTCGGCAGAAGCTTTTTCGGCCGAAATACTTTCCGTCTGTTGATGGCCTTGTTTCTCGGCTGTCGCAACAGCTTCGGAATAAGAAAAAACAAGAAAAAAAACAAAGGTCTGCAACAGTGCATATGTGTGAAGGACAAATACTAATCTTGAATGCAGAACTAGTGATGCCGACAAACTGTCTTCATTAAGCTTGAAGAGAAGAGAGAGACTAGCTATGGACATGTGGCAATATAAGGGATGCGGGTGCGGGAGGCACGTGACGAGCATAAGTGGCACAGGCATGAATGCTAAAGCAGGCACCAGCCTGTTACAATATGCACGCCAAGAGAAAGTGGCGTTTGTCGGGCGGTTGCTTAAATAGCAAAAAGGAGATCCGGGGTGTCAACGAGTTCGTGTAGATTACGACCTAAACAGAATACACTAGGTAACATTAGTAATCAAGAGCGACTCTATATGGATCCTTGGGAGTGGCAGTGCCCAGGACCTTTCCAAGCTCTATCTCAGCGAAGAACCCCTTGAAGAATCCTTCGCTGCGACACCAGCTACTACCTCTGCGTTCTTGTATACCAGCGGAACGACAGGCAAATCCAAGCCATGTATACTCTCCCACGAATACTTCATTATTCAGGCCACACTCTTGATGGAAAGCTGCAAGCTCCGGACAGAGGATGTGCTCTACTGTCCATTCCTATTATTCCATGTAGATGCAACTGCACTCACCGTTATTCCCACTATTCTCCTTGGTGCCACCACCGCTCTGTCTCCCAGATTTACGGCAAGTCGATTCTGGGACGAGATCCGGGAGACCAAGACAACAGTGTATGATTTCATGGGGGCGACTCTGGCCTTGATCTACAAGCAGCCCCCGAGCCCACGAGATCGGGAGCATCGAGTTCGGCTCGCCTAGGGCTTTCTAATTCTAGCGTTTGCTGAAGATTACGAGCGGCGATTCGGTCATCCACTTCGTACCTTGTATGGTAGTGTGGAGGCTAGCATCCCCATTGTGCAAGAAGGCCCTCTTGTTCCAGGATCCTGTGGCATCTTGCGCCCAGGGTACCAACTCCGCATCGCCGACCAGGAAGACGAGTCACTGCCTCCTAATACTCCGGGTCAGTTGTTGCTGCGCAGTGAAAACCCCAATGCCTTCTTCCAGGGCTATTTTAATGACCCAGCAAATACGGTCAAGGCGTATGCCAATATGTGGTTGCACACAGGTGACATCGCGAAGGTGGATGAACGCGGCAATGTCTACTTTATTGGCCGTATCAAAGACATTATTCGACGGCGAGGGGAAAATATCAATCCTTCAGAAGTGGAAGAGGAGCTTCTGCAGCATCCCGAAGTCGTCATTGTCGCTGGGTTTGCGATTCCTAGCGAGCTGGGAGCGGGAACTGAAGATGATCTGAAGGTCGTGGTGAAGCTACGCAATGAGAGCACAATTGATGAGCACGCCTTATGGCAATGGTCGCAGAAGTATATGGCACGGCAACAGGTACCCACGGTGATTGAGATCGTGGAAGAACTGAAACAAACGCCAACTGGGAAAATCGAGAAAGGCTCGCTGACGACAGAGGGCGGAAAGAGGTTTACAACGCGTCCCGCAAGACTCTAGAAGGCTTTTTCACGAGATAGCACGGCATCACGGTCATTGAGCATAATTGAACTTCAATTTTGGTAAAACATCTAACTAAACCAGCAGAATATCCACTCTAAGATCTCTCACCACATCTCTCCAGTCTGAAGTAATACGCCCCTTATCTATCGTGCTTTCTAAGTGCGCATTTTCTCTCTGCCAAACCTCCTCGATGATCCGTTTAACGGGAAGCCTGTTTCCGAGCCCAAAGTGAATAGATCGCTGAAGTCACTCCCGCGCCGAAGCCATATTCTCTTCTGTGTAAGCTTCGACCGCAGCAATGAAAGCTGGCCACAACGAGAAGTTCCCGCTACTCTGGGCGCAGAATGCGGAAATATTTTGAAATGTCAACGACACATATGTCGCGACACGCTTCGGCGGGGCGTCCATCAGCGATCGGTACAAGTAGATATAAGTGGTGTAGATAAATTCGTTGAGCTGGTAGCGTGCTAGATTCTGTACATGAGGAGCGGGCTGATCAGGCTCGGTGGAAAGAGCCAAGTCGATGTCTGGGTGGAAGGGTGGGCCGTCATTGGCCTGTGCCTGGAGAAGCCCTAGACAGGTCAGGACGTGGGAAACAGCGCGGTCGGCATCAAACTGGGTGCTGGCCGGTGGGTCTGATCGCATCTGCTGGCTGACGGTGGCGATGGCTGAAATACATTCGAGAAGGGATTTCTGGGCCCCAATTGTGAAACCGAACTATGGAGTGGATGAGATAGAGGCGCCAAATGCAAGTTCGGCACTGACTGGCGAAGGAGGAAGAGCGTCTACTGGAGTTGAGTTGTCTGGGGAAATGCGATCCGTTACATGTGGAAGACCGAGCATCAGCGCCAAAGGAGAGTGGGTGCTGTCCGTCGAAGTAGTGCTGCTGATAATCCCCACAATCAGCAAGCTCTGGATAGAGAAGCATGCGAATCGGGACTGGTTCCAGAGTTCATTGCTGTTGGAGTTGAGGAGAAAGGCCCACGCTCCCTGTAGGTGGTGCTTCCACTTTCTGGATTGGCCACTGTAGACCTAAAGATAAAAAGTAAGTCTATCTCTATCTCTATTCAAGTGGGTGAGGTAGTTCTTACTTCTGCCATCATCAGGGTCATGATTGCCGCCAAGATGGGCCCAGGATCCTTGTCCGCAGATGTCTGGATACCCATTATTGACGTGTTGGATGGAAGTATTATAGTGCCTCGCGGCCAAGCGCATCATATTTGCGGTGCCGCCGCCTAGATGGGCTAAATTAAAGGCGGCATGGTACAGGGCTCGTTCTCCGGGCACGGAGTATTTCAGTGACACCGAGGGATAGTACAGCTTCCAGGGGTTCCAGGGGTGCTCAAAGGGCATCATGACCGACGCCACATAATTGACGTAGTGATGAAAGAGGAACCTGTCCTCGCTGTTAGCGTGCCTCGCGTGAGTACCACCGTTGGCCAAGACTAGGTTGACTGTTGACGCTAACGAGGTGGGCGGCATCGCTGGTAATACTAGAAATGGGTTGTGGTCGACCACTGCGGGATACGGGCGCTTGTTCGCCTCGAATTCGTCGCATTGTGCGATCAAGATATCTAGCACGTCGGAGTCGAGAGGGGCACAATTCTCCCATGTCCGTTCTGTTTCGGAGTGAGCCGAGGCTTACGATGAGTGGCAGACTCAGAGGTCACATACCACAGTACATGTATCGCCGGCCGGTGGATCGATAGGATTGATTTCCATTCAGCTAGATGAGGCGCGTACTGGAACTATCACACTGCAGCCCTAGTCGTTGACACGCCGAGCACGGCAAAGCTTCGTCGCACTTCACCTTGCGTTCTCGACAGCGCCAACATCCCTGTTGCTTAATTAGATAGTTCCGACAGGGATTGCCGACACACTCACCGTAAACTCTCTCCGGCGTCGCGGGGCACGGATGGTCTTCATGGTCAAAGGAAGGAAGGCATGTCATGGCGAGGGATTGGGGGGTCGATCAACTCGGTGACTACTACAGGCGGCACCAGGTATCTCTACGGTCGCGTCAGGTAACCGGGTTTTTAGCGCAGTCTTAGCGCCACCAGGTAACTTATAAAAAGGTTTAGCGTGTGAGTGGAAAAATAAACAAAAATGAAAAAACACGAAAAGTGGGCTTTTTCCTAGAGAAGCAGCAAGCTAGTCTCTGTTTTGTCTTCTGTCTGGTTACCTTTCGGTAGCTTATCCGTGGCTATCTATTGATACGGGGAACGCTCGTAGGCAGTGCAGTCAAAATGCACAGGTCGATTCAGCTAGGACTTAGGTGTCGGAACTGCACTAACAGTAGGGGAATGGGACTCCGTAACAGAATGTCCCGGAAATGAAGGTAGATGTAAACAGTGGTCTAACTATGGGACGAAGTCCCATCTATTCCTCGCCAACGATACTGCCGCCGCTACTCTGACCGCTCACTACACCGCCTTCCCAACCCATAATACTAAGGGGGTACTCCTTCCCACTACACTATTTAGCAGCACTTAATAATCCCCTAAAATCAGAATGGTAAATGGTATTCTGTTACCTTATTCATGATAGCGGCGGTGTTCGTAGGTTGAGCCGTTGCTAATTCCCGGAAGAAGGATAATATCGCGGATCACCATATGGTGTACCCTCTATCTAAGGATTCTAGTTCATATAGGGTGTCTAGGAAGTGAATCGGAGGGATCTCGATGCACTATTACTTCTACGTTGATACGTGGAGTAATTATGCGGTAAGATATGTTGCTCATTCTAGGTTAATCGGATATGCCATTCACTTCCCGAGTCCATTCACTGCAGTAAACCAGATTCCATTGGTTCCAACAATGATTCTCTAAGAGAATTCTATATTCTTTGAAATCAAGTATTAGAGATAGAAAGGAGCCCCCAAAAGTCAGAACCACTTCCTGACTCGGTAAGAAATTCTTCAAAATTATGGAATGAATCTACGGTCAGCGCCAGGTCCATAAAATCTGAGAAGTCATCGGTTCTTTCGTGAATTGCTGAACTTGAATTAGCCCATCTGTTCAATTGCCCTCTTAACTGGTCTCCGTCTTGGCTTGTAGATGGCTGGTTAGCAGCAGCGCTTGGAGTTTGCGCCATACTGCTGGAGACCCCGAGCCCGGACCAGAGACCATTGATGAGGACGTCTGCCTTGGCTACTAGATCACGGGCCACGCTAGCCGCGCTCCTTGAGACGGCGACATTATTGCTCCCAAATATTTCAAAGGCAGCGACGGCCTTGTCTACCGCCTTACGGGCCGTGGGTGTGGACGGACCGATGGGGTAAGCCAACAGGAAGCCAATCATGGTCACGGTAGCATTCCACTGCCACTGGAACGCCTCATGCCAGCCATTTAATAGGTCTGTCTCGCTGAGCACCTGGTGCATCATACAGGTGTGGGCGATGGCATGGTTGATACAAGCGGATGCATGGGCATCAGCCATAGGGATGCCAACGTCATACTTGCTCGAAAACGTGATGAATACCCGATAAAAGTTCATACAAAGGGTGTGGTAAACAAGCTCAAGACAGATGCGCTGTCGCTGGAGCCATATAGGAGCATGCTGGTCTATTTCTAGTGATGAACGATCGGTCGAGAATGGTCTACCCCCGTCTCTACGTTTGGTCTTGATCCCCTCCGGGACTGCATTAAGCCATCCCTGAAGGGCACCCATATATGAGATAAGCGCTTTAGCACAGTCCTCAAGAGTGTTTGGGTCTTCGTATGGTCTGCTGAGTCCACGCGAACGCAGGATTTCCTCATAGTCGTCGTAGACGGCTTCGTATATCTGGCGGGCTACCGAGACGAGTTTTTGGCACTCTACCGTGTACGTGAGCCACGTAACATCAGTACCATAGTTTCCTAGAATCGAGCCACTAGAAACGGCGATTTCCTGATCTTCCGATGGCAGGGAGCATGTCACATCTATGGTCTGGAAAGAAAAGCTACGGCCTAGCTTCATGCACGTCTTCGACTCTACTGTAGATAGCACCCACCAGACCCGTCTTCGCAGTTCTCTCTCTGCTGGAGGCAGGCTGAGCGGGGGGTCGAGATGGAGGCCTAAGATTTGAGCTGTCCTGACGGCCAACGCCAGGGTGCTGTGAGCCATGTTCTGAAACGATGCGCAGCAGAGATACACGACAGTATAGATGTGGCACTGGAGCGCTGTGATGGATGGACTCTCGAGGTCGGTAGCTAAAAGAGCCTGCGCTCTTCGATAAAACCAGCGGCCTGCAATGGTGGAGTCGTTTCGGTCTATCTCGGGCCCGGATGGGATAGATCCACTCGGCAGCAAAGCGCAGCCATACTGCATGCATAGGGCGAGGATGATGTCGACCAGCGCGGATGGCTTCCGTATACGTGCCTCGGTGTCATCCCAGAGGCTTTGGTAGTGTGCCCTCAAGTCTCTCTCGTCCACAATGGGCATTGTGCAGTAGTAGAACTGCCAAAAGAGCCCTAGGAAATACTCCTCTTGCGTTCTAGAGAGAAAAACCTGGTCAGAGGCTGGGTAGCGCCTAGGTGGAAGGTCCTCGCCGCCGCCTAGTACCACGACATCAGGGGTTTCTGGAGCGGAAAATGACTTGCTTGCTGAATGCGGCTGCAACTGCTGGTCGAAGTAAGGTTGTTGAAGCTCCTCGACGAGACACACATTGACCCGATTGAGAAAATAAAACGAGGACGACGGGCCGTAGTACGAGCTCCGTTGCGACCGAGCAGTCCTACAGTAGACTCCTTCCCACCTCCTCTTTTCAAAACGTTTATGATAGGCCGCAACACCTGTAGCATTCTTGATTACATTGTTATGATCGAGTGTTGTGCTTAAGGGCCCGGAGGAAGCACAGGTCGTAGCGTCCGAGATATTCTCGTTTGATTCTGTGAGAGGGCCACGCCCATGGCCTGCGCCGGTCTCGAGGTCCTTTATTTGCAGCCTTAGCTTTTCAATCTGTCTATAAGATTACCGAGTCAACAAAAGATTCCCCGGCGCACGTCAAAAACAACGACAGCTACCTTAATGCGTGGGGCAGTGACCGTATCTCCGCAGTGTTTTTCTTTCTACATTGACCGCCCCGCTGCTGGCAGTTTTTACACGGAGAGTAGGCATCGCATTTGATGCGGTGCAAGCGACACCAATCACATGCCCTAGACACTTGTTTCCGTTTGGGTTGCGCATTCCCGCGTGATAACACCGGGGCTGTTGTGCGTTCGTCGTCCTGCTCGGAAGGACCAGAAGACACGCCGATGAATGAGCCAAACATGCTCGCTGATTGAAAATTTGATTTCTGCTTAATGTGAGGATGTAGGAAGCGAATCTTACAGATTCTACCATCTACCATCGATCTCCTTCAGTCCGGCGACGTTGTACTCCTGAACTCCGGGAATCGAAAGAGGATTCGGAATGTCCATCTTTGTACTAGTAAGTGAGCTTTGACATGTTGATTGGTCAGATCCCACACAGAGCTGCTCCACTATCTCCGAAAGGAGTTTCTGGAAGAAGTTCCGGAGTTTCGGCACCAACGACTCATTATAAGAAAAAGAGAAAGGGAGAGGTACAGAGATGGTCAAGCATATAAATCGCGTCATTCCACTTGAAAGATGAAAATCCCACTTCCGAAGAAGTTAGTTTAGACAGAGTGTAACTCGAACACAGTAGCGAAATGCCTTCAATCGCGGATATAGAAGACCATTCTGGTATCGACACGACTATCGAGAGTCCGATGTCGCAGCAAGATACAGCATTTAAAGAAGCCATCGGTGAGCTCTCCAGCAACGAGAGCTTGCACAATCCTGAAAGGACGATCAGGGGCTTCCGCTGGTTTCTAGTCTGCATCGCCATCTTCTCCGCCAACCTCCTCTACGGACTAGACACCACTATCTCGGCTGACATCCAGGGGACTGTTTCAAAAGCCTTTAACAATGTGACGCAGCTGGGGTGGTTAGGTATTGGGTTTACCCTCGGCTCGACTGTGGCCATTTTGCCGCTGGGCAAGGCGTATGGTATCTTCGACACGAAATGGCTGTATATCGGCTGCTTGACCATGTTCGCCGCTGGTAGTGCTCTATGTGGCGCGGCACCCAGCATGAATGCCTTGATCATCGGACGTGTATGGGCTGGTGTAGGGGGTGCTGGCATGTATCTTGGGTATAAGCCCTCTTACTTTCTTTCACTATTATTTCGGATCTCCTTCGGTTTGGCAAGTATGCTGACGGATATAACTATTCAGAACGCTTAACCTTGTTACTATCACAAGCACCTCTCGGGAAGCAGCATTCTACGTTGGATTGATAGGCTTTGTCTATGGCGGAGGTTGTATTCTGGGGCCGATTGTTGGCGGTCTCTTCGCAGACAGCGGCGCTACATGGCGATGGGTACGACTCTCCCTGATTCCCTATTCCTTCTTGGACCAGAATCTTGCTGTGTTAAAATTCACTACATAGGCTTTTTACTTGAATCTCGTCATATTTGCTGTCACCTTACCAATCTACCTAATCGTGCTCCCTTCCTTCCCTCGTGAGGCTGACCGCAACTTTATCCAGAAACTGAAAGAGCTCGACTGGGCCGGCATCATCCTCACGGCGGGTATGTATTTATGCTTTGTCCTCGCATTCACCTTTGGAGGCGCTATCTGGGCCTGGAACGATAGCCGTGTGATAGCCCTAATTGTGCTCTTTGGTGTCGTTACCGCTTGCTTTGTCACGTCGCAGCATCTAGCATTCTTGACCACTAAGAAGAACAGATTGTTTCCGTGTGACTTTCTACGCAACCCGCAGCTTGTTCTGCTCTACATCTGCATGGCATGCGGTGGTGCGGCGTTGTTCGTCGCCATCTATTATATTCCGCTCTATTTCCTGTTCGTGTACGGCGACAGTGGCGTGCAGGCTGCAGTGCGCTTGCTCCCGTTTGTCTGTGTATACGTCTGCTCCATACTGACGTGTGGTTATGTGATGCCTCGCGTGGGTTACCACATAGTATGGTACCTTGTCAGCGCCATTTTTCTGATTTGTGGAGGTACCGCTATGTATACTATTAGGGCAGACACCTCTCCTGCCCACGTGTATGGCTTCTCTGTGCTGGTTGGTCTGGGCCTTATAGTCAGTCAGGCCAGCTACTCTGTCGCTGCTTCGAAGGTGGACGCCGATCGAAGCGCCGAGGTCATTCAGTTCTTCAATATCTCACAGGGCCAGAGTCAACTGCTGGGACTGGTCATTGCGAGCTCAATCTACCAGAGCACTGCATTTGACGGCATGAAATCTGCGCTGGCTGGTCTGGGGTTCTCGGACAGCGAGATTCAGACAGCCATTGCCGGCGCACAGAGTGCCATTCTTGAACAAATCAGCCCAGAGCTCCGTGCCAAGTGCATACAGATCATCGTCAGGTCAATCGGGTATGACTGGTTGCTGGTTGTAGTGGCCGGTGCGCTACAACTGATATGTGCACTCTTCTTGACTAAAAAGCGCTTCTAAACTTTGAGAAGGAATTGCGGAGCGACTCTGAAGCTGGAATATAGTTCTAAATGGGGCTTGGTCTCTATCTTTGCGGGTCTCCTTACCACTCCCCTCTCTGCTCTCTATTCTGCCCGTCTTACTATTGCAGGTATAACCTGCTAACACCATGATACTAAGATTCAAGCATCATGGAACGAATTTATATAATGTTAAGAGCTTTACAGACCTACAGGATAAAGGGCTTAGATAAAAATTGCCAACAGAACTGGAGAAAAACAGGCTCAGATTACTTGCTTTCTCGGTATACTGAAGCTCAAAATCAACACTCGACTATTATTGTAGCTAATGGAAAAGGTGCCCTTATATACTACCACGGAATATATGTTCTGGTCTTGGCTCTCAAACTATGTTATTAGCTGATGCGCATTTCTCTCTACGTCAATCAGGATCTCAGGAACTATTTCCAGCTTGAGTTCCAGCTTCAGTGCTGGCTCTAGTGCCAAAAATATCATCAAGAGTAGCTATAGCTATAGCTTCAGCTTCATTATAGCAGCTACAGGAGTGCTTCTTCTATGGCCAAAGCACTGAAACTAGAGGATTGAATCATGGTTGGGGCAGCTATTATCATCGTGCACTCATATTTACTATCACTACTTCCAACAAATAAAAGATGAATGCCTTTTTCAAAGGATAATATCGAAGAACAAGTATCCCTTCTTGTAATCTATATGCCTATCATCCGATAGCATATTCAATCATTTACTGAAGTATGGGACATTCATCCAATTTGAAAGCAAAGAAACCGGCCAAACAGTATTCCGGGGAATCTAATTTCAGAAGTGATTTCGGAAGGAATAGTTAAGGTTGGAATATAGATTTCTTATGATTACATTTAGTCTAGTTTAAAACATTTCATCATCTATTTAAATAGATAGCCTAAATCCTAATTTCCTTCTCTACTAAGTATGTAAGGGTTAGAGTCAAATACGGTTGGGCTACCGTAAGCAAGAGAAGAACTAGTGTGAGAAGGCTACCAGAAGACAGATGTGTGTGGTATCCCATAGGGCTTAATCCCACTAGGGTAATTAGGAACAAGAACAACTCTTGAAGTCCTTTAAGAGTCCTAAGACCTCAGGGAATTAAGTACATCAGGAAGTGGCAAACCTCTAACTAACTCACTCGGGGAATCTCTGTTCCCTCAGTGATCGCCGGTGCCTCTGGAGATTGGTATTCGCTACCATCTCGAGGCCGATCCTTGGTCGGCTCACAGACTCAGCTAATCCCTGACAGCTAGTCAAGCCAACTTGTGTAGGGAGTCCATTCCCCTTCTCAGCTTTCTGGCAGCTCCCAATCTAGTTCTTTGTTATATCTCACGCCGTTACAAAGTAGTTCAACTCTCAATCCAACTCTCAATCCAACTCTTAATATGGCATTAAGAGAGATAAACCCAGATCTACTAACTATTCTCCTTACTTTGGTACAAGTTTCAGTATTAGCTTCAGTATAAGCTATTCTTACTAAGTCTACAGCTCCATCTACAGCTTCAATCACTACTACGTCTACAACTTTATCACTGTTGGTACAATGGGAGTTGAGGTATCCGTTCTGATTGGACTGATACTCTCACTCCTAATTGGACCGACCAGCCCCAAGTGGGGCAGAGGAGTCTCTTTTAGTTCAGGAATAGATAGACTGGAATGGGACACACTTTACAACTCCAGGAACACGTACGTACAAGCATACCTACTGTGTTCAACGAGCGAGTGTCGCTCCCGACAATCACTACTCCATCTATAGCTTCAATAGCTTCTACAATTCCTGCACAATCAAATAGCAATACTCGATTTAGTGAGTCAAGTCGTGCTGCTCAAAGTATTCGGAGGCGTTATTTAGGTTTACCTAGTACACCTCCTCGTCCACAGTCACATCTACAAGAGTCAATTTTACCAATTACACATTGTCAACTCCATGTGCAGCTTTACATTTGGGAAGGGGAGAAAATATCAGACGTCTTAATATATCTGCTTCTCCAACTTTTCCTCTACTAATGAATATCTCTGATATTCCCTACTTCATCAATCATAAGCCACTTAGAACAGGATGCTTCCCTTATGATATATTACAGCAGGCTAGATATCAAAGGCGACTTCGGGATAAATCTCTACTCACTAAAAGCGTCAACGAAGTTGGGCGAGGAAGTGGGAGACATCTTATTCTTGATCTTCTTGTTGAAATGGATCGCTTTATGCACCAGCCCATTAAAGAGCTCTGTCAACAGCTAAAAATGGATAAAAATATGTATCAATTACATGTTCTCATCTCACGTTTTAGTAGCCTAACACCATCCAATCCATCTCCAAGGATATCTCCAGTACCATCTCCAGTGCCATCTTCAGTGCTATCTCCAGTGCCATCTCCAATGCCATCTCTAATAGTATCCACTACTAAAAGGGGGCGGCCAAGCACACGACAAAGCCAACGAGTTCGGAGAAAACGGGAATGATATAGCTGCTTTAGTCAATACATTTTACTTGTTATTTTACTTCCTTATTCTATTTACTTCATTATTTTAGTATTAATAGTATTTGAAGTTTGATTTAGTCGATTTGGGGCTATCCACTAGTAATATAGAGTGATATGTGATACGGGTATTCAAAGATTCTGCCAGGTGTAAGATATGTATTCTGTTTTCAGTTTTATGGGGTATTTCGCGGTGGCATTTACTAACCTCCGTAATTATGTTACAAGGTGACACGATTTGAAAATTGGGTCCGGAATCTGATCGTCATTTGAGTTTCCGGAGTACATAGGGTGGGCCAACCCTAAGGTACGCAGTGTAAAGGCAGGGTTTGTTTCAACTTTACTCAAACGTTCAAGGTGCAGGTCTGATTCGATGGCTCACATGGCAGCGGGCGCGCTCCCTTATTCCATAGTGGGGCCATTAGATAAAATATCACCTGTCCACTACTCCGTAGCCTCGACTCCTCATTTCTAATTTACCTACCCCCACTTATCAACTTGGCTGCGCACGCTTGATTCTTCGAAATATATTTTCTTTTGTTTGAATCAAGACAATTGTGGTTCCAATCTGTAGGCAGAAACATCTGCTTATCCAAAATTCTGATGTCGGAAGCTGTTCAGAAAGTCGAGAATTATTCGTCGCCGTCTTCTACCAGATCCAGAGGCTTATGCAAGACACGAACTCGATACTCGAATAATCCTTTTGAGAGAGGCTTTCGGACTGGATGTGCAAATATGACCAGTAGTCAAATAGCAGAGGTGAAGGAAGACTTTGATCTATCGAAAGAAGACATTCGTCTCTTAAAAAGCTCAGAATGGGCGGAACAAATGCGACCACTCTGTCAGTGGGAAGCAATAATCAAGGTTGGATTCATTTATATTTGAAAAGGAGCAGGAGCTAATGATTACGTAGGAGCACGGAATATATCATGAGTATTGCAAAATTTCTGCCCAGGAGTCTGGAGATCTCTGCCAAGATCTATTGCGCCAATTTTTTGAAAAAGAGGCTCCTGAATTACTAGACACTCACAAACTATACGAAGAGTGCATGGAATCGGGTGACTGGGGAAGGTGGAGTGCCAGTGGCCGAAAATGTCAATTATAAAGGCTAGCAGTAATTTCTACCGTATTCAACATATCTTTACCAGCCACTTGATAGGAAGCCATTTCTAACCTATAAACAACATTTTCGACGGCTTAATAATGATATCTCTTATTAGGCAGGCCAGCCTATTGCGAAGACTGAGTTTCTAAGGGTAATTCACCCTGTGCGAGGGAAAACCTTTAACCAAAAAATCATTTAGGACTCTTTTAAAGGGCGCAGTATTTATCCTGTGGATAGTAAAAACGTCTTAAGTAAGCTCCCTAATCAGTAGGATGCGATATCTGACCTTACTAAATGCCCTGAAGACCTGACACCATCTTCGCCACCATCGTCTAGTATTGAAAACACTCCTCCAAAAATCACGAAAACGCTTTAGAAGAACCAGCAGAAGCTACTTAAGCATATGGATCTCCTTATACCAAAGCTACAGCGTGGTCTTATATGTCTTTACCACCATTCCCAACTACTCCAGGAAAAGCTTAAATTTTGTAAAGATATAGTTGAGCATATTCGTGTTGCGAAAGAATCACTCCACCGCCCAAAAACTAAATGTCGGTTCACAGGGATCTTGATGCACTATTACTACTACGTTGATACGTGGAGTAAGTGTGCGGTAAGAGTGTGTTCATTTTAGGTCCCCGCGATGGAATTGGATATGCCCCAATTCCACTAGTTCTATTCACTTCCCGAGTCCATTCGCTGCAGTAAACCAGATTCCATTGGTTCTAACACTAAATGACAGCTTAAAGGGCTTCAGGATACTGGTATAATATATATAAGTGATGTAAATCGCGTAATTGCAACTAGAAAAGCGAAAGGAGGTGCGGTAAAAGAGAGGAAGCGGGAAAAATATTATGAAAAAAGATATGGTCATGAGCCACCACAACAGGATCAGGAAGAGGTTGAGATGGAAATAGAGGAGGAAAAAATAGAAGATACATCAAGAGGACCTGACCATCGTTCATTAATGGCGGCGATAGATAGAGATATACTCTATTTTGAACGGATGCGGCGTCAATATAGAGAATTGGCAGTTTGCCGCTGCGGTTGGTACACGCACTCCTTGTTGCCTGAAATTTATGGTGTCATTACTAAAATGATGACAAATTGGACACTGCCAAGAAATGTTGCTCCCGGCTGACGTCGATCGGTTCATCTATTTCTCCTCTCCTTCAAACTCCGTCAACCTTCAGTCTAGTCCATCTTTTTTGTTCTCTTTACTGCCACATCGCTTCCATTCTCGCCGCCTTGCGTCCGGACCTGCCATCTTTTCTCCTCACCAGGGAAAGGCACGTACTTGCCACCGGGCCGCTGAGTTTGGAGCGCGGTCTGCTGTTCAGAGTGCATGCTTGTGCACTAAATTCGAGGCTTCAAAAGCTGCCCACTCCCCTATCGTCGTTTTCCAATCAGAGTCAGGGCTGCTCGACGTCGACGCAAAGCCCGGGTGGGCGGGTCACCCATTTATTGGGGGTTCCGATTTATTGTCTACAAAAATGTCGGTCTCGAAAACGGCTTGGTTCTTAACCAAGTCCGCTTTTGTTTGTGCTTCAGGCTCGGATATTGGTTGTGAATGTCGCGTTCGTATCGCTTGCGATACAGAGCATGGCAGGGGCTCTCTGTCAATTCGATACGAAGCGGAGCTCGCAGGTCTTCCTAACAGGCGTCCATTGACTTTCCTTGTTCGTCCGCAGAACCTTGATTCATTTATACTAACACTGGAAAGTAACGAAAGTTTGATTCGACCCGATCATCTTAGGTTCATTCCATCTACGTCGGTTACCAACACTGCTGATATCTTGACTTTGACCCTCGCTCTCAAAGAACCTGGCGCCGTCTTATGTCCCAAAGAGCTCACGGTCTTACGCTCAATAAAGCCTAATGATAGCAACTTCCAAGCATTTTTCGAAATATGTCGGAGCACCACCATTCGTATCCACTTTGCCAAAGCACAATTCGGGTTTGGCAATCCTGGTCGTAGGAATGAAGTGGTGCAATTGCAGCTTTTTGTTGATAGTTTGAAAAATGGACTCCAAGCGGAAAACATAGATATGAATCGTCAAGACCGCGGTAGGGGTGTACAAGAAGGAACATGGCGTTTGTTTGATATATCGATCGTTTCCCCCTCCGATTTTCTTTCTGGTCTTCCTCAATACCCAAATCAAGTTGAGTCACTCGGCCCTTCACGCAAGAGGATTCGACAAGGTAAAGAAACTGTATCATCCCGTTGTACCTCTTCTCAACTCATATATCTTCACTTACAGCCAGTCCCTCAAATGAACCTCATGTGAAGAGATCTTTTTCCTCCACGACACCGCCGCCATACTCCCCTACCGAAGCTAACACCCCGACTCCTGGCACAATCTCAACCTTCACAGACGATTCAAAGTCTCATGACATACAGAAAACTGATTTCACCCGCCCACCTCCCTATCGATATGCCAGCCCACCTTCTGTCACGACAGATTCAAAGCGTCATACAGACCCACAGGTCTTGCTTCTTGCTAGTATGCTCAGCGCGGTGCCAGGGCATGTCCTCCAACATGCTTTGATGCTGTCTGGACACGAGAAGTTATTGCATCCATCGCTGGTTCATAGCCGTGGTGCCTTTTCGAAAAGCACACTCGTTATCAATAAATCTGCAGTCCAAAACATGCCCATCGCCGACAAACAAGAAACTTGGCTCGAAACATTCATCGATGCCCGATTTAAACTATGCGCCGATACACGCCTCGCCCCGCTTGTAAAAGAGCTGTTTGCATCAGCAGTGGACACTCGACTCAAGGAATCTGTCGATGCTGCCTTGCCATCGCATATCAAGGAGGCTCTCGACAAGGCTCTCGACGATGCTATGGTCGAGCATCAGAACCAGCTGTATTCGGACTGCAGAGAAGCCGAGGTCGGAATTCGTGAAATGGTTGATGACGCTTCTCTCGAGATTAAGATGGCACTTGAAGACAGTCTCAAAGAAATTGAAGCTCTCGCTGAAGATCATCTTCGTAAAATGGCTGAAGAATCTGAGACGCTTCTAGGCAAAGCCGACACAGCCGAAAATGAGCTCGATTACTTAAGATCCCGTTTTATAAAGCTTGCTGAGTCCATTCTTCATCGGCATGAACTATATAGTCAGAAGATAGAGACGGAACAATCGAGATGCAGATCTGTTTGAATCATGCAGTAATGATTTAGGGCCATTATCTTTCAGTATAATAAGTGCTAGTAATATCACCCTATCCTTACCTTATTCTCTATAACACGTTGATAGCCGATGATATTCTATTAGGCAAAAAATGACGAAAATCTATACTTTAATATTTGGTTTTATTGTAAGGGTGTCTGACAGATAAAGGATAGATAAGATGAAGCTAAGAAGGTATGTTGTATTCAAGACTGATTCTTAAGGAATCAGGAGTAGATTCGAAGGAGATGCGGGTTTTAAATAGTTGAGGAATGATTAAGTAATTCCTGTACATCGGAAGTACTATGATAATTATTCCCTCCTCTATCAGACATATTCAAATGGTTTTTTTCGCCAAAAATCCAAACCCATACTCAACCAAAAACCCATTTGTTTGCCAAGCCCTATAATTCATGTGACGTATTTCCTATTTTTGGATTAGTGTTTTACTATTTAAGACTAGTAATTCCTATTTAGGATTAGCTTAAGACATAAGCCAGGGGTGCAGGCATCCAAAACCCAAACCCAACCCATTTGACCCATTTGAACATGTCTAGAGGATTTCATTAGATAAAGATATGTAGTTTCCACCTAGGTTTGTGGATTTAGCAAAGCAGTCATAACAGCTGTTCCCTAGGATAGGAGCTATAGTATCATAGTACAGGTTCAGGTGTGCTATGGAATGGAGTAACTGTTGCGACAGCCGAGAAACAAGGCCATCAACAGACGAAAAGTATTTCGGCCGAAAAAGCTTCTGCCAAGACAGTGACTCTGGAACTAGATTAGTATATCACGGTATCCTTGACCGATATGCATTCATCGCAAACGACACCCTTGAGCGATGTGCATTCGCGACAGTAATATCCCGTCTTCACCGTCTCTTCTGTCTCGGACGAATGTTGACATTCGTCCAGGGCAGAGGGGCACCCATGTACTATAAGTAGCTAGTTCTTTCATCAATGAAAAAGCAGACTTCACAACAATCGCAATATTCAGTATCGTAGCATCCACTACACCCAGTGGATTTTCTACGGTGTTGAGTAGCGGTTCGTTGGAGCTCACTGTTCTCAGTGACGAGCGACAGTAACTATATAGCGTACAGTGATATTCAATAGGCTATCTGTAAATAGACAGTGAAACTAGCAGGCAGGTTCAGTGACAGGACATAGCTCAAAGAGCTACGTTCGGACAGTTCCAGTATTTACATGAGGTTGTGGGTCACATGCTGCGGCACGGACCGCGCTACCGCTCTTATACTAAGCCCTTCTACTTGGGATTTTATTCGTGATATGATTTCGAGCAAGTCACTGACCACATACTACATTGTTGATACTATCAGATATAGCCTATATTCTATCAGAATCATTTATCGTAATCTGTGGCAATTTAGGGACACCAGAGCCACTCCTACCCGTGTAGGCTGTTTAACAGCGTACAAAGGAATAGGGTATGGGGGAATGAGACTTCCCTTGGAACGATACGAGGCCTTATCACGGTAACATGGAAGCACTTGATGGTTCTGGGTGAGAGAACTTATGACTTACCGAGGAATCCTGGGGTACTCTCAACATTTTTAGGATTATAATCCGGCGTGCGCCGAAGTACTTGGAGCAAAGTCTACAATTGCTTCTAAAGCTGATTCAATCAAACATTCTGTCTCTGTTGGTGTATACAGCCAAACACGAAAACCCTAAAGCCAGATGGACTAAATATTGGTCAATCTCGCTGAAATGTCGCCTGTGACAAATTTGACGGAGGCCGGTAGGGCAATGGCACATGGATTACCATCGCCTGGCCGAGGTCGGAAGTCAGTGCTGGACTCCCTGTCGGGGTGGTTAAATATTATTGTTTCCAGGCTGAGAATGTTTTCGGCGACATCTCTAATGTATGCCGCTTTATTAAAGTCATGCATAACGTTCAACGAGGGCTTTCGCTTTTCAGCAACCCATACAGTCTCCAGGCATAGCGTGCTACTTTGGTCCCCAGATTCATTAGGCTTGTCACAGTTTCATCAATTATGAGGGCATTAGAGACATAAGTCGCGATCAGGGAGAAGTTCATATGCAGGTATGACCAACCTGCTGCTTCAACGAGGTTATCAAGCTTCGTAAAGATCGTAAGATATGATTTGTGGACAGAAATTAATTCCGTCGTCTTTCCCGATCTATTATCAGTAGCTCTACACCCGTGAGCCTCGGCTGACATCACTCACTATCTTTCAACAACTCAAACACTGAAAAATGAAAAATAGTCTCTACTGAGCTTTGCCCAAAGTTTTAGGCCAAGTATCGATGCTCACATCGACATTTGGAAGTTCACTCATAAAAGCACCACATTTGACCGAAATTCCCAAAGGGCTTACCTTTTTCCCATTTTCCGTCGTGTGGTCAAGAAGTTTTTCTGGTAGGACAATCTGTTTGATATGCTGATACTTCTTGCCAAAGAGCTTAGAAAGCCGCACAGTGGTATCAGCACTCTTTGCTCCAAGTGAAGTTATCTCCTCATCAATCAAATCCCCCCTGCTAAACCATAATTTTTCTTCGCAAGCATTGTACTCTGGGATCCACGCTTTTGAGATTTTATCGAACTCCGTTCGTTGGGCGAAAATGACGCAATACCTGAAATATTGAAAAGAGATGTCAGCCAATGGATGGGGCTCTAGCTTTTACTCTGTGATGGGAGATTTTACCAATCTCCTTCAACTCCTGGCCACCCTCCGAGGTTGGGCGTGAGGTAGACACCTGCTCCAAGTTGCTGGCCACCTCTTGGTTGTGACCAGACGAGTGTTTTGGCTTCGGTGTAGATTGCAGCTTGGGCCTAGTACTCACTTGGTCAATAAGATGCCCTACGTGAATGGAGGCCAGAAGTTTAATGAAAGTTCTTACCTTGCTTACGGTTCGGTAGCCGATGATAATATTCTGTGTTGGTGTAGCTGTTGAAAGACCAATAAGAACTGCTAGAAGCAGAGATTTCCATGTGACCATCATGCTTCCTAACAAATGAAGAGAGACGTATGGACGCCGAGGTGCAGTTTTACCGAGATAAATATAGAATAAAGAGTATCGGAAAAAATTCATTACACTCAAGTTCTTTCTAGGTTTTATAACGTTCAGCACTGGGGCCGGTGGGCTATCTTCGGCGCTAACTTGGTCTGTAGCAATACGTATATTCCTTCAGACCTACTACACCCAATTGGGAAGAAGAGGATATTGAAAGAGATTCTAAGGCTTCTCTAGTGGGGAAAAAACCGTAACACCCGGGCACCAATATAGTCATGCGCGGGTTATAGGGATCCCATTTATATCCATGCATAGTTGAACTTGGTGGCCTTCTTAGATCTTAGATGGGGCAGAACCTAGTATAATCTCGAGGTGATATGGATCTCCAAGGTAAAGGAGAGTATTTCAGCACAAACATCAGAATTAGATACATTCTGGAAAGCGCCGGATCAAACTACTATGTATGGTCGGTCTATGACCAAGATGACATTTAAACAGGTTAGGGGCTAAAGGAATGTTAACTACGTAGGACTAGCTTTAAAGGCCTTTAGGAATATGTTAGCTAAATTGGTAGCATAGGTAAATTTAAGCTGTGTTCTAGAAAAGGAATGCACAGGTGGAGTTAGCTCAAGTCTTGGACCGATTCATGGTGGGGGCCAACTTTGCAAGGCTTGAAGGTGAATGCTCATCACAGATACTGGCAGAATAATTGGAAAGTGATCTTACTAAGACTCAGAGTTCTTCTATCGTACTATATTATTCCTCATTACGACCCAAGTGGATCACGTGAAACTACATCCTTCCATTCTTCGAATCCGCCTGAGCATTTATAATCAGCCACTCTCCACAAATCGTCTCCAAAATCCTATGATCTTGGTGAAACAATCAGATCATCATGGAGATCCTAGAAGGGGACCATGACACAACCAAAGTCTCAATCTTTTGCAATAATATATGGTGGTGGGACTCTGACAAAGAAAGTCAAATCACTTTCTGTGAAAATGGCACGGGCCGTGTGAGTTTGGTTCAAATTTCACTTCAGTGCCTGTTCGTCACTAACGAAGTAGCAGCTAGTCGCCCGTCGTGAATTCTGCCTTTTCATTGTATGCGAGCTTCAGTGGAGATTCATAGATGATCCAAATCACAGCAACGTCGTTGACATCGGAAATTCAAAAGCTGTAGCAGAATTCAAGGTAGAAATCTGCCTATCGAAGAATAGACCATCTAAATTCGGAAATTTCAATCTGAGTGATTGGGAGATAAATGAATATCTACTAACCGACGACGCATTCTTACCCCAAAACTACCTTCTATCCCTCGATAAAGGGACTTTCATCACAGTCGATGATACCGTGAAAGGGAGACGTCATGGAGCTCCAAGATATTCATATCGACTACTATTTGACAGGTCTCCTTACCCTTCTCGTCAACAATGGAGGGATCCAACAGGTGCGCCTGATGCATTGAGGTTTTGGGAGTGGACGGAGTTTTGTGGCGGTGAGAAAGTGGATGCAGAAGATGAAAAGTTTCACAATCAGCCTGGAAGGATGAAATCCACTCTTCGTGCTTTACGAGAGGATTGGAGGAAATTGTGGCCATGAGAAGACTCGGCAATTTATGAAATGCCTGCTTAGGTATTTAGGTAGTTTACCAATCAAAGATTAGAAGTCGAGCTGAGCTCGACAAGCTCTACTTTTAAGTTTCCACTCGAAGTTATTTAAAATGTGGAGTTAAACTTATCCAGAGAATATTGAAGGATCAGAGTGTCTTGTGGACCACGGATAAATTGAAAAAAATCTAAAGATGATCGGCTCTTTATACGTTCAGACGCCATATATGAGTGGGGTTGTATTACAAATAAATTTGAGGCTAGAAAGCGTTTATTTAATTCCCGAAAGCTAAATAAGGAACATCGATTTGATATTACGTCATTGCGTGTTTGCACAATGACTAGACTTCGAATCTGATTTTATTCTACAACTCGTTAAAGTGAGATTTCTAGTAAAATAATGCATACAAAATGCGCGTAACATTGTCTCTGAAGTACTAGAATAGAGAACTTTGAAATATAGGGAAAAGTGAAAGAGAGGATGAATCCATTCTATGGACTACATTGGAAGCTAAATTTCAGGCGAAGAGCGGCAAAGCTGGCGCTGTTGAAATAATAGCATGCAGAGTCTTGGAATAATCAATATCACTGTCAACCCCCAGATCATTCTGGTTCCATAATGTCTCGACAATACTTTGAACCAAGGGAACATGATTTGATAGATATAGTGGTTCTCGTCCCGTCTTGTATATAACGTTTAGAATTGAAAGGCGTTGCTCATCCTCAACAGCCTCGCAGGCTAGAATGATAATCGGCCACGCACTTTCGCAAAAGCCAAGGTCTTGCAGAACCAGAATGCTTTCCCTGACTAATCTTCTATGTTGGAATGAAGAAGTAGGTGTCTTGAGCACCGCGCGATTCAAGTATATCAACCCAACACATCGGTAGAGATAGGCTAGCTTTTGGTGTCTCGTCAATGGTTCTTCTGAAATGTCATGAAAAGTTCCCTGTTCACCAACGGCAGCTTGCAGACTCTGTTTGATATGCAAAGTGTGTTCAAAATCGGTTCTATTATCGTAAAAAACCTCGTTCCCATCGCACCCCAATGGTCGTTTGCATATGATTCGAATCAAGTCAAGGACTTCTATGGGACATGTGATTCCGCTTGAGAGCTACAATTCAGTCAGTCAATGCCAAGAAGTAAGAACTATCCCGGAAAACGACTTACCGCAGATCCATCCAATGTGGGCCTGTTGGGATGTATCGCTAATGGACCTTTACAAAAACTATCTATGGAGCCTGCCTTGGCCCAGTACCGCAGGCTAAACTCCGATACTATTTCGTGATAGTAGATCCAGTCCATGAGAATCGCAGTATCGTCTTTATAAAATTCAATGGTTGTAGCTGAGGAAGCAATGAGCCTCTTTGCGCCACAAAGATAGATAGACCATATCTTTCTTGGATTTGTCGTCATACATACCTAATTATATGGAGTTAGTGCTCTCGAATCAATCATATCGTAGAATATAGGGCGATACTTCATATTGATACAGAAGCATTGTAGCAATTAGGTTTTGGAGCAAGTTCTCTCTATCATGCTGCATAAGGTTTTCTCGTAGCATTGAGACAAGCTGGTGCTGGTGGATTCTGCTCTTTAAGCCTCCTTGAAGCTGGAGCGATGCTATAGTGAGAATACCTTTGAGGACGAGATTGTTTGGAGTGGAGGGGTTGGACAGCGCAACTCTCATGATAAACTGAGCCAGTGACTCGTCTATTATGGGTGTCAATATTTGAGATTTGGATTGGTTGACTGTATAATTTGTTACTCCTTGTGAATAGAGCCAGTAAAGTTCACATACAAAAATCCAGTAGAAGTGTATCATTCCCTTCCAGATGAGAGGACGGCAGATAAGGTAAATGTGGTACCTTCAGGGTGTCAAAATACAGAGCTATTTTGGATTCATGTTAGGTGCAAATGTGACGTATTGTAGGAATCCATAGCAGATAACTATTACCAAGATCTCTTCTCTCGATGAGTGCATCTGACAATGAGACATCCCAGTAAGAGGTATTCAAGAACACACGGTCACCCTTCTGCTGCGACCGTGAATTTGCTCTTGGTCTCGCTATATTGTGATTGACTATTGCTCGTCGCTTGTCTGTTTCCCGTGGCCAAGATAGCTGGATGCCAAATCCGCGACAAGTTTGACGCGCCTTGGCGCATTTGTCGCACACCGGTCGGTTCAAATCACATTTCACTTTGCGCGCTGTATTAAGTTTCAAACAGAAGTCAGTTTCAGCCTGATTCAAATATGAGTAGAGGGTGAATTGAATGTTACCTCTACACGTCCAACATCCTTTGTTTCCCATTGTCGAAGCTGTGGTAATGATTTCTTGGTGTAGGCTGCTTAGTGCTGCTTAATGCTGCTTAGTGTTCACATTCATAGTAGAAGAATTACGTGAGCAGCTGGCAAAAACAGCCTTCAAAAATGGGTTATAGCAAAACTAATCAATGTAAACAGTAAATTACTTGTGATTCAGTCTTCTACAAGTTGCATACGATTCAAATGTGGTATCGGGCCTGCTGACAAACCGAGGGCAAGTGTTTCCGAGCGGGGATCGGAATATTGTTATTCCGGTGATTATTAACCTCCGAAAGTTGGAGATGTTTGGCAAATGAAGTAAGATATGGTGTACTTCATATCATTAATGGTATGATTAGAAAGCTTGTAGTCAATGGCACTCATGTTAAAACCGTCCATCACTTCATCTCCATTTTGGGGTGGCGCCTAGCTGGTCAGGTTGTGGTGTGTATCATTAGAATCAGCATCCGTTGGTGTAGCAGCATCATTGGTGGTGACGGCGACAATGATGGCTGCAGTTATAGTGGCTGCAGACTACAACTCCGCTATTAATTTCCCGTATCTTTTGCAGCAAGCGCTAACCCAACGATGAGCACCATTCTCTCGTAACAAATAACATAATCCAGCAAAGTGTACCGTTCTCACGTGCTGGGCCAATTTTTTGCTGGAATTCCTTCCCGATAACGTAGTTAATGGAAGCAAGCAGAGGAGATGAGAAGATGGGGCTGGCCTCGTAGCCTGCTATTAGCTGAACGTTTCGACGATCGGGCGAAAATCCAATTTATCCGTTTCACAGTCTAGAGAAGGCAATGGATTCCCACGCCGCGGACACTCTGTACGGGACAATGCCTTGCTAAATCAGATTTTTCGTTCGCATCCAGGTTCACTGGCTTCCAAATGACACTTCCACTTTTATTATATCTCGTTTTTCTATAAGCTGTTGAGGGCCAACTTGGTTTATTTAATACATATTCACTGCTCTAGCTACTTCGTGTCCAGGATCATCCCCAACTCATGGACTTGGACAAAGCGACTGGAGATAAAAAGAGATTTATTGTCGTGATAATAGATGGATAATTACTTGAGAGGATAAACAGATGGCGGACTAGATGGAAGAGAAGGAATAAGTTCCTAGGTTATCATAGGAAGTCTGCTAATATAGGTACTAGTTAGTAGATAATAAATATATTTACCGATGATTAACTAACTAAACCTTGGAAGGTAAATGTTAAATGAAGTGAGCCTTGAACGTGAAGTAAAATTGAAAATGTAAGTGAGATTTCAAATCTTATTCCATGTTCTGGAACTACTTATTTTTTTTTAGATAGCTATGAAAAGGTTGTGATTACATTTCTAGATAGCTGAAGAATTTATTGAATGTTGGTTGTCCCTAATCAAGTATCCCTTACCTCAGCATTGGTAGGTAGATATATTACAGAAATACAAAAGAAATCTACGCAAAACATTTTAATTGGTTATTTGTGTATATACAAGAGACTAACAAGCTGAAAGATGAAAATGCCCCGAAAAATGGGCAAACCAAAGTGAAAATTGAAATCAGCTCCTGGATATAAACGGAAAATTGCTGCTCCAAGATTTGAATAATACCTAGTACCCGAAGTATCAAGTAAATGTAAACGCAGAAAGATCCAGAGCTTCCAAGCCTTAAAGCTAGAAGTAGCTCGTGATTGAAAAGTTGAGGCTTCAGCCTTGAAATTCCAAGGTTCATTGCCCAGGTAGGCTTGACCCGTGATATAACTTTTGAGCTATAAAAACCTGGGTCCCGAGCTGGACACCTACCTAGGTACCTTGAGCTATTCAGTAGGTACTTCAAGAAGAGATATATCGGCGCCATGAAACTGGTCCAGTGGGAGGGCACCGCATCCAGTCATTGACAATTAAGTAGGCAGTGTTAAATATATCGACTTGGTCCTGAAATTCACCAGTAACCGGAATAGAGCAGCAATATCGGATACTCCGATTCTCAGGCCAAAGGGTAACCGAGCCGTCGCCATAGGAAATGGCTGATCGTATTGTCCTGGCTAACTCAAAATTGCTAGATAACCAGTCCGCAGGCTCAATGAAAATATTCACATATCGGGTTTGTTCATTTGAGTGAGACATGTTGAACATCTGAGATCCTTGACTTTGACACCTGGACGATGTGTTTTATATTGAACTTTTGTTTGGGTGGTGTATATTTCGGTTCTGGATTTGTCTTGAGAATCAAGCGAATCGAATATCTTGGTGAGTCTGAATGTCAGTTAATGAATTCAGGAGGATTAAATAGATTCTATTCAATGTTGAAATTATTGTAGAACGTAGCCCCTTGAACTCATTTCATCTGACCTGTTTCATTGTCCAGGCGTTAATTTTGGATGAAAGATTCAAAGATTCAAAGATTCAAAGATTCAAAGATTCAAAGATTCAAAGATATCCTGATTATCTCTAACCTTGGAAGTTGCGTTTCAGTTGCCCAAGATTCCAAGGTCATAACAATGAAACCTTCTTTGAATATTTAACTGTTCGATTTATGTTGTTGTTCAATGGAAATTTCAACCTGAAGAGCGAGATGGTTTTGATATCTCGCTCACCGTCAGACATTCCCGAGTTAGATATCATTGCTAAATTAGATGAGCAAATATGGCTTAGAGTATGATCAAAGGAAAATCCTGATAGAGGGAATCCATATAGTTTCAGTCAGTGAAGTTCTATGCTCATTTTACTCGGTGACCCTTCTTTGATCCTGACGATACTATTCAACCACAATGCTAAATCATTGTTGATGCTGGTAAATATCTCATGTTACGAAACTGTCTCATTTTTGAAAGGCTAGATCAGTAAATTCTATAGTCACTCATAGATTGATCAAGGCCAAAGATTGATATCTCCAGTGGGTGTTGCTCTTTGCAAAGTTACAACTGAAAAAGCACCGACGATCATCACATGACAGTCCTCGCCATTGACTTGTACTTATTTCCTGCAGTCAATAGTGAACTCTTAATATTTTCTTCCAGAATTCCAATCTTTTGATGACATGCAGACCCGAGTCAGTCAGCGGCTTCCTAATGCCAATCCACTCCCATACACAGCATCGCCGTTTAAACTTCTTTGGGACGACATCTGTCTCGGTCTCCAGTGCGCGTTGTCACTGCCAGGACTGTTCTCTCCTCTTCGACTAGGTCAGACACATAAACTTGATGAGGCCTATCCGTCCGTTCGGAATTACTTTTGCATTGCCGTGCATATCTACCTATTGATGTACCAGTTTTTCTTTCTTCTGTTTATTCCTCTCCTCATTCTGCTCACACTTCCCACGACATGGATACTTTTATATATTACAATTGGGATTTCCTACAACTATTTGATTTGCCTCTTCTTAAATGGTTTCCAACGCGTTCTGGTATCGCAAGTTCCGGTGCCTGACCAATCCAACTACGCGAGAGAACGATGGTTTTTCATTAATGGTGTGGCCTGTGGGTACGTTCACCTTCGACCCGCCCTGATATTCCATTGCTTTTCTTACTCAAGCTTAAATCAGTCGCTATTGGCTACAGGCCAACATTGATCAGCTGTCGTACACCTTTGGCCGCAGGGTCACGGGCATCCATAACTTCACGTGTGACGTGGCACCCCGTTTTTTCTCGGACTTGCGCTAACGGAGGAGTCCAGATGCGGAATAATTTTTGACCTGATTGAATGTCTTATTCAACGCTGCTTTTGCTACTCCACATGCGATATCCGAATAGCCTATGCCTTGGTCCAAGACGCCTTGCTGGCTCAGGATTGTGACAAGGTCGTTCTCACGCTCCACAGCCAAGGGGGAATAGAAGGAGGGCTAGCCATCGACTGGCTCTTGGATGCGCTACCTCAAGACCTGCTCCATCAACTGGAGGTGTATACGTTTGGAAACGCCGCTAACCACTTCAACAACCCGCGCCGAACATGGCGAGCTGACTATGCAAAAGGATCATCCACGTGTCAAACATCGAACCGCTCGGCGGTCGGCTATATCGAACACTATGCAAATGCGGGGGATCCAGTGTCAATGTTTGGGGTTTTATACTTTTCTGGAGTTCCCAATCGATACCTCGGCCGGCTGTTTGTACGACAAGGCTCGGGCCATCTGATGAATCAGCACTACTTGGACACGATGTTCACTCTGGGACCTGATCACCGAGTCCTAGACTCGAATAAGTTCATGGATATGGAAATCGAACTTGAATCTGAATCAACCGAGGATGAGCGAGACATACAGCGAGAAGAGACCCTGGTTCCTGTCTTTGTGTCGAAGTATGTCGGACAGAATGCCCAGAATGGTCATCAGGTACTTCGAGTCAAAGACTTGAGCCATCTATGGCTCTATCGGAATGGAGGTCATCCTGCAGTCTAAAAAAACAGACCGATATTGATATTCATACAATACAACCTTAGATATTTGATGTTAAACATCTCCAGATCTTGATATCAGTAGCATATTTCACATGTCACTCTGCAAAATCTTAGGCTATGGGTCCCAGCAAAATTAAAAAAAGATCATTTGCAGCAGGATGAAGTGAAACTGCCATTGATCGCCGTAAAATATGTCACATCTACTTTTGAAACCTTTAATTCTATGAGTATGGACATGTTTTTGGTGAAAGATCCTTGGTAACGGTACACCTGGTGAACGATATTGTATCGCCTCCAGCATCAACTGCTAGAATCGTACTCAAGATATAGATCCACATTGAAGGTAAACGGTAACCGGTGATCGTGATCCTCTGGAGTTGTAAGACTTAACGCCGTGCAATGCAAAAATAGAAAAGAAAGATGACAAGGAATCATATCATGCCTTGCCCTTCTTCTTATCCTTCTTTTTCTTCTCCGAACCAGATCCTCCTGATATGTCCATACCAGGCATACCAGGCATTCCAGGCATCCCGGGAATCTGGGGCATTCCTGGCATACCCTGCAGGTTCTGCATCTCAGCCATGGCCTCTTGGAAAGGATTGTCGCTGACACCGCCACCACTGTAGGCTGGTGAGTGGAGGGGAAGAACGGTGCCGATCTTCCAGCCACGTGGGGCTTGAGGGGCTTCGGGGAGTTTCTCTGGCGTGGGCATTCCGTGGATTCGTAGCCGATATGGCGATTGCTCGGTGGTAGGGTTGGCCTTAAGGTATTGAGCAACGAGGATAAATAGATGATGCTCTGTGTAAAGCTTCCGAGTCAGTCATTGCCAATTTGAGAAATGGCATTGTAAGCCTCCCCAAGCGGAACATAGAGCCGCAACACTCACTATTTTTGATCTTTGGGTTCACCAATTGACCATTTTCATCTTTGAGTAGCACGCGCACTCGTCCAGGATTTGCCCAATCCTTTGGATGGAGTTTCTCAGGTTCTAGACCACCCTTCAATCCCAGAATTTGCACAGCGTCCACAATGTCTCGTGCCAAAGGGTTTTCCACTGCCAACTCTGCGCCAACCTTACGACCCTCTGCGCGAGAACGAGTCTTATCAAAGTAGACCGGGTAGATACATTGGAAGTGCTTAGGAATTTCCCGCTGAGGTTGTGGGGGTTGGGGCACATGGGCTATGGGCGGTTGCGGATTGCGACTCGGAGTTGGGACTGGGGCCCTAGTCGGAATGGCAGGGGCAATGATGGTTCTATCATCAAAGTCATCTGATGGTGCGACCTCCTCAGGGTCAGAATCGGAGTCAGAGATCTCTTCAACACGGGCGTGCGACATGGTGGTGGTGAGTTGAGTAGTGGGAGGAAGAAAGTGCGGGAACCGAAGTCCAGGTGTTCTTGTGCGGGCAATAGCTCTCAACGTCTACCCATCAATACCTCATCTTTCCGCGCGACTGCCAATCCCGGTGTTTTTTGAGAATGAAGAATTACATGAGCTAGGGACATACTAATATCGTCTATCAAATTTTATAATCTACGTCGATTTTGCTCAATGCGACACTGCACTATTCAAGATGCTCATATGTCCTATAAGCCTACCTTACTCAGCTGTTTTTGATCATGTTCATTATGAATACATGCAGCCTAATTGGACTTGGTAAATAGTAAAGATATCAGAGCTTTTCAAGACTTAAGCTGGCCACAGTTACCAAACTGCTCAAAGCGATATTATTGAAGAGAATAGCTTATTTGGCTGGTTAGTTATTGTCCACCCTGGCTTAGTCATATTATCATTTATCCTCGCCAGTTTCAAGCATGTCCCTCTAACATTCCTAAAACTCATGGACACCTATTAATAGCATGACTCAGCTCTCGTACGCCGCAGTCTGATACCGTGTCAGTCCAGATCTTACCGTTTAGATTGTTTAGGGTGTTTGTGTTTGTAGCCCATCCAATTCCCTAATCCCCCAACTCCAACGATTATTTTGATTTGGTTATGATTCATCTGATAAATTTATGGGTTACTAACCCAATATTTTTGAGAAATGAAACTGGCTTGAATCCTGCTTGATGTCCCTCCAAGCTCGCCCATGTTGGAGGCTCTCCCGGAAGCAATCTCCGTAGCAATACGTAGCTATACATCTCTAGTAGGTCTCATCATGACATAATGAAAGAATTGAACATTTAAATCAAGTAAAATTATCTACGGCAGTTGAGTCAATGTCTTGAAAATAAAGAATAAGTAACGTTGCAACTTCAGAGACAATAAGTGAAGACTTCAGTGAGTGTAGATGCCAAGGTTGGGTCCAACGTTTTGAAGCTCCACCGGTTATTTCCTGCCAGAAGCACGGGCAGCCTCACACACGGACCATACTGCCCCAGACATTTATCCTTCCTCATCTACCCCAGCAGGTATTTACCTAGGGATACATCGAGACTTTTTCCGATGCATCCATGAATTGAGACGAGTCAATCTACCAATCACGTTTGACCTGGTAGAGAGCCTCAGCTCTCTCTCTCCCTCTCTCACTCCCCTCCCTCCACCTCCTCCCAGCTTGCTCTATTTGCCTTGTTCTCTAAACCCTCAAGAGATTTGACCTGGAAGCGACTTGCAACCTTCAACCTATGACGGTACATTCGAATCTCCATCCATCTTGAGCAACTCCTCATTTGATCGCAGAACATGCTTTGACGTGGCACCTGAAGCACCGCGCTCACTCCCACTCGATCTGATAACAAATCCTCACCTCACCCAACTTCTAGAGGATTCAATCAGCGCACCTTTCAACCGCTCCTATCGATCGCACTCACCTTATCCTACTACCCTCTTTCAAACCCCATCAAGTCGTGTATTTACCCGTGTCAGCAGCTGGAAACTGTTCGACGTTGAAATTTGGTGGGAGCTTTGCATAATTTGACGCAGGATTCTACGATAACACGAACCGACGAAGCAACAACCCCTGGGAAGCTTCCATACACCCCGAATTCAACCGAAAACGCCTCTCCTCAATTGATGGTCTTTGCGCCGGACCTTCGAAATTATCGGAAGCTCAGCTGGTGCCCATTTGATCGGGATATCTTTGGAGGATATCCACATAAATCCCGAGACAGTTATGCCTGCACCAGAGGATGAGCTACCGGATCGGCGCCAGGGCTCCGAAAGCTCAGGGAATAGCAGCTATGTTTCGCAGGAGACCATAAGGAATTCTGAGATACGCCATAAGAGGTCAGGCATCATCAACGCTCGCAATCCGGATAGTTTCCCGGGTACCTTGACAATGAACAGGTAAGCAGTTGATTTAAAATTTCCCCAAAAATTCAAAATTCCTCATAACATTCTGTTGTGCAATTTTGCGTGTTTTGCATCTGTACGTAAATTACTGGCTGCTAATTCACCGCTTAGTTCTGAGTTAACTCAACCTCCGCGACTCGACTGGGGCTGGACTTGGGACTCTCCAGATATCTCCCCGACAGAAGAACGCAAGGGCTCTGGGTTTAAAGGCCATCGAAAGGCTCTCGCTCTTCTGGGTGAAGGGAATGATCCTACCAAATCACTGGGCACTGGTCCACGACTCCCGCCCATCAAGGCATCACTTCCAAACCCCAACCCCGAAGACGCTGAATCAATTGGTCCTTGGGTTACAACTGCTGGATCAGAAGGCCACGGCACATTTTACAATGAATTTTCGGAGCAAGAAACTTCACCCGCATCGGCGACTTCTCGCCCAACGACGGGGCGGGCCTTTTCTAGGGATCAAGCCGAGTTGGAGCCCCGAGATAATCGGAGACCATCTGCAGTCAGCATGACCAGCAGCCAGGGATCGAAATCGAGTACAAGCCACAAACCTTGGAAGAAAAAGCCAAAGGCCTTCACAAATGATGATTACCAAACAGACAAAGGAGGGCCAATGGGTCACCTCAAGGCACGCGAACGAGCCAACTCGGATGCAACCGATACGTCATTTCGGCATCCTCACTCTCGATCGGAGACTCCGTTGCCGTCGAGTGATATTACACCGTGGGACTACCAGAGTTTCAATGATATCCCACATTATGGCGAAGCGCCCGTGCGACCAGTACCCATTGGACCTGATGGCCAACGTTTGCCGTCTCGTGGAGGCACTCGCTCAGTGCACAGGGAGTCGAGTCGAAGAGGAGCTCCAAATGGCCACCGACATTCTCGCAGCAAAGAGGAAAAGACCACCATCGCGGGCGATTTGGCTGGATATCAAAGACGTCCCTCTGGAGCTGGACAAGATGATTTGACGGTTGGACTGAAGCCCTTTAACGAGAATTACCTCAATTCCTGCACCGCTAAGAGTTCTACCACTACACTGGGCGGCCGCTCAACAAGTCCAACCCCGAGTATACAGAGTGCTATCTACCGTGAGCAGGGCCAAAATAGCCCGGGAGGCCCACCGAATAAGGGAGGCCTACTAGGTCGAATTGGACGACACTTCAAGCCTGTTGGGCATAAACAGCACGACAAGAACAAGCGTGATAATTCCCCAACTCGATATCGACAGCTCAGTGTCGAAGGGACATCTTCTCCTCGTTATGGAGATTCATTTGATCTGGACCGCAAGAAGGAATCTGGAAAGGGTCTCGGAATCGGGGGTCGCAAATTTGGTCCTCGGCGAGGATTCAGCAATATAGCAGGTGATCTTCATGGTTCCAGGTCCGACGTCTCACGAAATGACGAGGGACATGTCTTTACACTTGACACTGACCTTAGGACGATGCATGGAATCGTTCGTGCAGCTTCCCCCGGAAGTACGAAGCGTGGGGTGGATGAGACAAATGTACCGCGCGAGGACTCCACCAAACCTGAAGACGACGATCGTTGGCTTGCACCCGAAAGTTGGCATGTGAAGAAACATAATGATTCTGCTGCAGAATCCGCGGAGGGAACACCGCAAGCTTTGAACGGTCGAGAGGCGTCTTATTTCATTCGAGTATTCCGTATCGACTCGACCTTTGCCACTCTATCTGCACCAGTGAACGCTACAGTAGATGAAATTCTCTCCATGTTGGGTCGAAAATCTTTCTTGCAGGATCATTTGAACAATTACGAGATTGTGCTTCGGAGGAATGACCTCTCCCGACAGCTCGACCATAAGGAGCGGCCGATTTTGATGCAAAAGCAACTGCTAGAGGAAGTGGGCTACAAAGATCAGGATCGGATTGAAGATGTTGGTCGCGAAGATCATAGCTATCTGTGTCGCTTCATATTTTTGCCGACCAAGCTCAGCGGGTACACGAGTCTGGATGTCGATCCGGGCTTCAACAAAATCCAAAAGTTCAGCCATGTTGATCTTCAAGGCCGAAGCTTGGTCACAATACCAATCACCCTCTACAAGAAATCGTCGGAGATAATCTCCCTGAACTTGTCGAGGAATCTATCGCTGGACGTGCCAAGGGATTTCATTCAAAGCTGCATAAATCTCCGAGAGATCAAGTTTATTGGCAACGAAGCAACAAGTGTTCCATCGAGCTTCAGCTTGGCTAGCCGCTTGACTTACCTTGATGTATCCAACAACCTTCTAGAGCAGTTTGACCATGCCAACCTAGACCGCCTTTCAGGCTTGGTGAGCATCAAGATGGCCAACAACCACTTGACAACCCTCCCAAGCTACTTCGGGGGGTTCCAGTACCTCCGAAGCTTGAACATGTCCTCGAACGGCTTCAAGGTCTTTCCTGAATTCCTCTGTGAGCTGACCAGCCTAGTTGACTTGGACATCAGCTTCAACAACATGGAAAAGCTTACTAATATCGGTAAGTTGACCACACTGGAGCGTCTGTGGATGACAAACAACAATATTACTGGTCCTCTCGATGAATCTTTCAAGGACCTCGCGAATTTGAAAGAAATCGATGGACGTTTCAACTCTATAACGAACATTGATAGTCTCTCTCACCTCCCTAAGCTTGAGCAGCTCGTTTTTGGTCACAATCAGATATCTAAATTCCGAGGTGCTTTCCCCAAGCTACGCAGCCTGCAAATGGATCATTGCCCTTTGACGCAGTTCGACATCGATGCCCCCATGCCAACTCTGTCAACACTTAACCTTTCATCCTGCAAGCTCTCCCAAATCCGCGATGGCATGTTTGAAAACCTACCAAATACCACCAAGCTCATCTTGGATAAAAACCATTTGTCATCTGTCTCTGCTCAAGTCGGCAAGCTCCGGCGGCTGGAGCATTTCAGCATCATCAAAAACCCGCTCTCATCCCTACCTGCCACCGTCGGGTACCTCGTGGAGCTCAGAGAGTTCAATTTGAGAGAGTGCAATTTGAAGTCTCTGCCCGAGGAGATTTGGCATTGCTGCAAGCTTGAAACTCTGAATGTGTCTTCCAATCTTCTGACAACCTTCCCCAAGTATGGATCATTGCCCCCTCAGTCTCTCGGTGAACTGACACCCATCGTTACTCCCGTCCAAACTCCGGGAATATCGGGCACCCCAACCTACGAGGAATTGGGTCCCCTGGATGAGAATAACCTGCGTCGTCCAAGCCAAAACTCCACTGGGGCTGGTTCTTCGCCGAGTGGGTCCACCCTCAATGCATCCATTGCCCCATCTGTTGGACAGACAAGAAAAGTATCGGCAGCGAGATCAGTCACTGCAGATTCAAGCTCGGTGTCAAGAAAGGATTCGAACTTTTCCCAGCCAGGAATGACACTCACATTCTCGGGATCTCTCCGAAATCTGTATCTCGCCGATAATCGCCTGGAAGATGACATATTCCGTGAATTAGCTCGTCTCCCGGAGCTGCGCATCCTTAACCTCTCATACAATGAGCTGACGGAGTTGCCTCAGGGCCTTTTAAAACGTTGGCCGTTGATCTCTGAACTCTACCTTTCTGGTAACGAGCTAACTTCTCTTCCATCTGACGACCTGGAAGAGGGAAGCAACCTCAAAGTCCTCCACATCAATGCAAACCGATTCCAAGTCCTCCCCGCTGAACTTTGCAAAGTTAGCAAGCTCTCCATCCTGGATGTCGGAAGCAATGGATTGAAGTACAACGTGTCCAACTGGCCGTACGACTGGAATTGGAACTGGAACCGAAGCTTGAAGTATTTGAATTTCTCAGGAAACAAGCGATTGGAGATAAAACCCAACATTGCATCGTTGGGCTCTTCAGCTACTAACGGTACTGACCTGACGGACTTCTCCTCTCTTACTCATCTCCGAGTTCTCGGTTTGATGGATGTAACCCTTACTATCCCCACCATCCCAGAAGAAACCGAAGACCGGCGAGTGAGAACTTCTGCGTCTTTAGCTGGCTCACTAGCATATGGAATGGCTGATACGCTTGGCCGGACGGAGCATTTGTCCATCATTGATATGATTGTTCCCCGCCTGAAGCCTGATAATGTTGAAACCTTGGTTGGCATGTTTGACGGTCAAACTTTGTCGAGTGGCGGATCCAGGGTTGCGAAATATCTCCACGAGCACTTTACCTCCACATTTTCCCACGAACTCAAAAAGCTTCAGCGGGATCACGGCGAAACGCCACTCGATGCCCTGCGGCGTGCGTTCCTGTCACTGAACAAGAATATGGCAGGTTCCGCCTACAGATCCATCGATGATCGTGAACTTCGGCAATATCACCGGGGATCCGCCTCGAAGCAGCTCAACCAAGAAGATATACACTCCGGCGGAGTGGCAACCGTATTGTACATGAACAACATGGATCTTTATGCTGCCAATGTCGGCGATGTACAGGCCATTCTCGTTAAATCGGATGGTACCTTGCGCTTCTTGACACGGGTCCATGACCCTGCCGAGTCCAGTGAAAGAGCACGGATCCGTGCCGCAGGAGGATATGTGTCTCGAAATGGCAAGCTTAATGATGTGCTCACCGTATCGAGATGCTTTGGGCATTTCCAAATGATGCCTTCCGTTATTGCGGCTCCGTACACTATGCACACCACACTTACCGAACAGGACGAAATGATCATCATAGCCTCAAAAGAGTTGTGGGATTTCGTGACGCCTGAGCTCGTTGTTGACGTTACCAGAGAAGCTCATCCGGATCTGATGTTTGCAGCTCAAAAACTAAGAGACTTGGCCATTTCCTTTGGTGCTACGAATAAGTTGATGGTCATGATCCTTGGGGTCAGTGAACTACAAAAACGTCAGAGATATCGTCCGCGACCCAGCATTTCCCTTGGTCCGTCACCGTTCTCTGACGAGCAGATTGTCCCAGTCACCAAGACTCGAAAGAAGGCCCGTGACGTACCCGGAGATTCTCGTCTTGCACGATTTGATCATGTTGAAGCTCCAATCGGCGAACTGGCTATCATCTTCACTGATATCAAAAAGTCTACCGCGCTTTGGGAAACCTGCCCAGAGGCAATGCGCTCGGCTATCTCCATTCACAATGACGTGTTACGGCGACAGCTTGGCATTGTCGGCGGCTATGAAGTCAAAACGGAAGGTGATGCATTCATGGTAGCCTTTTCAACAACGACGGCCGCTCTATTGTGGTGCTTCAACTGCCAGAACCAATTGTTGGAGGCTGAATGGCCAACGGAAATTCTCGAGCAACCGCAGTGCAAAGTTCTCTTCGACATCGAGAACAATGTCATTTTCCGCGGACTCTCTGTGAGAATGGGTGGGCATTGGGGTGAGCCTGTTTGCGAGAGAGATCCGGTGACAAACCGTATGGACTACTTTGGACCGATGGTCAATCGCGCTGCTCGAGTTTCCGCTGTCGCTGATGGAGGTCAAATTTTTGTATCTTCCGATTTCATGAGCGATATTCAGCGCAACCTGGAGATCTTTGCGGACAACGAACGTTCCGCATCAACCAGCTCGATTGACAGCCATCCACGCGTTGATAGTCTAGGACATAACATTCGTCGTGAGCTGCAGCAGCTCAACAGCCAAGGGTTCGTGATCAAAGACCAAGGTGAGCGAAAGCTTAAAGGACTTGAGAATCCGGAATCTCTTTATCTCGTTTATCCCCACGCTCTTGCCGGTCGTCTTTCGGTCCTCGAAGACTCCCAAGACCCCCACGGACCAGCCAAGGTAAAGGCTGGATCAGAGCTCCAGGTCAAGGCCGATTTGATTTGGAACTTGTGGGAAGTCACTCTTCGTTTAGAGCGCATTTGTGGATGCATGGAGAACCCCAACTCGGCGAAACTTCGAGAGCCGAATGTTGCCATCTTCAACATGGTAAAGAACCACGGAGGCGAGTTGAACGATGCTACCGTGATCAGTTTGGTTGAACAGCAGGTTACACGAATCGAGGCAAGTTTGCCTACGTCCTTTTTTTTTCTCCCTTTGATTCTCACAACTAACACTCCTTTCAGACATCTATCAATACTCTTGTTGTTCGAAACATGATAAATCCCTTCACGCCAGGCAGCAATCCATCCGACTATGCTATACCCATGGCAGAAATTCTGCAACAATTGCAAAGTCAACTTGCCGACTACCGTTTGCTGAAAGACAAGATGGCAGTCGGGGATGCAGGCAACTCCAACACACCATCGGATAAAGTCAGTAGCAATTTACAATAATCGTGTCGAAAGGCAATTTTTGATTTTGAACTTTTCTTTGCTTCCATTCTCATCTTTTTATTTGGCGTCTCATTTCCCCCGGTTGGCTGGCGGTTATTTCAGATCCTCGAAGCATATTTCCGGAGCTGTGGTGGATATCTTTGTTTCTAATTTCTTTACTTTCCCATGTATTAGCTGCATTTTTCAGTGCTGGCTGGGTATGTAATATACCAGGAGTCGTGAATCAATATATTACGCTTCAGAAAAAGAGGATCATGGAATGAGTATTCACTCGCTTAACATATGTTCATACATTGACGGGCCTCGGAACTTCTCCAGCAGATTACGCCAGTAAACAACAGTAAGTATTCCGCATTGAAATTACTTCATGTTTTTTTCCCCCTTCTTGACCCCTCTTTGATAATACATATGTTCCCAAGCTCCATGGGCCGTAGCATACCTTATCAGGGTGGATGATTTTATCTAGGCTCTAATCCGTATCCATTATGAGCACAGTTAAGTCATGTAATTATCAGGAGATCATGGGCTCTGTGAAATTATTCTGTACTATACCTCTGTCCAACCAGAATCATGACATCCGGTATCATTGCCAACGACTCCACCGTCATTACTTCGAAAAGAAGCGAACACTCTCCTCTATACAACGAAGGCCTTCAAGGAAAACAGAAAAATTGCGGGCTACTTCAGCACAAGGTACGACAAAGATGGGATCTGCAAATGTCTTTACTATACATTATCTTAAACTATTATCTGATCAGGTGGCATAGATATAGTATTGGGAACTTCTCTCAATTTGATAGAACAATAGCGCATAATGCGGTAATTACTCGGATGTGGCTATCTTTTTAATAGTATATTCTATCCATACATCGCTCCTGAGATAATTACGCCTCCTATAATGTGTAAAAGATGTTCTCAACTCTCCAAATGACGAATTATAAGAGGCAAGATGATGAAACGGACTCCCCTAACGCCATCAACTGTGGCAGATATAAGACACAGGATAGCACCTAAATACAATCAGTCCGCTGAATGCGTAAGCCAAATCCTAAAGATGGATCGAAAATTTCCTTCTTTGATTTATCCCGGACAAACTCCACACCCCAGAACAAGCTGCGCCCTCTGATACTTATGGGAAGCTTCCCGCTGGCCGCACAGGGCCGTTAATCCGTTTCTCTGTACAATCTGCTGTACTATCAGCGCAGTTACGTAGATGACCGGCTGTACTTAAGAGTATTAATGGTTAAAAGCGGCCGTACTCATACGCAATACTAATATCGGCTTCTTATGAATTAAGTCGTAGCAATGGGCATACCCTCTAAAGAGTCCCTTTCTAATCATTACGATGTCAAGGAGCGGAGGGGCATGGGTGGTACTCTTGACTTAGATATATTCCTCTGAGAAAATAATGCAGTATGCACAACAGCGCGAATTACTATTTTGAGTGTATAGAGGTTGAAAACAATACTATGATTTTTGTATTGCGTATGCCCTTCTAACCACTCGGGTCTCCATGGACTAGTTTCCACATCAAGCGATGCAGATAATGAAGATGTTCAAACTCAAGTTAAAATAGTTGGTTAATGTAGATATGGTTATTGATCTACTATCAAATGGGTCATAGTAAAGATAACATGGCATTGTGAGCTATAAGAAGTATGCTTGTGGCAATTACACGATACTTTGATTGGGGTCGATGAATTTGGCGTGGCAGGGCTGGCATGGGATGAGTGAACTGGCTGTTATATCTATAACTTTTTTCAAAAAAACAAAGGGCCTATGGGCAACTTTAATCCACACTGAAACAATAAAACATTAGACACTGATCGCTATCCGCAGTCAATGAGAACCCTCAGTTGCCTCAAAGTCTGATACTCCGTTAAGGAGGACCAAACCATAATGATTCCCCATATATCAGTCATAAACCTCAGTATCTGGCGCTAGAGGTTCACTAATTTGGCTTAAATTTGATTTGACATAAGAGCTCGGATAGGGTTTGATATCGGGTTTACTATCGGCTCCAATAGCGCTAAACAAGTCCTAAGCTCCAAGCTCTAGACCTCCTGTTTTGCCAAGAATTGAGACGCGATAAGGAGCTGTAATCAATTGAAGTAGATTTCTGGTGAGATAGCCATCTGATTACTAGGTCAGCGTAGAGCAATACTGAATCTGAAAAGGTCTCATGGTCAAATGAAAAACCATATATTAGATGACCTGCCCCTTCAAGATTCCTAGTGCTCAATTTCTCTCATCAGGAATAAACTACAGCTATATCTTCACACGTACTTAAAAGATGTTGTCTGAGAAGACTCCCATCGATCTTGATGTGGCTGTAACGCCCCAGGTGTCAGCAGCTGATGTCGAGAAGTCTCAGCCAATAGTGACCGATATTGGGCTTCAGTTTATAACACAAAGTGGCGATATTGAGTACACTCAAGCAGAGGAAAATACGGTCATATGGAGAATTGACCTCTTTCTTCTGTCTATGGTATTTAAATCCTTCCTGGCAATGCTTTATCATTACTCATTAGCTGATCAATTCAGATTTGCATAACCTTTTGTCTGCAGGCTCTCGATAAAGCAATAATATCTTATGCTGCAGTTTATGGCATGAGGACTGATATGCATTTAGTGGGTCAGCAGTATAGGTAAGTGGCTCCTAAGGTGTGACTAACTTGACCTCGAGCTAACTTTACGCGGCGCAGTTGGGCTGTTACCATGTTTTATTTCGGCTACCTTATTGGGCAGCCTCCAGCTAATTATTTGATTCAAAAAACGCCGATGGGTAAATTTGCTGCAGTCACCCTCTTTATGTGGGGAGCTCTCGTCATGCTTTCTGCACTTGCGCGAAACTTTGCGGGAATCGCAGCTTTACGCTTCTTTATGGGGATCTTCGAAGCCGGTATGACTTACCCTGTTTGATACATATGACTTCGATTATCATTAACTGATTATAATAGGTATCGCGCCTTTGTGTGTGCACGTCACTGGAATGTTTTATAAAGGCCAAGAGCAGGCATTACGTTGTACCTGTGTATGTCACAAAATCATCCATCTTCATCTTATATACGCCTCGGTATATTTATGAAGGATCGCTAATGGTAGGGTTTTCTAGTGGTACTTCTTTGTTGGTATTGCCGTGATTATAGCCCCTCTTCTCAGTTGGGGCGTTGGACATAGTACCTCTGGTATTAAGCCGTGGAAGCTATTGGTATTTCCTCAAATTACCTAACTACTTGGGTAGCTAAGATTTATTGGCTCTTAACTGACTATCTCTCTCTTTTAGTTCATAATTTGTGGAGGCCTGTCTATAGTTTGGTCGTTCGTCATCTTCTATTTCCTCCCAGACCATCCAGGAAATGCCAAGTTCCTCACTCAGCGCCAACGCATCATTGCTATTGAGCGTCTTCGTGTCAACCGTGCCGGTGTGAAAACCACTGTCTGGAAATGGGCCCAATTCCGTGAGACGCTGACCGATCCACAAGTTTGGATGATCGCTCTGTGGGCTGGAATAAGCAATCTACTTAACATCGGAGGCAGTTTTCTGCCTATCATTATCGAAGATATGGGCTTCACAGGTCTCAAAACCAGCTTGCTCTCCTTGCCCGTTGGTGGTGTTGAGTGCATTGCGATGCTTACAGCTGGCGGTATTTCATATTTCTTCGAGAACGGCCGCACGGTTATCATGTTCATCGTCTCTTTACCTAGTTTAGTTGGCACAATCCTCCTCACAGTTTTGCCCTTCTCTGCCACATGGGGCCGATGTGTTGGCGTGTGGTTACTGCTTACTATCCCAGCCTCCTATACTGTGCTTCTGAGTCTTATTGCGTCAAATGTCGCCGGTTTTACAAAGAAGGTCACCACAACGTGCGTTGTCTTTGTTACCTATTCTGTCGGAAACATCATTTCGCCACAGCTATTCATTACAAGAGAAGGACCATACTATGGTACTGGTATCCGCTCCATGCTGGTAGCTATGTCATTGGTCCTGGCTTTGAATATTGCCCTGGGAGTATACTATATAATTGAGAACCGAAGAAGAGATCGAGTCTATGCATCAACATCTCAGGAGGTAATTGACAGAATGACAGTGGAGCATGAAGAGTTTCTGGATAGAACAGATTTTGAAGATGCGTTGAAATTCAGATATAGGTGGTAGATCTGCATCGACAGACAGATCTGCTGGCGTGTCACTAGCTTAGAGCTTTACAACATCTACTGCAGCCAAACTAATATTGATTTTTGAACATAGTATCTTTACTGCATCTCTCTGATAGCTGTATCATAATCGAAAGTGGCTCTCTGGCATTGAGGCCGGAAGTTTGTGACATTTGGCGGTATAGCTACGAGTCGTATATCTCGAATATGGCAGATGTAGCATACGCATTTCTCCAGAAATAGCTTTTTGAAACAGGAAATACAGAAATTAATCAGTCACAATGGGTTCTTGTTGATATTAGGTGATGTAATAATGTTAAGTCTAATTACTGCCAGTAGAATTGGTTTGCGAACGGCAAGCAAGATTGAGACAATCAAAAGTCTGATAGCTAAGGAGAAGTATGGATAGCGTAAAATTGAATGTAGCCTTTTCAACGCAAAATAAGCAGGGAAACCCTAGGGCATTAGTCAGAAGACAAGCTCGTCTTTAAATATCAGACTGACTTAATTTAATATCTCAGTATCCTAGGATTATTCGGTACAAGTTGCTTCTCAACCTCAGGATACCATATATAGTTTGTATATTAGGAAGGCTCATACTGATCACAGATCTGTAGTCCAGCATTGTGGTTTTATTGCATTGATTTATGGCTCTAGCTCTGCTAATTCTAACTGCCATAGCAATTTCGCTATGTCAACTAGGCCGTGACAATACGGGAATTATGGAAATGAATAATAAATGAACTGCATAGACCACCAATTATAGAATTCTGATCAAGAGATTCAACATGATATGATGGCAAAGAGATAAGATGAAAAGAACCTCTTCATCCATAAATTCCATTGTTAGTTACTGTCCTCTATCAGCCTGAGTCTCAATCAAGTAATCGATAGCCTCCTTTCTGAAATCATCATCCTCGAGATATGAACCGTTGGCGTGAAATACAAAGTTCACACCGGCATCCCTTGCACTGTATTGAGGCCAGTTTATAAACTGTTGGCCGTGATTATTGGGGTTGAGGCTTGCAATAAAAGCCACAGTCATAGATGATGCCATTGTTCGAAGGCGGGCTCGAGCCTCACCTGGACCAATCCACGGATCAGTATCGTTCCCAGGAAGGTTAAAGGTGAAAGGCCAATTAGCCACATGAGACGCGCCCAAGTAAGCAGCAGGAGGGGTCGTTGGAGAGGACCAAGAAGGCGTGGCAAAGACGAACTTGTAAACAGGCACACCAGCTACCGAAAAGACCCGGGCATCCTGCCGTGCATTACTATTCCAAGTAACATCACCAGAAATAACCGATTGACGTTTATACATGTAACCGTGTGATGCAAAGCGTTCTGAGCCGGTTCCAGCCGGAAGACCTTCGGCCGGATCATCTGGATAAAGTTCGAAAACCTTCTTCCATGTAGCATTGGACATGGGGTATCCAGAGCCATAGAGAAGACCATGAGATATGATATCCTCCTCTGTATTGCATCCTTCAATTCCAAAACCCGTACCCTCATCTCGGCCTCCACCTAGCATAAGCGGAACCTTATGAAACTTCCCTAGCTGCTTGGCTCGGCCACCAGCAACTGGTATGAAGTTGCCATCAACAGTAGCGAAGAAAAATGACTTGATGTTTTGAGCAGCCAGAGCATCGTATGGTGCCTTTCGGAGACAATCTAGCCTGTCAGAAGATTCTGTACAGTTCACACTAGATACGAGCTGATCGTACATTGGTTGGTACCAATCTGTCGAGTTTGCTATTTCAGGTACTTATCAGCGAAATGATGACAATGTTTGACTTTTAAACAAGAAGAATCAAAACCTACATGCGATGCCATTTGACGATCCACTGTTCTGTATTGCTGCTCTAAATGGAGGCTTTCCCTCACCGCCGTATGCAAACATTTGCCAGGCCACCATGTCTGCACCACTAAACATCATCAGAGAATATTCCGACGCAGAGTGAGATTTATGTTAGGGTGAAGTGCTTACGAGGATTGACCCATCAGTGTGACTTCATCCGGATTTCCGCCAAAACCTTGGATGTTCTCTTGGATCCAGTCAAGTGCCATACGCACGTCACGAATTCCAGCGTTTAATTCTCCCGCATTCTGAGGGTTATGTTAGCCTCGCTTATCGAAGAAAATGCATGTCGTGCTTAGACTTCTCGGACGTCACATACTTGAACATCTCGACTTGTTAAGAATCCAAAAGCTCCTTTGCGGAAATTCAGGGCAATTCCCATAATCGGCTGACCCATTTTGACCGAACGCTGGACAAGCCAAGTCAAGTTAGCATTCGGATTCGCAGCGGAACCCATTTGTCCGGCACCGGCGTAGAGTTGGACCACAATCGGTAGTCCAGTAGCAGGATAAACACTTGAAGGTCGCACAATGTTCAGATTCAAACAGTCCTCATTAAGAGTATAAAGGGTCGTGTTGTCCCAACCGGGGCATGTGTATCCAATCTCGGTAGCATTACGAAGTTCCGTGAATGTACTATTCAAAGACTTGGGATGACGGAAACGAAGGTCTCCAACGGGTGGCTGAGCATACGGGATGCCTAGGAACAGGTCTTGAGTGAGTCCAGGAACACTAATGCCATAGTATGTCCCATTTCTTGCATATCCATACGGTACAACACTGTTCTCGAGTGATGATGGAACAGCTGCAACTGCAGCCAACCATGCCAAGCCATGCAGGAACCTTGTCAGACGCATTTCACCTTTGTTAGTTGGATTTAATACAGTATTCCACAATACTCTTTTGCATGATGATCATATTGAAGCTTTCTTTTGTAACTTGTGCCTGCTAAGGAGAATTGACAGGTGCCGCGTACTCTGCACTGAAAAACTTGACATTATCTCCAAAACCTATCGTCCAATTTTATTTTATTTTGGATAGATAGGGTTTATCAACTACATTTGAAAGGCTGATTGGTGCTTGGATACCAGTGTTCTCATTGTAGAGGTTGGTAATTATCTTAGAATAATATACGTGGTCTGATATGTCTTTCTACACAGTAGATAAGGCCGGCAAAAAGCGCCTCTTAGTGGGGAGCACCGAGGCCGCTAGTAAGTAGACTCGGGTCTGAGCAACAAACCCCTATCTACCCAGCTTGTCGGAATTATTGACACAACATGATAAACAAAGCATGAATAGATAGGGATTCGCATTTCGGATCATCGGCTTCCTCTAACTACATTTCACTAATGTTGTCTGTAATGATAGGCAGTCTGCCTCGAGAAGTATTGAAGGGTCAAATAGTTGAAAAAGGGCAAGAAAGAAACTCAATTTACCTACAAATTACCTCCATCAGCAATAGCATACACCAGTCTAACCATGGCCTCACGAAACGAAATACACATCAATGACTTGCCAGAATCCATTGACTCTATCACGTTCGATGCTGCTGGGCTTGGAAAGTTGAAAGGCTTTCTATTTGATGGCTCCATTAGCCAGTTCAACAATATTCCCTATGGCGAGGTTCCTGGCCGTTGGATGTCTGCTCTTCCAGTAAAGACGCCATGGGAACAGGAAGGCGTACGAGATGCGCAGAAACACGGGTATGAAGGCTCTTTAAAACTTCTCAAAAGCGAATTGTAGGAGCTCCAGAACTGACCTGAGTAACCATCTTGCAGCACTTATTGCCCGCAGCCGCCTAGAAGATTCTACCCAATCCCCTTGATCGATCGACCCTATACGCCAATGCCCACTCAGGACGAGTTCACTTGTCTCAACCTCAATATTACCATTCCGGCATCATCACCTCCACTGGGATCTCCTCTCCCAGTTCTCCTCTGGATTCATGGAGGAGGCTTGGCTGCAGGTACTGGGAATGCACCAATGATGGATGGTCGAGTATTAGCTGCAATGTCAGTTCAGATGGGCCTCCCAACTCTGGTCATCACTCTGAACTACCGCCTCGGGGTATTTGGTTTTATGACGAATAGTGATATAAAAAATGTCAATTCGGCATCCGGACAACAGACAGCAAACTGGGGATTATATGATCAAAGACTAGCAATTGAGGTAACTTTGACACCACTCAGGCATTTAAAGGGCTAGCTACTAATCAAATCTTAGTGGGTTCAAACACACATCTCTGCTTTCGGTGGTGATCCAAGTAATGTCACTATATTCGGAGAGTCTGCAGGCTCAACATCTGTTCACTGGCACTTGTCTGGTCCCGCATTATTCCGTCGTGCAATTCTCATGTCGGGAACTACATCTACTTGTGGCATCTCTACCACAGAACAGTATAACGCCGCGTGGCATAGACTTGCAGATCATTTTGGCGTGTCAAAAACTCTTAGTGCAGCGGAAAGAGTCAATGCGATGCGTAAAATCTCTGCGCAGGACTGTCTGGTTTCACATGATCTACACGATTGTCTTATCCCCGTTGCTCAAGTTTGTGATGATGGAAAGGTCAACTTATGGAAGTGGGGAGATACTGAGGCAAAATTCCCTGTATGGTGTGATGTCATGCTTGGGGATTGCAAAAGTGAGTGCTGCTGAATAACCTTCAATCACTACTATAGTAGCTTTGAGCTGACCACTACTGACCACTACAGACGAGGGAATTCTTTTTGATCATCGTGGGCGTCTCGATTTGAATGGTCAACAACTCATTGATGACCTTGAAAAATTCATGGGAAGAGCCGATGCAGCTACAATCATTGACGCTTACGATATCACCGCTGAGTTGACAACGGAACAAGGTTGGGCAAAAATAGAGCATATGCTCACGCACTCCGTCTTTTCACTTCCAAACTACACCCTCGCAAAAGCTAATTCAAATGTGTTGCTGTACCATTTTGACGAGCCGTCCACTTTCGATGAGGGCATCGTTGACGGTGAAAGAGCTCCAAATGCTTGGAAAAATTTCGCGCATCATGCATTAGATGATAAATACATTTTCAATGTGTTGCGTCCTTTGATGACGTCCTCTCAGAAGAAGGTTGCAGAGAGCATGGCATACGATTGGCTATCCTTCGCTCATGGGAAAGACCCATGGCCTCGATTTGATATCAAGACATCACCGTTTGTTAAGACATTTGGACCAGAAGGCAAAAGCGAGGTGAAGACATTGGAGGCCGACAACCAGAAAAGAGCTTATGACAGCATGGAAAAAGTTCTCCAGGCTGGTTTATCGGGAAAATTTGGCGATTGGGGGGAGGAGAGAGCCGAGAATAGGTCCGATTTACTTCGAGACCCGTGGGTTTGAATTTTTTAGCATAATTCTACTAGGAGATGAAGAATGGTATGGACTACGTTGAAGATATAGATAAGTAGCATACTACTCATTTAGTTATCTATTATTTAATTATTGAATCCTACTTGCATTGACTCATTATATCGACTACTCTTGATATTGCACAATCTTTTACTATTGAATAGTGGAATGGCTTATCAAACATACTACCCTCCCACAAACTACCTTTAAGCTCCATGCCAGACATCAGCCATGTCTGCCTTGGTGTCATAGGTTCTCAAAAGACCTCTTATATACCGTTTAACCTGTTGGGTGCATCTATCGATAAGAGGGATATAATAATGATCATAGATATTTCAGTGAGAGATATAGATCGTACCATAGATGAATTGCAAAAACGCTGAAAGGGTACAATCTGAAGAAATGAATTTCTCTTTAGGCAGACTGGCTTAAGAAGACCAGGAAACAGTCCCATCCATTGATTTGAGTATAGCGGCATATCTTTGCGAAGAATATTCTCGAATTACTCTATTCTTCAGTCAGATTCAGCGGACTATTCACATCCGCTGTGACCACCCCTTCTTCAATGCTCTGCTCATCTGAAGGACTTTCACTAGCCCACAAAGGAAGCTCAGGGCTCTGGAGACACCAAACAGCCGCGTGCCCTTCAAGAGCGCTTTTTCATACGCCAGTTAATCATCCGTCTTACAGGAGGATTTTCGATATGAGGATTAATGGCGCGTAAATACACATTTCTGTCAAGCTAGTGGATGGTTGTATACTCATCAGTGACAGGGGAGGAAAGTATCAGGAGACTTGGCCACAGTGTTAGCGGATTTTCGTGGAGAACTTCTAACGCCACGGGCTCGATGATTTTAATAACTTCGAAATCCTCCTATTTTAATTGTCTATGAGGCACACTTATGAACGGGGGTATGCAATCCGCGACATTTATTCTTTCGTACTATCGTCCTAGAAATGAACTGAAACCCGAAATCCGAGCGGGAATCAGACGTGATTTGAGTACTCGATTAGAGGCTCCACCCTTAGGTAGGGTTGAAATCGAACTCGTCACACATCGGCCATAGCTCGATCCAAGGGTCATACGTATGATCCATCTCAAGGGGTTCTTGTGGTTGGGATGGTTGGGATATGCCGTTTGCAGACAATTCTTGAAGGTTGATGGCTGCAGAATGATCCAGTGCTGATTGCCCAGATATCTTGTCTTGCACGGGGTAGCTAGGCCCTTGGGTGAAGCTGTCATGGTGGATTGGCGAGTTACCCAAGGCATCGTGCATGGAGGCTTCCAAGGCCAGGAAATCGCACCGCGTCTTTCCATGAAACCGAGCTCGATCGGCAATGGCTCCTTGATACAGCAGTTGCGTGCTTTCGATAATTAACCACTGAAAATTGTGTTAGTGGGGATTTATATTTATAGCGAGAGTCTCACCCATCTTTTTCCCATTTTGAAAAGACGCTTGAACTCATTGAGATGGATAATGTTTAGTTTTGCCATAGCAGTAGCGTTGGGGCTTCTTCCAAGGTTCATACTAGGAAATGCCGACACATACAAATTCATTGTCGCTGCAGAGAATGTACAAAGACCTGAGAATGGTGTTAATAGTGGACTTTCCAGGTCTATAAGTTCCTGAAGAATCAGGGTTATAGCTTCTGCGCAATAGAATAGTTCCCTTGCTCTGTCACTCCACCAATTTGTGGGTGCCACTGCCGGAAGGACGGGAGGATCTACCGGGCCTTGTGGTTTTGAGTTCAAGGTGGGAAGGAATGGGATATATTCCCGATTCAAGAATAAAAGGCTGCTGGGTGTTAATCCTTATTAACCTTGAAGTATATGAGAAAAATACGCACCTGATATAGTATACCAAGTTGACGTAGGCGAACGACTCGCCTTGGCCTAATGATACATTTATAGCAACTGGAGTAGACGGGTACTTCAGTCGATCACTCTGTGATGATCTCCAATCTTCGAGAGTATCGTAGATACCTCTCCAGCGTGACCCGTGAACCCATGGACAATTTTCCGGGTTGTTCATTCCAAGCTGCTTTCTTCCACCCTCAATAATAAACTTGTGCGTTTGTGCCCAAATATCAAAGCCCCTGATCAAAACACAGTAGTAAGTATCAATCACGCCTAGAGACCGTGAAAGACTAATGTTACAGCGAACATCTCTGAATGTATATCTTGATAGGGGTGATGACCCAAATGCGAAATCCAGGTCCCCGCTGGGCAGGTGAGTAGATATTTTGTCCAATGAAAGAGTAGCCGATTCCGATCTACCACAGGAGACAAGACGATCCATGATGAAGCATCCCCAGAATGTGCGATTTTGAATCTGGCGATCCGTTTCAGTATGCACATGATCCGTCATAAAAACAATTAGACATTGCATCATCCTATTTGCCATCCCTAGAAAGATTCATGAGAATAATAAATCATAAATCACATTTGGAGCGCATACCACTGTACATCCAGGCTCCGTAGCCATTACCACCACCCCATTCATACATAGACATTGTTAGTAGTGCGTGAACAGTGCTTATGCTGGGGGGATCCTTGGGCACCCGAGACAGACAGTTCTGGGTGTAATTGGCATATTCCTCCTCCGTAAACATGAGTTCGCTACTGGGCATGAATCTCTGGCACAGGGTGAGCATTGCAGCGATTTGAAGTTCTTGTTTCCTGGGAGCCGTGATGAAAGTAGGAAAGTGCAGGAATGATAGCTCGGGAAACTTTCGACAAAATAGGCCAGCAGCCTTCACAATCACCGAATACGGTGTCTGATCAACGATACTTTGAAGAGACTGGACTGATCGAGGACTATGGATGATTGAAGGCATCTCGATGGTATCAGCATCGTTATCTGATACCTGTGGTTCTTTCTCTACGTGTTTCAGCCTTAGTCGAGAACGTTGTGGTGTTGAGCCAAAAGGTCCTGACAAGGTGCAGTCCCCCGGGCCTGTTCGTCCCGCTTTAAGACAACAGCGGCAAGGTGGGTTGCCATTGTGCACGCACTTGATCTTGGAGCGCCTACATAGCATCAATCGATGTTACTCACTTGAGCCAAGAAGTGATTATTAATCCTTCATAGCTTACCTGCACCATGCACAAGCAATCGTCGTCCTAACCATTATCCGATTTGCCTATCGGTTGTCTTCTCGGTGTTGAGGCTAGGATAACAGGGAATCAATAGAATGCGTGGACTAAGCTTTCGAAATTCTATCTTAATCTATGATCTAGGAGTCGTACGATTTTCAACTAGAAAAGGAGGTCACATGTCAGCAACCAAAATGCGGGTCTTGAACTGTGATGTTTATCGCCGTAAAGACTAGCCCAATGGTATGTTCCCAAGATTATGCAGTCAGCTGATAACGTATTTGTTGTTGAAGCACTCGATAAAAGCGTCTAGATGAAAACGCATAGTCCTTAGAAGCGCAAAGTTCTATATATTATGTGAAGACAGTACTCAGGTGGAAGGGGTGAATATTATTCGTAGTGAAACAACCTCAAAACAGGATCTAGGAATTTAATTTCTCGTCGAGTATTTAATTCGGAATTAGCAGTGCCAAGAGTGCTCCCGAATCCTCGAGGTGTTCGGGAGCACTCTTGGCACTGCTATGGTGCTCCGTCGGGAAGTGGCTAATCTAATGCCTTGCCGGTGGTATAGCTCACGTGATACTAATTTATCAGGATTGATATCTTAGACATTTTTTATAATCGCCTGTTCATCCTTTAGTATATACGCGTCATTGAATGAGCAAATGAAGTGGGAAAGCCTTTGCAATCGGCATACAAAGAAGCGTTCTCTTCAATAGGATGATTGGGATGAATTTACTATACTTCTTTCTAATTAAAATCAACAGACAAATAAACCTCTTTATCATACAGATCCTTATCAACAGGCTTGCAGTTCCACTGCGTCTATTATCTGTATAGAGACTCAGACTCAGGAGTCTAGACTAAGGTACTATGTAGGTGGATGCCGAGTGAACACATAAGCCGAGTTATGTATATGACAGGAGGACTACCCTACTCCTATACCAGGATCCTTTTCAAGTTGAGGATTCCAGAGCTGAGAAAACTAAAAAATACCCTGGTTAATTAACTCCACTCTAACTACAGGGTATTACAGATATCCTTTGTACGCATCGCATTTTTTCCTGCGAAGGAGAAAAACTGGTGCTCATATCCAGTGTCACCCCGAATATTAAAACAAATTTTTAACACATAGCCAGTAGAGAAAGATTGGGAGATTCTAAAGAAATAATTTTAAATTCATTATGGTGATCAAACTGATAACGAATCTCAAACCTCGGCAATGATGACAAATACGTGACAGCCAAAAAGCGGTAACTCTTATTGGTTTGAAAGTCAACACCCGTTCTTTTCAAAACTCATGTGGGGTAATCATCGACTTTTAGGGTTGGGCGACCAATTAGAATATGTAAAATGAATAATTGATTGATTCTACGAACCTGGGATGACATAATCAGATATGATACCATCGCTCCCCCGCCTTGCGAAGCCATCTTCTTGCAATTCACGGAGATCTTGCTGTCCATGAACTATTTCAGAAACAGCGTGAGATCGATTACTTTACTGTCATCAATATCAAGCCCGTTCTCTCGCTTATCTCCGAATACCCTTTCGATAACCATCCAATTCCCCGCAATTCGACGAACAATGGCCTCAGCAATGGCAAAGCGTTTGGACGGCAAGACAATTGTAATCACCGGTGCCTCCTCTGGAATTGGCAAGGCTACTGCCCAGGAGTTTGCACGCACGTCGCCAAAGAACCTCAAGCTGATCTTGACTGCACGCCGCATCGATGTACTGAAGGAAGTTGCTGCGGAGATCCAGGCCGAGGTCGGCGATGGTGTGAAGGTGCTTCCAGTCAAGCTGGATGTCAGCAACCCTGCTGAAATTGAGAACTTTGTTTCATCTCTTCCAGCGGAGTTCAAGGAAATTGACGTCCTTGTTAACAATGCGTGAGTTAGACCGACAAAGCTTTATCGACGAGATACTGAACATGCTTTAGTGGATTGGTCAAGGGCGTTGCTCAGGCACCTGATATCAAACCCGAGGATATCAACATCATGTTCAATACTAACGTCACTGGTCTGATCCACATGACTCAGGCCATTCTCCCGATCTTCAAGCAGCGACCAGAGGGCGGCCGTGGTGACATTATCAACATTGGCAGTATCGCCGGCCGCGAGCCTTATTCTGGTGGTGGTATCTACTGTGCGACCAAGGCAGCGGTCCGATCTTTTACGGACTCGCTGAGAAAGGAGCTCATCGCTTCGAGAATCCGCATTATCGAAGTTGATCCCGGCCAGGTTGAGACTGTAAATATCATCTGAACAGATATTCAAGTCTGAAGCTAATTATTCAATTACAGGAGTTCTCCGTTGTCCGATTCTATGGCGACAAGTCCAAAGCTGATGCCGTTTACAAGTGAGTTCAACGGTCTATCTGAAGTTTCATAGATTTCACTGACTTTCTTATTAGGGGAGTTGAGCCTTTGACCGGTGAGGATATTGCCGAAATTATTGTCTTTGCAGCTGGTCGACGTGAAAACGTTGTCATTGCCGATACCCTGGTCTTCCCCAACCACCAGGTATGTAATTTGTCCCTCGATTTGACCTCAGGCTAACCATAAAATAGGCGAGCGCTGGCATTCTGCACCGCAAGTCATAAAAAACTTTTATGGCATACGTAAGAAACAGGTCTTACGGTATAGAAATGCAACATTCATGGCTACTTAGTATATAGATCTCTTTCAACTCAAAATATATATTTCCTGCAACCTTTGGAACCTTAGAGCTACAGCATTGACCAGGTAGACCTGGGCAGGTATTCAAAGAATATACTAGTTGATAGCGCTGTATTTGTTATTTCTTTGGTGAACTGGTTTCCTATTTTTCATCGTTGAAAGTGGGATTTTAGATTGGCGACAGCCAACAGCCGACCCTATGACGGGGGTAACGAAGTAGGTGGAAGGGCCATCAATAATCTTAACAAATCAACAGTTTACTTAATATACTTCCTCTGCATAAATTTCTCTAATTGATACTGCTATCAGATCTAGTTACATAACATCCTAAAGACTCAAAAATTTCCCTGCATTCTCAAAGATCACTCTAATAATAACCACTTTCTGTCATCAATCAATAACGAATCTGAACCTATTATAGCTTGATTTTAATAAAGATCAAGTCTAGAGCGACCCTTTCTAATTATGGGGTATCAACCTTGGAAAGCACTTATCATGAGGCAGACTTTGGATGATCTTTGTTTTCAATATACATAGGTAGCAATGTCACGAAGTCTTCCTGAATTTGTTCAATTCCGCCTGTCATCGACCCAATAAAAACGAAAGATACCAGATGAAAGATCATTTATTGAAGGCAATGTGTTGAAGAAATCACATTACCAGTCCTAGTTCCTTCTTTGATTGCCACGTAGAATAAAAGACTTGATGCATCTCAAAGAATCAAAAATATAACATTACAGTACGATGTGCCACTAAACGCCATCCTTTCATTAATTTCTTTGACCTTTCAAGAATACTTCTTTCCAACTCAGAAAACAAAAGAGGAACTTTAGAATTTTACCAAAGCCTAATGAGTGAACATAGCAGAAACTCCTCACCGGATTGAAAATGAAGCCCAGTCCCTGCCGAGGAATCTAATGGCGAGTCCTGCAAATTGGAGTCCGAGTCCATCTCCATTGCCTCTACTACTCCTACCTCGACTGCACTTTAATCTCTAGAGCATTGGGACTTCTTTATTTCATAGCCTTAGAAACTGTTGCCTTTTTCATCGTCTTGCTCTCTCCAAGGCTCCGAGGTTGTTACTACTTATCTGTTTAGTTGAGATACTTGTCTATTTGCAAAGATACTATTGTGATTCATAATCTGTATTGGCTTAAATCTGCACGTAGATTCAATCTTTACCTAAGTTCTAGGCATACAAGATATCACTTCTCCAATATTCATTATTTTGCTTTCGAATTGTGATTGGCCATTAAGAAAGATGTCCATTTAAACAATCACCTTATAGCCAGCAGACTTCTCCTCAGGCTCACCGAAGATATCGATGTTCCAGCGAGGTTTGTCTATGAAATTGTTAGCAGTTGTTTACACCCGAAAAAGAACAGACTAAAACTTACAAAGAGCGTAGGGAAGGTTGTAGCGTTTGCGATTGTTACCCAGGACATTAACCTTCTCCACCTCCTCTGGGGTGAGTTCGATCTCCTTAAAGTTGGCACGAATACGCGACGGCGTAACAGACTTGGGGATGACACTGTGGCCACCAATCTGGGACCAGGCAAGGCTATAAATTGTGAGTACATGTCATTGCCAACTGAGAGTGGGAAGCATACATGACGTGGGCACCGGTGACCTCTTCACCAGTTCGCTCGGAAACAGCCTCGGCCACCTCCTTAATCTCAGGCCGAGTGATCAAGAGAGGGACATCTTCCGAGTTATTGCCAAAGGCCTATTCATGTTAGCGGGGTTGAGTGAACTCGGATATTATAGACATACCGAGTAGGCGGTAATGTGGATATTCTTCTTCTGGCAGTACTCAATCAATTCCAGGCTCTGGAGAACGGGGTGGCGCTCAATCTGGTTAGCAGCAGGCACAACACCAGTGGCGTTAATGATAGCCTCGAGCTAATAAAATGTATTAGTATGGCCGAGGCTTGTCGTCAGACGAGTGGTACGAACGTGGGGAATAGTGTGGTTGGAAACACCGACGGCACGGGCCTTGCTCTTGGGAAGCTTGGTCATGGCTGAAAGAAGTATAGTGTAAGCTAAGTAGACTAAAACTGATACATCCGCGGACTTACCCTTCCAAGTATCGACAATTGAAACACCATCGTCAATAATCACATCGCCACGCTCAAAAGTGCTGCTCTCATCGAGGGGGAAGAGCGAGTCGCCCTTCTTGAAAGATACAGGCCAGTGAACAAGGTAGAGCTAGGACGATTAGCAGGATTCCACTAAAGTTCCTGGAATATTTATAACATACGTCAAGATAGTCAAGCTCGAGTTCAGCAAGGCACTCATCGAGAGAAGCCTCGACAATCTCAGGGCGATGTTGGCTAGAAGGTGTTAAAAATCTGAATATAAGGAAGGTTTATATCGGTAGAAATACTTGTTCCAGAGCTTGGAGGTCTATCATGAAGTTGGATTAGTATTAGGCGAAACTTGCAATTCTGCTTTTTGTATGAAGAACTTACGATGAAAATGTCCTCACGCTTCAGACCAGGGACTTCCTTGTAGGCACGCTTGATACCCTCAGCAACCTCACGCTGGTTCTGGTAGCTATGGGACCGAATCAGTACGCCGCTATAAAAGGCCCAAAGTATAAACATACATAGTAGCCAGATCCTGAGACAAGTTAGCGCAGGCATCAAATGTGGCAGAACTCATTGTTTACCAGGTGACGATATCCAGCCTTCAAGGCCTCAAAGACGGCCTCACCAACTTGACCGGGACTAGACTGCCAGGTGCCAAATCCAAGCTGACTGTGACCTAGTCAGTGTTTTGTTTTGACTTCGAATACTGTGGAATTGGCTTACGGGATCTGGGCACCGGAGTTGAGAGTGACCTTTTTGCCGAGAGACATGTTGTAGATATGAATTGGTAAAGATTAAGGAGTAAAAAGATTGAAGGAGGAATGAAGAGGGGAGGATCGCGTCAAATAACGTCAAGTTAATAAGCGACCTCAGGCGGGGTTCCAAGCTCGCCATCCCACCCCACGGAGCAGACCCCACCGACCAAATCGGCATGATACAGAATAGAAACTGGTTTATATTATTCCAGCTAATATACTACACATTGAGTTATTCAGGGCAATTGCGTTCATATCCAATCATATAATAATTGCTTATTCGATGTTGAAATAGAAACTAAGAAGGGACAACCTTACGTTAATGTCTGTATGATGTCATGTTTATATTTATCCGGGTTTAACCGTTGACTGCTTGTTGCGTCCATATGTTAGAATAGAGTAACTACTCTACTAGCTTATAGCTTCATTATATTCTCCTCGCAGTTTAGATCTTCGAAGGCTACAAGGAGCCAGGGTTCCAAAGTTTCCAATTGGTTAATCAAATTGATAGGATATTCCACATATCATTCCATTGTCTTGTTGGCAATCACTCGGCCCGTCGCTTAAATTCCGGAATCTGTAAATTCCACGTATCAGAAAGAGTAGAGATTAGATAAAGTATGATAACAAGTTCTTAAATTTACATCACGGAATGGTTTATACCACTCGCTGTGTGACAGTTCCGACTGGCCGCTCGACAATCATCATAAGTCCGTCCACAATACTCTTTCGTGCACCATCACTGGATACCTTCTTTCCGGCCAGGTAAAGAAGCCACTGAAGTCGACTAATCCGCTCGTCGGTGACACCACCCAACCACCGGAAAGGTTGCTTTGGATCAAGCTGAAACAAAACATCCAAGCTGCCGTGGGCATTACGTGAAAGGAGAACAGCCTGGCCCTTGGGCACCGCCTTACCACCGCTGAAAATAGCCTTGAATTGGTTCATAGCCAATCCGAACGACTGGTCTTGGAACTCATCCTTGTGCTGCTGCGCCCGGGTAGTGATTCCACGCACCCAGCTATCGCGCATATGCATAAAATCTGTGTTCCTTGTTGGGACAATGCGGAAGGCGGTGCGAATGCCACTTTCTTTGATGATAGCTGACCAGATAGCATCACCTCGTTCAGGGTTCATGAGAAGTTCCTTCAGCTGTTGACGCTCCGGTGAGACAAGAGAGGTAGCAGATTCAGAGGTAGCAATCGCAGTTTCAGAATCTGGTGGGTGAATAGCTGTACGTATTAGACGCTGCTGTAGCTCGGTAATGTCGGATTTTGCGACATAGAGCCCCACTACGTAGACCTGGATGGACAGGAAGGAGACAGTTCGAATTCCCAATCCTAGAAGCTGGTAGTCCTCTCCATCATCGGCCGAAAGCTCATCCCCTGACTGTTTATTGTCTGATGACGAGACATTCGGCAAGCGGATAGTACTGGGAAAATAAGGTACCGAGCTAGTTCCTGTCGCAACCTGCTCAAGATCCTCCTGACCTTCAATAGGTATCACAGATGATCCACCATCACTGGGGAATCCAGGCGGTCCGTCCAGCTTGATAGCTCCAGATTTAGATTCCGTGGCTGTGGCTTGGTTGTGTTTGGTTTCCTTCTCCTGCTTCTCCAGTGCATTCAGGCCAAATGCGTCTAACTTGATCAATCCATACATAGCAGCTGCACATGCGACCATTCCGGTAGCCGAGACCACAATTGATCGTCGGGATTTGGCGAATTGCTCTCCATTCTTTCGAGCTTGGGAGTTAAGTGGATTATTGGAGCGGGTGGATCGAAGGGTGTTGATCGTGGAAAAGAACCGGGTGTGGTGGCTTCCACGGATGCTTTGGCGGGCAATGAAATTGCAATTGCACAATGGTGTACGAAGTGAAGCGCTCATGATGAGTTCTCTGAGGTTGTTGGTAATTATCTAGGAAGCTCAAATCTACCGAAAATGTAATCGCTGCCAGGACTTGAAGGCGGGATTTCACGTGACATGGCACGATATATTGACTCGCAACAATTGGGCAAGAATGAACAAAGTAGCTCTAATGGGTAATCTCAACTATTTTGCACACCTATGGTGCATTTTGTAGAGTCCAGGGTTTCATTTCCTGGGTCAAGCCTTTAAGGAGTACCTTGGTATCTGTAAGGCGCCCTCTTAGCTAAGACCCTCAATGCGTGCTATATAATTTTCGCCTTTCAATGCTGGCAATAAAACGATATAATATTTCCAACATTCGGAGCATATCTCAACCTCAAGGTAACTGGGAAGCTAATTCCTGGTGCTGAACCAACCTAAGATTCTGCCAAATTCAAGCTCTAGAGGACGCCGTTCCCATGATATTAGCTATTCATATGGATAAGGCTTCAATCAACAGAAGAGCCTTGGAAATACATTGGATGATCGGTACACTGTCCATGAGTGTCTCCACAACTACCTTGTATCTACGGTGTCACCTGAGCTCTTTAGTGCGACAAGAATTCTCGCCGTGAGGTTTCAAATAACTTTAATAACCATGGAGTAGTCATAAAATATAAACACATGTTTGACATAGTTTGTTGAGCCTTCTAGGCAGAAAACCGGAGCGAGACAACCGTAGCGAATAACCTTGGAAAACGCCGGATTATAACCATGACTTAATCATTGAAATGTTCCTCTTCTGGTGAAGCAAGTATAAATCTCCTAGACGTCATTATCTATCAAATGCCAAGCCTTTGCGGTGACGTCGTTCAGCCGCATCGCTCGATTTACCTCATCTCCCCCACCAATCTCTCTTTTCTCATCTAACAAGTCATGGCGACCGCTAGCGAGCCAAATACCTTAGGGTGTCACAACCTCCATGTGGATTACGTTATCAATTACACCTTTGGCGATACAAGTGGGTGATCCCAGTGCATAGATAGGTAGCAGTGCTAAATTGTTTCCAGAGCAAGCAAATGCAATTGAGCAGCTAGAGGAGCTGCTCCGTGCTCTCTCCCAGGTCGGCCTTCAAACTGAGGTCAGACAGGGTGATGAATCGTCGCTTCTTGTTTTCGTTCGAGCTTCACAGAAGCAGCTGAATAAGGCGGTGTACCGATCGCGGTGAGTTGACCTAAGCGCGTAACGCGTTCCTGCTGGAATCATTAAGATTGGCCTTGACTAAGATCTTTACAGAGTCCGTGACTGGCTGTATGGAATTCGCAATGCAGAACCTGAAACGACTGGCGCCATTGAACCTCAGACAGAGGCGGAGCGGTTACGAGTGATTAGCTATATGATTACGCTCCCCGTCGAAGAAGGCGGCGCCGGCATCACCCCAAAGCACGGGCGCTGGAAGAACGTCACGGATATATTCCCATTGCACGACGAAGAAACCAACAAACAATGGATCCGTGAATGGAGCCAAAAAACCTTTCTGTCGGAGGAGGACCTGGATCAAGTGCGAAACAAGTTTGGAGAGAGTGTATGTGCATTAATCTAACCTGACCAAATCACGGGCTAACATGAAGCATAGGTTGGATTTTACTTCTCATTCCTCCAGTCGTACTTTCGCTTCCTTATATTCCCCGCCTTATTCGGCTTTGGATGCTGGTTCTTGCTGGGTGGATATTCAACGGTCTACGCAGTTGTCAACTCGCTATGGTGCATTATTTTTGTCGAATATTGGAAGCGTCAGGAGGTGGACTTGAGTTGCCGATGGCAAACTAAAGGCGTTTCTGCCGTTCGAACTCATCGACGAGAGTTCAAGTCTGTAAAGGAAGTCCAGGATCAAACCACTGGCGAAGTCCGTGGGATATTTCCCGCGACTACGCGCATGCAGCGACAGCTTCTTCAGATCCCATTTGCGCTGCTGACTGCTATCGCTCTAGGTGCCATTATTGCCACCTGCTTTGCCATTGAGATATTCATCTCTGAGCTATATACTGGTCCTTTGAAGTCTTACTTGGTACGACCCCTCTACTGAGAAATATGGATTGCCAAAGCTAATTATATAGGTTTTCATTCCAACCATCCTTCTGTCTGCGTTAGTTCCTACTATGAGTGCCGTACTGACGTCAATTGCGACCCGGCTCAACGACTATGAAAACCACGAGACAAATGATGCTTACGATGTTGCTCTAACGCAAAAAATCTTTGTCATCAACTTCATCACCTCTTACCTTCCAGTGTTCCTTACGGCCTTTGTATATGTGCCTTTCGCGAGCCTGATTGTTCCGTATTTGGATGTCTTCCGATTGACTGTCCGGCCCTTCGTGTCCAAGGAACACTGCTCCGTAAAACGATTAAACTTCCAGATCGACCCTGCACGTCTGCGCAATCAAGTCATCTATTTCACTGTGACTGCCCAGATCGTCGGATTTGCAATGGAAACCATCGTGCCGTACCTGAAGCAGCACGCGTTCCGGGAATACAAAGCGTTCAACAAGAGACGCAATGGCAGATTGGAGCGCAATGGTGACAAGGATTCACCAGAGCGGCCCAGCGTGGTATACGACGACCCTCCCGAGGAAGCCAAATTTCTGAAACGGGTGCGCAATGAAGTCGAACTGCCAGAGTATGAGGTAACCGGTGATCTGCGTGAGATGTGTATTCAATTTGGCTACCTGGCGCTTTTCTCCCCGGTCTGGCCACTCGTCCCGGTATCATTCTTTGTAAACAACTGGGTCGAACTGCGGTCGGACTTTTTCAAGATTTGCATGGAGTTCCGCCGGCCGACACCACTACGTGCGGAGACTATTGGCCCCTGGTTAGACACACTTGGCTTCCTCTCCTGGGTTGGTAGTATCTCTAGCGCAGCTTTGGTTCACATGTTCAGCGGCAACGCGCATGGCCCCAAAGGAGAGCCAAACGATATCAAGGGCTGGGCACTGCTCTTGACAATCTTCTTCTCGGAGCATTTGTATCTTATCACCCGTTTTGCTGTACAGACGGCCATGACCAAGCTCGAGCCCCCAAACGCACGAAAGGAGCGTGCTGAGCGGTTCTTGATGCGCAAACGATACTTGGAATCGACACTCCGCGCCCAAGCAGAAGATGAGGAGGCAGACGACAACCTCTCCTCGGAGGTGTCGGGACTAACCCGTTCTGCCCTTGAAGACGATGCTCGACGGACCTCCACACATGATACTGACTCTGCCGAGCGGTTCTGGATGCGTCAGCGCGGCTGGATGGAGGCTGCAGAGGTTGGCAGCCGTATCATCCAGGCACAGGCAACCGCCGAGCACAAGAAAGAGCAGTAAAATGGGACGGATATCCCTGGAAATTGAAAACTTTTCAACCTTTCGGTTTGTAAATTGGGGGCTAGGTTATTATTGACTTTTCCTGTGCGATTTAATAGTGCTATGATTTAGAGTGCGGAGTTCTTCTCTGTAGTGAAAGTAATAAATCTACTTAGCCTTCCTCTATATCCTAATTGGCATCGTACCTTTAGATGTTATTACAGTTTGATATTTACATGCTACCTATTTCAACAAGAGTCTGGCCTGGAAAATTTCAACCCGTGTGCTTCAATCTCCAGCTCTCATATTTTTTAGACGAAATTGACGACTCGCTTGTCTTTGCTATACAAGCGGATTTTATCCAGCAAGCCACCAGGTCGAACAAGATCCTCATAAGCCTTTTTGTTCGTAGGTAGATCCCAGAAGGGACTACTTCCCTTAGTAACTTCGATATTATGCTGCTGCACGATTTCCCTCAGGAGGCCCTGGACACGATTGCTGGGGTCCTGGCCAACGAGCTCCATATCATGCAGTAAAGCGACCAGAGCCGGAAGGTCTTGACAGACATGCCAATAATAAGCAATTTGCTCATCATAGAGAGCCTTGCATGTTCCGAAGACTGCTGAGAAACGGCCTTGTGCTTTCAGGGAGGATTGGAATTGGCCGATTAGTGGTGAGCCTGGGAAGTGAGCACCTAGAATGCGGAATGCTGTCAGGCAGACCATTGGGTATAATCGTGAAATCACATGGTTTACTGGGAGTATGTCTGGGATGTTCAGAGTTGGAGATGACGAGGGTTGGTTGGATTCTTGTGATCCGTCGGACGCATCGTTAGCGGTGCCGGAGACAGAGATTGATGTGAGTGCTGATGTGGGTACTGATGTGGGTTTAATTGTTGTTGTCTCTGTCGACTCCAGCTGCTTCATCATGGAGAAAATCCTTTCATTGCACAACTCCCAAATCCCTTGGTCTCCTTTCCCGGAATTGAGGGCTTCGAAAAGCTCGGCTTCGATTTTGCTTCCTTCACGGTCGACGACGTAATCTATAGCTTCCCTGACAGAGAGATATCGATCAAATTGACCATCCGCTTCTTTGATGGGCTCGAGGTCGCTGAGTCTGATTTTGTAGAGCTGGTCGACGGTTGATTTCGCGTCACGCTTGGCTGGTTTTAAAGGACTCAGTCTCTTTTCTTCTTGGATAAGACCGTCCCTGGATCCTTGCCCTAGAGGGTTTTCCTCCTTATTTAGAAATTTGAAATAATCCAAAAGCTCAGAGATATCGCTCTTTGCAGCGGACGGAACCACTGTTTCTATTTCCGCCGGAGTCACACCCTCCTCATCTTTCTTAGGGCCTATCTGGGCAATAAGATCTGCGAAAATACTTTGTTCCTGGCGAGTATACGTTTGGCGGGCAGTTGACCGATGATGTGTTTGTTTATGGTGAGTGAGCGCCGAGCGCCGGCGGAGGTAGCTTTTTCGCCATGGTTTGGTAGGAGGAGCGTCTGCTAGTGCTGAATCATACTGTTCCGATGCATTTTCTATATTTTTTTCAACCGTTGGATCGCGAGTTTTGCTCACTTGATCTGCTATAGGTGCATGATTCAATGAGTCTCGATGTTGGAACCGCCGAGCGAATGGGGCGCGGCACGCCTGCGAAAAAATCGGCGTTCTGCAATATCGGACTGAAATATATGGTTGATTACCTGACGGTATCAACTTTGAAAGCCTTGTCGCCATCGAAATTGTACGCAGTATATTGTAGGAGGCCTAGTGTACTCCGTTGCTATCAGTCAAAAAAAGATCTGATACTGCGTCATACATCACGTGATCTCGTATTCAAATTTCAATCTCTACGATCTGATTCATCTTAGCTGAGTATCTATGGAAGATCTTGTATTTCTTAGTCAAGGCACTGATTTCCCAAATACCTTAACTGACTATCGCTTCAGTTCTCAAAATCAATACTTTCCGATCTCGATATTGATATCCGAAATTCCTAAACTGAGAGGCAACATCAACTTCAATGGCATCAATTTCCGTGCCCTAGTTTAAGAATCTAGGCGTCTGGAGCAACTTCACCGGAAAGGAAGGCCTCCCTACTAACTGCAGGCATGGACCGACCTCGTAAAAGCTTATAAAAATTGGATGCGACATGACTATGGACTCCCGTCTGGTTATCGACAATACGGTCGTCAACCAAGCCATAATTATATCAGAAGAGCTGAGCAGCCGAAAAATATACAGATTTCTCTATTTCAAGTATCGTGACAATTACAGACAAAACTAGGACGCATTTTTTCAGTAGACTAGCTCAAAAGCTATTGTATCTCCACACTGACGACTTCAAATATGTTCGTAAGTAAGCCAACCAATCTCAGGAAGTTAGGTATAAAATGGTGGCTATACAATCCACTTCTACCTTTCCTCAATGGTTGCTCGATATCTGCTTCTTGAGTGCACTTAGCCACGGGTCTTACAGGGCAGCATAAATGGGTTCTATCTATATTCCGGATGATGACAATGGACGACAACGAGATAGTCATCAACCCAGGCAACATAATGATCTGGATGAAACTGGTTAATAAAGCCGCCAACTTCAAATCATCACTGAGCCTAGCAAATGATTCAGCATCGCACACCAACGCTGTCGCGAAGCAAGTCACCTAGAAAGAAGGCCAGGCTCCCGTGGCGTCTCAAGAACGAAAAAGAAGGCAGAGGAATCAAAAGATGAGGTCTCAATCACGGCCTGTCTATACTTAAGATGGGGAAATGAAATTCAACTCTTAGATGAGCCTTTGAGTTTTTCGGCAGATTTCAAGCCAGAAGGCTACCTAGGTATTCAACTTTTCGGAGCGTCCCAACATCTCATTTTTGGGGGGTACCGCCTACAAAAGACTATTACTCCTGCTGGTGGGGATGCTCTAGTATTATGGTCTGCTTACTTTACGTTTATTAGGATATTCAAACTCAGGATCAATAGGCATCACTATTGAGAAAAAGAGAATGAAAATTATGCGCCGGGGGACGAGTGGGACTAACTAAACCGAATAGGAAATCAAAACACAGCTTTTTCCAGCGTATATATCCAAAACACCGAGAACTCCGTGTTAAAAGGAGGGTAGTAAACTATGAGTAGTAAAATAAAGCAAATATCTCAGAGGCCCAGCCCCATTCCACTAACATTCACATCCCCTCCAGGGGAAATGGAAGGACAAACACAACCCGGAGGGATATCATTAGGGGACCATCCAGAAGATGCAGACGACACCGAGCGTGATCCTAGTATTGTTCGGGCAACGAGAGTGAGAGGCGAAACGACAGCTCCCTGACGAGCATGAAGCAGACCAAAGCGGAGGAAGACCTCAAAGAGGGTAACAAAGATAGATAGTAGGATAAGAACAATGACAATCCAAGTTTGGTCTGAAATCTGAGGTTAAAATCTGTTATAGTGAATAGTTTTGGATCAACGTACGTGAAGTTCGACTATCGGCAATAGCGTCCGAGAGAATTTCCGCAAGATCCAAAAACACACGGCAACGCTCATTGAGAACCAGTATCCGAGGTTTGATCTCCAGATACTCGCGTACGGCAATGTAAAGAGGGTAAAGAGTCGGTTCGCTTTCCCAGAAAAAGTTGGGAACGTCCAACATGTTAGAGGCTAAACGATAATTAGTACAGCAACAGAAAATATAAGTAAAACAAGGCTTACAAAGGTTGACCTCCACACGACTCTTGAACAGACGTCCCAGGATTCGGAAGACGTCCTCACGTTTCATGCCAAGTTGCCCGGTTGTGGCCAGTCGGCGCGGGATATCCTTTGCGTCTGACATTTGACGAGCCATGACCTCCTCGAAGAAGCTCAACTTAGTGCTCTGTGAAATTCCATGACTGATAGCCAACTTAATCATATGATCACTGCTGCGGAGAGTGATCATGTCATTGTACACGCGAGGGCGCGCGATGTCGGTTGAATACTCAAAATGGAAGTCTTCAGTTTCAAAGTCTTCTTCCTGAAGAGGCATCATAGCCAATGGGATGGATATCCCCGTGACCGATGAAGTAGCAAATGCCAGATCAGCCAACAAGTCCTTTTCCTGTCGCTCAGTAAAGTTCCAGAACACAACTACACCATAACTGAAGACAAACATCTCGGCAACATTATAAAAAGTGCGAGCTGGGGCTGGAGGAATGGAAGAGGACGAGGAAAGGGACACCTGAGAGGGACGTTCCCGATAAAGAGTGTGGCCATCGTCGGAGCTGTGTCGACGGGGACGAGGGGCAGGCTCCTCAGCTTCATCAGTGCCAGTCTTATCACCATTTCGCTCCTGCTCATCTGAAAGGCGGTTGCCATCTTGTGAGATGTGGTCTAGGAATCGCTTGTGCTGCTCATCGTTGGTGTGATGATCATTGGAATCCTGGGGTGATTCCCCTGGATTATGCTCATCTTCGGGCCGGTTGTATCCACCAACAGAGTGATCTTCAGCTTCACCGATGTAGTCATCGTGATGATCGCGCTGCTCGTTGCGCTCAATCTCTTCGTCCAAGAGTGACTTGCCACCAGGAACTTTCAGAACCGGACTGCTCCGCAGACGATATCCATCGTGTCCTGGGAGAAGAGGCAAATGATAAGCGGCATAAATGCAGTCATCATACAATTTAGTTCGAGCGCCGTGCCACTCCTTGACGAAAGAGGTGACCGCCTGCATCTTGTACGCCTGTGCGGTGCAGTATGCTGTCACTCGGGCAAGTTTTTCTGTGCGGCGTGCCTTGGGTAGTCGCTCAGCATAGCTCTTCGACTTTTCAGGCGCAATACGACGCTTGCGAAGGGTTTCCTCATCTGCAAGCATAGGCGCAAAGTCATTATCCACACCAAAATCGCCGCCCAGTCGCTTCTGCACTAGAAGCTGCTGCCGCACCACCTCGGGGTCAATATGTTTGTCATGGGCTAGTCTAGCGACTAGCTCTTCGTCTACAAGTTCAACATCATCGTCTTCATCGTCCTCATCCTCTGGCGAATCATCTGATCCACCGACACTAGTATCAGGCAACAGGACCAGTTTTTCGCTAAATTTGGTCGTTCGAGGGGGCAGACGGGGCTGTGCAGCGAGTCGACCTATTTTACCCGTTACAATGGAAGATGCGGTCGCACTACTCGCACCTCCATTACCTATCGCAGCAACTAAGCGACGAGATCGGGAGATTGGTGCGGGATGCCGCTGTTGCATCGACGGGACATCGGAGGCATATTGAAGCACATTATCAACAGTGATGAATCGAGTGCCAGAGGGGCGCCCTTTTCTAATCGTGGATGTAGGCTGTTGGTCACGGGAGTCTGACACCTATAAGCAGCTGTCTTAGTATGGTTTCTGCAAGGATGTAATCAAACATTTTCCAACGGGCGCTTACAAGAACAGTCGGGCTACGCTGGCTTGTGCCCCGACCATGAGCTGGAAGTGTCATGGCTTTGTCCCTGACTTGAGGACAGAGTGAATTGCTCCAAATTGCGGCAGGGAAATAAGATGATGAGATGCGGACTTGAAGTTAGACAATGGACCTTGAACTGCTCCAATGCGCTATACTAAGTTGGGACTAGCGGCTATTAACGATTGATGACGTAACACAATACACGTGCTTGAACAACTGTTCGTTCATCTCTATTAATTGTCTTGTTTAGGTATTTAACGAACATCTAGTATCTACTTCGTTTAGAAACAAAAAAACGCGCACTCGGTATCGAATACCCAACCTCGTATTTTCATCAAAACGGAAATAGCAGCTTAAATCCCCAGTCAAAGCCATTTATTAGAGAGAGAAAAAGAGCTCCTTTTAGTGTCAGCATAACACCCTTGGTAGGTAACATCCCAACTGTCTGGATAATGAGTATTCTTGGTGTTCTGCCTTGCGGTACCGCCTATTATGACCGCCCGGCATAATTCTACATTCGACAAAAGAGAAGGAGCGCTATAAGTCTTCCTATTTTAATTTCTATGATAGAAGGTTCAAGGCATGGTATATCTGATTATGCTGTTCACAACCAATCCCTAGGTAAAAAGGTTTTTTCTTTCTCTCGATTTTTTCCTTCTCTCGGTTTTTACGATGTATAAGCCTTCATATCTAGAGAGCCCTCAACCCGAATCGACTCGGAATACCCTCCAATCCTTTCTGAGCTTCAATTTCTGACACACTATCAGCAACCTTTTCCTGATGAAATGACACGCCTAAGTTCTCAAGCCTCAACAAGCCGCCGTATAGGGGCAATCAAATCTCGATTCGGGTGCAAAACCTGCAAGTGCGTTACTGTCTCCTCCTTTCTTGTGTAGGCACTGACCCAGTGGACAGGATTCGTAGAGTCAAATGTGGCGAAGAGAGGCCGAGGTGTCTCCGCTGCTCTAGCACAGGACGGCGATGTGACTTTGAGAACAGTGAGGCACTATCATCAGATGCAATACCCAGCTACGCACTGTCGTTATCTCCAAATACAGGACAACGAGAGCGTCGCGCATTTGAATACTATTTCCATCATGCATCACAACATCTAGCCGGCGGGATGGGTATTGACTTTTGGACATCGATTGTTCCGCAAGTCTGCCGCAGCGAGCCCGCAGTATGGGATGCCATGATTGCAATTAGCGCATTGTTTGAATACCCCAATCAGTGTTTGGACTTTCATTTTTTGAGTGATCACCGAAAAAATGCGTACTTTCTCAACAATGTCCAACAAGATGCCTTGACATGGTACTCGCGATCGATCTCCAGCGTGAACTCAAAGATCCAGCGCGGCAGAGCTGATCCTTACATTTCACTCATAAGCTGCGCTCTATTCCACTGTGTGGAGACAATTCAAGGACGTACAGAAGAAGCCTTGAAACTCTATCGACAAGGTGTCAGCTTGATTCTTGACCTTCGCGTCCAGATGGGTCGTGAAGGAGCATATTCTGAAAAGGCCGCACTATTAGAGCGTCACATTATGCCTTTGTTCCTGCGAATGGGCACTCTTTCGTTGACCATTTCAGGAACCCCACCTCCTAGTGAGCTTTTAGTTCTTTTCAAAATAGGCCTAAGCGCCGGTGTTAAATGTATTGATTCGGCAAGAAACACGATTTCTGTTCTAGCTGCAGAAGCCGTCCTCTTTGAACGCGAAGCAGCCTCACGTCTTCGGGAAATAGGATCTCCGCCCGCGATCAGCGCAGAAATGATTGCGAAAAAAGAAACGCTCCGAGCCCTACTTACCGAATGGCATCTTGCATACACTAAACTTGGCCAAAGCACCAGCTCTCCATCTACGGAGCCTTTGTTACTATTATATCACGCTGCTGCATCGATTTGTGTGACTGGATGCTTACAACAAGAGGAGACTGTTTATGATGTCCATTTTGCAGACTTCACCACTATCGTCGAGCAGTCTACTGTGATTCTCGGAGCAGCAGGTTCAAATGGTGCCCAGACACCATTCACATTCGAGGCGAGTGTGGGGCCCCCTCTCGCCGTGACCGTACTGAGATGTCGTGATCCAAGTTTGCGGCGAAGAGCATTAGAACTATTGCGACGAGCGCCTCCAATACAAGGATTTTTCAAATGCCCTCCATTGGCTCTTTTGTCAGAAGCCTTAATAAACCTGGAGGAGGGATATAGCCTTTTTCTTAGGCAAGGGAATCCCAACCTTGTCCACAACAATGCCTCACTTGGCCTACCAGTTGTAAAGCCTCAGTCCGGGTCACAAGCAGCTCTCATCCCTGAAGAGGCTCGAGTCCATGACTATGGTATATTCAGACCGAACAAGCGGCAGCCTCATTGGATCACTGAAGACCATATAGCACAGTACGGTCTTGGACCAGATCAGCTTTATCTAGGGTTTGCAAGAAATCAATTCGATGTAGAAACCAACAGTTGGCGACCGAATTATCAATGCATTCCCTTGGGAGGCTAATTTTGAGCGATTTTCTCGTATGAGATTCGCCTTGATTTTTAATTACATGACACCTTCCTATTTCAAAATTGAATCCTTTATTTTTGTACTACTTTTGTTCTATTCAGGCGAGTCGTCGTTAAATCCCTTTTTTTTTAAGTCAAAAGTTTGGCCAGACTACTGCAGTCTCTGAGAACCGACTTGTCAACTACCAAAGATTCTTCCTGATTCTGTTTAACGGTCGGGCCTTCGGTTAGTATTCCGGTTATTCGGTCAGAAGCCCGAGCAGGTTTTGATCTACAACTTATACTAACTGTTCTGCATTCAGTATAACTGCCCAATTCCTGCGTATGCAGTCCATATGTATGCATGCGTCCAACGCCCATAGAACTTGAACCTGGAATTTCATACTTTCGCAACTGATGTGTCGCAACTTGGTTATCACCGCTTGAGTTATGGCGATCTATTTCCCATAGAGTTGTCGCTTAGAAATCCGATTTAAGGTTGTTTACCTCTCCGCTCGCAGTGAAAGCCGCTTTGGAATGTCTAACCCCAACTGATCAACAGTCCAAGCAATATTCGATAAGGCTAGAATCTCGCAATTGTATCAAAACCTGATGTCAACTAATTTTCTAGGTAATAGGGCGCAGGGCACAAAAAAAAACTAGACAAGTGGAGACTCAGATCCACTAAAACATACTAAAGTACAATTCTTCTGGTTTGACCCAGTAATTGTGGAGTTTGGTTGCTTTCGGTAAATTCCCTTATAAAGCCTGTATAGTCTGAAGTTCCTGGTCCTTCTGTTAGTGAAGTTGACTCATATCGATTCAAATGAGCACCACCACGTTTACATCACAATGGCGGACCACTTTCCTATGGAGGAACAGCTGCAGAAGGTCATGTCTAAGACGGGTTAGTTCTTCACTTTTATCTACTTCAATTCAAATTTCCCACATCTAAAATGTATTGTAGAAGATGTGATCATTTCACCAAATGAGTCGCAAGGGTCGCAAGAAGAGTCACTGTCAGATACGGACTCGGAAATTGTCCACGAGGCTATTCAACAGAGATATGATGGTCCATCAGGTCTTCGTTTCCGCCGAGTTGCTTCAAAAACAATCGTCTCTTTTGGTCCAAACGATCCAGACAGCCCTTATAACTGGAACAAGGTACGTGAGTTGACCGAAAAAGAAAGAACACTATTAACAATTAATCACTATAGACCAGGAAGTTTCTGGTACTTGCCGCTGGAGTGTTACAGGTATGCTATTACTTCCCAAGTCAATTACTTAGACTCGTATGACTAACTCTCTGATAGGTCATGAACAGTACCATTGCTTCATCCATATGCAGTAACGCTATTCCCCAGATCGCTACAGAGTTCGACATCACGAACCAGCAGATGCTAGTTCTACCGATTTCCATCTTCCTCGTTGGCTACATCGTGGGTCCACTGCTATGGGGCCCAAGCTCAGAATACTTTGGTCGACGAATGCCATTGTTAGTTGCATTTGGCGGATTTATGATATTCATGCTAGCATGTGCCGTGGCCAACTCTTACGCATCTTTGCTTGTCTTTCGATTGCTTAACGGCATGTGTGCGTCGTCGGCAATTTCCATAACAGGCGGACTGTTTGCCGATGTACACGACAATCCGACCAAGAGAGGTCGACTTATGGCATACTATATGGCCTGTACAACCTTTGGACCTATCATGGGACCGTGGATATCCGGTTTCGTCGCCGTCGTCAGCTGGCGATGGTGCTTTTGGATCGGACTCATATGCGCAGGTGCATCCTTACCCCTGATCCTCATCATGCCTGAAACATATGGCCCAGCTATCCTGAAGAGTCGTGCGAAGAAGCTTCGAAAGGAGACTGGAAATCCGAGTATCATATCACCGTTGGAACTGGACAGTCGTAACCTTCGGCAGATGGCTATTGTCACGATATCTCGACCATTCCGGATGATCCTTCATGAGTCTATCGTGTCACTATCATCGCTTTACCTTGCGTTGGCTTATGCCATTTTCTACCTCTACTTTGAGGCATATCCAATCATTTTTGAAGGTGAGTTTTCGATAATCAGGAACTGGAATATCTGCTAATCCTTGTCTTAGGCATTTATGGCATGAGTTCTGGAGTCTCAGGACTGATGTTCTTGCCAAGTAAGTAACACATTCAGCACAACAAATTTATTCAGCTCTAACAGGTGACAGTCGGCATTGGCGCAATTTTGGCGTGCCTTATATTCATTTGGTATGACGGCTACCTCGCCCGCGCTAAAGCTCGCAATGCAAGCTGGGCCAACATCGAAGAGTATCGGCGCCTTCCACTTGCTTGCATCGGAGGTCCGCTTTATGTGATAGCACTCTTCTGGGTCGGCTGGACTGCTAACCCAAGTATCCCATGGGTGGTTCCTTTCCTGTCAGGAATTCCTTTCGGCATGGGGTATGTATCCGTATCAAACGCAAATTTCTAATTGGATCAGCTCAGTTAACTCAATAATCTCTATAGGTATCTCTTAATTTTCATGACAATGCTCAATTACCTGACTGACGCCTACGAGACACTTTCTGCGAGTGCCCAGTCCGCAGCCAGCTGCACGAGAAGCATCCTCGGTGCACTTCTACCACTCGCCGCCAAGCCGATGTTCAACCGACTTGGAGTACACTGGGCATGCAGTCTGATAGCATTCCTCGCTATGGTAGTCTCTATAATACCCTTCGCATTCATCCGATACGGCGACCGTATCAGAGCAAATAGCAAATTCTGTCAGGAGCTTAAGGCGATAAAAGAGGCTGAACAGCTAGAGCTCGAAAGAGAAGAGCGTCTTGAGAATGGTTCTGATGAGCTGCAGCCTATCCCATCTGTTGCTACTGGTCGAATGAGTCGGGTTTCCAGAATCGATACTGCTCGCAGCAATGTCGAGAAAGCTTCCATCATCTGTGGATGAAGCTGACACTGACAGCATGCCACATTTAATGGTGAGATTCGATCTTCAAGTCAAAAGTGCTTTTTGTTGGTGTTTTCGTTTGAGCGATATAACATGATAGATATGACATGACATCTAATATTAATCTTTATGGATAAAGTTTTGACCCATATCTCGAGTACCTAATATCAACGTCAAGAGATCTGTCTTTAGTGCATCTCCACGGCTCTTGATGAAGTGTTGACACATGTATGGTTGGGTAGATATTGCAATATCCACCTAGTTCTTTCACATCCAGACTTCACCCCATCGATAGCCTCATCCGAAGCTTGAAAGTAATCGTTGGTTTTCAGGTTCTAATTGTCAAAAAAATAACTAATTCGGACTTTGAATACTTTAGGTCCTTAACACTGACAATGTCGAGTCCCGATCTCTTCTTGGAATTTGGTTGAACGCAACGACAAATGAATTTTTGCTGTTTTTGGACTCTCAAAACAAACTCGCAAACTCGATCGAGTGTGACGAAAGACAAATGTAGTTCTTGATAGGCAGATGGTGATAACTCAATAAAAGATGATCGCAGAGGAACGAACATCGGTCGATTGGCCGTCCACATAGCTTTACGAGAACCTTCTCGCTTTCCTTCTCCTTAGTAATAGTCTCATATTATGTATAGTTATATGACGGAAATTTCATCATTAAAAGTCCGCTACTTGCTCCACGGCACAACCCTACATCCCGGTGGACATACTTCAATAAGGCACTTTTGAAGGAAACAGAACATGCTAAACATAAGGTCTATTTTTTTTTTTTTTTTTTTTTTCAGGAAGAAGGACACCCTCGCGACACAAAAAGGAACTTGAGGCACAAAGGCCAAGGGTCAGGGTGGTGGAGAAATTGAAAAAGGAAAATGAAGTCTCAAAATTGACTAAATGGTATTGGAAGGAAAGATCTGGTATGGTATGGTGGAGGTAAAAGGTAGAGCGGGAATATGTACTTACGTATTTATTCACCGCAGAAGAATTGGGCCGGAAAAGAATATTTCCGTTTTTGGTCTTGAATACAGCAAAGAATGATTTCTCGTTGATTATATTCTCGAACTGGACCAAACCTTCCGAGGTTGCTTCTTATGTTCAAGAAATGTGCTGAGATACTTAGAGACTATAGAAATATTCATTCTAGTAGACTAAGTCTTTTTTATCTAAAATTACCATGACATTGAATATGCTAGTATATGTCTCTTCAGTGGCTGACCCCAATAGATGAAGTAGTGGTTGCTTGCATAATGCTAGCAGGGCCATGGTAAGTTAGTGCCTGAGGCATGAATAAAGACACACTCCGATAAGGTGAATCGATAAGCCATGTCAAATGAACCTCGGCTCTTTTGGACCCACCTTAAAGCCGGCCGAACCCCCGATTTTGCGGCTTCGTTGTTATTTTCAACTTAGACGGTCATAAGTTGATGCAACCATTGCAATGGCTAAGCGAGTCACATTTCTGGAGCCTGCCCAGCTAGACAAATCCAAGGCTGCCATCGAGAATGTCCTCGACCTAGTCGCCGTGGTGGACCTGGGACCGGTATGATCCGCGAATAAGCTAGATCCCCACAGGATCCAAGATCGCCTAGGACTGATTAATCCCACATCCAGGACGTATTCACCAACGCTCGTGAATTGTGGCATCCCCCGGGAGCTCGAGGCATTTATGGCGGCACCGCTATTGCTCAGTCCCTCTCCGCCGCGATGCGAACAGTGCCCGAGGATTTCGCTGTGCATAGCATGCACTGCTACTTCGTTCTTGCCGGCGATGCCGAAATGCCGATTCTATATCATGTGGAGCGGGTGCGCGATGGTCGAAGCTTCATAACCCGCACCGTCCAGGCGAGGCAAAGAGGAAGACCAATCTTCACAACTACACTCAGTTTTAGTCGAGTCGGTAGCGGGGGTAAGAAGACCATCACGCACGCCGAATCAAAGCCAGATGTGCCATTTCCAGATGACGCGCTTCCCGGAACACTAAGCGCTCTCGATAACGTGGGAGGTGGTCCTTTTGAAATGAAAAAAGCGGGAACTGTCAACCGAGGCTCTCCAAATCCAGAGGATAAAAAGATCCTGCGATTTATCCGTGCACGTGGCCATATCTCCGAAGAAGGTGGCTCACAAGCGCATATATCTGCTCTCGCTTACGCAACAGATAGCTACTTCATTGGCACTGTCGCTCGCGTTCACGGTATATCCCGATTCTCATCTGCAGCAGAGCTTCAAATGCTTCTCAGAGCATTGAAAAACCCGTCAGATCTCGATGATGAAGCTATCACGAAAGCATTCGCAGAGCTGAGGGAGGAGGAAGCTGCAGAGCTACAACGTCGCCTAGAAGGTGCACTCAGCAATGTCACAGACGCTGATAAACGAAACGACCACAAAGAGGTTGGGATGTTGGTCAGTCTTGATCATACAATCTACTTTCACAACCCAAGGGCCTTTCGGGCAGATCAGTGGATGCTGATTGAGATGGAGAGTCCATGGGCGGGCGAAGGGCGAGGGTTGGCAATTCAAAAGATTTGGTCGCATGATGGGGTTTTGATTGCTACCTGTACACAAGAGGGAGTTGTTCGATTGAAGCAGGACAAGCCTCTATCTAAGATTTAGATATGCGCAACAAAAACTGTCCATTTCTTTTCAAACTTTCAATTACATTTTAGACAAAAGACCTTGATTTCAATGCTGCCAACATATCTCTGTAGAATGAATTCAAAATTCAATTGACACGATGAATGCTAGTATTCTGTAAGACGCCGCACTTTATTTACTCGCAAAAGAACCGTACAAGATAACGCGTATCCAAAAGTCATCGATTGAACAAAAATGATTAGAAATGAGTAGAAAAAGCGAAAAATTTATAAAATTTGGCCAAAACTCACTTCTCCTAAGACTTCCCAAGGGCTTCGATGATGGGAGTTGAAGAACTGTTACTATAGTTTTTAAAGTTGTCTTGACTTAATCTTGAAGCTCCAGCAATTGAGAGCAAGGAGTATGCAGAATCGCTGGGTTGGCTGTGACCCGCTATACCACCGCACTAAAGGACCTTGGGGGATGTAAAATCAGAGCACTGCCCTATGATTTAGGAAACGAATGCGAATATAGCAAACTACTTGCCTGGTATTTAAGGCAGAAATGCTTTAGTCTTAATTAGGCATTCTTGCCGCATCTTCACCAATGATAATCCTCAAAATCAGGTTTATCAAATACGCTAGACCGTATATAACAATCTAACCGCCCACTGTCGGATAGCTTACTTAAAGAGTAAACTTGCCGACATTCACTTGCTGAATCCCCGCGATTCCACTCCGTAATCCATTGCTATAAAGTAGGACAAATCCTAGAGTCTTGAAATGCATTCAAATCATAATCCAGTGATTAATTACGATAATTCTCATGTCGAAAACAGCTACCAAAGCGGCAGTTGCCGTCCAAACCAAGGCTGCGGGTGATATCTCATCGGTTTTCCCCAGTCTCAGACCGGACTACCAACCTGAACCACTTTCATCTCGCTTCCGCGATCTGAAATTAGGGTTATTCGAGAAGAATGAGAAAGCTTTGACAGATAGTTGGAAAAGGCTGTTACCCAGCCTGCAAAATGAAGTGGCACAAATCAAGTCGAAAGGCAGTGATGTAAGTTCAATACAGAATTGAACACCAGACACATACTAATTTCACAAGATCATTCCTTCTGTGGAATACGCCGACATCGTGTCGGGAAATGTCACGGAAGAAACTCTTAAAGAGATCCGTCATCGCGGCTCAGTCGTGATTCGTAACGTGATTCCCCGAGAGCAATCCCTGGAGTACAAACAGCGAATCCGGGAGTACATCGCTGCGAACCAAGAGCGTGTCAAGGCATTCCCGGCTGACACGCCTACCGTTTATGAACTTTACTGGACACCAGCTCAGGCAGAAGCTCGCGCACATCCCAACATGCTTGAAACCCAGCGCTTTCTGCAGCACCTGTGGTATTCATCGGACCCAAACTCGAAATTTTCGAGATCCAATCCACTCAGCTATAGTGACCGGCTGCGAATCAGAAACCCCGGTGATGCCAAGTTCACCCTCGGTCCTCACGCTGATGGTGGCTCGTTGGAGCGCTGGGAAGACCTAGAGTACTCCAATGTCTATTCCAAGATCCTCGAGGGAAAATGGGAGGACTACGATGCATGGGATGCAAAGCACCGATTGTCTGCAAAGATGGATCTTTATAACGGCGCAGGTTCTTGCTCGATGCTACGTTTCTTCCAGGGCTGGCTCTCTATGTCGGATACCGGACCTGGCGAGGGTTCTCTACATGTTTGCCCCATGATCAAGCACAGCACGGCATACACGATTTTGCGACCTTTCTTCGACGTTGAGAGTCAGAAGCCAAAGATGGACGCTACATTCCCCGGCTCTGTACCAGGTGCTTGTCAGGAGTATAACCCGGTGACACATCCTGAGCTGGAACTCGAGACGACTATGGTTTCTATCCCATATGTCCAACCGGGAGATTTCGTTGCCTGGCATTGTGATTCCCTGCACTCTGTCGACAAAGAACACCGTGGTAAGGGTGATTCCAGCGTGATGTATATTCCTGCCACCCCTCTGTGTGACATGAACGTCGAGTATTTGCTTAAGCAACGTAAGGCTGCTCTGGAGTACTCGCCTCCATGGGATTTCCCCGGTGCTGGTAGTGTTGGTGAGTTTGGATTCAAGGGGGCTACAGACTGGTCTGCATTGAATATTGACGGAAAACGCGCCATGGGTATGGGCGATTCACCGTGGGAAATCACTCATGAAATGAGCGAGGGTGAGAAGGCCGCTATTCGGTCTGCTAATGCCGCGTGCTTTGATGAATGAAATCATTGAGCAGTCAGTGTCATTCATTAGTTGATCGAAAATGATAGCCAATTCAAATTTAGACATTTCTGTAGAAGAACTATATTATTCTCAGCATTTCTCGGAGCTTGAATAGAAAAGAAAAAACGTCTCTATAGATCTGTCTACCGGTGAATATGCCGGGACCGCCTGTTTTAAATTGGGCTCACAGAAGGAATATCAATCCCCAATCCTGTACAAACCTTATCGACTATCGTCCTCAAAAAACTCTCAATATAAGCTGGATCATGATATCGACTATCAAAAACAGCACAAAGCTCCAACTCTCCACCCCAACTTCCCATAAAACACGCCAATCCAGGCCCAATAGCCTCTGACAGACAAACCACACGTGTCAACTCGAACGGTCCCTGCTTGGCCGCAACTACAGTCGAGATATCACCAATTGAAGAAAGCGGTACAGCGCAGAAGGGAGATGTAGATGTCACAGCATGCGGATTGAATCCGACAGCAGGTGTGAACGGTTTAATGACAGCAGGAGCCACGGCGATCTGTTCATGAACCCTGGATGTATAAGAACAAGTCGGACGGGTGGCCTCGTAAAAGCTTTTTAGGTCAAGTGTGATCTGGCGCAAATCCTTGCCCGTATCCAGCTTCCTGTCTGAAACACTGGGGACAACGAGATCGATTTGTATAGTCTGCGCCGAAATAGTATGGCATGATGCAGCAGCATTATCTGCGCTATTGTACGGCTCGTCACAATAAGGTCGCAGGTTGATAATGCTATGACTGACATAACGAACAGGATATTCCTCCTCCTTCTTATTTTGAAGTTCAGCCAGCGTCAAAGCAAGCGCAGCAGTGAAAACATGCGTAACGCTAACTCCAGGCGAAATGGACTTGCAAAGACCGAGAATCTGCTTCGTGATATTACGTGGAATGAGGAACGAAACACAGTTTGTCCTTGACGGTGTTGAAGGCATGGGTATTCGACTGGCAGGAATGCACAACAGACTTGGGTGGGAATAAGCCCTTCTATTCTCAGCTTGAACGGCCGCAAACCATTTCGTTTCAGCCTCTGACAGGACCTCGGGGATTTTAGCAGCTACTCTTAGGCACGGAGCGAGTCTGATAGCCTCATTGCCCCATACTGGCATTGTAAACTCTTTGCCTTCTTGGTATGCCTTGCTGGCTAAATCGAACAATTGGTGAAGTAAGAGGAGAATGCCAATCCCATCTGTGATATCGTGCGGACCGCGCAGGAATACAGCCGTACCGTGTGGCGTGCGGACGAGGAAAACACTCGCCTGTTCGAAATCAGGTGCATCATCATTAAACCAAGCAAGTGGATATTTGTCTGTATCATATGTTTGGAAAGTAGACTGCAGCCAGCTGTCTTGATCCGCACCCTCCAGTGCCGAGTAAGTTCTTTTCACAGGGCCAGTTTCATCGTGAGCAACCCGTGAAGCCAGACTAGGATGCCGGTGACGAAGACAAACCCAAGCCTTTCGTAAAGCAGATTCAACACGTTCATTATCGGGGATGTTGGAGTCGACACTAAAAGATGCGAAGCCGGTGACAGGATAGCAGCCACTCTCTGTCTTAGCAGAACGAATATAGAATCTCTCCCATTCATCGATATTTCTCTCCCAATATCCAGGGGACAATTCCTTCCACTCGAAAGATCCAGACTGGACCGCGGCTATTGAGAATTATACAAGTCAGATTTGTACAAAAGTACAACCTCGGTGTACACGTGGGCTTTACCAACCTGTCATTTTCTAGGGCTTCAATTGACAATATTCTTAGAAGTCTAAAGTATGAATTAGAATTAGAATTAGAATTAAAATTGGAATTGGAATTGGAATTAGCACTCAGAGAAGCAACGGAAGCCATCTTTTACCCGCCTGTCCCGCAAGTGGGTAATCAGGGGTCGATGCCCTGAGCATGCCATCCTACTCGGTACTACAAAGTACTTAGAACTTCCAAGTTTTTATCTAGCTCCACTGAGTTATACCTCTTTTGAGATTTACGCCGTCGGCTAAAGACGGTGAACTAGCGCGGATATCATTCCTCTTGCTTTAAGAGACTGAAGCTGTTTAAAGCCAGTTAAGTTGGTTGGGATTCTGTTATAGGCGTTTATTTAAAACCGTTTAAAGTTTAAACGTTCCGACCACCTTTGTATTGACAACACATCTATGAATACTCACTCCTTCGTACCATCCAGGCTTGGAGACAGGATTTTAGATCAAATTCCTTCCGTTCCAAGTTCCTTCCGCTGTCCTTGGCGCATTTTATCGCGTGATTTTGTAAAAAAAGTCTTGACCAATGAGCGATAAATAGTCTTCCCCTCTAACGTCTGGCTCGCAGCGCCAAAAATGTATAGAATAATCCCTGTCAAGAAGAAGATCACAGCAAAGGCAACCCAATAGTCTGCCTTTGTGTACCCGCCTTTGACACCCCGGAGTTCAGTTGAGAAGTACGCCGTCATCAAACTGACAGGAAGGAACAGGATCGTCGCCTTCGCTAGCAGGATAGTGATCCTAGTAAGTTTCTCCACAGCCTGGGAGTCTTTTAGCGCAATAAGGTTGAAATTCTGTATCAGGTTAGACTCGTACTTTCATATAAGACTCCGCAGAGTTCAAGTGTCATCGTACCAAGAACGTTAGAGATTCCTTCTCGCGAAGACAAGTCTCTATCTCGCTCAAACAATAGAGGTTAATCCTATCAACCAGTCTCTCAAATCGTGCCACGGCGCCTGAGCTCAGACGAACCCCGATAGACCGGTTACTCGTGACTTGAAAGCTAGCATGGCTAATAATGCTAGACTTACGCTCATGCAGATAAACCTCTGGCTCGTCGGGGTTGTGAAACGTGGATCCGATGGATAATGGCTGGTGGGGTTCGTCGTGAAGAGAACTTTGATGCTGTAGAAGGCGACGCATGATGAGCTCATAGCTCTGATAAAGATTCTTCAGAACGGCTAGACGATGTCCGAGCCAGTGGAGCTCATTTACCAGATCTACAATGGGGCGATCGAGCATTTGCCCTCTCTGTAATGAATTAGGGACGATTTAACCATATAAAGAGAAAGAATACTCACGAGTCTTTCGAGAGCTACACCATATTGGTGCTCTCTCTTGGCAATCAAGCCGTAGCTGGAAACCCAATCATCGAATATATAGTAAAATAACAGACTGGGCCCATCCTCCTGCTTGATATTGGCCTGATCGGGACCGAGATTATAAAATGGGCGTACGCGGATAGTAACAAGGGAATCACTCTCCGACATGGTGGAGTGCTCCTTCGAAACGCCAGAAAAGATGAAGCGAGTATTTCGGCGAGCAATATCAATTACCTTGGCCTGATCCTGTTCAAGTACTGTGTGCTGTCGAGGAAATGGGTTCTCTTGTATGGAGATAACCGTACCGTCATCGCAGAGAATCAGCCAGTTCCAAAGCCTTTTTCCCTCTGGAAGGCCCTTTCCATTTTCCGGTGCGCTAGAAACGCCGGGAGTTACGAAAAGAGTATTGTACCCGACGCATGTATCTATCCTGTTAGACTCGACTTCAGTGTCAGAACGAGAGGGAACTTACAATGTGGACCATGATCAATAGAAGAAAAATGCATAATTTGCTCAACAACGCGCGCGAAAGTCAAAGAATTAAATGAAGCATTCTGATGAGGTTCATCGGGTATGTTTTTCAAAGCGTATGCATTTTCTATATCGTCGAATTGTGGCGTTGGGGGTGCGGATGAGGAGTATGAGCGATTTCTTGCGACTGGTTTGGGGCGATGGAGGACTGGTTCGGTGCACATCATCCCTTGTAGTCGCTCTGAAAGTCCGTAGAATGTGGTTATAGCCTAGAAAAATCAGTCCAAACTTCCAAGTCTAATTCCTTTTGTAGCCCTACCTTGATAGTATCTTTCTGCTCTTCAGGTGACCAGATATTGCTGCGACCGTAGTGTTAATATAGAATCGACGCCGTAGAGTTTTCTTCTCGCTTACATCCATCTCGTGCCAAAACATTTTGTCCGCTGTAATAATTGCAAGGTTAGCTGCCACTCGGTACAGTCTGGATGACATCTATGTACTGGTTTACTTAGTAGAAGGTTGAACTCATTGGTAGATAGATCCGCCCCGCAATAAACATCTTCGTTGCCAAAGTCCAGCACAAAGTTGGAGGTTTGTGGATTTTCGATTCGGTGAATGTATTCTTGGAAGTTTACTTTGTTGTCAATATCCTTGAATTTCTCAACTAGGGTATTTCGTTCTGTTGAGAGGCTGGCATAGTATTCATGCGGGTTCAATGGATCGCGCCAGTAGTATGAATCGGCCATATTTTCAATCTTTGAAAACTTTGTCAAGAGAGAGGGAGATTGTAATTTTGAAATAGGTAATAGTCGATAAAAAGAGTATACAAGTAGTTATGTATTTAGTCAACATTGTCACAATAGCCTAAGTCAGCCCTGGTGACCCGGACTGAGGCTGACCTTGTCACGCTTCAGGGTCAATGATCATCTGGATCATCCCAAGATAGGGCATGAACTTAACTATCACAGTTATACAAGACATTCAGCTTTGAGTCATTGTAGATGATTCTATTTTATTATGAATATTGAAGTTTCTTTAATATGACTATTCAAGTTTGTCCAGTCTCGCTAGTGATTTGGGTATGTAGTCATAGAGTATATGATGAACTATATGAATCAGGATCAGGAAATAAAATATGCTACTTCAATGAATATAGAAAAGAGGAGACGCTGACGACTATAAGAATTCACGATAAATGTCCAAACCAGGGCATTTCTCACTCTTGATTTTCGTCACCTTGTGATAAGGGGCTGGCATGGTCCAAATGAGATCAAATCTGTCGATATTCAGTTAGGTTATTTTAATGCAGGGTCGCCTCAGAACCTACCGATTGACAGGATAATATGGTGCATCATGATCTCCCAGCTTCTCAGCCAAATGGCTCATTTGATGATGCTCCCAAGAGATCAGAATATTGCCACTGCCGCGGTAATGCTTGATTTTGTGCAAAACACATTTGATATCGTCGCGGTCGCAAGAAGTATCAATCTTGATGCCAATGTCCTTCGCGACCGGTTTGACCGTTTGAAATGGTCGACTTCGCTTGCCATCTTCATATGTCTGATCAGTAAATTATCTCACCCCTGGATTCATGTCAAGCATACTATGCCTTGGCTGTTGTGCCATGATATATCCAATATCGTATTCAGAGTGATCGCCGAATATATGTCTTAGACACTGTGCGCGTGCGAGACCCTCTGTGCTGAGTCCTTCATCTCCATTTTCGGGCTTTTCGCCATGACGGATGAAATAGACTGTTGGCTTTGCAGCCGCCACGGCTGAAATAAGCAAAATGATCCATAAAATGCGATGCATTGAAGCAGAGCAGTACTGAAAAAGGCTGGACTCGGTATTCGCGTGAAAAGAGCAAAAATGTAAATTTGCAGAAAATTATGTTATAAATGGCTGCACTTGGTTAGAACGATTTGATAGTGCCCAGGTGAGCTAGCTTATCGTCAAAGAAGTGCCCAAGTGGATTTTGCACTTTAAGGAATTACCGTGAATCTACGGAGATCATTTTATATTAAGTAATGTAATTGACTTAGCAGTAGTTATCAAGCTCGCTCTTCGTCATTTTATGCAAGGAATGTACAAAGTTAACCACACGACTTGAAGTAGGAATGAGCATGGGCCTCCGGCGATATGTGGTTGGTCCAACCAAAAGTCTTGTGAGATCATCAGAAGATATCGTAATGAGAAACTAAAACATTTGCGATGATTATTCCATTCTGTCGGGAAGTTAAAGGTTGTGGTTTCGTCAAAAGAGATCCCGATCGATGATCATATCATGCGCTAATTGGCACGTGAGAAATATAGAGCGGGTCAGGTGACTTGCTCCGTCAACATTTTTTGACCAACCAAAATCTCTTGGAAACTACGGAGTATCCAAGATTCAATTTTCTATCTAGGAATGAGGATCTGCTAAATACACGCCATTGTGAATCCTGCAAACAGTACAAACAACACTCCCCCCTCTTTTCTAGGTTAACGCAGTGAAATGCTGTCGGCGACCTCCGCTGCCCCGCCAAATGAACACGATTAGTCATCTATACTGATCGAGCTCAAGTATTGAATAGGCATTTCGAAGAGTAAACGATAGATGATGAATACCAAAAGGATAGCTCCATAGTGAATAGCCCAGTTCCATCAATTCACTACCAACCTTTGAACGAACTGCGCCGGCATTTTCCCGCCAAGATACTTTGATATTGATGGAATTGGCGGGGTAAAAGTTAGTGGACACCGATAAGACTAACTACTGTAAAAATTTCTTTCTCTCTCCCTCTTGGCTTGAGCTTTGGATTTAACTCGCTTCTGAGATAGACAATCGTCTTACAAATTCAAGTATCGCCGGCACCTGCGCTTCGTCTTGGTTCTTCCCGCCAGGCCAAAGATTGAGTGCTTGATTTACAATTAGAGCCAGCCAAAGAAAATATAGCGTCGAATATGGTGTTGTCAGATCATATTTCAGTGGAGGGACTTGAAAGCAGTGGCCTGGAGAATGAGCAGATTCAGCGGAAATGGAGCTTACAACCCCTTCTGCGCCATGCTGAGCGCTCTCATAGCCGAATACCCGGTATAAGAAAAATCCCATTGCGTGCCCTTGCAATCATTCTATTCATCGCTTTTGTGAATATTGCTGTATGGGTAGCTGCTGCCATTGTATTAGTATGTGTCACTATGTGACCTAACCCGAACACAACAGTCAGCTAACCTCTTCTTAGCATTTTCACCCGTATGTATGCGTGTTCGGGGCCGAAAGTCCAGCTAACTAACGTATCAGATCATTGGTATCTACCGCAGCGCTTGCTTATTCCCTAGGACTACGACATGCCTTTGATGCTGATCATATCTCCGTTCGTCTCTTTCTATCTCCACTCTTCGTCCACGACTCTAATCCATCTAGGCCATTGATTTAATGACCCGAAGACTGCTTGCAACAGGACAAAAGCCAGTTTCAGTTGGAACGTTCTTCTCTCTGGGCCATTCAACGTGAGTAAAAAACCCCATAATCTGACTCTTTGAACATAAACTAAATCATATAGAATTGTTATAATCACCTCTATTGTTGTGGCGGCTACAGCGGCAGCTGTATCTTCACGCTTCGACAGCTTCAGTAAAATCGGCGGTATTATCGGAAGTGCTGTTAGCGCGGCTTTCTTGATCCTCTTAGGCTTAATGAACGGCTACATTCTGTTCAAACTGATTAGACAGATGCAAAAAGTTTTCAGGTTACCTGAGGGTCAAGAGGATGAGGCATGGAGGATTGAAGGCGGCGGTCCCCTCTTCTCGATACTGAAGAAGATGTTCAAAATAATTGATCGGTACGTACTTACATCAAGTGAAGATTGCCTCGCTAATCCATTCAAGACCGTGGAAGATGTACCCATTAGGTATTCTCTTCGGATTGGGCTTTGATACTTCTTCTGAGATAGCCCTGCTAGGTATATCATCTATTGAAGCTGCAAATGGAACATCATTCTGGGTGATTTTGATTCTACCTGCACTGTTCACAGGTAAGTCCACGCCCCAAACGCTCAATATTCAGTCCAAATTTCTAACAGTCACAGCGGGGATGTGTCTCCTGGACACTATTGATGGCGCCCTCATGTTCTCCCTCTACATCCAACCTTCGACCAACTTCCTTTCAAAACAAGTCGACGAAGAAGTAACATCCGACACAACAAGCGACAGTCTCCCCCAATCACGAGACAACCACCGAGACCCAATCGCCTTCCTCTACTTCTCAATAGTGCTCACAGTACTAACTGTGATCGTTGCCATCGTAATCGGCATAATACAACTCCTAACCCTAATCATGAACGTGACCGACGCAACAGGTAGATTCTGGGATGGAGTGCAGATAGCCGGAGACTATTACGATGCGATAGGCGGTGGTATCTGTGGTTGTTTTATTATATTTGGCGGACTGAGCGTCATCTGTTATAAGCCCTGGCGCAGGTGGATGGACCGGCGTCATGTGCGACCGGCCGCGAGCGAAGATAGATATCGAGACAATCCGACTGGAGCAGATGACGAGACTGGTGCTGTACTCTGTGATTCCGGAGATTCTCGTCAGCAAACAGCCACTGTCAAGTGTACGTCTCAGGTTGCTGTAACAAGGGCAGGTGAGCGGCGTATTGGGGACGAGATTGTTTAGGTTAGGTGGTACAATATTTGTGGGATGTGTAAGCTACATATTATCGGACCCCTCTTTATATGAAGAAAGTGAATCATAATAAAAAACTACGACTAGGTTGGTATGGGTGGGTGTTATACTATTGGCTATATTTCAAAATTGTTTGTTTGGTATCGGAACTGGCATCTATAGAGGAGTTTTTCTAAAAGTAGATTTCTACTTGCTATTAATATGATAAACATCCCACTGTTTTCATCGATATTCCAGCTTGAATTTATTTCAGATATCATTTTTCCATTATGAAAGTTTCCGTCCTATTTCCCCTGGCAAGTATCTTGTCACTGGTAGTTAGCCAGACCGATCCCAACAACCCCGATAACATGAGTCCATGTCTAGTAAGGACCCAAATAGACCCAAGAACCCCAAAGAAGTTTCTAATTTTAACATCTTAACAGCTCGTGTGCAATGAACAAGCTGCCCAGGCTGCGGGCTGTCTCTCATTTACCGACACAGATTGTACATGCCCTAAGCAGTATTTCACGGATTTCCTCAAGCAATGCTTGAATGCCGCCTGTACAAAGGATGACTATGATCGTGAGTTCTAATTTATTGCTTGGCTCTGTCAAGCGCTAATGATATGAATTAGGATCGGTTGTTTTGCACTATGCGAGGTGTGGCGGGCCTCTTTCGTGAAGAAGCAATCTATTCAAGATTTGTTTCATGAATGGCTTTTGAATACGTCATCAGGTACTCTTTTACCTTGGCTCATTCATTTGAACATTGATTATAAGTATCCATTGATGCCTAGTTAAGCGTTCACTGTTATGTCAGCCTGGCTATCCAATTCTTTATATATCAGTACGTACTCCGTAGGATTCAACCTAATATAGTATGCAGTATGTAGCATGAACATCGTCTAGTTTTCGATTCCCAGTTCCCAATTTATTCAATTTCAATGCATTTACCTGGACTCCGGCCATTGACTCCGCAAGATCTTTAAAGGCTGATGTATTTTTGATTTCTGAATAAAAAGCCAGTACCAAAGTCTTTACCCTTTCAATATATGCTGAGACTTAGGCCAGATAAGTTATCATAACAATCACGTGGACACTTCTGACTCAACTTCATGTTAATTGGGCCTTCTTTTTCTATCATGTTGGCCATTTAAATCGAAAATTCTTGAAACTATGGAGGATACAGGAGTGTCGGGAAAAGAGGAAAGAAGAAGTGATTCCATTCTTTGAAAAAGAGAAAACTAGTTACTGGCCGTAGTCTTAATAAGAATTTCGATATCTTATACAATTTTCCATCCTTCATCAATGAAGCTATCAAGATGGGCTGTCACACAAATCAAGCCGTCAGACTGGTGGAAAAACCCACTCACTGCACAAGTTTCGCAGTCTACTAAAGGGGTCCCACACACGTCATCTGAAATTGGTTTATTCATGACACCAAAGATGGCATTGACAACTTCACAAATCCATTCTCTGTGTTCCATGGGTGGGTGACCCGGAGGCCGCTTAGGTTTACGCATTTGTGAGGCTTGCGCCATCATGGCCACCAGTCCTGAACTCATTCCATCAATTTCGCTCCAAGATCCTGATTTGACCTGATCTCCTTTCAAGAAGTCTGTGGGTGCCTGGGCTTGAAAGTAAGAGTTGTTGGAGCATATTTGCGCAATTCCAGGCGCTAGGGTCACAAGAGCTATATCTAGCTTGGGGCGTCTATTACGGTCGAGGATGTGTCCCACTTCATTATCTCCGACTCAGGGATAATAGACAGTGTTTGACGGAAATACATGGCTCGAAACAGTCAGGAATTCTTTACCGGAAACATTGCGCACTTTTAATCCCGCGGTCGATGCCTGCCGTGGAAGCTGTATGGACTGCCTCTACGCGACATCCTGGCGTCAAAAGCGAGTTATCCAGGTGATTTGCATCATCTTGAGCAAGATCTCCCTTCAGACTAATGATTCGCTGTCGGGCATGATTATTCAATAAATGGTAGAAGGGTTCAAGGCCATGACGGTAGAAGGTTCCGCGACCTGCCACGACTCCCGGTAAAGAATGATGCTTATACAAGCCATCGGTTGCATCTAACTCGATTACTATAACATAGGGCATATACACAATTCCAGTAACAGAAGCAAGCGGCTCGAGCGCCTGCAAAATCTCAATATTCTGGGCCTTTGACGGGAATTCCATTTCTGGCCATCCAAGCAAGGCACAAGCCTTTAATCTTGGGTTAGAATATGAATTGGTAAGCCCCGGATCCCGTCGGACGGTTCCGATTGGGAAGAAAAAAAAAACTGGCATGCAGCCAATGGTGAATGGGATAGGTTGTGGTGGGTGGTCTGTTTGGTATGAGATAAACCATGAAAAATTGATTTCGCCCTCTCCATATCGTTCGTACATCCACTTAAGCTGGACGTCAGTTGGACTGCGAAACCTTCGCTCTTCAGAGTCCCAGAAAGTAAATGGAGCATCATCATGCATATGGCGAGCACCCCACCCTCCAGAGTTTTGGAATCGCTTGGGAAGCGGATGAGGATTATTAGGAGCAGAAGCGGTGGGTGGGGCTTCGGTATGGTGTGGATTCAAAAAAACACGGCCTCCTAGTGGGGCTCGTAGAGGATTAGCAAGATACATGTCAGCATAGGGTGAGCATTGCAGGCGCTGGACATCCGGCGATCGCCGGATAAGAGTGCTCGCCATTTCATTCATTATATCTGCAATGAGGGCGAATCGGGATGACTCTTTGCAGGATGCAGAGTTTGCAGAGGAAACGGAGTTTGAAGAGGGAACGGAGGTAGTTGACGAAAAGATGGGATAGTTGAGGGATGATTCGCTGGATGAGGGTGAACCGATGGACAATGCTGGTACCATGGGTCACTGCCTCGGGCTTGACCTCGCTAGGTTAAGTTGATTCAGCATTATTGTTTTGAGAATATAGAGCTTTTCCCTAAGAAGATGGAGCTCTTCTTTGAGATGATTAATGAGTTGACTCGAAGTTTGGAACTTCCAAGACGGGCTCCTACTTATCGCTTCTACTCCTATCCTCGCTCCTGCCACATCTAAAAAATTACGTAGTACATCATCATCCATTATGATAGTTCATGCATACCTTATCTAGGAATTGCCTCGTAAATCAAGAAGTAAACCTAATCTGATCTCTTTTCTCCAACACTCAGCGGTCTATGCTATCAAATGCTGGTAACAAACCTAAGTTAGTCCAAATTATTGAATAGGCAACACTATTCCATTTATATAGATCACGAAAAATAGACGGAACATTTGACGTGAATTCAAACCTTGGAAGTCTTAGGGTTGATACTTGATCAATTTCGAGAAAGAAGACAGGATTGGAACAGGCAGTCCAACGCCGAATCAATATCGAAGAGACTGGCCAGTAATTAAATCAACTCCCTGTACCTATTCCTAAATTATCTTCTCGACGGATTCGTGCGAGACAAGCCGCTTACCGTCGACAGTACCCTGCGTCGACACCAGCGAGCCGATACGGGCAAGACCATGTGCTGTTGCGAACCAATTGACCCTGATAGCTTGAGCCTTCCTGAAAGTAGGTTTTTGGAGTATTCTGCTGGAGCCCGTAAGGCTTTGGCGGCGAGACTCTACTTGTCCATACTGCTGAGGCGGCGGTATAATATCTGCCGTACGATCCCAGCTCTCCTGCACCCCGAATCGGAAATCGACATCTAACGGGCCGGTGAGCTCATCCGCGAGGAAATTTTGAGAGATCTCCCACTGACTCTCCTGACAACCTCGCCGACCAGGTGGCTGTAATTGACAGCTTGGTATCCAGGCTTTTGACGGGGCGTCCACCACGGAGCCTGCTGAGCAATTCTCTTCGTTGATTTTTCGAGATCGAACGCGTCTTTAAAGGAGATCCCTAGGTCTGAGAGATTTAAGAAATCTAGAGAAGGTGTGGGGATGGCATCTTGACTAAAGATATCGACTTCGTTATTCTGGGTAAGGTCATCCCTATCAAAGAAGGCAAAAAATTATGTCTCTTTGCTTATCTTTAAACATCCTCAGTAAGTTGATAACGTCAAGGTGCTCATCCAGGACACTATATACTATTAGAGATTATTCAGAGTATTGTTCGGAGTCATTAAAAGTAATCTCACCCGAGAGCATAAGGCTCCTAGCCATAGACTTGAAGCATTTTTAATGTATAAAGCTCCAACCAGGGTACTGATCACTAACGTAAGAACCTTAAACGAGTGTCCGCTAAGCCTAGAATCGAATCTTAAGTATTGATCGATGCTAGTGCGCTTTGCTATATCTGCCTAGTGCTAGGGTAAATGAAATCATTCACCAATCCATCCAGCTGTAGAGACCAATACCCGTCAAGTCGAAGATGCTTCAAAACCTTCCTCTGACACCGAGTGTTCGAGAACTTTCCATCGACTACTTGAAGCATCCCCTCGGCACCAGAAAGAGCCAATGTGGATACTTACACAGTATATCATGATCTACGAAATAGATCGCCAAAAGAACTCTGCGAAAAAACAATACAAAAAAAAGATTCAAACTCAAATCTTCTTCAAAAAGTGGATGACCTTACAGCAGCAGGTGCTGCCTCAAATATCTCAAGCTATTCCTCATGACCATCCTAAAAAGCATCGTTAGATATAAGCTAATTCATCACATTATAATGTCGTAAAATTCAAAATGATTTCTTTTTTAAACTGACAGTACTAGGCCAAAAGTGCTTTTATAACTCGCATATTCATTGGCCATAATGTAAAGCTTTATCCAAATATGGATTAGCTTGATGCTGACTACTCGTATTACGGCGTTGTAGCCTCAGGCAGAAAAATAAATGACGTCAGCCAATGAACGGCACGGACAGCCTCCTAGACTCATTTTGCATCATTACTAGATCGTCCTTGGGATACATTTCCACTTACTTAGAATTCCCGAGGTCTCTATATCAAGTGCCTATTATGTACTGGATGTAAGGATGTCAAGCTCGACCTTCAACTCGCATCAAAATCCGAACCCTTCCTCCCATCTTATAAATGCATTGTAAACCAGGAATGCACCTTCAACCGACATTGAATCCATTGGATCTGAGATTTTGTTGGATGTGTCAATATTTTATGGACATATCTCCCAATCTCAGAAATACCTATAGAAAAAGCGACTCATAGGCTAAGCCACTTCAGAATCAGAGTCCATGGCTGAACATGCCATCTCATTACAACACAAGCCAGCGAGTCTATGCTGAAATCATATGCAAATGATGCTGAATCACCATTACATCAGTTCTTCTCCAACTGAAACCAATGCTGCAATGGAGGCAGTCTTCTCTGACCAACCTCCTATATTTATCCTTCCGACTCATTTGTCCTTGGATCAGCTGCATGAAGCAGAAAGCCGTCTCGTATGTCATGGGGGTAATTTGACCTACGACATTAACGAGGCAGGTCTCATTCTTGGGAAAATTACACACAAAAAACGTGCGGCATTGGAGCTACGCTCACGCGGGATCTGGACGGAGGATGCTTCACCATCTGCTGTCAAAATAATTAAGACAAACTGTGAACGACCGGCGAAGCGCCAAAGGACAGGACACAGTACTGTGAATGCTCTCCAAGGAATTGAAATAATTGATCTCAGTACCGAGTATGAAGAAGACGAGATTTCAACAGCAGACAGAGCCGGTATTCTCAGTCTTTTGAAATTGGAATGGCTGGATCTCTCTATCAAAGACGGGAAGAGGTTGCCTTATGACGAATTTGTGGTATATATAGGACGAAAGACTGTTTGTCCTATCGACGTGCCAAAATTACAGAATAATTCCTCCAACCAGATCATACAGCGTGCCAAAGATGATGGCGCACAAGTGGTCCTAGGCTCAAATAAGCGGCGTGTACGACACCCCAAAAATCTACCGGGGGAAACTAGAAAACCACGGCCGACCCTCTACAGAGAAACAACGTCCGAGAACGACGACGAAGCAATACCACTAAAGCCATATTGGGTGAGAAACCAAGTCATCCTTTCATGTATGCGATCAAGTTATTTAGATGCACCAAATAGCGAATTCATATCGCAGCTGGTCAAAGTCCGACGCATTCGAGAACTCACACTCGACGAGATTGGTGTACGAGCTTACAGTACATCCATCGCGGCATTGGCTGCATACCCATGTGTCATCAAGCGACCGAGAGAAATAGCCTCCCTCCCAGGCTGCGACTCAAAGATAGCAAACCTTTTTGCAGAATTCCAACATGAGGATAACGGCATTACTGCTGCAGCCGCATTGGAAAACGATCCTGAACTACACGTCATTAACTCGTTCTACCAAATATGGGGCGTTGGGGCCAAGACGGCGCGCGATTTCTACAATCGAGGATGGCGGGATCTCAACGATGTAATCGAGCATGGCTGGCCCTCTCTCTCGCGTGTGCAGCAGATAGGAGTGAAGTTCTACGACGAGTTCCAAGAGGGAATTCCACGCGCCCAGTCGGAAGCCATCGCAGCTGTTGTACAGCGTCATGTGAATCGGGTGAGGCCCGAAGCGACTAACATTGACTGCATTATAGTAGGTGGCTACCGACGTGGCAAGCAGAGCGGTGGCGATGTGGATATATTGCTCACTCACCGGGATGACGCAGTAACGCGCAATCTCATCTTCGACCTTGTGGCTAGTCTAGAGAAAGACCTTTACATCACACACACTCTCTCTGTTCATTTGGCATCCTCTCAGCACGAGAAGCACACTCTACCATTCCGAGGCAAAGATACAGAATCACACTTCGATACGCTTGACAAAGCACTAGTCGTCTGGCAAGATCCACAGTTTGAGTATTCTGGTTCCACGGAGAATGAAGATTGTAGTAGCAGAAGAAACCGGAACATTCACCGCCGCGTTGACATTATTATATCACCTTGGCAGACTATTGGATGTGCGGTACTTGGTTGGACTGGCGATACAACTTTCCAGCGAGACCTGAGAAGATATGCGAAGAAGGTACATGATTGGAAGTTTGACTCAACGGGAGTGCAAAGTCGAAGTGCCGTAGGTGAGATTATTGATCTTGAAAAAGGTGGTCAGACCTGGGAGGAAAGAGAGAGAATGGTCATGGAGCGGATTGGAATTGGATGGAGACCTCCTGAGGAACGTTGTACACGATGATCGCATAAATAGATATTAATGAGTTTCTATCGTTATCCTTGGATTTATTTTAAATATTTGTTTCCGCGGCATTACAGGCAAGGTAGTAATCTTACGCTACCTATAGAGCCCGTGGGCTCCGCATCAATCCCAATGATGGCCTTGTCGACTGTGACGCTTTACTATAATGGATAAATGAATCAAATGAAAAGAATTTTTTTTTTTTTTTGAAAATTGATGGGGATACTGGATTTATGTTACTTGATATTAAATACAAAAAAGGTATCTATGCACAATATGTACGCACTGTATTTGTGGTTATTCCCGAGAAGCTCTGGTAGATACGAAAAGAATGAAGAAAGGCCAAAAAAATTTGGTCCCAGAGGGGGTCGAACCCTCGACTTTGGCGTAGCACAATTGAATACGTCCTATTAGCACCACACTCTAACCAACTGAGTTATGGAACCATTTGATATGATAGGTCAGAAATAAATAAGCTTACATCTCTAGACTTTCAGCATAAATAACAGGGGAGTGTCTTTAAGCAATATTGCTTGTAGCACGGAGTAGTCCCGACTTCCCGGCTTATATCCTACCGCCTACCTTCACAATAATTCTGCCGAGTAGCGGTTCCATGGCTCATTTGGGCATAGTTCGTGCTAATATCTGAGCAGGTTTCATAGGTTGGAATATTTACTAGTCAGCTAGTCTGGGGAGTATGAGGACCTCTTCCTTCCTCGAGAAACAATTCCAACCTACCTAGGTGCGATCTTAGTCAATAGTGCAGTATTTTGTGAGAAACGAAAATCATACCCCAACCCTGATGGGGAGGAAATAGGATCTGGGCGGGTCTCTACATACTCACTGGTCAAAGCATATGTAAAGAACAAGGGAGACTATGAAAGTTGAATCAACTTGATTACAGAATCGGCTGAGATATTGCATATATTAAAGTCCGGAGAGTGCCTTCGTAGCATGGAAAAGGATAAGTGGGGAGGGGGAGGAAGAGATAATTGGGGGAGAATATTGGCCTGAGTTTAAATGGTACCTAGGTAAAGAAGTCAGCTGAGGAGAGAGAGGAAGAATAGCTGAGGCAAAATTAGAGAAGAGATGAAGGAATAATGCTGGCGGCTGAAATAGCAGGCAAGTGCAAGGTTAAATTTTGAAGTGGGCTGAAAGTGACTATATGGGTGAAGTAAGATGAAAAATAGAATAGTTAATGTCAGAAAATGCTCAGGCGTAGTACCGTAGTGACTGTATTAATACCTAGCTATCACTTTCTAGTGAGACGTAAATATCTATGTATACGAAGAAGGCGCATGAGCTGTAATTCAACTCGCCCTAGGAAAGAACTTTTGATGATCAGATATATTTCAATTTGGCTGTACTGATTCAATATAATTCACAACCTATGGTTTCTTTTCTCGTTTGGTCGGCTCTAGTGTATTTCTTCGTCCTAGACCACTGCCAACATCTCGTACAATTGCATCGCCCTTCTTCCCTAGTACTACTTCTAAAGCCTGGACTAGAGCTTTAGGATCATATTGCATGCCGACAACAATTTCCTTATCATCATCTATAACAGTGATTTTGCGTCCATAAAGGCGAAGAGTCCCAATTCCCATTTCTGCCAGCCGGTCTCGATCCACATATGGTGTACCCGGACCATCCAGATGCAGTATATGAGTCACATAGGAAGTATACGGGATTGGATCAAAGGGCCTGATAGTTTCAGGGGAAGAAGGCAGCTCGGTGGGGTGTTGGGGTGAAAATTTCGGACGTCTTCCGCGACTCTCCTCTCCAGCGTTCGCAATCGCCTCAACAAAGTCAGATGCCGAGAATGGCGCCGTCGGGGGACCAGTCTCACGATCAAGCGAACCATTTAAGATGAGAATCTTGTAGCGGGCTGGACTCTTCACTATGCTTTTCCCCACTCCACGGAGAATGATTGCTGGAATGATGGACGTGTACAGGGAGCCGATGCTATATATGATTGCCTGTGCGTCGTCGAGCGCCTCTAGTACACGCGGGTTGGCAGATGGTCGGATCTCTTCACCGTACGGGTTGATATACCAGATACGACTGATCCGACAAGGCAGGTCCTCATTCTTGGCCTTGTTAAATAATATATTCTTGTTGCGGAGCGTGGCCAGCGAGCCTGGAAGATGATCTTCTTCGTAAGATACCGTATCAGAAACGCTAGAGTCAGTATCTTCAAAGTCATCACCATCAGCGAGTGGCAAGCTGGCACAATCCGGTCTGTGGTCGTGAAGCAGACCCCCTGATACCTCGCTCGGATGTGAGATGCTGTTCTGGCCAACAATGACCGTCCCATCAGCGAGAGTAGCAGAAATGTGGTGAGAGAAATTAGAGTTGATTGCGGGGATCACTCGAATAATGTCTGACTGAACACCACAGATACTGCCTAGCAAGTAAATAGCGCTTTCAAAACTACCACTGAACAATCGCGCACCTGTCAAGAACAAGTTGCCCACACTTGCAGAAGTAAAGTCGTAAGTAGATGAGGGTGGCCGTGCTCGTTTGAGAATCTCCAGGTTAAGAGAATTAAAAAAGGAACGTATCAGTTCCTTTTTGGCCGGCGTGATAGACCGCCATAGGGTCGAGGTGCCATCAACAATGGAAAGCCACTCCAGCGATGCAGCCGGCCCTTCAGCAGCCAACCGATGATTGAAAAGGGCTTTGATAGCCATACGTTCTGGGTTCACAGGCAAGTCAGGAATCAGGCGAACCAACCTACCTAGGCAAAGTGTTAGTCAGGTCCCACACTGAAGTTCTAGTGATTTTATTTACGCACTTCGAACATCGCCGATTCCAGGACCTCCAAATATGCGAATCAATTCTGATGATGAACCACCATTGTCGCTGATGGGAATAATGTAGCTGAGAGGGCAATTTTTGCTCTCGCGAATAGAGTGGAACACGTCGACTAGGTTATTCGCCGCACTTCCCCCTGAGACGACCACGATACCTTTGTTTGGCGTGTCGGTCATTATTAAATTTATATCAGGGTGGTAACTTCAGAGTATGTACCAGGCTATTAACCTGTCACTTCAGGGCTAAAAGGCTAGGATGTTGGGTCCGTCAGAAGGGGCAATGACGAAGTTTGGAAACGCCACGAATGCCGCAACTCTTCTGATATGGTATCTTACGAAGAGTGAAGCCACGGCGTATAGAAATCAATACCGTCTATTATTTTATTAATATTATCACCTGGATAAAAGCTGAATATAATCTTATATTGTGATACTACCTCTAGCAATATGGAATACCAAAAGTGGCGATAGCAGTCCTAATGGTTAATTAAGTCTGGGGCTACCTGGAAGAAATGCTTGAACTGCCCAACCTATTGCAATGAATAATTTCGAAATACATGAATCTAACTATTCACTTGTCCTTTCAATGGATATGATTAAAACGCAAGCATGGTAATTATCACTTCACAGATATTTTCATTTACTCTAGTCATGTGACCATCAGTTCATGTCAACTTGGGCGAGGAAGTGGGATTATAAGGACCAATCAGAAGACTTCACAATCTCAAATATGTGTGTGTATTCGCAGTAGTGAATCTTACTGCAGTAAAGAGCGTACGGAAGCTGACTAATAAAGAACACTAGACTAAAATAGGACTGGCCATTTGACAGTTCATGTCCGCCTGAGGTGTAATTTGCTTATGTCATGAGATTCCAGAGAACTTGGAATCTCATTCAATCTGTTGGGATATCGAACAAACGACACATCACGAATCCCTGTTCAAAGTACATCGCAAACGACAACCCTGAAAAGTATACATATAACTGTGATGTCCCGTCTTTACCGACTATTCTGTCTTAGACGATGGAACACATTCGTCTCAGACAGAAGAGCAACTTGTAGGATAAATAGCTAGTCCTCACCATGAATGAAAAACCAGATTTTACAACCACTTCAAGAAGACACAAAGATATTATAGGGGCGTAAAGCTTTACCTGTAATAGGTGTTAGAAGTGGGCGTTAGCCTCTCACCAACCTTGCTATACCCACCAGTGTACCAACACAATCCTTCATATTATAATTGGTCACTCAAAAATACCTAGTCAAATGACTAAAAACATGAAAATTTACAAGATTGTTGCAACATTTGAAGCTTAAAGGTGGAATTGATCAGTCATTGACCAAGACTTGAGTTCTCGAGCTTGTATAAAAATATACTCCTGACATCTGGAGCTGCGAGTTCCGGCCTAGCACGGCGATAACAGAATCACGATCATGGAAACTTCTGCAAGTATATCTTTTTTCTCAGCTGAGAGGTTTCCCAATAATAAGTACAATTTCATCATGTGTATGCCGCCCTTTTATGGTTCCTTCCAGGAGATAAAAACTACTCGAGAAAGTCAACATGCATGGATAAATTAATATTCACAAAAAATTGAAGAGAGTGAGCCGATGATGCACTTAGGCAGGTCGAGACTGTCTAGTCAGGAGAAAACTACAAACCACAAACATGATCATTAATTTCCTAAACTAAAATTACTACTATGAATATACGTTTTCGTTTCAAGCTGCATAATGTGACTCCTGCCATGTCATATCATGCTGTACCCGAATGGTATTTAACGGAACTTCATCCCCAGACGAATCATCAGCCTGAGAACACCCCGCTTGAATCTTCTGCTTCGACAACAACTCATTTGCTGGTCGCAATGATATATTATTATTCATGGATCCCTTCAACTCGGTCGTCCGTGTGCGTTGTGAACCCATCCCACTTGAGAATTTGTTTGAGATCATCGAGACCAGTGGGCGAAGGGTAGGTAAACATGCAGAGATTATACCGCTGGAACATTCTACCAGACACCAGGTACAGGCTTTGGAGAGCGTCCAGGTCATGTCAGTAGTTTGAAACTGGAATAGCGTTGAGAATCGGTAGGCGCTTGTGAAGACAACGCTACGTATGTCAGTATTTTTCGATGTCCAAAACCGGAGAAAACTTACAAACTGCCCAGAAGAAATATGGAAATAACCGATAATCGATGTAGAACTGTGGCATAGAGACCCCAGACAATTTGAACCGGCAGAGCGAGAATTAGGATATCTGTGACGATATTCGGTACCGCATTGCCAATGAAGGAGTCCTTCAGGTTGATGCATGTACCAGGGAGATCGTTGTTCCATGCTTTCGAAATCGGCCTGCATTGGAATACGCTCACGCAGACGATCGCAATAACCCAGGCTATCACGATGGAGCCTAGGATGTAGGCTGAAACTCTAAAGTATCGCGTTGGGAAAATGCGGCCATACATAAGGAGAATGGAGATTTTGATGATGCCGGCACATGTGCAATAGGCACATTCAAAGGCCATGAGCAGCTGCGCAATATCAGTATCATAATTGTCATGTTATAAGGCTAATTCTGGGGACCTATTCTCACCTTGGCGACTATCACTAAATTTTTCGCTGGTAAAGTGTTGGCATGTAGACCCATACCATAGTGGATCACTAATTACGTTAGATGTGACAGCAGAGACTAGATCAAGGCAATATTTACTTGCTAGATTCAGACACATGGTTCCGTATAGAAATACCTAAAGTGGTCAGATCAGCCACCTTCAAATTCTCAATTCATGTCTAAACTCACTGTGGCTAATATCATGAGGTAGTCATCTGCTCCAAGACTCAATCTCTTCCTCCACCGAGCAGCAAATCGCAAAAGAACAAAGACTGTTCCCAGAACAGTCATAGAAATAGTCAACGCTCGATATTCTGCCTGCTTACTCGAATGGTCTAGCGCAGTCGTCATTTTGTTCTCAGAGCACAGATCAATCAGCTCTAAACAAATCTGGGGTCGAGGGGAAAGAAAGCGAAGAGTCGGAACCTTCATAAATTTGTCTCCCGCATCTTAAGTCTTTCGTCTAAGGGTACCCACAACCCCTATGTGAAGGATTTCGAGAAAACCCTAATTAGAAGCCTCCTTGGTTCCTTTTTTTGGATGATCTTCCGTAGCAAGCTTTTCCTATACTAGTATGTTGGTGGAGAAAAGCTAAAGCGGTAAGCAGCCACATTCTCCATTCATTTTACTGACAAGCCGTCAAATGACAGAAAGAAAGATTTGAGGCGATGTGAGAGGAGAACTTGTTCATCATAACTTCGTTGTGAAGATTTAAAGTTATACAGTAGAACAGAAAATAAGGCGGCTCTGTCCCTCTTCACGTACATTTGTTTTCGACAGAGATGCCTAGGTATGGTGGGGCGATAACGAATTTTTCTAGCTTGTTTCAGGTGAAGTTGAGTTAGTTCGGCGCATAAATTGTCAACAATTAGAGATTATATAACACTAGTAGATCTTAGTTTTGCAGAATCTGTGCGTTCAAGCCCCTTAGGGCTGAACTTACATACTGCCAAGTACAACAAGTCTACTTAGGGCTATCTACGGATCTCTCGGGTACTCCATGCTCCATTAACAACCGTGGGGAATATCAAACCATAGGTATCCAACTTTTCAGGGGCAAGGAGAAGCAAATCCAATTATGGAATATTATTCCAGTATGCCCTGTCGTAAGTTTAAATCCTTTACCGACGTCACCCCCACACGATCCACTTGAGCGGAAAGTAAATTCCTACTGACATTACCTCTTTAACGTTCTAGAGTCCATGAGTTCTACCAGTCAATTTGTTTTCAGTATTCCAGAGTGTTGGTTAGTGTTTTTTAATAAGTCCGAGGGTTCAATTCTTCAGTACTTTCAGTTGTTCGTTATTTGTTCCATCGGAGTGTGTATACCGTTCAGGGGATACCTACCGTGGTGTAGTGCCGTGTAGTTAAAATCGAGCTTAGTTCTACATAAACGCTAACTAATACTAGATTCTAATAGGATAGGATTCACATCCAGTTCACGGCTAACCGAACCAACCCGGCGTTCATATAATTGATAGTGGAGTATAAAGCGGGTCTACAATTTAACTACTACCTTATTGGGAAAAACACGTTGCTCACGGTTTTTGCCGTTCATACACTCCAATAGAATTATACAGTAATTTGTATGTCAGCTACCCCTTTTCAAAGAGAATTAAACGCCCCCTTTTTTGCTATACAGATTCATAAATCAGTACTTTCGTCATTCAGCAATTCATCACAGCCGTTTCAAATTCAATATGTCCATCAATGAGAAACCCATTTTCGTCTTAGTGCCTGGTGCATGGCACACAGCTGATGGCTTTGATGTCGTCCGTGATCTCTTGCAAAAGCGCGGCTTTGAATCTGTGGCTGTCGCCACTCCGTCCGTTGGATCGACTGATATCAAGACTGGTCTCTACGCCGATATTGGCTATACTCGCGGTATCATCTATGACTTAGTGGCCAAGGGACGCAAGGTCATCATTGTCGGACACTCTTATGGAGGTTCTGTTAGCTCTGGTGCTGCTGAGGGCCTTGGCTGGGCTGAACGGTCGAAGAATGGTTTGTCCGGTGGTGTGATTAGTGTAGTTTGGCTGTCTGCTTTTGTTACACAGAAAGGACAGGTCAATCTTGACCTACTTGGTGGAAACTGGCTTCCTTGGATGCTACCCAACGTTCGTATAATCAATCACTTGAGAAGAAAAATAGATGCTAATTGTGGTGTTAGGATGATGGCTACATCTACTCTTCACAGCAGGAGGCCATCTTCTATCACGATATGACAGCTGAGGAACAACAATCGGCTATTTCTAAGCTATTACCCCAGCCTAGACGTTGCTTCCTCGAGCCCATCACTTACGAGTCATGGCACGACATCCCGTCTTTCTTCATCTTCTGTGATCAGGACGCTGCGCTTCCCCTTCCCTTCCAAGAGGCATTTGCGGCGATTCTCAAGAACCCTGGTACTTTCCACATCGAGTCATCCCACTCCCCATTTTTCAGTGTGCCGGAGAAGGTGGTTGAGGGACTTGAACAGGCAGAGAAGCATGCTCAGGAGAATATTTAAATCATGGATTTCAAGGAACGAGATGTACATCGGAATGTATCTATGCGCAGAAGAATATACATTGATATTGGCGTGAGCCAGCTCCGTGAAAAGCCTAGGCTCTATTGAGAAGTAAAAACAAAAAACGCTCATGTCTATCGTAAAGTATCCGGTCGAGTTCTATCAGATCAGAAACGCTCCATCAACCGCTTGCGCACTGTCCACATGCGAGCCCGCTTGCCGTAAATGTACATAGGGATAGTCAGGAATAGAAAGAAGAGCTGAATGCCACCGATAGAAAGAAAAACAGTGCGAGAGCCGTCTGCATCAAGCCAGTCGACGATGAAAAGCGACCAGATCAAGCCATGTAGAACGTCTGAAGGATGTTAGAAGATGATTGCATAATAGAGGGGTGGAAAGCCTACTCTTGCTGAAGTTCAGCGTCACCAGGGCCTCTCCGGCATACTGGCGGTAGCTATCCACACAAAATGTAATAGCGGTAGTACTACCCAAACAACAACCAAAGGAGATCAGACCAAAGAATACTGTTGGAACGATCCACGCATCCATCTGCTCCGCACTCCATCCAAAGCCCATCAATCCAATTACAGTCGAAAGAGCGATGGGAATTGCCATGACAAGGCGGAATTCAGGTTCGTAAACACCGCCGTTACGTCTTGTCAGGTATCGCACCACTACATCCGAGACCTTACCTGCCACTGCCGTGCCAAGCAAACCGCCGACAAAGGGTGAGATATAGATCAATCCGGTTTGGAGGGCGGTGAATCCATACTTCTCTTTTGACTCGTAAATGGTCGAGACGGACTCGGAAATCACGATCAGCCAGCCAACTGACAGCGTGTACATAACAGTTGACCATAGAACGGAAGGATAAGCGAACAGGATAAAAGGCCGGATTGCAATCTTAATCCAACTGTCATGCGTGATCCGCCCATTCCATACCCTGAGTAACTGGAGATAGGGGACTTTGGGTTGGTCGCGAAGACGATTAGTGTAGTGCAAGGTAGTTGACATGATTGAAGGATTGGGCTCAACCGACTCGCTGCGTCTAGAAGAGAAGCCGGCCTCCAGATCAATCGAGCTCTTGGGAGCCAAATGAGCCTGTGTTGACGTATTGTCTCCTTTTTCGACCGTCGTTTCGGCGATTGGGGTAAGTGGCGGGGGAATTTCACCGGGGCTTTGTGCATCAGCTGTTATTTGATCTGCTTCATCTTGTGACGGTTGCTTCTCGTTCTCTGTGTCTTCGACTGCAAATCCAAAATGCGCATGCTTAGACTTCCTCGGGGTGCCAGGAGTGACCGCCTCATTGCTCGATCCAACAGACACCTCTGGAATCTGAACGTGCGGACGTCCGCGCAGACCACTATGAACAAGATCGGAAACAGTACGGTGAGCGGTGGGACGTTTGCGACGAGGACGAGGAGTTCGATCCCAGAATGTCTCAGGGACGAAGAAAAACAGCAGAACCAAGCAAAAGCCGACGATTATCGCAACAATCCAGAAGACCCAGCGCCAGCCTAAGCTCCCAATGATAGCTGCACTTATCAAAGGGATAATATTCTTACCGCCCAGCAGCAGTAGCGTGTAAATGCCCACACGGTAGGCCCGTTCATGCAAAAAGTAGATTTCGGCGATAGTAGCAGACGGCAGACACTCGACCGGGCTCACCGCAACACCTTGGAAGATACGCGCAATCACCAGGGAAGCATAATTCGGGGAAAGAGCACACCAGATGCCCGAGATGACAAACAGAATCGCTCCCAGTAGGTAGACGGGACGTTTTCCGAATAGGATAGCAGTCGGTGACATGACCACCGACCCTAAGCCCAAGCCCAGCATGTAAAATCCAGTCGTGAATGCCACCCTCTGGACGGAGACATCGTATGTTTTAGAAACACTGTTGAATCCAGCGGCCAGAATAGGGGTCATACCGCCTCCCATCAAGCAATAGAAGCCCAGGGAGACTAGTGCCGCATCTCTCTGCCACACAGGCCAGTTCAGAGGATCATTCACAGAGTCATCTGGTTGGGGCTCAAGTACAATTTGCCCATCCGCCGTGCGCTTCTTCTGTGGTTGTCTGGTGCGGGAAGAGGAACGAGAGGGTGGGTTGCTGGTAGGAAGTGAGGAGCTTGACGTGCGCTGGGGTTGATGCCTCATACCAAGAGGCTCATTGCGTTCGGCTGAGAGCAGAAGCACCGTTCCTATATCGCAAACATTAACCACCAACCCAACCGTAGAGAGCAGCAGTAGCAAGAGCGACGCAAAACATACCAGGTACTTCGTCTGTATATTTATCGCTGAGAATTCCAAGGGTCGCCTTCGACCGATACGAATCATTGTTTTCCTCTACAGTCTCTGGCTTTCGCCCTAACATTCTTCTCCACCATGGGACACTTGCCGCGTCTATTGTTTCCTCCATGGAGGGTGTGTCCTTCGATGAGTCCATGTTTTCGTTAGGCGTGAAGTCGTGTGAAGCCATGTATTATAGGATGGATGAAGGAGTACTGTAATTAAATTAAAAATTAGCAATGTATTCCCATTCCTTGAGACACATTCTCACACTAATCCTTATCGTGAAGTAGCTCATGCGATCACCGTTTCCGGTAAACACCAAGCAGTGGGGATGCCAGACATGGCTTGGGGATGTCAAGAAAGGGGAAGAGTATATATAAGAACTAATCAAGTCGTTAAATAGACTTTCCCAGGCTGACTCAGTCCATACGTTATCACGAGGGAAGTTGATCACAATTTTGAAGCATGTGAGCTCGAGGCGGTGACAGGGAGGGACTTCTCCGCAACTTCTCCAGTCACAGTCATTGTTACTTTGAACAAGTACCCACCAAGTATACAAACTTGCTTTAGCACCGCTTATCTCAAATCACGATAATAATACGACGTATACCCGTGGACCTCGGACACTCCTGCATCATCCCAGAATCGGACATGATGTTCCGATTTTCAACAGTCCTTGTTCAAACTTTCCAATGATCAGGAATGAAACACGGAATGCCCCACAATTCGCCCCCAATGTTTGAGCTAAAACACTACGCCTAATTCTACTCCGTACTGATATATACACGATTCGACCTACCCTTACCCCTCTCGTTTCCTTCACCTTATGACTTTCACTGAGTTGTCTTCTTCAACCTTGTTAGCTGGCTGCTCTGCTGTCAATCACTCGTCAAGCTTAAACTCTACTAGTTCAAACTTTTCCGGAAAAAGTTCGGCGGATCCAGCGTTGGGCTCACAAGCGGGGTGTCCATGATGGTCCGTGGCTTTGATTAAAAATCCACGGAGTCCGGCCCCGAACGCGCTGAACAGCTCGGAGGAAAATGGATGATTGAGTTGGGGCTAGAAAGTGAAGCCGCGGACTGAAATCTAGGGTGGTAAGGGGGTAGTGAATATCACCAAGGAAAGTAAAGCTGCATACTATTATAGCCGTGGGATCATACGGCCCTTAAGTATCATAACTACTAAATAAGCAAATAGGTAGATATTAGGTTTTAATGTCGTCAGAGTCCACGGGGTCCTCTAGGTTGGTAAGGAAAGAGATTGCCACAGACAATTTTGAAAGGACATCAAAGCAAAACGTCTACTATTTCTCCATAGCTCCAGGCTGGAAAATATTGAGTTAATATGAAGTTGCATCAAGGCATATTACTCATTTTGCGTGTCTTTCTCAAATTGACTTAACTAGTTGATGCATGTAAATCCCAGAACGGCTAGATACTTTTCTCAATGACGCCTTAGTTCCTATTTCAGCATGCTAAGCTTTTTGCTCGCCATAATCGGTTCCCTTCAATGTTACTCGATAGCCACCAACTCCTCCAAGATCACGGAAAGATCCTGTGGTTTTCACTTACTTGGCTTCATCCTTGCCTCTAGCTAGCCTGTTGCATTAAACAGACCCATTTCCCGGAAGCAGGCTAGTGTCGGTAGATCCTCCCAGATTCAGAGCCTTAATACCCAGCACGTCTTTAAGAAGGTGGTATGCGCGATAAGACCCGTAGGATCCTGGGGATGATTTGCATCTTGGGCGAAACTAAATGATACTTGAGTTCAATGGCTATTTATCTACTCAACGGCTCCGGGGTTTAGTTCATATCACACTACAGGCATTCCTGTCGACAGTGGGTATTGATATCTTTAAAGAATAGGACATACTGATGTTTGAAGTTCCGGGCTTAATAGGGGTTTATCTTCGAGGTTTGAATTTTATTGAGAAAATAACAGGATAACATCAATCAGAGCAAATCCTGGGCAGATGTAACCGAGCAGAATGCTCTCTACCCATCATTATCATTGCGACGTAAATTCTCATAGCTTTCAAGGTTCTAGAACCTGAATCAATCCAAAGTTAGACCAATCCTCTCATGGCCGATGAAGATCTGCACCAGACGACTCTCTTCTGAATGTGTGAAGTGAAGGCTCAAGTACTCGCGGAGTCAATGCGACTCACGCACTCCTGGAACATCGGTGTCACATCCTGGTGAAGTTTCTCCTCGTCTTCCGTGAAGATCGCAACACCACGAATGGAAGAGACATTGTCTGTTTCAGCGTTCACACACATCCACTCCCCAGTTCCCCAGTTAGTCATGTTTCCACTCATGAGTGACTTCTGGAACTCGGGTATCTGCGTTTTGTTCATGTAGTTCACGACCTCGAGATCGTAATAGTTACCGGGCATCGTAGCCAGGCGGAAAAGCACTGGTTTGCCGTCGACCTTAACAGTTGTCTCCTCTTCGCACTCGATGTCCGTCTCTTCCACAAGCAGATCACGTCGCTTCAGGGTGTTGTCCTTGAATTCGTAGTCCACTGGGGTGGAATAGATGTTGTGGATGAGAGAATTGGCGGGGACATTGCGCTTCTTGCCTTGACCAGGCAGATCCACCGAGAGCCACATTCGATGGCAAAGTTGGTTATCGCAGTTTTCGTTTCTCTCTTCGACCATACGAGGAACACCATACTCAATTGACCGGGTCGACAGACTGGGGTTGTAGTCCTTGTTTCCAAAAGCCATTTCGTTCATTGCTCCCAGATGGTTCTCGGTGGTAGAGACAACCCACGTCAGGTATTTCCGAAGGTCAGTGACTGCAGTTTCGGCCGTTTTTTCCACCTCGCGTAGCTCAGCAGTGGACAATGTACCATCTTCACCATCCAGGAATTCTTCCAGAGTTACGGAATCGTCCTCAGCCTTCATGTAAGAATTCTCGGCTCTTATAGCATTTGACATCGCATCGGCGGCTTTTGTAACAAGTCTGACAAGCTCAGGGTCCTTGGTACTCAAGGTGTCGGCGTCGGCGTCGGCCTTAGTGTTAACATTTGCGAGTTCCTTGTAGTGAGCGAAGCGGATCTTCCACTTATCCTGCCACGATCGTCTCCGATTCTTGATAACATTTTCCAATGCCTCGTACGAATCTTTACTCTTCTGGACATCATACTTTCGATCCAGATCCACAACCTCTCTGTTACTAACATGCACCGAGTTTGAAAGCTGGCTCATCTCGAGGGTTGCTCGAATGAAATCTCTCTTGATGATATCATAGAGCGAATAACCGGAGTAGGCAGCGGCTGTTGCGATAGTCAAGCTCCAGACTACGTAGCATGATGCGATGTGTAGGTATCGGCATGTCGAAAGAGTCAGGGATGCCATGGCGATCAAGGGGGCAGCAATCATCTGGATAGAGTGCGAACCTCGTGGCATGAGGGAATGGGCATCTCGGCGACTGGTAACTTTTAGATCACCAGGAGGACGGATGTCGAGGTCGGTAGGAGCTGCGGCGACTAGAGCACATAGGAAAGTGAGGCATAGAATGAAGGATAGGAGGGAATATGCTTTGGTGGAATACATTTCGTTTGGTCGCTAAGAAACCTACGCTTTCTTGAAACGGGTTGAGAAGCGCAGGAAAGGCCGTACTTTGTATTTGGCTCGAAGGAGTAAGAAGTAGACGCCGGAAGCCAAGTCAATTATATCAACAGGAACGGAACGCATGGCCGGGCTCAATCCTGCTCGGCTTTGGAACAAAATTACAAATTTACGGTCATCTCGTTAACCAAACGGGTATGGTGGATGAAGTATGAAGATTAATCCTGCGGATGGATTAAAGCAGCCAATTGGAGGGTTTAGACAATCGACATAGATCGAAGGATTCATCCTACGAATGTTCAAGCCTTGGAGGTCCACTGCAGCTGACAGGGGGTCTCAATTCCAAGGTTTCACCTGTGGGAGTGAACGGATACTTTTTGAGGCTGACAGGTGTTATTTAGAATAGGAAAAAAAAATATAAACAAAGGCATACAACGCCATGGCTGTCCAGTTAGAGGCGTGGGCCGATGCTAGTTTAATTTTAGTGTGAAGAATCTATAAAAAGAGATCCAAGGCTCAGCTTCTGAGTGGGTACAGGAGATACTACACCCAGGATCGACATCTCATGGCGTGATAGAGAAAAGCTTACGGAGTAGATAGGACTCGCATTGATCGCCGGGCGTAGGGCGCGGCAATCACATCTGCAGGTAAGGTAAGTTGCGCGGTTACATTTTAGCATACTTTGGGGGCTAGTTCTAGAATGTTTCCACTTCTTTATTGTAGTGAAAATTACAGATTGAGAGGTGATCCACCGCTAATGCGATTTATCAATTGGGGGCCTTTTTCTGTATACCCAGTTGTAATATACAGCAACATCCGTGCATTATGAGTTGCTTGCCACTTCTAGAATCTCTCATCATTGGTTTTGTGCCTATCTATACTTTCATCCTTTTTGAGAGCAATCATGTAGATCCAATCTCAGGAATGCTTTTGGTATATCATACCTAGGTGAAATCAAGTAGAATCTTCAATCTTTGGCCGCCAGCAGATAAAGTAATTTACATAGGCTTGATAGCCTTGGTGTAAAGTCTTGAAGAGCACCTGAACAGCATAAATCCAAGTTGAAGATTTTTTGACCTCTATATTTACACAGTACTTAGTATTAGTTAACTACCTATTTAGGCTAGCCGGCACTTCGGAAGGATTATTGATAACTCCTTTCCAACAACTGCGGTAACTCACAACTCCAGTCTTGGCGTATTGACGTAAGTGGGTCTTCTGCGATACGCTCCTAGGTAGCCTTGTACTGAGGACAGGGTAGTGCCCAGGTGATCTCCCTACTTAGATAATAGTTGCTACCGTAGGTATGATACTATACGGTTTCCAAGGGTCTTTATTTGACACATAAGTACTCCGCAATGCAAAATATTGCGCCTTAGCCCTCAAAGTTCCAGCTCTTATCTACAAACTCTCTTATTTATCAGCGCTAGCTGCGGTAAAATGTGTCATTCAAATGCTGGCTTACTATGATCTGCAGTGAGCAAATGAAATTATTGGTGTCAGTGCACTGTAGATTATAGCTGATCTTACATGTGAGGGTTATTGATAGCTTAAAGAAACGACTGACTACCTATATAGCCTAAAGTACAAAGTAAACATGTTCAGTATTGTATAGGAGGGCGCCCAATTTAATAGTAAGGCTCTCGATGACATTCGCTAATTTTCGGATTGAAGATCTGTACTCTATTGTATTTGAGACTTGAAACATAGAGCAACTTACTTGCAAGACTGACGATGGTACGATAGATAGAATTACAGTACTCATATCTTAATTGGCTAGACAAAAACTGGGAACTTAACTCTAATGCTTCTATTGATCATGTAGTCTTCTGTCATTGAGGTCACAGGTTTTCTAAAATCCAGCATTTAACGAAGTTTCGAAATTCAATCTTTCCAAGAGTATCGAATTCGGTATGGTGAAAGTTCTCACTGCAGTGATACTGGAACCTCTGTCAATTATATTTGCTCAAGTAATGTGTGAAAGTCGTGTCTGAATAATGATCTATAATAGGCAATATCCCGATGAGGAAGCTTCAACAGACCTCGGGATTTATCTACTACAAGTCATAGGCAAAAGCAGCTCATCCATGGATATACATGGATAACGTAAAAATTATGCTTCCTAGGTAGGTAGACCACTTCTACCGCAATAATACTTTTGTTCCACACGGAAGACATGAATCCTGCGTCCTCTTCAAGAGTGTCTCAGACCACCATCATCTGCAGCCATTCCTTCGATCATGCACTCTAGATATTGTTGATTATATCCAAATATTCACACACGTCAGAATTTTCAACAAAGTGGTAATTGCCACTCTTGGAAGTTTACTAGGCTGAAAATTAAGAATCCTCAAAGAATATATGTGAAACTGCCGAGACCTCGGGCGCATAAGGTTGTATAAGTGATTTTTGATCTCCATGAATATTCTAGAGGAACCCCTGGATCGGTTGACATACCACTTTGCACGGGGCGCGGTAGATATTTTGAAATTTTGACCTGGTCTAAAGCAGATGTAGCTCCTGAGTGGAGAACAGAAGTCCAAGCTCAGAGGAAGCCGTTGGTGGGCTTGGGTGAAGAGAATTGTCTCATTTTAAACGCCACAGAAGGATGTGCTAGCATCGCTGGTAAGCTAATTTTGGATGGCATAAATAAGGACTCGATCCACCTGTACTCGGAGTGGGGTTGTCCAATCAAGATGAGTCTCGGAATTGATGATCTTCGAGATTTCGAGATAATTTTGATGTGAATGAGGTTGGAAGGAGAGGCAAACTACTAAAGTCCTACCAATAATCTAATAGAAATGGATACGTCGATGCGTATCTAATATTGTATTCCTACATTTTTCACATTTTATCAATCTATCTATCACCATACATTGATAAAGATGCGCTAACAATGGATCTATTATAAATCTCCATCTCTTTCTGCCTCCTGTTGGCTCTGCTCTTCAGAAAGTCTTGGGTTTCTTAAAACAAACGCTAGTACAATCATTGGTGCGGCAATGCAAATTCCAGCTATGCAAAGGATTTGCTGTACATGGCGGTAACTGTGGATAATTGCGTCTCTCTCCGGAGTTCCAATGGGGTATGATGGAATAACCTCAAATGGCGAGTCGTAGACTGCACGTGCAAGAGTAGAATTGGACTGGAAAGAAAGACTTTCTTTGAGAGATTTGTAAAGAGTTTGTGTCCAAATTGTGCCTGAGGCACAAGTACCAAGGGCACTTCCAATATTATACGACCCCAGATAAATTCCTGTCAAAACTGCCATATTTTCGTGTTTCGTCGCGGCTTGGACGGATGCCTGGGTCGGGTATGCGAAGAAACCTCCGGCGACGCCAAGAAGGATCTGAGCCGCAATGACACCCGCTTTTGAATTTTCAGACGCACCACCTCGGAAGTAGATGACCAGACCATATGCTACCATGAAAAGACAGGTCCCAGCCACAATGAAGTATTTCAATCGTCTCACTTTATAGATAATAATGCCAGTGACAAGACCACTGATCAACCCGAAGAAAGAGTAAAAAGACAAAATTCGTGTGGCAGTCGCAACAGAAAAGTCAAAAGCGACAATCAAGACTGTGTACAGGTAGTCTGCCTGCAGGTACCACGAAAAGTTGAGAAGACATCGAATCAGAAGGGCGCTCCAAACCCCTCGATCTTTCAGCAGGTGGAACGGAGCCAGGGGGTGTTTTGCACATTTAGTCTCCCAGAAAATAAAGACCGGGATACATTTGATTCCTAGCAATAGAGGCAAGTAAATATGAGGCGAACGCCATTGAGACTGTGCTCCTCCTGCAATGGTGAGCGGTGCTAGTATGAAACCAAATATCATAGTCAAAAGGATCATTCCAACGACATCCAGTTGGTGAAATAGAGTAGTAGCCAGCTGGCGTGTTCCGAGAGATAGAAAAGGGCTAGGGAATTTGTTGAGGGAACCGTTCTTCTGAGCTCGACGGCTGGTGGTGTACAATATCAAGAGGAGAGGTATGGAGCAAAAAGAGTATATGAAGCACCACATGCCGATTCCCCACCGCCATGATGTCCTCTCCAGAACCATGGAAGTGATGTTTCCGCTGATCCAGGTATTGATGATAAATGGGGTGGCTGGCAGATAGCTAAACAGGACACGCGATCGCATTGAGGTTATGTCTGCCACAATGATCTCTACCAAGAGGACGATACCCGTAAATCCAAGTTGGTAAGTTACTGTGCCAAGTGAAAAGACTTGGATGTTGGTGGCAGTACTTTCTATCGTTGTGCCTATGAGATATAACATCATAGAAACTGCCACCAACTCAAATCGGCCAAACACATCGGCCACCCTAGCAGCGGCGGGCTGGGCGGCGGCGGCGATCACACTGCGGATCACGTTGATGGTTGCAAGGAGGGAATGTTCGCCGAAGCTAGAAGTGGCATAGGATTGATATGTTGAGCGCACTTGACTGTCGAGTCCGTACGCGTACCCCACCATGAAAACTCCGATAAACATCATAGTTCTATCCCATGGTGTCAAGGTAGAGTTGACAGCTTCGATGCGAGCCACTCCTGAGGATTTCGCGCCAAAAGTAGGTTGTCCGAGAAGGGGCTGATTCTCATTTTCAGGGATGTCGGTGGAGGTTCGTGGATGGATAAAGGGATTGGGACCACTCTCATGATCGGAATCAGATGCAGGCGTCATGTCAGATTATGGCATATGGTACAAAATATGAGACTTCGGACCATAAAAAGTACAAATAAGGTGGTACCGTTTGATCTGATAAGATGGTGGGAAGATCCGCTTTATTTGTTCCGGATTTATTATTACCCCTCTAAAGCTTGGACTCCACAGATGAACATCTGATCTTTCTATTACGAACTACCCCTCCATACTAGTCATTTTAATATCGTAATGACGGACTGGCCATGTTAAGGCGCGTCTCATCGGAGTAGAAAGAGACCGCAAACATTAAACATTCACCTCAAGACGAAGGATCAGTCTTAAGATTCTGAAAAAGAGTCTGCTTGGAGAGTATGATTCAAAGTCTTGAGAAATTAACGAAAGCCACCTGGATTATTTAGAGCTAGAAGGGTCACAAAACTCTTACTGACATCCTCTTTGGCCAAGTTATCGCCTTTATGATGAATACCTCTCCAACCCTTTTTCTCCCCCTCGTTACAAATCGAGAGTGCACCATCTCAGAGACCAGGGCTGAAGTGACACCGCACCGGAAGTGCATTTTCTATTGTCAAAGCAATCTGGATTTTTGTATGGCACCAAAACTGTATCATTATAATGGATCGTTTGCATGTATCCTGGTGAATTACTGACCTTAGACCCACATTGAGCAAGGCATCCCCGGCCCGTTGCCCGTGACCCACCCTGTCAACCAGAAATTTTTTCAAAAAGCTATTAGTCACGGGATCTCGGCGGTAATCAGACCTTATTAGTATTTTCCAGTAATTTACACACGGAAGCCTATTTTACAATACATGACCTTTGATTACGGTGAAAGAAAGATAAGCATAACTCGTATATCATATTTACCGTTCGAAGTGTCATAGCTGCGTCTATATCTGATAAGCATTGTAGGTTAACAACATATACATATATGAGTATTCGGGTATTTAGATAGAGAGGCCACATGTTCTGTAGTGCGACCTGTATTCCCCGCCTCCACTTGTCTCTTTAGAGAGCACTCTTGTTCAATTCAGCATATCAAATCTATCACAAAAAAAAAAAAAAACATTGAATATTGATCTTGCCTCAAAATTACCTAATGTTCAACATTTATTGACCAATACAGAATCCATCTGATAATTGAATTGAGAATCGAGATACTTATCAGTCCAAATATGCGGGGAACGGCAAATCGGCTATTGTCATCGGCGGGCCCAGCAGACATAAAGCGAAGTATCCGTGCTAACCAGTTAAGACAGTAATCAAGTTGACATACAGCAACTGACGAGTAGTATCTACAGCATGTCTCGACTTCAATTGCAACATATGCTCAAGTCGCGAAGGCATTTACAGATTCGCGCCTCCCTACCAAGACATGCATTTTCAACCTCGGCACGATGTGCGATCATGGAACTGACCGGTTTCACCTCAGAACAGCTCACAGTTCGAGAAGCCGTTTCGCAAATCTGCTCAAAATTTCCCAACACATACTGGCAAGAGCGCGACCAACTGGAGAAAGACCCCAGCGAGTTTCATGCCGCCTTGGCGAAGGATGGCTGGCTTGGTATTGCACTGCCCGAATCCCTCGGCGGAGCTGGACTGGGTATTTCTGAGGCTACGATGATGATGCAAACGATCGCTCAATCGGGTGCAGGCTTGGCAGGGGCGCAGGCCATTCACGCCAATGTATATGCCACGCAGCCACTGGCCAAGTTTGGTACGAAGAAGCAGCTTGAGACTATCATTCCAAAGATTATCAACGGCACTTGGCGTACTTGTTTTGGAGTAACTGAACCGAACACGGGACTTGAGACGCTGAAGCTTAAGACTTTCGCGACAAAGACCGCTGACGGGTACTCGGTTACTGGTCAGAAGATCTGGATTACGTGCGCACAGGTTGCTTCTAAGATGATTCTACTTGCGCGGACCACGCCTTTAGAGGAGGTCAAAAAGTCGACAAATGGCTTGTCACTATTCTGTATCGATCTCGACCGAGAGAATCCCGGGCTCGACCTGCGCAAGATTAAGAAAATGGGTGGTCGCGCCGTAGATGCGAACGAAGTCTTCTTGGACAAATATCCCATACATAAAAACACGCTCATCGGCCAAGAAGGCCAAGGATTTAAGATAATTTTGCATGGCATGAATGCCGAGCGGTGCCTGCTAGCCGGCGAAGCGCTCGGTTTGGGTTATTTAGCCCTGGAAAAGGCAGCCCAATATGCTAAAGAGCGAGTGGTGTTCGGACGGCCGATCGGCCAGAATCAAGGTGTGGCGCACCCACTGGCTGATGCATACATGAAGCTGGAAGCGGCGAAGCTGGCTACATACCACGCAGCTCGGCTCTACGACTCAGCCGACAGCTCGGTCCCGCTCCATGCCATTGGCGTGGCTTGTAACAGTGCAAAGTATCTGGCGGCTGAGGCGGCGTTTATTGCGTGCGAGAGGGCCATCTTGGCTCATGGTGGGATGGGTTATGCGATGGAGTATGATGTAGAGCGATACATGCGAGAATGTTTCGTGCCGAGAATTGCGCCTGTGAGTCGTGAAATGATTCTCAACTATATAAGCGAGAAGGTGCTCCAGCTTCCTCGGAGTTATTGAGTCTAGCTAGTCCTTATAGAGATTTACAGCATTGATTGTTTTGAGATATTTTCCTAGTTTACTCTAATATAACATTTGAAGGTAGCGAAAACACACTGGAGTGTCTTGAATTTCTCTCTCTATCTCTCTCTCTCTCTCTCTATGACAGACAATTCAACTTCGGAAGTAACGAGCCACAATTTTGTCCCCATTCAGGCTGTTTCTCTCCCCTACGTCAACCCGTGTTTCGTCTGGTAAAGAAATCCTAGAGAACTGAGGACTCACAGGCGAATTAATATTGGCCGTGTAACTGCCAGTAAAAACCCGATTCTCATTCACGGGCGGGTGAATAACCCCAATCGCGAACAATATGAGGGCTGTGAGGAAGCCCACTATGAGGAGCAGGAAAAATGTGATCAGGGCAACAAAGCCCAGTGAGGTTCGTCTGGAGCTTAAACAAGGGAAAACTCTTCTCAACTTCTCCTTCCGCTCTCTTTTGCGAATTACGGCTCTTAAAGCCTTTGCAAGATCGACTGGATCTGGAAACTTGTTTCCTTCAGAGTCATTTTCTGATGTTGAGACTCGTGAGGCTGAGATTCCTGACTCTGAGACTTCTGATGCGGGTCAGTACGCATTCTATTACAAGCATTTCGAATAATACAGGACGCTTACCTCCTAGGGCATTGAGAGACCCGGGAATGCTCATTTCTCCCATGAAGCCTGGAGCTTTAGATATGAGATCTTGAGACATGGTTAGAGTATGCTAGTGAATTGCTATTGACAGCGGACGCGAAAGTGGATGGTGTGCTGAAAGTAGAGATAACATATGAAGGGACGTAGCCAGCTGTATCTACATATATGGAATATAGTGTTTTCAGCCCTATGTTGGAATAGTTCCTTCAGTGTTGATTTACTTAATCAGGTCTAGTCTGCTTAGTCTCTAGTTTGTTTAGTCTCTATGGAAGAATACGTCATAATGATTTCTCAGATGGGTAGAAAGTACACTGTATAATCGAAGTCCATTTCTTCAATTGAATTATAATATGACAGCTGCCAGCCTGATAGATAACCGAGGAGAATATATTAGAGTGATAGCATTAAATCATTCTACTAACCTATACCGCGGAGAAGCTGCGGAATCTAATTTTGACAATTTACACCAATCAAGGGTCGCATGCAGAAGTAAGTGCAGGCCATTTTAGGAAGTTGACAAGCTCAGTACGAAGTAATATTGGCATCCTTTGTAGCCCTTCAGCAAACATACTACTCCTTCGGCGGTTTGCACCAATCATGCTTCGTGACAGGCGAACTCCGATTAGAAAAGTTTAAGTCAATCCAGTGGGCGACCAATTAGAACTCACCGATTAGATCTCCGCATTGCGGAACATTGCCCTTTTTAGTACAGATAAGTAGATGTAACTTCAGATTGGGATATAAAAGGGTATCCTATGCCTTCACACCGTACCATCCATTTCAAATCATAAATCTTTGAACTTTTGTTCAGATCAACATGGGACGAACACTCACATACCCCAAGGGACTATCAAACACGGTGAACCGATATAAGCACCGGGGTATGAATCCTCATCGTATTGCGCATCACCACCGCAATTACTAACCTCTTACAGCAACCTATGACCTGGGCGCAATCCATTCAATTATCAACATTTCCCAGGTACTACATGTATCCTTTAACCCAGGCCCAGAGGATCCATTTCCAACCATCCTGCCCATGATTGGTCAGATGGGGTCATTCGAATACCCATCCGCAACTATCGACGAACCACTCGAATGCTACCTACATGGTTATGTAAGCTCTCGCATAATGAACCTAGCGCGCAATTCCGATGGAAAGGGTCTACCAATCTGTATAGCAACCAGCAAAGTAGACGGACTTATCCTGTCGCTCACGCCCAACTCGCACAGCTATAATTACCGCTCGGCCATTCTGCACGGCTATGCCAGTCTCGTCACAGACGAAGAGGAGAAGCTGTGGGCCATGAAGCTAGTCACGAACTCGGTGCTCAGCAACCGTTGGGAGAATACCCGTATCCCGCCCGACCGTGCGGAGATGTCATCGACTGTTATCCTGAAAGTTAAGATTGTGGATGGTAGCGGCAAGATCCGCGACGGAGGTGTTTCTGATGAGCGCAAGGATACGGACAATGATGAGATTACTGGTCGGATCTGGACTGGTTTTGTTCCTGTCTGGGAGACTTTCGGCGAGCCTGTTCCTAGTCCTGGTAACAAGATTGAGAAAGTTCCTGAACATATTACTTCGTTCATTAAAAAGAAGAATGTGGAGAATCGTGCTTTGGCAGAGGGTTCGGTGGAGGTTGCTCTTCCTAAGGAGGAGACGTTTTAGATTACCTAGACGATGGAGCTTAACCCATTAATTATCTTGTTTCCTTTTCTTCTATAAATGAAACCAGCCGATATGTTGGAGGCTCAAGGCCTAGAACTCGACAGCTGATAGGCTCCAGAGGTGCCCACCGGCATTCTTCCACATCCTAACTATAATTTCTAGGACTGTTGCACGTCTTTCCTCCATTTCAGCATGTTCTTGGGCATCACGGGCCCATCCCGACAGTCAGTGAAGAAGTTGAGAACGAAATGACAAGAATATATACCAAGAACGCAATAGTATTTCATAGTCATATTGCAGCTCTCGCATGGCATCTTTTAGTGCAGTATCGAACCCGAGATTATACGAGATGTATGCGTCGGGCAGACACTATACGAAAGCCTTCAGGTCGCTAGCTGCATATATTGTCATTTGCATTCCTGAATCATGTGAAACCAAAAGCCTGACGCGCCTTCATAGTACTCTTGGAGCCGCATCCCGATCAGGTAGGAAGCCAAGGAGGGCTGATTTTTCTGACTAAGAGGATATGCAACGGACATCTATGCCAAGAACCTCGGAATAAGACGGATAAGTACGAGAGGCTGCATATTTAAGGTTGAACGCCGTGAGTTGTCCGCGAAACTCTCGGAGTTCGGGCCTCTTGAATATGCTGAATCTGAGATGCACGGACAAACCTTCCGAAAAAGCTGCCCAGATGAATATACTGAATGAGGTGTCGGTGGGCAGAGTTGGGTACAAAGCTGAGTAGATTTTCAATGCACGGTGGCATGTAAGGATGGGCAAATTGCATGAGTATCAAGTACTTCTTTCCAGTTCAAGTCTCTATATCTGTAGATCGATAGAATATCGGCTCTTCAGCATATCATGGTTCACAATATTTTCAGTGCATTCTGCATCGTTGGATTTGCTTGCATATCATATGCCATAACGCCATATCCTACCTAAATGAAATAAGCGGTGTAGCGCGTTCGTGTAGATTTAAATTTGACCGGAAAAAGGCCAAGCTTCCACGTGGAGCGAGAAAGACGAACAGAATCAGCACGACACATGTCCAGGTGGGAAGTAAGATATACGAAATCCTCCTAATCTAGCTTAAAACAAGGCGTTCCAAGGAGTATGGATAATCTTAGATCTAAGATCTGGATCTCAACCGGAAATCTGCGCCCAACACGAGATTAGAGCTTAGGGGTACAAAGACTTGATTTGGATGTGACTAGTCATATCGCTTCAACGTAGTACGCCGTAAGTACTGGGAGCAGGCTGCATACCATCATGTCTGATATCTGATCAGTTGGCGGCGTAAATGGGTACGAGGGTGTCCATGAAGCAAGGAATTTCCAAAAATAAGATTTGTTATTCTATACTAGCATTGATTGGAAATGTGAAGAAAAAAGTGAGGTTCGTTAAGTTGATATGTAATCAGATAAGGTTTAGGTGGATCTGACTCTCGTATTTCTTCGGGAACGGCTGAACTACAACTCCAGTGCATCTTGTAGAATAATCGGAAATTCATATCTCATTGATTTGTAATATGATTCATCACTTTCCACGTTTTGAACTCACCCTGGAATGCATGAAATAGTCACTTTTCCATGATAGGTTTGATTTCCAACCAAGATACCCCTATCTGATTGGATGATTACACAGCAAAGATGATTTTGGTTCGGCATATTTGGTGACACAGCAATGAAGCTGCAGGTCAATCAGATTCATCAATTAATGCTCTGTGTAACCTATAAAGCTGGATGTAGAGCCAAATTGAAATCTCTTTCTCCTTTAAGTGTATACTTCTATAATTTAATAATACTTCCAAGGTTCAAGTCATACTGTCCTACCGCAATGAACTCAACCATCAGAGAAGCCCCCTTCGGGCAGCTCGTTCGCTATTTCACAAAAAACAAATACTTCCAATATCCCGAAGAATCCCCAGACTTCCAACTACCAGAAGTATGGATTCAATCGATGAACGAGCCATCAGAAAAACAAGAAGAGGCTCAAAGACAAAACAGTGAACGCATCAGCCGAATAACTACCCAGAACTCAAACACCTTGTCATCCACAGAGTCTCGTCTAGAGGCTGATGAACAGCATGAGCTGGAGAAGATCAAATCCATCCCCATTACCCCCAAGAAGACAAGAGACGGTGCGATCCTTGTCGACTGGTACTACACAGATGACTCGGAGAATCCGCACAACTGGTCCAATCTTCGACGTGGCATGGTCGCTCTCATTATCTGTCTATACACCTTCGTCGTGTATACTACCTCTGCAATCTATACCTCCTCTGAGCAAGGTATCATGGAGGAATTTGGTGTCGGCACTGTGCTGGCGACATTGGGTCTGTCGCTGTACGTGCTCGGCTACGGCACCGGTCCTTTGATCTTCTCGCCGCTGAGCGAAATCCCCATAATTGGACGCAACCCGGTCTACATCGTGACGATGTTCTTATTCGTGATAATCTCCATCCCTACAGCTCTTGTGGGTAACTTCCCTGGCCTGATGGTCCTGCGTTTCTTGCAGGGCTTCTTCGGATCTCCCTGCCTCGCATCAGGTGGAGCTTCTCTAGGTGATATGTACAGCCTGTTATCTCTTCCCTACGTGATGATGGCATGGGTTTCGGCAGCATATTGTGGACGTAGGTCATTTTACAAACTCCAAATATCGTATTGATCTAACCTTTATACAGCCGCTCTCGGCCCTCTCCTAAGTGGCTTCTCGGTCCCCGCCGAGACCTGGCGATGGTCTCTATTTGAATCGATCTGGGCATCAGCCCCAGTCCTCATAGTCATGTTCTTCTTCCTCCCCGAAACTAGCACAGCCACCATCCTTCTCCGACGAGCGCAGCGACTCCGCAGAATCTTTAACGACGACCGTTTCCAATCCCAGTCTGAGATTGACCAGAAGAACATGAAAGTCTCCGAGATAGCAATCGACGCTCTAATCAAGCCCCTCGAAATCGCCATCAAAGATCCAGCGGTTTTCTTCGTCACGATCTACTGCGGAATCATCTACGCAATCTATTACTCCTTCTTTGAGGTCTTCCCGCTAGTCTACCCAACATACTACGGCATGACCCTTGGCGAAATCGGCCTAGTGTTCCTTTGTATCATGGTCTCCTGTTTAATAGCAGTAGCAATCTACTGGTCCTACATCTTCTTCTATGCGAATCCACGAATCATCAAATTCGGACTCGGGCCTCAGGAAGAACGGCTCATACCAGCACTAATCGCCTCATTCGGACCACCAATAGGTCTGTTCCTCTTCGCTTGGACATCGCGCGCATCCATCCACTGGATCGTACCAACGATTGGAATAACCATCTATGCCGGATCCGTCTTTATCGTTATGCAGGTTTTATTCATCTACATCCCGCTCAGTTACCCAATGTATGCAGCCAGTCTATTTGCCGCGAACGATTTCTGTCGCAGCGCCCTTGCATGTGGAAGTGTGCTATTCGCACATCCACTTTTTGGTAATTTGGGCATTGCAAGGGGTACAAGTCTTTTGGGTGGATTGAGCGTTACTGGTATCATTGGTATTTGGCTGCTCTATTATTATGGAGCTAAGCTTCGCTCCATGAGCAAGTTTGCTGTGTCTAGTGAGGCTGAGGAGGTGTCGGTATCTGAGGGGACCTTAGCATAGGATGCAAGGGAGTCATATATGTAATAGCAAATAGTTTTTCGAAATCAGTTATACCAGCAAGGGAATTGATAGGGACACCATGTTTTAGACATGTTCCTTTGAGTTGGGCATGGCCAAACCCAACCAAAAACCCATTTTTTGCCAAGCCCCCACTATCACGTGATATATATTACCTAATGAAGGTTAGCATGAAGCAAAAATCAGGCACCCAGGCACCAAGGCACTATAGCCTCATTAGTTCCCAAGTTATATCGAAGAGGACGTGAGCTAGAATAAGTGTAACTCAATAGAGCAAACTGGTTCGACTATATCATGTCTGGTGGATCATATAGCTACTCGAAAGAAGTTCCAATTGTCCACTATACCACCAAAATGGCCAACGAGCGTTACAATTAGATTGGCGAAAACAAATCATACAAGATGGAAAGGCGACTTCGGATTAATGCTGACTTGGACCTGATCATGACCAGCAAGCAATGCTCGCTCTGTACTGTCTAGCGGTCGACTCTTCAAGAGCCATTTGGTTTTGACGGGCTGATCATTCCAGTACAGACAAGGAGTTCGAGGGTCAACCATACTGTTGTCTTGGCAATCATCAGGAAAGTGTCCATAATAAATATCTGTTGCTTTTCTTCCCTATATCGTAAGAGGCGGGGAGTGACTCTCGACTGCTTATCAGTAAGAGTCTTATATACCACTAGCTCGGGTGGAGTCTACGCTCGAGCTTACTTAGCTCAGGTAGTATAATTATCAAACTCTATGCCGATGTGGGGAACTTGCTTATATATCCTAACAAACGCGATTTTGCTAGAATCACCGTGTTTCTTGCACCAGTTCTTAACAGAGGTATAGGAGAGAGTAGAAGAGTGTTCGGAGTCCTTTGGTGCTCGTGTTCGTTAACGCGTTCGAGGACAATCCAGGTAGAGGGCTCAGGGGCATCGAAGACAATGCTGCGGAGCTCAGGGTGGAACCAGGGATACTATGGAGTCATTTCGATTGATAAGATTGAAGGGACATATAAAAAAAGGACAAGAGGGAGAAAGATGATGGCCAAGTGATGCGTATAGAAAGAGGTAACTCAGTTCTTGCGCTTCTGCGATAAAATCAAAATGAGTTCTAAATCCGAGAAATCTATTAAATTCACTTCATAGTTGTTTGAGTTTACTTAATCGCGGGATAATCGACTTGATTGGTACTAATAACTATGTCAGACGTAATAGTAATTAGGCATAGTTCGTCCTTCCTCTGCTACATGTACCGGCATTCCAACCACAAATCGGCGTCTTGGTCTTCAAAATGGCTTCATCAAAGCAGATACTTCATTTTCCTATAGTATCAGTCGAGAACTTGCAAATCACTGACGCTGAGAGAATTTTCCATCTGACCCAAAATCACAACACGGACTGGGTGCAGTTCCAGGCTTCATCCAGAATACCGGATGACTGCAGTAAGATTATTCCTGAAATATCATTAAATATTACTGACGGATTGATTCTGCTTAGATAACGTAATAAGTATCATTGATGATTCGGTTTCTACATCTGATGGGAAGCATAAGATTGCTCTGCTACTCCGTCTGCCGATCCTTCTGGCGTCCGTCATCGACTCTTCGTCCCCAGAGTCGCCCAGTCAGCACAATAATCACTCGAATTCAGTACCTTTCTCGTCTAAGTGCCGGTTTTTCTTTACGCCAATTATCTATAAGGGGAAAGAACACTGTCTAGAGGGGATCCCGGATTTTTCTCTATGGTATAGTTACTACTCCAGAAAAGAAAACGCGTCCGTCAACTTTGTGATCGTGGAAAAGGAGCTAGGACAATCCTCTCTCGGCATACCTCAGGTTCTTGCCTTTATAGGTAAGTACCAATTACCATATTACTATTTAAAGGTTTATCATCCGGACTGATTATATCTAGGCATGATATATGCACAGCGTCGGTACGAGAATAGACATCAACATGATATTTTCGGTCTCGCGACCGACAATGAACAGTTCCATTTCATCCGAGTCAATAGCGAGGGCCAGGTAAGCTTTACAAGGTATTTATAGGTTTACATTAACAGACGCTAAAATCTTTTACTAGTGGTCTCTGCTAGACATTAATTATGGTCATACTCAGGAAATTCTGGAAACTCTTGCCTATATCCATACAAAAGCTTCTATTTTATACAACCTTGAAGAGATAAATGGATCTAAAGAGCCCCGTTTAATCTCCACAACGAATGATAACGTTCATGGTAGCAGTTCTATGCTCAAAACTTGGTCGGTATTTCAAGTGGAAGAATCAATATATGACGAGGAGTCAAATGAAGAAAGCAATGAATCTGATAATGAATATGACGAGGATTGAAAGTTGTTGCTGCTAAATAACCTTATGACGGGTCAAGTGGCTGCTCTACAGCATACTAGCTACAGTTTTGACTACTGAAATATAACACTTCTTTCAACTATTCGATGCATAAGGAGAGATGATGAAATTTTATCAGCTGATGGAAGAAAAAACGCTGAAATAAATATTGCATCTCAATACCTCTCGGCAGCAAGAGATGATATTAATGAAAAAAGGATAAGCTGAAATTATCATGATATCATAATAAGAGATGGATGGCTCTTCCGTAAGAAAAAGAAAAACGAGCAAAGCGAACCAGAAGAGTGAAAATAAAAAAACCATAAGGGAATACCAAGAAGAGAGATCAAGAAGAGAGCTTAGAGCCAGGAGAGATGAGACCAAGAGAGACAGGAACTAAGAGCAATGGAGTTGTGGTGGGGAGGAATCAACAGAACGAAGACTGATCGATATAGGACAAAGAGAAGAGACTAGGAGAGCCGGCAAAGCGAGAAATGTAACCCTTGTCAAGCTCATCTTATCTCTCCTTGAAAGTCACCTAGTCCTGTCAGTCCAACATTGGGTAACCATCGCTGTAGAGACTGGTCTTTGCAGTTACCGCGGTGCCGGTTGTGCTATCTGATTGTTCCTTCATATGCTTTGTGATGGGCACTGGCACATTGGAGGAGCGCTTTGACTGATTTGGGGACATAACTGCAGCCGCCTTAAGGAAATTGTCGATACCACTAGACCAAATTGGGGCACAGGACCAATGGTTCCGATGCTGTTGGTTCGACATGAAGTGAATCTAGCGAGTTTTGTCTATTTAGTTACAGCGAGGATAAGATTGAATAACACACCTCTTACAGCTTCGCATCGACGCACCTAGATCTATTCCATCAAGAATACTAGTTGCATATGCACCGTAAGAACGTCACCGTTCCGACAGAAATGGACAAGAAGCCCAAGCACTGTAGGATAATGCATTTTGAATGTCATAAAATGACGACAAGACCACTAGTTCAAAGGTAAGATTGAGGAATTCTAATAAAGTTCATGGGTTCTGTTACCTGAGAATTGTTATCGATTTTCAAGAAGTAAATGATTTCGCCGTCCGATGCTGTTCCATAGACAGTACAGTCTCGCTTGTCTGCTTCCTTCCGTAGGTTATGCACGATGCCTTATGACAAGTTAGAAGAAGATAATAATAAAAGCGATGGTACTCACCCATATACGCCAGGCATTGTGAGAAGCCATTTGAAGCCGATCCCCGTGTCTTCGCTTCTACGATGAGAACATTCACGGCGATCTCCTCCTTTTCTCCGTACCACGCGACATAATCAGGTTTCCCACAGATCATTATCTTCTCCGTGCTATGAAGTATGGGACCATAAGCCCATGTCTTCTCAGTTGTGATACTGACAGGAGACCGGAGGAAACCTGAGAAAGCCATGTCGTGGGCATAGATCAGAAGCATGTTGAGCGACATCCGGATGTTGGCTTCAGATGGACCACTTCGGCTGAGAACGTGATCGATTTTTCTCAGCACATTTACTTAAGATCTAGTCAGTATACATATCATTTATGTTTTCCCCATTTTTCTTGCATTTACCAAGTTCTTGGGACATTGGAAGGTCACCCACATTGCCAAGCTCTGGGTCATCTATGCTATGGCTCAGTCTTAGCCATTTCTCGGTCTCTCCCAGCGTAATCTTTGAAAATTGGACGCTCTTTAGCTTGTTGGCTGCCATTTTGTTGTCCTGCGTGATGAAATCACGTACGTAATCGACAGTGTGGGTTCCATGGATGAAATCAAGAAGCAGACGCTTCCATCTCCCCGCAGACGCCATGTTTATGAAAGACGAAGAAGAGATTCAGTTGTTACTAGGAATCAGAAACAAAAGATTCGAAGATGAAAAAGGTATAGTTTGTTTATCGACGTATGCGTCAAAAGCTAATCTATTGTAGGAAAACCTAAAAAAACAGAGCTAGTCCTCTTCTAGACATGAATAATGGTTTTATCAAACTATTCTTTCATTTATAACCGCTCATGCCATCATAATCTTCTTGGGTCTATCTCTTTAATCTCGCACATGTGGTTTGTACGTAATGAAGACGTTGTAAATTCGTTGTAAGTAATGAACTAATCTAATGATATAAATCCTAGATATGGAGAATCCAATTCACTATGAACGTTCATATGTACTAAATATATATTTATTCCATATTTGTCCCACTCCAGGTATATCGGTCGTTTGTCGCTCCTATATGACCAGAGATATCCCAGCCCATAATGTTGACAATGCCAAACTTTCAATATCCCCTGTCCAGCTTGATGTATGTGGAACAGTGAATCTCAATTTCTTCTGTTTCGTCGCCTTGATTATCAATGTAAGGTTCCTCTCTCCCTACCCGGAACTGGTAGCAGCCACAACTAACGTTGCCCCTACACAATACGCAAACGAGAATCGCCCGTTTATCGTATAGTTTAGCAGTGCCAAGAGCGCATCACACATTTTCATGTGTGGGTGCCACAGGGCCGTGCAACGCTCGACAATAAGCACTACGCTTAATTTCGTTAGCCAGCCAAGTATTACGCTCAATTGATGTAATTTGCGGTATCTCAAACCTATAGATCTTCGACACAATATCCATCTTTCGAATCCATATAATTAAGCATGGGGAGTAGGAACATATAATGTTAGGGCTACTTATAGGCGAAGCTTATGCGAAAAGAAAATACTAATTTCATGATGCTAGAAATGGTAACTATTATAGAAGTTAGTTATTACCACTGAAAAAGCCCGAAAGTTGCGCTCCATTCAAAGTTGTCGTGGAGGAATTCGATACAAATGAACTATGATAGTTCTCGTGTGATGCTTCATGTCGGACCTTCCGGGATAGCTTTATCTCACTGGCGCTGCTCACAGTCAATCCCACCCCAGCTCCCGCCAGTGGAAATAACCCTGTGGCAGTGCCAACAGCAGTTAGGCCCACTCCAGCTAAAAGTCCCAGTATTGGGAATATGTTTCGCTTCAGCACGTCTCGTTTTCTCAATTCTTGCATATCTTGCGATATTTGTGACATGCTACTTTCATTCTCTTGCTTGAAATCACCCAGGTACTCTTCAAAAAGGGATTCCTCCTCTTGAATTTTTTTGTACTCTATCTCGATGCTGTCTCTCCTGCGACAGCCGATTCGTTCTTGATGTTCAAGATCTGCTCTTTTCTTGTTGCGAATGTCGTTCTCTTCTGCGTGTAGCTTATCATCTCGCTTCATCTCGTTTTGCAATCTCTGGTATTGTCGCTTCTGTTCTTGGAGCTCACCAGAAAGCTTCTGTTGCTCATCACGCATCTTCGAAAGCACTTTGCTATAAGAATGTTCCCTTTCAGCAAACAGTTCTTGAGTTGACACTCTAAGCTTCTTTTGTGCTTGTTTCATTTCCCTGATCTCTTTTTTCAATTCTGAGAGACTGGTTGTAGCATCGTGTTGAGAGACTGACTCGTCTGATTGAAGAAAGCGCATTTCCTGAATCAATGCCTTCTCGGCTATGATGTACTCAGACATAAGCTCTAGCCCGGCGGTCGTCTCCTTCAGGTGTTTTCCCTCGTCAACGACTTCTTTTTGGATGAGGAGGGATTTACAGCCTCCCCTTTCCCCTAATGAAATCAATTCATCGACGATTAAGAGGGCGGACCCCTCACCACCACGCCATCGCTTTGCTTGACTACCCTGTTCAAAAAACCGCCCCCAAAACTGCCTTGTGGTCAATAATTGCGATTCTCGAAGTTGTGCTTCATACCCATCTATCGAGTCCCACATAGTAGTGACGAGGAACATCCGGGTGCAGCAGCCAAGCCGCACATAGATTCTAAAAGCTTGAAGTTCCTCAAAGCTGACCCTGAAACTCGGTTATCAGAGATACGGTGCAAATACAGTATGCCCGCTATTTTCATTCCCCGCCGATAGATCTGAGATAGAATGAAAGCAATTTCTGAAAAAATCTCAAAATCCGACCGATAGGTGTCGTTGAATCCGGGTGTATCCACCAAGTACACAGGCCTGTCTTTGACCATCATACTATGGAATTCAACACCCTGTGTATCTAAATTATATTCATAGATGTTAAAGATTTTAAACGAGTCAGCAGACCTCGTACTGTACTCACAAGATGTCAGTTCATGGCCAATACCAGTATCGCCTCCGATAAGCTTCGATATAAAGGTGCTTTTTCCAACACCGGTCATACCCATAACAAGTACCGCGACACCTGCGGAAAAATCAGACATCCTACATAATGTTAGCGAAGGGTTAAAGAAGTATGGGCTGACAGCATACTGTGTCATATCTTTATTCATAGAATCCATCTTGAATCGAAGTATCCTGAGGTCCTTGGTAAAATTGAAGGTTTCCAAGGCTACAAATGAACACAGAATTTGAATGACCAAGCAATATATTTATTTAGGTGGTTTTCCTCACAGCCTACTTATTAATGCAGTCATCCATATCATGTTAACTACTCTAACCCTTCCCAAATAGCCACTATAGAGAGGCTGTGCTTCGGCATGACAGATTTAGTAAAGCCAATGAAGATCGCTTTATTTGAAGTAGGAGTGATATTTGGGTGGTCAGAGTAGAAAGCCTCTGTTTTTCGCTAAGAATCCACAACATAGGTGAGTAAGACGATAGATTAAGAGGGGCTGTTCTAGCCATAAGCTGTTTAGCTGCAGATATAGCAATGAATCCCAGCAGTCAACCAAGGAGGCTGAGCCTGTAGCAGCTATTCTTATTGCAGTAGCTTTTCCAGAAATAAAACTGTGTAGATAAAGCTGAAAAGCAATCCAAAATTGACAAATGGAGCGTCAAAAGACCACCAATATGGCCTATGAATAGTGCGGGGTCGGCAGTAAGATGGGCTGAGCCTGTAACAGCTATTTTTATTTCGGTGGCTTTTCCAAAAACATCACTGTGCAGATGAAGCTGAAAAGCGATCCAAAATTGAAAAATGGGGCGTCAAAAGGCCACCAATAGGGTCTATGAATAGTGCGGAAACGGTGACCAGTTACTGAATAGGCTGCATTTCAATTAAGCTGGCGAGATCTGATCACTAGTTCATTGCGGACGGCGCAATAGTCTACCAATCAGCCTCAAACTCCTCGTAAACATGTTTATAGACTCATAAGCTGCCCTGTTTATGTCCACCTTGAATTCATCCATATCAGACTTTTCATTTTAGGTCTATCTTCACTTCCAAATTAAAAACATGGCGATCAATAAGTCTGAAAATGATAACCCACTGTTTCTCCTAGATGGACAAGTCTCAAACAAACTACTGCCATCAAACGAACGAAGCATCTATATTGCGATTATGGGAATGACAGGCGCTGGAAAAAGCACCTTCATCTCGCATTGTACGGACACGAAAGTTGCCATAAGTGATCCCGGCGCTCTGCAATCTTGTGAGTTTTGTTGATATGTAGGAGAGAAGAGTACTGAGTCTTGAATATAGGTACACAGGAGGTTCAAGTTTATCGATGTAAACCCTTCACTCCGCACGTAAACGTCTATCTTGTTGATACCCCGGGCTTTGATGATACGAATCGTAAAGATACAGACATTCTCAAAGAGATTGCTTTTTGGTTGACAACAACTTATAAAGAGGACATTCGCTTGAGTGGTATTTTATACCTTCATCGTATCTCCGACAATCGAATGGGTGGATGTGCACACAGAAATCTTATCATGTTCAAAAGGCTTTGTGGCCCCGAAGGGATCAAGAACGTAATATTTCTCACCACCTTTTGGGAAAAGGTAGATAAGGTCGATGGCGACAACCGTGAGAAAACCCTGAAGACTACGGACGATTTCTGGGGATATTTTGTCGAAAGGGGCGCCCGAGTCCAGAGACATTGGAACACTGATGACTCTGCAATGGCCGCCATAAAGAACTTTACACCTTCTGATACAATCAAGCCACCCAAGGAGATTAAATTGGCCATTCAGACGGAGATGGTTGATTCACACAAAGATCTAGATCAAACCTCTGCCGGTCAGGAGCTACAGAGCGAATTGCAGAAGGAACAAGAAAAGATGCAAAAGGAGTTCAACGAGCGAGCCCGGGAGATTCAAGAGGAAAAGGACCACGAGATGCGCGAACTTCTCCGGGAAGACCAAGAGAGACAAGCTAAAGAGCTTCGACGCAGAGACTCAGAGATCCAGGAGCTCAAGATTAGCATGGAGAGGATGCACGAAAAGAAGACCCGACAATTAGAGGAGCGATTGCTGGAGCAGCAGAATGAAAATCGCAGGCATCGTGAAGAAATGGTGCAAATCATGCGGCAATACCGAGAGGATCTCCAAGAGACACAAGGCCAGCGTAACCAAGCTGTTGAGAATTTAAGTCAGGAAATTAGAGACTTGAAAAAATCCAGCACGCAATACCGAGAGAATATCCAAGAGATACAAGGCCAACGCAACCAAGTTGTTGAGGATTTGAGTCGGGAAATTAGAGGCTTGAGAACATCCAACATGCAATGTCAAGATTGCTATGAGACCTTCACGTCCATCAGTGAGCTGTTCGACCACATACAAACCAAACACAACCAGAATCAACAACCGGAAAGGCAATATTGCCTAATTCATCAGGACGCGAATAACGAAGAGTGGTCTGAGGAACAGGATAGTGCTTGGTGTAATTGCTCTATATGCCAGGGAAAGGCGAATGCGACAGCAACAGCATCAAGCCGCAATTGTAGTCATCACGACGTGGATCCATACCTCACATGTCTAACATGCAAGATGGAATTCTTATATAGGGACCATCTGTTCGAGCACCTTGAAGAATTCCAACATGGCCGAGATCTCGTCACAGGGAAGCCTGAGAAATATGCCAGACCTGCCGAATATCAAATCCCAGAAATCGACCCATGGCTGACCTGCCTAACATGCGAGGAGTATTTCTCAGATAGGAACGATCTGTTTGAGCATCTTGCAGAATTCCAACACGGTCGGGATCTCGTCACGGGGAAACCTGAGAGATTGGTCAGATATTAAATAGTGACCACTGGCTCAACACGATGAAGTCGATCAACCCTTGTCACTTGACAGTGGGCCGATAGTTTAAATTATTTCTAGCAAATTTAGGAAAGAGTTTGTCTCATACTACTTCTTACACTCTGATCATACTTGTTCAAATACCCTGCCAAGATTTCGGTAGATAAAGGAGATTTCTTACATAAATCATCTAAAAATATAATCCTCGTACGAACCTAAAAAGTGGATGTACTCATGACCACCACTTTTTCTAAATTTCTAATTGGATAAAACTGTATCCACCCATAGTTAGGGTTGATTCTGACATATTCCTTCCTTCCCAAGAAAGAGTTTCTATACGATATGCCTCCAGAAGTTTGCATTTCGTGCTGATGAGTAACCATTCATCCCATAATTAGGAAATCTTGAGCGCGAATCAAAGAACATATTAGCAAAAGACTGCAAGACGAAAAGAACGTTCGAAAAAAAGAGTAGAGAACCAGAGCAAAAGGACAGGTTATGTAAGGGCGCTACTGCGTCACATGATGCCAGTGAATATTCCGAGGCTTAAAATGATCTCAACCATTGGCCATGCTTCCAGATCCAACCCAAATATGTTCACCCTCTTCTGTTTCGTCAGAACAGGGTATCTTTAGCTGCCAACTCTCAACCCTATCTCCAGACTCTTGGTTGGATCCAAAAAAACAAGCTCTCTGTACCAAGAAAGAGACTCTGGTAAGTCCCAACTCAGCTCTGGGTCCTTCAGCATCATCTTGACGAGATGACGTTTAGAGGGAAGTGGGTTGCCTTCTGCGTTTAGATCGAAAAGTTCTCGAGCGTGCATGATACTCAGATTATTGATGTAGGCTATATCGCCTCGTTTCGTATTCAAGAAAAGGGCATGTTTCCGAGCTAACTCTTCGATCATATCCATAGTTTCGAGGCGCTTCTCAGTAGGGGCAGGTATAGTCGGGTTTGATTCTTTATTTCAAAAGCCAGTGACGGGAAGTCGGGAATACTGGAGAATGAGCTTGTTGTCAGGTGAATTGTTGATAAGTGGTGTCCCATCTGTATGGTAATTCTGAGAGCTGTTTGGAAATTAGCATCATGAACATCTTCTACCCGGCAAGCTGGCTCACCCGAAGGAAACCCATTTCTTACTCAGCTCTTTTAATAAGTCTGGACGTGTTCTTGCGAGTTCATTATATATGAGAGGCGAGCTAGCGATCATGGTTGACCCGCCGGTGCTTGAAATATCCATCGTGAACAAGCTAAGAATATCTCCAAGATCATTATGAAATGCCTAATGACAAAGTTAGTTCAGCACCACAGTGCAAAAATAAATACTCTCACAAGTTTTCCGTTCGTGAAAGCCGGCCGCAAATTTTGTTCCTCGGCTCCCGGTCATTGTTCCTCACTTATAACATGACCTGGTTATGGGAGTTAGGGACTAATTTCTTTTGGGAGCCAGCTTGACGCTACTTACATATCACTTTCTGTCGATATTTATCTTGAAACCCACGCAACAGCGCCACGTGTGATGATATTCCAGCATATACCAGGACACTCTCCTCATCTGTAAGCAGATCTAGGTCTAATCGCGAGCAACACTGAATCCACGCCCATTATGCACATCGTAAGAGATATTCCGCAGTGAACTACGCAGTCCTTGTGGAAGAGGAAAAGTTTCAGGGCTTAGCGATTCAGGACCCAAGTTCAAACCTGTCACAAATGAGGCATGTAAGCACGATTTTATTTGATTGATTGATTGACTGATCACTAATATCATACTTTGGAAATGACGCAATGCCTCGATTACATATCTTTGGTCCTGTTCAGCCAGAACTGTTATCCAGTCGTGTTGTTTCATTGTCATTTCTGTACCAGACCAGACGATTTCACCGCAGTAGCGAAGAGGGAAACTAGGAAGAGGATCCTGGAGCTCTAAGGTATGGCCCGGTTCCAAATGCGAAGAGAAGCCATTAAACAGCCTTGGAGAATTATAGTCCAAGTCTGCAAGGGCGGCCATCTTGTTGCTAGCCTTAACCTAGTAGGAGTGCTAGAATCAGCTTTTACTGTTAAGCAACGTTCACAATAAACTCAGAGCAATAGACAGCTATTTTTTGCTTAAATAGATGATGGGAATTCACTAAAATTGGTACTTGAAGCAAACATTCTGACGCCACTACCTCTTTTAGGGCTTTTGAATCGACGACAAACGAGAGATACAGCAGAGGACTTCGACCCCGCTTCTACGTGAGAATTATCTAGAAGTAATGAGATACTTTGGTGAATTCATTGTCCATGCTCATTGCTGCAGAGTCCATTGCTGCAACAATTATGAAAGCCGAATGCTACAAAAAGCACTGGAAATGAGTGGAATGTATCTTATTCGATGATGTGGGTCGGAGTAGAATGCTATATAGATAATTGATTGGCCCAATAAAGGTGGTGACAATGTGTCAAAGGACCGATTCCAAGTTTAGTTTAGTGCATTATTGGTCAGCTCTCATACGTTCTTTACTGCAGCAAATTTTACTGCGGCGAATACACACATACATATTTGACTACTCTGTTCATATTTGCTCGCACGAATCCACTATTCAGTTCTCATTTGACAGTTATGAGCCCGGTACGCCGATAAATACCCCGAGAAAAACATTCTGAATTGCATTCAAGCGTGCATACATTGGGATTTCCCTACAAGTGAACAGTTTAGCGATATTAGACTTAAGGATGAAGCCCAATGGCATCAGTGGTATAGGAAGGTGAAGGTACTCGCAATCTCGAGCAGAATCTGGGAATACTGCGATCCGGACCTTGACGAGGACCGCCAGGAGCTAAGACGGTAGGACCAGAGCCGACCGACTACCCAACCTTACCAATACCGATCCCGATAACTGGAGACGAAGCTATCAAATCGAACAAGGCGAGAAGACGTGCCTGGAGAGATCAAGTTGAAGATTTCAAATACCGCGCATCAGTCTGGGAGAGGAGACAGAAAGCCATCGAATCTGTCAACGAGTATATCCAAAACACCTGGATTCAACTCTCCAAAAGCTCGTTTTAGACTATCAAGAGCCACATGAACGACTCTAATTTCTCAAGGATCGTTTTGGCGGCTCATCAACATACAAAGCTGAAATCTTCGAAAAATGGCATCTCGCTATGGAAACTCGCCCAAATGGTGCCGAGATCAACACATGGCTAGATAGCTGGGAAAATACGCGCCGGTCGGCAGAGGAAGAGGATATCCTCTCTTCCAGGGATAAAGAGGCGACATGGGTGTTTCTTCGTCTCGTAAGAACCATTCAACCAATATGGTGGCAGAAGTGGCATGGAAAAATAGTGGTTAAGGGCCAAGATGTGTCGATGCGGACACTCAGGGACAGCTTCAAAACCACTCACTATGCCCAAAACCAAGACCAAAAGCCTACTCTGAAAGGTGCATTTAGTCTAAAACAAGCTTTTGGAGAGTTGGATCCAGGTGTTTTAGGATATATTCGTTGACAGATTCCATTTTTCGAAGATTTCAGCTTTGTATGTTGATGAGCCGCCAAAACGATCCTTGAGAAATTAGAGTCGTTCATGTGGCTCTTGATAGTCTAAAACGAGCTTTTGGAGAGTTGAATCCAGGTGTTTTAGGATATACTCGTTGACAGATTCGATGGCTTTCTGTCTCCTCTCCCAGACTGATGCGCGGTATTTGAAATCTTCAACTTGATCTCTCCAGGCACGTCTTCTCGCCTTGTTCGATTTGATAGCTTCGTCTCCAGTTATCGGGATCGGTATTGGTAAGGTTGGGTAGTCGGTCGGCTCTGGTCCTACCGTCTTAGCTCCTGGCGGTCCTCGTCAAGGTCCGGATCGCAGTATTCCCAGATTCTGCTCGAGATTGCGAGTACCTTCACCTTCCTATACCACTGATGCCATTGGGCTTCATCCTTAAGTCTAATATCGTTAGACATGGTGGACACAGGCTAAACTGTTCAATGTAGGGAAATCCCAATGGTATGCTCGGTTGAATGTAATTCAGAATGTTTTTCTCGGGGTATTTATCGGCGTACCGGGCTCATAACTGTCAAATGAGAACTGAATAGTGGATTCGTGCGAGCAAATAGGAACAAACTAGTCAAATATGTATGTGTGTATTTGCAGCAGTAAAATTTACTGTAGTAAAGAGCGTATGGGAGCTGACCAATAATGCACTAAACTAAACTTGGAATCGGTCCTTTGACACAATCTCAATGCCAAGACGCTAATCCTAGGTTAGATTAGTAAGGCTTGGCATTTTTGAGTTTCTTTTCAGTTGATTCCCCATACAGTATGAATACGATACATGGACGGATCCCACTCGATTCTCTCAAGAATTAATCTTGCCAATACCACACCATATTGTTGTAATCCTTCTTCTTGTATCATTTCAAGTAAACCTTGACAATTCTGATTCTTCTCTTGAGTTGATATCGAGAAGTTAAGATGGTTCCCCGCACCCGCAATAGTAGCGCCCGGCAGTCAACCCAGACTCAGGGGCCAATCGAAGACGTTACCGAGACGATTCCCGAGACTACCCCATCGAGATCTAGGTATATATATACATTCCTTGTGATAAAGTTTGCGGAAGAAGGTGGCAGGACCATTACCTAGGTAGGAAATACAATGACACCCTTACAAAACGACACGATTCTTACCTCATGCTGGAGTTCTTCTGCTGGTTGCCGTAAGTGGATTTTGTTAATTCCTGGAGCTTCATATCTCCTAAGTTCGTCCGATGTCACATCTCTATCTGAAGCTGCGTGATCCACTCTTTGAAGGGTATACTTGCCCTCTCAGCATCAAAATAGAAGCCTGAAGGATTCAAGACAGGAGAAGGTTGTGCATCCGGCTGCCCGCGTTCTGTATATAAGTGATCTTGCAACATTATATCTCTTCCTCGGTACCCAAGCATGGACAATCGGACATATTGCAGCTTGAGATGATCTGTCAAAAATTCAAAAATGCGCTTCCAGAGCCCCTGCATCTCATTTTTGACTTGGGTGGATAATAAAGGGATCCAACTACTTTCATTTTGAGTCAGAGGTCCTAGATCTGGCGCTGATGTTATCCCATCAACTAAACTGATCAGGCGCAAACTCAGTCGTTTCAAGGTTGGCGCTGCTGTCCATAGAAATTCTTCGAGGCTTTTTACCGTCACCTCGATCGAATGAAGATGAAGTTCTTCTAGCTGGGAGAACCGAATTCTCTGAGAGAGATCCTTGAAGTAGAGAGGAGACAATTCTTCTATAGGACTCCATTGGGCAAATGTCAGGGTCTTTAGTGTCGGTGCAACTGTGGCCAGAACATTAAGAAGATGTTTAAAGGTGTCTTCGTTGAATGTTTTTTGTTCGTGATCTTTAAGACGAATACATAAATGTAGAGTCGTTAGATCTGTTAAGAATGGAAGCATCAATTGATACTGTGACTCTGGTAGCTGAAAAGAGTTTAACTTCATGCCGCAAGAAAATTGGCCGCATGTATAGAGAGCTTGGACCTTTCGACTGCATTCAATTATGGCGTGAAGTAGTCGTGAGAATGCCAAATCAAAAGGCAGGTACGGTATTCTCTCATAAACCCTTGGAGACTGCTTAAACTTGAACCGGCTCTTGAATGCACGTAAGCCTAAGCAGGTAAAGCTAGCGTGCTTTGTATCGCTACTGGGCTTTGCATGATCAAAAAAGACATTTGTTAATCTACACCGTAACCCAAGGGTGACAGCGTTTTCGAGACGCGGTAGGCATCTCTGAAGGGTACTAAAGAGTCCTGAGCATTCGAGAATGGCACGGTGTTCTGTCCTTGTAGCCTCGAAGACGGTAAATAGAGCATCAAGCTCAGCCTGCATTTGATTCATTTCGATGTTTTTTGGTACTCTGAGTCCAAATCTCCTGTAGTTTTCTGAAGTATACATATTTGTGAGACTTTCCTTGTCCAAATGTGTCCAGCCTTCAAACAAGTTCGGAATGATCCAAATTTCTTTAACCGAGCCACGAATTGTTTTACTGGCTGCAATCTGCTCCAGGCAGTCAAGGCCTTCACGGGTGAGAATAAGTGAGATTCTTTTGGAGTATCGTGTTGTATACGCTTCCAGTGTGTTGCCGTGTATTTGGCGACAAGTGATCCTGAGCGCGCCCCAATCTTGAGGCTCTAGATACTCACAGATACGAGTCAAAAGCTCTAGAGGCAAGCTTGCGATTGACATATTGCGTTGCATTCGCATACAAAAACATGTAGCACCGGTAATCTTGAATTCGTTTGTGAAATACACAGGATGTTGAATGAGGGATTTCGCATGTGAGAGAATGTGCTGAATCTTTAATACCGGAAACCCCCTACTCCGCCACGTCACAGCCCGTACTACCCGCTTATGGTATTGAAAACGGCACCCCAGGGCTCCCAGGTCTCCACCTGCGTTGGGAGATGCGCTGTGGCCTCGCGTCCTTGGCCCACAGCGTTTGCTATTTCGTGTGGCAGCGAGAGAGTTTGGACTATTCAGGGCGTGAATTAGGGTTTAAGACTCAGATTTGGATGGATGAATGTTCTGATGAATTTCATATACAAAGACAAAATCAAGTACCAAGATCACATCAAAAACAACAACAACGAAAACAACAGTCACTGTACCCACTGCGACTGAATATTGTGCGAAATATGTTATTGAAAACGAAGATACGGCCTTGGACAACTACGGTTCCGATTATGATGAGTATATCTTTGCTATGTGGGGTATAAGTTGGCCAGAGGCAGACAACATCAAAACCGACATTACCGACATGCTATCAAAGTGTGACGTTTCAGCAGATATTCATATTGCTGTTGATACCGCCCGATGGGCTACAATAGCAATGTAGAATAATGGCGAGAATAATGTTCTTGATTCATGTATCGCCGGGACTATCGAGTCTCTTGGTGGAAGTAAACCTGCCTGTAAATGGATCTACAAGGAAGGTGGAGAGGACAATTTCTCAGCGCAGGACTCGGCAGAGGAATAATTGGCTTGGATTTACGAGTACCATTCATCTGTGCTGACATCACCATATCCTCTTACAACTTGAACAATGATTATATTGATATGGGGAGAACTTGGAGCTCGAGAATTCACTTGATTAGAATATAAACACGACATGTTTTATTTTATTATAAAGCAAGATCAATTCAGTACTGAAAAGAAATGGTATTTTTACCGCTTCATGCCTCCTTTTAATATACAGAATGAATTTATTAGCCACAATTGTTTATGGACTGGCACTGGTTAGAACTTTTGATCATTCATAAATGTGATTAATTTTGGATTCTACTTATCTAACTATTTCTTAATTAAATCTTGAGTATAATAGTCATTTAAATGTGAGTAATTTATACTCTTTTATGGTTCAATCAAAGCTTTCATATGGTGCGAGGACACTTCTAATTGGCTAAATACGGATTACTCTGCAGGGGTCATCTAGTTAACTCAACTCCAACTCAGCTTTTGGTCAGTTCTGAGCCAACTTCGTTATGGATGTGAATGTTAAAGATATCAAAGAATGGCTCAATCCTACAGACTCTGACACCTAAGGAACCGGTGAATGATTCTCGATACGAAACAATACCGTGAATGGAGTCAGTCAGACTCCCCTAGAAACCTTTGGATCAGGGGGGATCCTAGGTTGTGGAAAGTCTGTTGTCGCTGCAAGCCTCATTAGTCGACTCCGAAAGGCTGAAAATGGTCCCGTCTTGTTCTTCTTCTTTCGCGAAATCATCCAGACTAACCGTCACCTGCGGTCGCTGATGCAAGATTTTTGCTATTTACCTTTGCTTCAGTCACAGCTGGAAAATATCCTAAAGTAGTATTTATCGGTCGAATTGGTTCTATATGATCTACTTTGGAGCTGTATAGCAACTTCCATGCGATCTATTGGAAAATTGTATTATGTTGTCGATGCACTGGATGAAATAGCGCGGGAAAATGATCAGTTCATCCATCATCAGTTCATCCATGACCTGCTCAACCTAGGTCGCAAATCTCCGGAATCGATCAAGTTGATCATAACCAGTCGCCGAGTTCCTCATGTTGAGCAGCATCTAAATAGAACTTGTATGCTTGATTTACATCTTAATCGTCAATATGTCGATGCCAACATTGCTATCTACATTGCGCATTAACTTAGATATACTCGGCTGAATATATCTTAGTATGAGATCGACCAAATCAATCAAGTGATTTGTCAGAGAGGGAGAGGTCTATTCCTATATGCTCGGCTCATGATGGAGGAATTACTTTGATATCCAGAGTCAATTTTTCGCGCATTGAGAGACTCCCAGATGGACTTAGAGATATGTACACGGAGATCTTATAGGAGCAACTCCATCGATTAAGAGCCCCGACTTCTTTCCAGCGACTTATATTGCAGTGGGTCATCCATGCTGCACGACCGCTACGCCTACAAGACATTGCTGTTATAATTGACTTTCTAGCTGATCACGGTGGACTCAGTCATGATATTGACACGAAACTTGCTATACGAACAACTTGTGGACCCCTCTTAGAGGTATGCGAGGATGGTGTTATTCATATTATTCACCACTCTCTAACTGAATTCGTTCTCGATCGAGACGTAACGCATGTTGTAATGTTGAATGAAACTCGGGATTTTTCAGGTGTTGATACGCCAGCTATTTATAAAATGATTGCCTGGACATATATCGAATACGTCAGTAATGGTTGTTTAGACGAATTATATACTGAAGGCAAACGACGTGAAAAATCTTCTTGAAATTCTATTTTCTCCGTTATGCAATTTACGAGTCGCTATTTCATGTGGCTAATGCTTCCGAGTCCGATACTGAGCTTTTACAAATTTTAGATCAGTTTTTGAGAAAATTCCAGCCATTTATTGATACTGAGAAACAGATGATGGACCTCAAACTCCTATGGATTTTGTTGTGTATCATGGCCTCATTACATATGCGAGACACCTTTTTTCTGAAGGAGGAGATTTGAACCATGGAATACCCCTGAAATTTGCGGTCTATAGAAACCACCATGATATTTTGAGTCTTCTTTTGCATCACGGTGCAAGTCCAACAGATGAGGTTTCTATTGGGAAAATATAGGTAACACCCGTGAGCCTTGCGAGTGAATTTAATAGTGTTGGTTCACTCCGCGCTCTCATCAAAGCCGGTGCAAATATAACCGTGGGGGCTCTTTCGAGTCTTTGTTGCAAAAATGAATGGTATAATGTTGAACGAAGAAAAAATTACGATTGTAATATATGTATGTAGCATTTATTACATCGCTTAGATTACTGATTCTAAAAATAAGCCATACGCCTACTTTGTTTTTTGGTCCTGACAAGAATTTTGGAGATATAGAAGGCGCTTGGCCGAGACAAACACCAACAGGTCCGCGAAAACTAAAGTCTTCTTTCTGTTTCACGACCACTTGTACATAAATTGACAGAACCGGTGGCGCGCACCCAAACACGGAAAGCGTTCAGGTCACTCCTGGCACCGCTAGTTTTCAAGTTATAGTTATACTTATCACATGAGTCTTTGGTCATTTGCACCGCTAGTCCTCAGGTGCCCTCGGGCGTAGTTTCTTTCCATCTTCTCTTCATCGAGAGAGAGCTCTACTATAATTTTATTTTTCAAACTGCAGAGTTCAAGACGAAGATTATGACGAAGATAGAATTATCAAAGGTACCTACTGCTCTTCCAAAAGCGCTTACAATGGTAGATGATTCAATGTAGTTTTCATGACGCTCTCAAAAAAATTTTCGGTATGCAAAGCGGCGTATCAATTCAGAAGTCTAATTTAATGGAATTTCGTAGATAGGCGCGACGCTAAAAGACCCAATTCCTCAATCGCGACTTCATTGCTGCTACCATCAAGGGATGGTGCTGTCAGACTGGTAGGAAAGGCGTCGGAAACCCTCCAAGTCACCAAAAGTTCACTTCCTGACTCGTTTGTCAATGTGATACTAATATCCTTCTTTTCCACCCTATCTAGGGATATTGAAGATATCCAATCATAGACAGCACTCTGACGCGCGACTATGCCTCTCCTGAGCGTGATGTTGATTGCTTCGAGCTGACCCGGCATCTGATACACTTGGCCCGTACCGTCTTTGTATTCGACAACCTGCTGCTCTAGACCATCCACGTTGTTGAACGCTATTTGGTCACGGCCGACAGAGACCAAAAAGCGATAAGACGGGATTGGATACTTTGCAGCCATCTGCTCAGCGGTTGTAGCCATTTTGGATATTCTATGAAAGCGTGAAAGAATATACTGATGCAGTTAGTGATTTTGTAGGTAGTAGGGGTATAAACTATGGGTGATCTCACGAACAGTTCTCCTTGAAGTAGAGTTTAGGCAATTTGGGTTGATGGTCGAGGAGACAGACAATGATAGGAGAGGCAATCTTATACTGCATTTGGCCTAGTTACTGCAGGTTGAAACGTACCTAACCTGATAGGATAGGATGCTCCGATCTCCGTGGCGTAGAAAAATAGCTTCGATTTGTAGGCCGCGTTTATCACGTCGTAGGGGCTATGCCCCTAGCGTGGATCTACCACTAGCGAACTCAATCGGACTGTGGGTCTTAGAAGAAGTTAGATCATATAAAAAGTAGCCATGATCCTCCTCTATACTAACACATACTTCACCTTGAAGCTTTCATTACAATCGCAGAACCGAATATACATTTCTCCTTGCCTTTTACCTTGTTTCTTGCTGTGATCTCTTTTGCTATAGCGGCTACTTGCCTATGCATTGGAGTTATCATGTAATTAAATAAGAGGATCGTTAGACAAACCCCCCCCCCGGTGGCAGAAAAATCTACCCTGCCTGATTCCCCAGGTTTTTCGGCGTAATTAGGCACCATTATAGCAATAAATTATTTTGCCAGCCCGAATTATCAATTCGGGCCGGAATAACTATTAATACGATATTTAGCTTCGGTCGCATCCCACTTTCTTTCATCTTTCAATATCTTAATAACTAGATAGCAGGCCTTTTTTTAGTTACGGTATCCCCGTAATCATTCTGTTTTATATTCTGATTTGCATACTTTAGAATCCATTTTACGGTATATAATTACGTGTTTATTTCAATGCAGAAAAGCATTCAATTTGAACTAATAATACTCCATATCAGGCTCCTCAACTCACCGGCGACTCCGAACAGGTCTTGAAGCATCTAGGGTGTCGTCAGCGCCTAAGGTGCTTTCAATACCCCGTTTTTCGGCCACGCCGGCGCGACGAGCAGCATTTCGAGTAGCATTGATAGTTGGACTTAAGTATTATGAAGAAAGGCGGTCAAGCGGTAAGTAAATTAAAAGACTGCGGGAAAAACTGGCCTGAATGCCTTCTTATTAAGGCAGAGGGGGGTTTGTCTAACGATCCCCTTATTTAATTACAAGATGATAAATCCAATGCATAGGCATATCTGAATGTATCTTATTTAACATCTTTATTCCATGCCTAGATATCACAGATCGTATATGGGTAAATCCCTTCTGGCAAAAAAAACCAATGTCGTTGACATTTGTACCTGCCCATCTGGAGTAAGTTGATGAAATTTGACAAATGACTGCCACATGAAGGGTGACTGCCGACAGACTACGTCTGAATGACAACTCCATGCGTTCCACGAGTCCAGTCTGAAGGGAGCTTTACTCGACCAAGTCAGTATGAATACGTAGTGGAATAGGTGCATAGAAGTGTGTCCATTCAAGTCTATCTATCAGAGGGTAGATATACCCTTCTAGAGTGGAGCCCTCGTGACCTGCTTACTCAAGCTGGTACAAAAACTCCAAGTTCCAACGTCAGACCAATGTAATTACGTACATATGTTCCGACACATAACCTATTAAAAGAGAGATATCGAGAGCTTTTGATCGCACGTACACCCTTTTTTAGCTAATCGTTGCTCTAGTTTAGAGTAGGCGAATAAAAAAACAGGTAAAACACACTTAATGCTAGTAAAAAGTATATTGCTTTTGAAAGGAGCTTACGGAGTCTGGAGGAGATACAGAATCCTGGTGATGTTGAGAATGGTGTTAATGAAAGGTATATCTCTCCTATTGAACCTGCCCAAAACGACCCTACTAAAACTGAATTGCCTGCTATGCCTGTTATAAGACGTATTAAGAAGTGCGCGTGGTGTCGACTACAGGCTATAACTATAGTAGTTGCCCTAGTAAGGTTATTTAGTTTATTTACTATGTTTTGCATTTAAATATTGAATTGAATTTGTTGCATTGTTGGTCGAGTAACGGAATAACGGGTTAGCCAACCACGTTGTAAGTCTAATGTCCAGGATATGGATGTACCAAGGAATTCCTCCTGTCATTTTTCAACTATTTGTAGTTTCTATACCTTTTCAAGGATCTCTAAAGCCTTCATGCTTTTTGTATCATTTCATTGATGCTTGCTTTGTACGTGGGTACTGGGCAGATTTCAATGTTGTCGAGCTCTGAGTTCACAAAGATACAGCTGAACCTTCCGTTTCCAGGTAGGTAGCCAAACGTCTTCCCATGTTGCAGTTCTCTAAGGCAGTTTCACACCCAACCCTTGGGATGAAGCTCTCGACTCGCTACCTAGGTATCAAGTTCTCGAAGTTTGTGTAACAAACTGTGGGACCAAAGGAAACGACGAGCAAACAATCAAATGACGGCTGGATATAATGTGAGATCGAGATGAATGTCCATTTTCAAGGAAATATGCATACCTGACAAAAAAGTAATCGTCTGATACCAACGCCATAAGGTTGAATCAGTGGGTAAGAATTAACCTTAAATCTACCCCGCAATTTCTCCACATTGATATCAACAACTGAGATCCTTGAACAGGGATGGAGGCAAAAACGCCAAACGGTACTGTAAAAAAATCAACACGATTGGCTCGTAATACAATTGACTTCGATTGTCTCGCTTGTCACCCAGGATCTCCTAGCCCAGATGCAAACCTTCAACCGCCACCATGTCGACTCCACGCTGCAATTTTCTAAAACAATAGAAATAGACACATATGTATCTTGCCCAGGCTCCGGGAGTTATTGGAAACACAGCTCCCGCGCTCTTACCTCGTGTAGGACGCGACTTTGAGCACCGGCTACCTTGGATCAAGCGGGATACGCTCCAGAAAGCATGAAACCACTGACTATTCACGGATTCTTCGGTGTTGACCAGTCGTGCAACTGGGTAGATTTCCCTGTGATTCCGTTCAGATGACCTCGAGCATGAAAGGGTCGAGAGCGTAGCAGTATTTATTCGACCAGGACGCTGTTCACTGCTTTGCTATCAATTTCAAACAAATATTACGAATAGTCTTCACCATGGCCGACTTTACCCTCGCTGCTCTTCTTGTCTCGTCCCTTTCTTTGGCGACTCTGGGGAATGCAGCCGCTAGACCCATACCGACACTTGATTTGGAGGTGCCCACCGTCTTCGCCAGTGACATTTTCGGTCTAGATGACAGGATGATGACTATCCCGATGGATACGTGCAAATCCCTGCGAACCGACATGTGAGTATGTAACGACAGAATATCGATCCAAAGCTGAATCTGTAGGCAACATAACGTCGGCTCCATCTCGATCCCATGCGCCCAAACAAATAACAAGAAGCATATGTGCTCCTTGTACAGGTAAGCCACTCACCACTATAATATATACGCTGGAGCCCAGACTAACAGGCTAGTGATCCCGACTGTGTGAATCTACTCAGCACATGGGACCATTCGCACTACCACATGATGGAGCACGCAGACAACGAAAACGGCCTGAACGCCATCGGCAGCCAAGTCGTCAGCATGAAATGCAGCATGGTCGACATCTCTACCGGCCCCACCACACTCAACAGTATAGATCACAGATCCACCACGCACGAATCCAGATGTGTGAACGAGAACTGCAACACGCACGCAGACTGTCACTTGAACGCAGACGGCTACCACTACTGCTCTGACCTGATGAACAATACATGTCAGCATGCGAAATTTATTGAACAGGGTGGTGGCTGTAGAGAAGACTTGGAGTGTATTACCGGGTACTGTTCTGGGTCTGGGCAGAATAAAGAATGCGCCATGAAGAAGAAGGCGAATACGCTTTGCTCCCAGTCTTTGGAATGCGACAACGGGTTGAAATGCTGTCGCGAGGTCTTGAATGTTGGTGGGAGGTGCACAGCTGACTGCAAGCAGCAGGATGAGATGCTGGTAGGATGTGCGTCCATTGGCGATCGATGCTTCGATGACGGGGCGTGCTGTGGATTAAAATGCCAGATGGGCACTAGTACTATTTTGGGAATATGCAGTCACTAATATCGGGGATGATGAAAGGGGAATTCTCATGCAAAGAAAGGGGATTCTTATGCGAAGCAAAGGGAATTTGATAGGTAGTCTGGCAGGAATTATGAGGAAATGAGATATTCTTTGAAGCTATTCTATCGGAGAATTTTCAAGTAATTTCATCGACCGCCGTTTAGAATGAATCTGAGCCACTAAAGATCTCCGGCAAAGCCACTTCCTCGTCTCAGGCAGGCTCTGTCCTAGATCTTAGGTTCCATCCGTTAATAAAATATTCAGCCCCATCGACGTCCGCAATTTCGTATTGCAACATTTCATCAAGGCGTGGTGTAAGTTTCCAGCAGCTTCAATTGATGGGTTGAACTTTTTGCCTGAAGCGCAGGTGGGCAAGGGGATGGGAGAACTTGGTGAAGATCTCTCCGGTCTGATGGAATCTAGTAAAGCGTGATCGGTCAGAATTTTGATCATAAATTGAAATTTATTGAGTTGCAAAGAGTGAAACCAGTTTCAGAGAGAAGATTAAAGTCGTCATTGCCTTACACATGTGCTAAGACGATATGGCATTTCGACTAAGGATGATTCCTCATCACACTAGGGAAGGAAGGTCCAAAAGGCCAAGAACTCACTATATGGATATGGTGTTCGATAAATGCCAGTATCAGAGCTGGTGTTCCTACAATAAAACAAGTAAGTATTATGGACAGAAACAAATCAAGTTTTAGCGATATGCATGTAGCGAAATCCAGTTTCAGAGAGAAGATTAAGGTCGTCTGTGCCTTACACGTGTGCTAAAACGGTATGGCATCCGACTAAGGATGATTTCTCATCATGGTAGACATGAGTGTTTTGAAAAGTAAAGGAGTAACTCACAGTATGGATAGGATAGCACATGCCATTCTTATGGCTGATGATGTTTCTCCTAGAAAGCCATGTCAATATGCCGAATAGAAAACCACGTTTGCTAGAGCTGTAGAGAGGGAAAACCAGTTTCAGAGAGAAGATTAAGGTCGTCTGTGCCTTACACGTGTGCTAAGACGGTATGGCATCTGACTAAGGATGATTCCTCATCATACTAAGGAAGGAGGGTTTGACAAGCAAAGAGGGGAACTCACAATCTAGAGGACCAACTCACGGGTATCTTCGAGTTAATTGTTGTTGTGATCAATCGTCATAAGATATTATTTTGCGACCTGGTAATTGTGGGCGAGTATGGGTTGGAGGCTTCCTGGTCGCGGTATTCGAATCATCCTCGTCATAAGAGACGATTTTGCGACCCGGTAATTGTGCGTGAGACCGTACCGTAGGCTTTGTGCCAGTGCCAGTGGCAGCGGGCGTCGAATCGACTTCGTCATAATCAAGGAATGAAGCCTCGTTGTCCCTCGACCTGTCCGGGTTTTTGGCGCATCGCTTGATTTGTCGAGCCACGCTAGCTCGAGCTTTGCCCCTGTTGTAAGGCTCCCGTGGCTCGTACTCTAGTGAATCAGCCATCGTAGTATCGTCCCCAGTGAGTATCTTTTGACGCTGCTCAAGCTCAACGGCATCTTTCTCGAGCTCTCTTTTGCGAATCAATTTATGGATTTCGGTGTGTCTGAAGAGTGCAATCTGCTCGTTTGTGAGAGTGCGCTTCACGCCGTCTGGATAATAGCCAAGACCATCATCATCATCTTCCTCGTATTCTTGGTATTCTTGGTATTCCTTGGCTGGATAATCTTCGGCGGGTTGTGTAGGCCAAATCGGATTTGGTAGTCCTGGGAAATGCTTTTCGTGGAATGCTTGGAGGTCTTCCTAAGTGGATTATGGTGCATTAGTTATTGATTTTATTGATAACACGTTAAAGGATAGAAAATCTACCAAGGTGACAGGAGGGACCGACATGATGGAAGTGATGCGAAAGTGCAGTGGGACTTGGACGCGTTCGTGTTATTATCCGCGAGATTAATTGATCGATGCCTTGTTTATCAGGCGTCAACATATGTCGAACATCAACTTAGTTTAAGCAGACTACATTTTTTATAGTTATTGCTTATAGGTAGAACTAAGAGTCTACTTTTAATGGTATGTTCGAGACATTATTCCCAACCTTGGCCTTGACGCTATCAAATCGAATGCGCATAACCTTCACTCGCCCGAGATCATGACCAGTAACTTGTAGAGATTGATCATCACTTGGTTCGGTCAAAGACCATGCAATGGAAACGTGGAAGTTGTCTGTAAAGTCCCTTTCGTTCTGATCCGTGTCCTTCGAAGAAGTGTACAACGGTGGCTGATCAAACATTGCCATGACTTTATTGGATAGCCTGATCAGGCTGTTCAGTTCATCGCCTTCTGGTTTCTGGACGTGAAGCACAAGGAACCAGCGTGTCTTGTTGAAGTTGGATACCCACTTCAAAGAGTCGAATGTGACTTTAAATCTATAAATCTGTAAGTGGGATTCTTACCGACTCAAACAGCATCACTTACGCGTGTGTATCAGATTCCTGAATTGATTTTTCCAATACTTGCGCGAATGAAGCGCGCTGTTCAGTGCGAAGAACCACAGCGCGGGATAGACTGATATGGAGCGGTAATTGTGCTCCCAGATCACTGTGCAAAAGAGAGTGTATCTTGGGAGCCGAGGCATCATCTGTCTTATCTGAAGATTTGGGCAGAAGCTTTTCAAGCAAGTGTATCTCATCTTTTGATGGATTCCCTGATTTTTTTTTTAGCTTATTGGATCACCAGTTAGGAGAAAAACGTGCGTACATTCGAGAGAAAGGTGAGTAGGCCAGTTGCCTTCGATATGAGGAACAGCGCGTTTTCGACCGCTATGTAAGCTCGGGTTATCCTGAACACTTACACGTGCGTTTGAGGCATAGAGATCATGGAAAGCTGCTGGTAGAGGCGGAAGAGAAGAAGGTTGTTTGAGACAAGACTTCTTGGCTGGTGGAGACTCCACGTCATCGTCAGACTCGGAATCAGAATATTGCACCAAAGACATTGTACATGCTTTACCGAGGTTGATGTTGGTAGCAGAGTTGGGTTACAAACAACAAATATTAAATAATTCAATTGTATGTATTTGCGGCCTTTATGCCTAAGGCACCAATCCGTAGCGGGGCACAACAGTCATGGGTACATTTTGGATCCAAATTAATCCTGAATCACGGCGGCATTGCTTCAAGCCTCTAGGGTTAGCCTCTCCTCATCAGGTCATTGTGACATTGTCACTGATCGGAGTCTGATCCAGCTTCCTCAAATTACAACACTGGACCTAAATGGCCCAGCTTTCAAATTTGAGCTCTATGGCATCAGAAAGATTCAGGGCCTCGATCAGGATGAGAGTGGCAATGGCACTCTCTCACTGTCATATTTATTCACTTTGGCCTTCTCAACATTTCATGCGGAATGTGCTTCTACCCGCAGCATAACTATAGACGGCATTTATTTGCGGGGATTTATCGGGGCAATCCCACATTTTCATTCAGCACTACTATATACCGACATAAGTTGATGTAAGATGAAAAGAAAATGCGGGGAGAGAGGACCGAGTCTTCAGTATTCGGATTTAGATACTCCGAAGAACTATGCAAGGAAGCATAATATTTCATCTGGTCCGTAAAATGGGCAAGTATAAGTTCCATGATGTTCTAGGAATTTGTCTAATCCAAATCAAACGGGGAATATCAATGACAGATCCAAGAAGTGGGTCGTGTCTCTATGGCTTCTATATTTTTCGGCTTGCTACTCCTGCCGTTGGTTACAGCAAAGGCTCCATACGCGGAGTACATCTTAGCACCAAGCTCGCGAGACGTGACTCCAGAATCAGTTCGTCAAGTCAACGGCTCAGTTACAAACCCCGAAGCTTTGACACAATCATCCGGTGAAAGTACTACTTTTCATGGTGTTTCTTCAGTGACATATGACTTTGGGAAGAACGTCGCCGGTCTCGTCTCCGTTGACATTGGCGCGTCCTCATCCTCATCCGCCTTCATTGGGGTGACGTTTACCGAGTCCAGTCTTTGGATTAGCCACGAGGCATGTGATTCTACTGCCAATTCTGGCCTTGACACTCCGCTATGGTTCCCTGTTGGTCAGGGAGTAGGAAAATATACTCCTGACCTCCAGTACCAGCGGGGCGCCTTCCGCTACTTGACGTTAGTAAGCAACACGACTGCTACAATATCAGTTGACTCTGTCCATATAATCTTCACAGCAGCGCCGACCCAAGATCTTCAGGCATACACTGGATGGTTCCACTCGAATGACGAACTGATCAACGAGATCTGGTATGCTGGTGCTTATACAAGCCAACTATGCACTATTGATCCGAGATACGGCGATTCTTTAGTGGACCTTAGTCTCTCATCAACAGCCAATATAACATTACCACAGACAGAAGTTTGGTACAGCAACTACACAATAGCAAATGGAAGCAGTACCATCACCGACGGTGCCAAGCGTGACAGGTTGGTATGGCCTGGTGATATGGCCATTTCCCTCGAAGGCATTGCAGTCAGCACTGGAGATCTGTACAGTGTGCAAATGGGTCTAGAGTCATTGTTAGTACTGCAACAGGCTGATGGTGAGCTACCCTGGGCAGGGGTACCATTTAAATTGCCGAGCTACACATACCACCTACACAGCTTGATCGGGGTATCATACCTATACCGGTTCTCTGGAGACAAGGCCTGGCTATCTAGGTACTGGGGTCAATATATTCGCGGGATCCAGTGGGCCCTGTCTTCAGTTGACAGCTCTGGCTTGGCAAATGTGACGATCGGCAATGATTGGCTTCGGGCTGGCATGGGTGGCCATGTAAGGAACCCAGCTCTTATCTCCGTTCATTCATCTGCTGACCCAGTTAGAATATCGAAGCGAACAGTATTTTATACTTTGTGCTACAGCAGGCTCAGAACCTAGCTGAAGATCTAGGCTATACCTCCCACAATTCCAATTGGAGCGCTATCGCTGCGAAATTGAAATTAGCAGCCAATACACTCCTTTGGGACGATGCTGTTGGGCTATACAGGGATAACGAAACTGCCACACTCTACCCACAAGATGGGAATGCCTGGGCTATTAAAGCGAATATCACTTCAGACGCTCAAATTAATAAAGTTTCAAGTGCTCTCAAAGCACGCTGGGGAACTTATGGCGCACCCGCCCCAGAAGCAGGAATAACCATCTCACCATTCATCGGTGGCTTTGAGCTGCAAGCGCACTACATCGCCGGAGAAGCTCAAAGCGCATTGGATCTGATACGCTTACAGTGGGGCTTCATGCTGAATGATCCTCGAATGACTCACTCCACTTTTATTGAGGGTTACTCGACCGATGGATCGATTCACTACGCTCCATATGGCACTGTAGACTCGCGCATTTCACACGCGCATGGCTGGTCAACGGGCCCGACATTTGCGTTGACTGCCTATTCCGCAGGGATTCAGCTGATAGGAGCAGGCGGTTCTAGCTGGCTCATTGCACCGCAACCGGGAGACCTGACTTTAGTTGATAGTGGGCTGACTACTTCTCGAGGAGTGTTTTCGATCTCATACCAGCGGGACTCGGATGGATCATATCGGGAACTGTCATTCAAGACACCCTCTTCCACCATTGGGGCGGTAAAACTACCCGGTGTTAACGGTATATTGGTTTCATCAACTGGGCAACGCATTAAGTTTGTAAATAGTGTTACCGGACTTCGTGGTGGAAACTGGAAGCTGCAACTAAATTGAGTACAAAGTATTAATTTACTTCAATGGCATCTGGGGGCATGTACATTGGTAGGCTCTCATGAATATAACCTTGGAAATGTACAGTCAATCAAGATAAATCTAGGAATAAAAGCGTTTGCTGAAACGGTAAACCTACATGATTGAAGCAGATAGTCCTCTCAATTTCTCTACAAGGTTTTTATCCTTTTTCATAACGGAAGTTCAATGGAAGCATAAAAGTGGGTCGTGACAAGTGGGTCCTAGGCCGGGCCAATCAATTCTCTCATCTAGTATATGTCACAAATCAAAACAAACCATCGATTATGGAAAACTGACTCGCTGTTAATTCTAGCATTGGCGGAAGATAAACAAGGGAGAAGATTCATGATGATAGTTTATAAATTGAAATGGTAAAATCAAACCACCCAATCGAAAAAGATTCAATTTCTACGAGGCGAAAGAAGGGAAATGAGTTATGTCATTATTCAAAAGAAGACATGGATAGCTTCATTCCTCAAAAGAAAAAAGAGAATTTCTCATTTTTTTCAGATTGGAAAAGATTCGCTCATTCTCGGGTGAATCAGGAGGACTAAAGCTATGACTGTGCTTTCTCTACACCACAGTGCAGAGTCGCAGGCCTTTTGAATAGCAGCCCCTCAATCTTCATCTTCTCTTGGTTACTTTACTCGGGAATTTCTCAAATGGAGCCAGGCAGTATCAAGCCCGAGACTACTAGGGGGCGTGCGCGTATGCAGTGCCACTCAGCCATGTCACCCCGGCGAATAGTTTAGTCCAAATCATCAAATTTATGCCTACATCTCATACAATATCGACCTTTCAAGTTTAATTACCCGGCCAAGTACCTAGTAAAACCAAGGCACTTCTAACTTTTGATTTAGCACCTGTGTCACCTATTTTGTACTATTTTATCTCATGTTGTTTCTTCCATTGTATTCTGATTCCATTTTTCAACCCTTCCGAAACCACCTATACTTTCGACTGTGTGTCACTATCAGCTAATGTTCACCTCTGTTATTTAAAGATCAGTATTGGAATAGTGAGTAATTTCATGAGCACATAAAACTTTATGGGGTACTGCTTATTCGACATTAATAGTCTTTCATCTAATATATTCTAAGATCATAAAGTCAACGCATGAATGTCTTTATTCAAACGCCTAGCATCTTTGAACTGAAACATCAAAAAAACTAAATTTTCTCTCTTCTAGCAGCCCGAAATACCTTTTTGGAAGACTCAAAGGGGTTCAAGCATTTTGTCGAAGATAGAGCTAGACTTGCTAAATGGCCTTGAGACTCCCTAGTCGCGCCGACTGCACCAGATTGGACGCTCTCAAAGCTCTGGAAACATACTTGCCAAAAGAAACAGTAGTGCTGCTTGAAGAGCTTTGACAAGATGCAAGGAGATCTCCCAACCGTTCAAATTGCTGAGAACGAGGCATATATCGCACGGATCTCAGTGGTCCACGGGTAATATGCAGGTCAATTTCAGAGATAAGCAGTACATCCACATTGATATATTTAGATTTATAAACTGGGTATTGACCGCTTATTTAGCGAGATACTGATTAACACTTTCAACACATCGTCAAAGTGATAACAGGCAATCAATACGGGATGTATGCTGCAGCCCCTGCATGCTGCCAGCTGCCTATATGCAATGGAAGGTTTTGTACTTTGATATTTACTCAAGAGAGACAGCCTCGAAGACTTGAGTCTGCAGATCTCTGAGTCAAGTGATTATCTTGGTCTAACCACGTATGAAGCCTGACAAGTACATAATCTAGAGTCATTATTAGCTTTGGAATGAGGCTAAATTAAGCGCTTACTGAAACAAAGTACATATGAGCCATCTCTCGTGAATCAAATATTGAGTAGAATAGAACCAAGGAAATACCTTTTATACTGATTAATCCATGGATGATCCAAGTCTGGTCCTGATTAGAATTGAGTAAACGGTAAAGAAACAACTGGAATGGATTGGATAGTGTAACTCCAACAAACGAGGCGGAGCCGCAGAGAAAGCAAAGATGAGGCGTTCTTACATACGCCAACTCATCCCGCCTGATCGTGGGCTGTCATCATTGGTTTTCTTACTCTTAAGAACCGACTGTTTTTCAATTCACTTCATTTTCAACTTTTCCTATCTTGATCTCTTCATTGTATTTCATTTTCCTTTCTTGATTTATTCCTTCTCTCGACCCCAACTTCTTCGTCCTCTTACCAGATCTCTAGCTCTAGCTTCATCTTCGCTACCCCACCGTCCAAGCTCCATCTCCGCCATCCCCACAAAATGGCGGAACTGAATGGGGACAGCGAAACTAAACTTGAGGTTGAGCCTCAAAACAAGGTGAATGGCACCGCTCAACCCGTCTCAGAGTCAGAGGTGAAAGAGAAGGAGACCACCACCATTCCAGTCTCCGATGCAGCCAAGACGGTCGCTGCATGTAAAAAACAGCCCGATGCCAAATCAAGCAAGAAGCAGAAAAAGAACAAGAAGAAAGATGAAAGTTCAAGCGAGGAATCGTCCGAAGACTCTAGCGAAGATTCCGAGTCCGAAGAGGAGTCTGATTCCAGTTCTGACTCCGACAGAGCAGAGAAGCGCAAACGTCGTCAACGAGCCAAATCTCGTGCCAAGCGTGCTTTGAAGGATAAGAAGCATCGCAAGAAGCGCAAGGCTCGAAGCCGTAAGACTGCCGCTTCTGAATCTGAGGACCCTTCAGATGCGGAATCCTCGGATGCCGGCTCAGGCTCCGATTCGGATTCATCTATTGACGAGAAGACTATGCGGAAGATGTTGAAGAAACTGAAGTTGAAGAAGCGGGGCAAGAAAACTCGAGAGCCCGAAAAGGATGCGGAATCCGATGAGGATGCTGGCGAGAGCAAGCGTGACAAGCGATCGAAGAAAAAGAAGCCTGCGTCCAAAGTGGCCTACAAGCGAGTGGATCAGCGTATGTTTCTTTAAATACCCTAGTTTTTTTTCTTCTAATACTGACTGATTAATAGTTTGGGACAGTACAATTCACAAGTATAAAATTTCTGAAACTGTGGATGACAATGACGACGAATGGGATCAGTACATCTTCAATGTGCGCCGTCAATTCAACTGGGAGAACAAGTACCTGGACACTGTTGTGGATATCAAGAGTAAACCCCTTCGTGAGGCTCTGTCCAAGGTAATGGACGGTGTTAAGGGTGTCAGCTTGGTCGAGGACCCTGCCGTCGTGGATCCCAACATGCTATTCCTGTACCTTGAGGAGACTCGCCAGTACATGAAGGACTTGAAGCGAATTGCAAAACGGGACAAGAAGAAGAAGAACCGAAAGACCGCGGCGACCAAAGCTGCTCATCTTAAGGTTATGATCAAATACCTTGACACGGACTACGCAGACACCAAAAAGACGCTGTATCCACTCCTGGAAGCTAAGACAATCACATTTGATCTACTTTGGGCTCTCTATAAGCCAAACACCATTGCATACACCCCAACCTACGGCAATGCCGATGAACCCCGAGCCTTCAAGGTCGAGTATGCCACAAAGGAATTCTCATACACCAAAGGCACTTGGTATGATGTCGAGGGCCGCTACCTGGAATACGATGGCAAGGACTTCGGATTTGGAACTATGTCAGCCGAGGTAGAATCTTTCAAGGGAGCCCGCAAGATCACTAGTCTCAGCTGCTACCCACTGCAGTATCATCATGATGCTGATGGTCTCCACGCCAAGCTCGTAGATCGCGGCAAGCGATTCATTGCCCTGCGTGGCATGAACTACCGCTTCCACAAAGGAATGGCCTTCTACAAGAAGAAGCGCCAGGTGATTAAAGTCAATATTGAGTCGCGAATTATGGTTGATCCCAAGATCCACAGACGAATCAACCCGAACTACACCATAAGCACTGTCCGCCCTAAAGATCCTGATATCATCGACCCGCTAGATCTTAGCCTGAGTGATGATGACGATGATAGCGACGCATGCTGCGACTGCGGAGGATCTGACGAGGACTCGGACGCTGGCTCCGAACTGCCCCGGACCGTCTGGAAAGTGATGAAGGACAAAGACGGATGCGTGACGGTTGTGCAGGTCGAAGTGGACGAGAGTGGAGAAATAGTGCAGAAAGAAAACATGGACCGCATCGAAGCCGACAGCACACAGGAGCCACGCGCATTCACAGAAGAAGAACTTCTCATTGCCAGTCCCGTCGTTCTAGGCTTCGCCTTCAGCGAGAAGCTCTGGCTCGAGTTTACCATCTCCGGCGTGAGTGAAATCAAGTGGGACACGGAAGCCTTCGACTCGCTCGTGCTACCAGCCAACCAAAAGTCCATCGTAAAGGCCCTTGTCGAATCACACAGCTTCCATGCCGCCGAAAACATTGACGACGTAATCCAAGGCAAAGGCAAAGGCCTCGTGGCCGTCCTACACGGCCCGCCAGGAACAGGCAAGACGCTGACAGCTGAGGGAATCGGCGAGCTCCTCAAACGCCCAGTCTACATGGTCTCAGCCGGCGAACTAGGAACGGACTCACGAACCCTAGAGGCAAACTTGACCCAAATCCTCGAGATCGCCCACTCCTGGGGCGCAGTCCTCCTCCTCGACGAAGCAGACATATTCCTCGAAAAACGCACTATCCACGACATCCACCGCAACGCACTAGTAAGCATCTTCCTCCGGCTGCTAGAATACTTCCAGGGAATCCTCTTCCTGACCACGAACCGGGTGGAAACTTTCGACGACGCCTTCCAGTCCCGTATCCACGTTGCGCTGCGCTACGGCGATCTTACGTCAAAGGCGAAGCGCAGTATCTGGAAGATGTTCCTTGAGCGGGTTCGGGCGATTGAGAATGTCAAAATGACGACTTTCTCTGAAGCCGATTTGGATAAGCTGTCTCGCCACAACTTGAATGGTCGTCAGGTATGTAGCTTCTATCAGTTCTGTAGTTCTGTACTTATATAGACTGTACCCCTTCATGGATACATGGACTCCTGCTAACTGGTTATAGATCAAAAACTCCGTTCGCACCGCACAGGCTCTTGCTGTCAACGAGGCTGAGCCGCTTTCGATGAACCATATCAAGCGTGTGCTCGACGTTGCGGAAACCTTTGATCAGGATCTGCGTGGTGGAACTGGTTATCTTGATGCTATGCGTAGTTACACTTAGGAAGTAATGTGAAGTTGTGGTGCTCGAAATACCTCTTAGCTCAATCAAATTAAGATCAATGAGAACTTGAATGTTATGGACTAGCCTTTAAAACTGCCTAGCGACTACTCAAATAGGTTTAGGTAGCGCACGACTGCACGCGATAAGATGCATCACGGATCAAACCGGTAATAAATTATAGGCTCAATCTAAATAATACATGCCAGAACGCTTTTATAAAGCAAACCAGACAATGGAGTTGAAACAGATGTTATACATTTTACGGGTTGGCAGCAACGAAGTCAACACCCTTCTGGATGTTCTTCTTCAAGTCAACAAGGGCAGCGTCAAGCAGACCCTGCTCGTACTCGGAGATCTTGCCAACGGGGTGAATCTCCTTGACACCATCGGGGCCGAGTTCGACGCGGGAAGCGAAGAAGTCAACGCCCTGGTCCTTGTAGAGAGGGGACTCGACAAAGGTGGGCTCGATGACACCCTTCTCGCCCTGAGCAGCCTTGAGGAGAGACTCGGCAAAGCGGGCACCGGCCATAGCCATGGACAGGGTGGCGGAGCCAGCACCGTCCTTGGCCTTGACGACCTCATCACCACCGAACTGGATGCGGTTGACGAGGGCATCACGGGCCTCACCGGCAATGGAGGGGTGAGCGGACTGGGAGAGGAGGGGGACGATGGTGACACCGGAGTGACCACCGACAACGGGGACCTTCTCAACGGCGGGATCGGTCTTCTGGACCTGGGAGATGAAGCGAGAGGCGCGGACAACATCCAGGGTGGTGACACCGAATAGGCGCTTGGGGTCGTAGACGTTCTTGGACTTGTAGACCTCGGCAACGATGGGAACGGTGGAGTTCACCTTTTGAAGTTAGGAACAAGGCACATCAGGAAATGGGATGAAAGCTACGTACGGGGTTGGCGATAACAAGGACCTTGGCCTTGGGGGCAGCATCGGCAGCGGCCTTGGCAAGGTCGCGGACGATAGAGGCATTGGTGTTGAAGAGGTCATCACGGGTCATGCCGGGCTTGCGGGGAACACCAGCGGGGATGAGGATAATCTCAGCGTCCTTGAGGCAGTCAGCCAGACCGCTGGCACCGGCCTCGTAACCAGAGACAGTGCTGTTGGTGTTGATGTGGCTCAAGTCAGCAGCGACACCTAGAGAATACGTCAGCGGGCTGTGGAAGCTTAGAAAAATGGGATTTCAATTGATACGTACCGGGTCCACCACGGATATCGTAGAGAGCGAGCTCAGTAACACGGGGGTTGAGCTTGAGCAGCAGAGACAGAGGCTGGCCAATACCACCGCCGGCACCGAGAACGGCGACCTTAGAGAGCTGGAAAGGACAATTAGCGCTGGAATTGAGTGTACAGGAATAAGAGATCCTACGTCAGCAGCGGAGGCCGAGAAGGCACGCTTCTGGAAGAGCTTGATGGAGTGGCGAGCGGCAAACATGATGTCTATGTAGGATCGGTGGATGGATGAGAAGGGAAAGAGGAAGAACTTTGAACTTTGAGGGAAGTCGGAAGAGTGGAGACAACCCTTCCGACTTCATCCCTCCAGTCCCCCGGGCAAAAATAAAACAGCGCTTACTCCGGAACTCACGTCATTTTGTTAATCAAGTTGATTGGTCTATGCTGTACTTTATTGTACTTTCTTTGTACGTCATGAAAGTTATCGCCGTGCAGTAAGGATAAATTGTCAATGGCGGAACTATACGGAGTATATTGCAAATTTCAAAACGCCATCGCTGATGATCGAACAAAGGTCCAGAATTATAGATTATTAAGGTCATTCTCATCGCAAAAAGTGCAGCACAGCCCAACAAAATATAAAGAATACCACCACGCCGCCCCAGAAAATCCACTTGTCCTGTTTAGCGCGCCGCTCGACCATGCGGATAGTATCTCCGCTCATGCCGAGAGTGTTGGCAACACTATACAAACGACGTTGGGTACCTTTCAAAACCTCACGTTGTTGACCAAGGTCAGCAAGGACAGCGCGGCCACGGTCCAGAAAGTCATCGAGTTGATTATGCGTGTTTGAGAAAAATGACTGTTCGCGTAGGGCTTGGTTTTCTCGGTTATAGTCGGACGGACCAGAACCAAAGCTGAGGCCAGAAGCAGGTGCAAACGCGGATGTTTGTTGGGGAAGGTTGGACTGAGTGTAGGGGTTTTCCGGGGTGGCAGCATGATGCGGCCGCCGGCCTAAGAGTTCATTGCGGTTTGTGAAAGATTGCTAATCTCGTTAGCTAGGTAGATAGATAAAGTTGTAGAAAATACGTACAGCATCTTCTCTTTCCTTGCGCAACCGGTCGAAGAGTGTTTTGTAGTCTGCGAGCTCGGCGCGGAAGTTCTTGACTCGCTCAAAGGCCTTCTCTTGCTTCTCAGGGATTAATTCCTTCTTTGAGAGTCCCGAGTAATCATCTACTGTGCGTGATAGTGACGATAGTGACGCCGCAATTTGGCCTATCGGAGGTCGGAATCAGTATTGTTTGGGGTAACGTGCATGAGAGGGGTGGAGAAGCGGATAAACACACCTTGAAGTGCGGCCGAGGAGGTAGCTGGTGATTGGGCGAATGTGTCTAGGTCCCGACGGATCGCCGATGACTGCTTGAGAGCAGAGTTGAAGAGGGAATTCTGTCCTGATTAGCATGATCCAGTATAGACATGCTCAGACATACCATGTCGGTAGTGAACGAGGGAAGCTTTGTCGCTACCCAAAATAGATGATTCCTAGACTCAAGTATTCAAAGGATGCGCTTTGACTTGAACAGATGTCAAATGACCAGTTATGTCCTATGTGATTTGAGTAAAGGTGGAAGTTTAGCTTCAAACATCTGGCCTTCGCGCTGAGTGGGCCGTTGACCGCCTTCGTCGACAGTATTACCCACTACGTCATGGCCTCTACTTCATAGTCTCTACTTCACTTACGAAAGAGCATTGAAAATGAAGGTCCAGTTACAAGTACAGCCAGTTGATAGTAATGAATAAGTCCAGTTGTGGAAGTCACTAATTCAGGCCTGAAACCCCATTTCCCAACACGCCGAATGCAATCAAGAGCAGGGATGGTATATGAACAAAGGAAAAGCAACAGATCACATATCATATCGAACAATAGCGCACTTATTTTTTGGGGTACTTGTTCTGCAGGAACCATCTAAAATGCAGGTTAGTGATGAATAATCTGTAGCCTCAAAACGATACTTACTTGCTAACAAAGTAGTCTGCAACACCAAAGGCACCCACAGCACCAGACACCACTCCAACCAACTCCCAGGAGAGCTTGCCCTGAGCATGCTTGTGGTAGGCACCGAATCCAAGTCCAGCAGCCACGAGTGTGGTAATGACAGCATTACCGATGTACACTGGGTTATCGGAGTTGGCACGGAAACTACTCTTCTCCTTGCTAGCCTTAGACTTCTTCTCCGCCTCCTCAGCGGCACGCTTGGCCTCCTCCTCGAGTCTTTCGGCCTGGGTGGTGGTTTTGACATCCTGGTTCAGGAAATCGGAGTCAACAACGGTCACTTTGGGAGAGTCGACATCGATCAGAGAAGAGGTGCTCTCAGAAGGATCCTTGTAAACACCTCCTACGGAAGGAGCAGCACTAAAATATGGATTAATAGTTACTCATGTCGCGGTATTTATTTTGTAGCTTACGCCTGTTCGATTTTGTTAGCGGTTAAATCAATCTGAGGCGCGTGTTGTACTTACTTCCTCCGGGGTCTGCTGGGGACCCTTGGCGGCAACATCGGCATAAGACATGGTGAGGAGATTAATTTGGAAGAGGAGAGTCGGAGGGAATAGAGAAGGGAATTAAGATGAAGATGAAAAGAGGAAGAGAAGGGGAATTACGGGAAACGGAATACCAAGGAACCTTGTAACCTTGGAAGCTTGTGACATCACGTCATTGATTTGGGTGGAGCCACCAATACTTATCCCTGTCTATACATCTAAATTCTTAATTTCTACATCTTTGAATCATCTGTAATATTGAATACACTTACATTATACTAAAAACGCCAGCTTTGTGGTGATCAAGACCCTCCTTATGTACTCTAAGCCACATGCCCTAGAAATGGCTGTCCGCCACTGACGTGAGTCCGTCCGAACTCCCCACTTTCTGATGATCACGAGACACCAGGTTATCTTTATCAATCTCGCCCATTATAAAAGAACCGCGACACTGAAGTCTGCTAGGGTCTAGGCTTTCGTGATTCTCAACTTATATGAGCCTATATTTGACATCAGAGAAATCCATCAAAGAACTTCCCAATTGCCTCATAGCCGTCAACATCTAGAACCGCCGAAACGTCTGCAACTATCAGCCCTCAAGTTTCTGATTAACAGAAAAATCACTTAACTTAGTCTGGTCGAGTCTTCTCCAGCTCTCTGAGTCAGCCAGATCTCCCACAAAGGCCATGATACGCCATCGGCCATCAGACTTGAGTGAAGTCACGAACTACAAGGCTTTGAGTCACAGAAGCGAACGACCTGCGCACTATGAAGTTGCATACCGACCATGACATTACACGCGAGCGTTGAGTCGAGAGAGGTGGTGATGAGAGAATCGTCATATTTCGCTGTGGGTGCAACAGTATATTTGCCCAATTTGATCAAGCCTTCTTGAAATTCAGCGGGGTGGTATTTGCTCCAGAAGAAAAGCGCTTAGAGAAGTAGCGATCAAGGTTGATCAGATCAATGGCCATCGTCTTTCTCTCAAGCACATAAGTCTCGACAATCTAGCATGAGCCTGTTCATTGAGTATCTCACCGAGCTTCCACCTAATATTGTACCCATCCTGCAAACTGACATTCATATCTTGGCCAGCCTTAGGCGAGTGAGTATGGCACACATTGCCATATAAAAAAACTCGATGGTTTTTGTGGAAATGGTCCGCATATCGCTGACCGATCGAATACGCAGACCACCAGATCGTCTTGGCGAAGGCGGAAGATGTTCTGCGCCTGGTGCTGCAAATTCTCCAGGATGGCTTCTTTTGGGATCATTCTCTGAGCAAGCTCAATAAAGAAGCAAGTTGAATTGTTGCCATCGCTCTCGCGAGGAATAATGAGAAAATTACCGCCTTGAAACGAGCCGTAGATTTCTTTTGGAAATCGGGGAAGTCGGTCTATAGGATCATGTCTATGACGCCCCAGACTGCACTGCTGCTGTCTCCCAATACCTTGAAGCCGATGGGATGGCATTACGAACAACACTATGAGCACCATCACAAGCCTGTTCAAGCATTAGACGATCATCCAAAAAATACCTGAAGCTGGAAAACCTACCAATGTATATTTAGCAGCGAACGTTTCAGCCTTTCAGTTTTTCTCAGCCGTCACAGGATAAGCGTCAAGATCTGCTGCAGCACCATCAACCTTGACATCGGTAACATTACCTAGGTATACCCGTAATCAATCTCTTGATGATTAAATCTACGCATTAACTCAATAAGCAGACCATTCATGCACACCTTGTTCAAAACAACATGAGACTGATGAGAAATAACAGGTTGAGCATCCGTAATTCTTCCAGACCGTTTAATACCCCCAATACCATCATTCACCAAGAAAACTACTTCTAGAACGTGATATGATTCACGTAGCAGCTCCCCTACGATACCGGTTGCTGCGCTGAGACTGGCTGATCCATTGCCGCAAATTAGGACGTCGACTTTCTCCATTTCTTGACCTCGGGATTTCGTCAAAGTTTCAAAATGTTTCAATTTTCAATGTCTGACCTTGGAATATTGTGTGGTATGAGTGGATCTAGCTAATATATATCGAGTAAAAATTAGTAGGATGTGGATCTAACCGCAAGGCTGGAACAATGGTATTGGGATTCAGAAATACTAGGTGATGCTACCTATAGAATCAAGTGAAAACAATGCAAACTCCAAGGTTGGGATGGATGTGCAGTTGGTCATTGCCGCGTGTTCTTCCCGTGTCGAGTACCGTAACTCACCATGCGGAGAAGAGATGGATTAGATTTATTGAAATTGCGGGGAAGAAGTTTAGAAGCTTGCCCAGGTGGAACGTTCCAAGGTTGATTACCTAGATATCCATACTTCGGGAGTTTTAACTATGAATTCTTCAATGTTGAATCCATGGATGCTATCAAAGTTCTAACCTTGGAATTTTTGACTATTTAAATACGTCGGTGACCTCCCTCAATTTTCTTCCAATTTACTCAGCTAGACACTCCCGAAGTCTCATTTTTCCTTTCCCTTTCACTGTAGTGACCACCGGATTGTAAGGTTAGCAGGCATCCATCTGGTGCCCAGGTGGAGATTCATGCCAATTCAACATCGAGCACTAAATACGCCCCGAAAGTAGATATCTTCATTAATGGCTCTATTTTCTATATTACTGACAGAGGCTGCACAAGGAAATGGATTGAAGTTGCTAAAACCAAACAAAATGGGACCGATGCTAGTCTAAATAATCGGGAAAAAGACGTTTTAATACAGATTACAGAGTTGAGCAGTCGGCAGAGAAATGCGCTAGTGCTGTCACTATTGTTTCTTCTACAGCAAAAGCTCGAGCGGGTTCTCAACAACCTGCTTCAGCTCACGGATCCACTCACCACCAACGGCACCGTCCACAACCTTGTGGTCGAAGCTGCCGGTGACAATGATCTGGTCGTCCCACTCAGTGATGGTGCCCTCCTCGGTCTCGACGGGGACAGCGACCTTGCGGATGGTGCCGACGGCCAGGATACCGGCCTGAGGAGGATTGATGACGGCAGTGAAGCGCTCAACGGCGGGGTTCATGCCCAAGTTGCTGATGGTGAAGGTACCGCCCTGGTACTCCTCAGGCTTAAGCTTGTTCTCCTTAGCGCGCTTGCCGAGCTCGCGGATCTGGTTGGAGATGCTGGAAAGACCAAGACCCTGGACGTTCTTGACAACAGGGGTGATCAGGCCAGTGGGGGTGGCGACGGCAACGCTGATGTCGGCGGTGCTGTGCTGGCGAATGACGGTCTGGCCGTCAACCTCGAGCCAGCTGGAGTTGACCTGGGGAACCTTGAGAAGAGCAGCAGCGCAGGCCTTGACGAGGAAGTCGTTGACAGACAACTTGTACTTGCCGCCGGAGGAGGCGTTCAGGGCCTGGCGCAGCTTCTGGAGCTTGGTCACAGACAGGGTGGTGGACACGAAGTAGTGGGGGTTGTCGGCCAGGGACTGCTTGAGGCGGCTGGCAATGACCTTGCGCATAGAGCTGGCGGGAATGTCCTCGTAGGTAGGGGCAGCAGCAGAAGCGGTCGGCTGGTACTTCTCGACATCCTCCTTGGTGATCTGGCCACCGCGACCAGTACCCTTCAGGGCCTTGATGGGGACACCCTTCTCCAGAGCAAGGGCCTTGGCGGCGGGGCTGATGGCAGCCTCGCGGTCCAAGCTGGGCTGGAGGTGGTCGCTGGTGTCTTCGGGCTCATAGGCCTCAGAGGTCTCAGCGGCCGGGGCTGGAGTAGCGGCCTTCTTGGGCTCCTCTTCCTTCTGGTGCTGAACATCCTGCTCGCCACCGGCATCGGAGAGGCTGAAGGACTCGAAAGCAGAAACATCGGCATCGGTATCAACGAGGACGGCAATGGGCTGAAAAGGGATGTTAGTTTGGAAAGTCCGGGGAAATTCTTGGGAAATCTCTTACAGCGCCAACGGGGACATCCTTCTCGCCAGTCTCGATCAGAACCTTAGCGAGGATACCCTCCTCTTGGAACTCAAAGTCCATTTGTGCCTTATCGGTCTCGATCTCAACAAGGACATCACCGGGCTGGAGACTGTCACCAGCCTTCTTGTTCCAAGCACCAATACCTCCTGCCAACATAGTCGGGGACAGTGCAGGCATAGTAATGAGGGTATGAGGGGGGAAAGCTGCACATTCAATGTTGGTTAGAAGGATAGACGTGGGCGAAATGGGATCAATTGGGCCATACACTTGGAGGCATAGAAGCGGGAGATCGCAGAGATCGCGGGCAATTGAGACCTGCGCAGAAGAAATCCGTCAGCGTCAATTCTAGGATGTAGATTGCTGCAATGAGCTCGACATAGTTGTGACGTACTTAATCACCTCTTGGAACTTATAGGAGACCTGAGGGCGGCGCATAGGGGCGGCGCCTCGCGCCATGAGCATGGCACTCGGGGTGCGCATCCGGACAGCGGCAGCAACCATCTTGGCTATAACTGGCGACAAATAAATGTAGCTGAAGAAACCTCAGATAAAAAAAAAGAGATTCAAGGTGTTCCGGCGCCCGAAAAAGAGTGGAGAGCCTTGGATGGTAGAGTTGGGGGAGAAGAGTTATCTTTACAAGAAATTCCGTTGAGCTACCGTCCGGTGAACCAGCGAGGGTAACTTATGTAATCACTAATGCCTTAGAATTGTCAGGCATTCAGTATAAATAACCAGAGCAGTACGGAGGACTCAGCGCTTACTCAGGCTATTATTCTTAAAGCTGTATATCTGGGCACAAAAATTTACCATGAAGTTTTAGTTCTCATCATCCCTTTTTCCTACAGATTTTCTAAACAATTTCGGGGCTCTTAGGGATGTGTGTACAGAGTAGGGAAATAAACTACTAAAATTTTAAGCAATGATCTGGCAACTTGATTTGGTCTCCTTTCATTTTATTCTACAAATAGCAAGCTATGGCATTTCAATGTCTACCTAGGCGTCCTCTTTGCGTATCCGTATTTGTCATGTCGTTGGTATGTTATGCAGCTCATGTATAATTAAACCCCGTGATTGACCCCATAGGCGGTGAGCAGCCCCATCCGCTCTAGTGACTAGCGTCTCATTCCAAACACGTAATACCTAATCCCGCACTGGCTTTTACCTGGCGTTCAATGCTTATTGTTTGACTAGATTGCTCCGTCTGGAGTCTCTCTGACAATGGTGGACGTGGATACAGGCTCTGAGCAGCCAGAACACCAAATGACCGAAATCGAGAAACCCCCCGTCGATACAACAGAAGCTCCCGCAGTTCTGACGTCTGACCCGTCAACACTGCAGGAGACGGAATGGCACGAAGTGAATCATCAAGAGGGTCAAGAAGACCAACAAGAAGAACCAGATGTAGAAACCAAAGAAGATGAGGACGAAAAGCCCGAGATTCCACCAAAGGATACAGAGGACGAAAACATCGAGCCAGAACAACAAATCGTTAATCCACCACCGGAGATCCACGAACCAACACCTTCTGTGGACGATGCTTCAAACCCTCGAATCCGATCTGACTCAAGGTCTACAACCGCTACATTTGCGACACAGCGGGGTGGTACAGTGAGCTCGACCGTATTCATCGTGACCGCCCTTGATGCTATCGCTTCATCGCGGGAGGCCCGGAGAAGCAAAGAACTCGAAGGTGCCGTTCAAGTTGCCCTGAAAAGTGTCAAGCAACCTGAGCACCAAGCAATTGACCCTGAACTTATCTTCTACCCTCTTCACTTGGCAAGCAAAACGTTGAGTGTTCCGCTGCAGGTCACTGCATTGGACTGCATTGGCAAATTAATATCATATTCCTATTTCGCGTTCCCATCCTCCGAGTCGCAAAACGAGTCCAACCCCGTACAAACACCCCTGATCGAGCGCGCCATCGATGCGATCTGCGACTGTTTCGAGAACGAAGCCACCCCCAATGAGATCCAGCAACAAATCATCAAATCATTGCTGGCAGCGGTTCTGAATGACAAAATAGTGGTTCATGGAGCTGGTCTCCTGAAAGCCGTCCGTCAAATCTACAACATCTTTATTTACTCCAAATCCAGTCAGAACCAGATGATTGCCCAGGGATCTCTCACTCAGATGGTGAGCACGGTTTTCGATCGAGTTCGAGTCCGGTTGGACCTGAAGGAACTTCGCAATCGTGAGATTGACCAGTCTAGTGCGGGCTTGGATTCGCTGGGGAGTGACCACGGACCATTCTCCGAATCCGCTTCGGTATCTCTAGCAGACCAGCCTTTCGCCAAGGAGCCCGGTCATGAGAAGCTCACCCTGCAGAGCTTTGAGTCTTCCAAGGAAGTGACCACTGTCAACGATAATGCGCCGACCACAGTCACCCGTGCCAAGCTTGCGCGATCGCGGTCAACTGTCGGGATTCCCGAGGATAGGGAAGATGACAGCTCAACAGAAGAAGACGTGGACGAGATCTATGTTAAGGACGCGTTCTTAGTCTTCCGAGCACTGTGCAAGCTCAGTCACAAGGTCCTGGCTCATGAACAGCAGCAGGACATCAAGTCCCAAAACATGCGCTCGAAAGTGCTTTCGCTACACCTCATACACTATCTCATCAACAACCACATCAACACCTTTACATCCCATAGTGCGTCTATCAGGAACAGCTCAGCCAGCACCGAAGGAATGACACTGCTTCAAGCTGTACGGCCACACCTTTGTCTCAGCCTTAGTCGAAACGGCTCCAGTGCGGTCTCCCATGTGTTCAAGGTCTGCTGTGAGATCTTCTGGCTAATGCTGACATACATGAGAGTGATGATGAAGAAAGAGCTTGAAGTATTCTTCAAGGAAATTTATCTAGCTATCCTCGAAAAAAGGGCCGCTCCTTCGTTCCAAAAGCAGTATTTTATGGAAATCTTGGAGAGGCTGGGTGGCGATCCTCGTGCATTGGTCGAAATCTATCTCAACTACGATTGTGACCGTACCGCATTGGAGAACATCTTCCAAAATGTGATTGAACAGCTTTCGCGGTACGCTAGTTTGCCAGCTGTGGCATCCGCCTCGCAGCAGCACCATTATCAAGAAAACCACGTCAAGTTGTCCAGTGTTAATGCTGAATGGTACCGTCGTGGAACACTGCCTCCATCTCTCACCAGCACCAATATTTCTCCTCCACCCCCGCCAGCAGTGCCAGTCATCCCAGCGGATTACATTTTAAAACAACAGGCTCTGGAATCTCTTGTGGAGATGCTACGGTCACTTGATAGCTGGGCTTCGCAGCGTCATGACGACCAGCCGGCTCCAAGTCCAGCTGTCCTATCTAAATCAATAGACAACTCCCGCGAGTCCATCGACACCAATATTCTCATTTCACCACGTCCTGAACTGGCCGAAGGTAGTCCCACTGGCCAATCTACGCCCGTGCCCGATGATGACCCCAACGAGATCGAAAAGGTTAAGCAGCGAAAAATTGCTCTCATGAATGCCATTCAGCAATTCAATTTCAAGCCTAAGCGTGGTATCAAGTTGTTCCTCTCGGAGGGTTTCATTCGTTCGGATTCACCTGAGGACATTGCTGCCTTTTTGCTCCGCAATGACCGTCTCGATAAGTCGATGCTGGGTGAGTATCTAGGCGAGGGTAATACCGAAAATATTGCAATCATGCATTCGTTTGTCGACAAGATGGAATTCGCCAAGAGACGCTTCGTCGATGCTCTGCGAGAATTTCTACAGCACTTCCGTCTCCCTGGAGAGGCCCAAAAGATTGATCGTTTCATGCTGAAGTTCGCCGAACGATATACAGATCAAAACCCCAATGCATTTGCAAATGCAGACACAGCCTATGTACTTGCCTACTCTGTTATCATGCTGAACACTGATCAGCATAGTACCAAACTCAAGGGACGACGCATGACCAAGGAAGATTTCGTTAAGAATAACCGAGGCATCAACGACAATCAGGACCTGCCAGCCGAGTACCTCGAAGCTATTTATGATGAGATCGGCAGTAATGAGATTGTTCTCGACACTGAGCGGGAACATGCTGCAAACATCGGTATTCAGACATCTGCTCCTGCTGGGCTAGCTAGTCGGGCTGGCCAAGTATTTGCAACCGTGGGCCGAGACATTCAGGGAGAGAAATATGCACAGGCTTCAGAAGAAATGGCCAACAAGACGGAGCAGCTGTACCGCTCTCTCATACGTGCTCAGCGCAAGACAGCTGTTCGAGATGCACTTTCTCGCTTCATTCCTGCTACATCTGCCCAGCATGTTGGATCCATGTTTAATGTCACTTGGATGTCCTTTTTGTCCGGACTTTCAGCACCTATGCAGGATACTCAGAACCTTGAGACTATCCGTATGTGTATGGAGGGTCTCAAATTGGCAATTCGGATCAGCTGCGCCTTTGACCTTGAGACTCCGCGAGTCGCTTTTGTGACTGCGTTGGCCAAGTTTACCAATCTAGGAAATGTGCGGGAAATGATGCCCAAGAACGTTGAAGCATTGAAGGCACTACTTGATGTTGCCCTCAGTGAAGGCAATCACTTGCATACCTCATGGCGCGAGATTTTGACGTGTGTCAGTCAATTGGATCGGCTGCAGTTGCTTACTGATGGTGTCGACGAAAACTCTCTGCCTGATGTTTCGCGGGCGCCCTCCACCCTCGACAGCCCTCGCAAGTCAATGCAGAGTACCCGCAGCAAAACTCGTACGCGCTCAGTCAATGGCATTAACTCTTTCCGCATAGAGGTCGCTATTGAGAGTCGCTCAGCAGATATGGTTCGTGGTGTTGATCGAATCTTCACCAACACAGCCAATCTATCGCCTGACGCCATCATCGATTTTGTGCGCGCCTTGAGCGACGTCAGTTGGCAGGAGATCCAATCTTCGGGACACACCGACTCCCCACGCACTTACAGTCTGCAGAAGCTGGTTGAGATCAGTTACTACAACATGACCCGTGTCAGGATTGAGTGGTCAAAGATTTGGGAGGTGTTGGGTCAACATTTCAACCAGGTTGGCTGCCATTCTAACACTCACGTTGTTTTCTTTGCATTGGATTCTTTGAGACAATTGTCCATGCGGTTTATCGAGATGGGGGAACTTCCTGGTTTCAAATTTCAGAAAGATTTCCTCAAGCCCTTTGAGCATGTCATGGCAAACAGCACATCTGCTACTGTTAAGGATATGATTCTTCGCTGTTTAATCCAGATGATTCAAGCTCGTGGCGACAACATCCGATCTGGATGGAAGACAATGTTTGGTGTCTTCACAGTTGCGGCCCGAGAACCCTACGAAGGAATTGTGAATATGGCTTTCGACCACGTTACGCAAGTCTACAATACCCGATTTGGCATTGTGATTACTCAAGGAGCCTTTGCGGATTTGATCATCTGTTTGACCGAATTTTCCAAGAATTCCAAATTCCAAAAGAAATCACTGCAGGCCATCGAGACTCTCAAGTCGACGGTCGTAAAAATGCTACGTACCCCAGAATGTCCATTATTTCATCGTGGTAATCCTGCACATAGCTTCCAGGGCGAAGGAACCAACTTGGCCAAGCAGCTTACTCGCCAGTCACAAGAAGAGCAGTTCTGGTACCCTATTCTGATCGCTTTCCAAGATGTCCTTATGACTGGTGATGATCTTGAAGTCCGGTCTCGGTAGGTCGCCATCCATCTCTTTATTTTTAGGCTTTCAACTAACACGATATTTCTAGTGCACTGACATATCTCTTCGAAACTCTTATTCGTCACGGTGGCGACTTCCCACGCGATTTCTGGGATGTGCTTTGGCGACAGCTCCTTTGCCCGATCTTTGTGGTTCTGCAGTCCAAGTCAGAAATGTCCAAGGTTCCCAACCATGAAGATCTTTCTGTCTGGCTATCAACCACCATGATTCAGGCGATGCGAAACATGATTACTCTCTTTACCCACTACTTCGATGCGCTGGAGTACATGCTCGGTCGCTTCCTGGAGCTACTTACTTTGTGTATCTGTCAAGAAAACGACACAATCGCCCGAATCGGTAGCAACTGTCTCCAACAGCTGATTTTGCAAAATGTCTCCAAGTTCCGAGAGGAGCATTGGCAGCAGATCGTCCGTGCTTTTGTCGAGCTCTTCAGCAAGACTACAGCGTACGAACTGTTCACAGCGGCAGCATCAATGACAAAAATGACAGAAACACCCACTAATGGGGAGGCTCAGTATGAAGCTGCAGCAGAAATTCCAGACTCCTTGCAGTCCAATGGATCTCAGAGTGCTGTCTCGCTCCAGGATGAGACAGATCCACCTCAAACGGAAGCACGCGCTGAGCTTGAGGATTACCGGCCGCATATAGAATCGCAGCAGCAACCCGCGGCGGTCACTGTGACACGGCGTCGCTTCTTCAATCGTATCATCACGAACTGTGTTCTGCAGCTACTCATGATCGAAACGGTCCACGAGCTCTTCTCCAACGACAATGTCTACGCACAGATTCCCAGTCAACTCCTTCTTCGACTGATGGGCTTGCTTAAGAAGAGCTATCAATTCGCCAAGAAGTTCAACGACGACAAAGATCTGCGCATGCGACTCTGGCGTCAGGGATTCATGAAGCAACCCCCCAACCTGCTAAAACAGGAGAGTGGCAGTGCTGCCACTTACGTGCACATTCTCTTCCGCATGTTCCACGACGAGCGTGAGGAGAGAAAGAGTAGCCGTGCCGAGACTGAGGCAGCTCTCATCCCCCTCTGTGCCGATATCATCCGCAGCTTTGTCCGCCTTGATGAGGAGACCCAGCATCGTAATATCGTGGCCTGGCAACCGGTGGTGGTGGATGTCATTGACAGCTACAATAATTTTCCCCAAGATGCCTTCGAAAAGCATATTGAAACATTCTACCCTCTAGGAGTTGAACTCCTGAGTCGTGATCTCAATTCAGAAATCCGTGTTGCTTTACAAGGTCTTCTACGCCGCGTCGGTGAAGTCCGATTGGGTGTAGCCTCGGATAATTCACTGGACGATCCCATCAGCCCTCGCAGCTCTGTGTCACAGGTGCAGTCGAGACGAGATAGTGCTAAGTGATTGTTTTTCCTTCTATCTTGTGACATACGGGTGATCCAGGCGTTATTATATTTTGTCTAAACACCTATATTGTTTTTCTAGCCTCGTCGAAAGTTCCCTCAGTTTACTGTATGCATTGTGTTGGTCTTTAGAGATGCATAGTTGTTTTGATAGGAAGTTTTTCTCTCTCCATTTTATCTCTTCATTTAGTTCTTCACTTGTAGAAGCTCCGTTCGTACTTCTAAAAGCGATGGAACGTCCGCTGGTTGGTAATGAGCCAGTAACCCGTTCATATCTTGTTCGGTCATTTCCACAAGGTCATCCAAGCTCCATTGCTCACACACAACAGACATCCTGGTAATTTGTGAGCTTTTCTGTACAATATACTGTCAAGCCTCATGGCCGAGTGCTGGGTACTTACCATTTCATTCTCTTCGGGCCTTCTTCCACCTTGGGAGCTACTTCACGCAGCTTCTTCCGTAGTTTTCCCACATTCACAATCGCAGCACCCATATTACTCGGAAGAGTTTCAGCAATCTTCTTTCGTACGATACTGGCCAGCTTCGGCCCATTGCCATTAGTGCTGACCATAATCTGCAGCGGACCATCGCGGTGCACACTTCCGAAATAGAAGTCGCACTCGGGTGGCACATCTGCGATATTCGCAGCAATGCGCCGCTCTTTGCAGAGCTTCCAGACTTGTGATGATGCCTCCGGGTCGTCAATGGCGCAGAGCACCATATCCGCATTGTCGAGGTCGCATGGTTCGAAATTGCGGTTAATGTGAGTGACTTGCTTCTCGGCGACTCGGTAGGCTACTTCTTCGTTCAGTCCACTAGCTGGACAGACGATAGTTACTATGGCGTCGGCGTTGAGAACATGTACGATCCGTCCTGCGGCGACCTGCATTTCCCCCAAAATTGGATTAGCTTCATCGGAAATTATATATCGGAGTGTATCATAGGTATGAGCATACCTCGCCACCTCCAACCACTAAGACATTCTTATTTTTGATCTGCCAGGCCAAGATCAATGAACCTCCTCCTTGAATTTCAGGAAACTTGGTCATTCTGAGAATAAATTTGTGGTGAAGTGGTTGAGTAGGTAACAGAATGCGTTTGAAGGACGTGGGGCCTTCGGTGGCCCACAAAAACCTCCCTCCCGCGCGACTTTTTTTCTTCCTTTTTTTCCTCCATTTTTCTTCTCCCTCTTCAATTTTTTCATCTGGGCAGCCATGCGGGGTGTGCAAATCTTCTCGGGCACGTCCCACCCTGGCCTCACAGACACCATCTGTGAACGGCTAGGAACATCACCAGCTAAAGCAGACCTCGGTAAATTTGCTAATGGCGAGACTAGCGTCAACATCGGCGTCTCAGTGCGAAACCAAGATGTCTACATTGTGCAGAGTGGAAGCAGCAAGATCAATGACAGTGTGATGGAGCTTCTCATTATGATCTCGGCGTGCAAGGGAGGCTCTGCCAAGTCGATTACTGGTATGTTACTGGTGTCAAAGAGCAAAAAAAAGAGTAGCTTCACTGACAATCTCTATAGCGGTTATGCCGTATGCTACCCGTCTTGTTTCTTGAACCAACCACGGTGGATGCTGACGCAGACACGAGATACTTTCCCTATTCCCGTCAATCAAAGAAGAAAAGTCATCGGGGTGCCATTACGGCCCGCATGCTTGCCAATTTGCTATCCGTTGCTGGCGTCGATCATGTCATTACGATGGATTTGCACGTGAGTATCTCTACGTGGATTATCTGCTTCTAATCTGATTTTGATCGGCACAACAGGCGTCCCAGATGCAGGGCTTTTTCGGCAAACCTGTCGACAACCTGTTCGCTGAACCGTTTATCGCTCGCTGGATCCGAATGAACGTGGCAGGATGGAAGGGTGCTGTGGTGGTGAGCAAGAATGCTGGCGGTACTAAGCGGGTCACCTCGCTGGCCGACAACCTGAAGCTTAACTTTGGTATTGTAACGACCGATCGCCGCCGTCCAAAGGTTCCAGTGACTATATCTGATAGCTCTGTTTTCTTCGATGGCGAGAATGAGGAGCCTCGACCTAACCGCCGACTTTTCGAGCTGCACCTGCAGCGACACCGGTCCACTTCCCTTATCCCAGAGGAGACCGAGCCAGAGCCCGAGAACCTGCGCCCTGAGACTCCTCCGGCCGCCCGTCGTCCCTCGGAGCTGGAAGCAGCATACGAGTATAGCGATGTCCGGGTGCAAGATGTGATCACCGGTCGTCTAATCCAGGGCCAGCTGGTTGACGATGATTACGTCGGATCAGACTTGGGTGGTGCCAGCACCCCAGGTAGTGCCGCTGGTGATCACATCGAGGTACCGGACGCCATGATGAATTCCATTATCTCCACCACCTCGTCCGCACCTCCTGATCATGCTCTGGGCGGCTCATTTGACGCTACCGAGTCTGATGACGAGGGTAGTATTGCTGGACCCGAACATGAGAAAACCATTACGCTGGTCGGTGAGGTTCGCGACCGCCCTGTGTTTATCGTGGATGACATGATCGACAAGAGTGGTTCTTGGATCGCCGCTGCCGAGACAGCCGTGAAGCGTGGAGGAGCTCGCAAGATCTACTGTATCGCCACTCACGGTCTCTTCGGAGCTGATTCCCTTGATCAGATGGAGGCATGCTCTTCAATTGATTATATTGTCGTTACTAACACCTTCCCGATCCCGCCGTCATTGCTCGCCCGTTCCAAGAAGTTGATTATCATTGATGTCTCATCCTTGCTATCAGAGAGCATTCGGCGGCACCACTATGGAGAGAGGTCAGTTTTCTCCAGTTCTCCAGTTCTTCCTTTCTTTATCATACTAACATCTCCACAGCGTCTCCGCTCTTTTCCAACTTAACGATTGAAATAATGAAGGTCCAGGGTTGGCGTTGATTTGATTTACAGGCTTCAAGTCTGTTATGATACCTACTTTTCTACGAAATGAAGAACCATTCGAAGCAGTGACCGCTTGTCGCGGTTCCACACGTAGTTTGTTCGTTTTCTCTGCTTTTTTTTCTTTTGTTCTCTTTGTCTCTTTTTTTTTTTTTTTTTTTTTTTTCTTTTTTCCACCCAACGATGCAGTCCACACTGGGTTCTGCAGGGGCATCTTGTTATCCACGAGGTGTTCTTAACGGAGCGTTGGCAGAGCAAACAAACCCGGGTTTGAGATTATCCTATCCAATTTTGCATCTAGCAAACTTGGAGCGGAGACTCACAACCCGACGAGAAATGAAGACACTGGTTTTCGTGGAAACACTTGGCGGTGAAACCCGTGTCGGATACTATTCTCGTACATTCATGATAGCAAACATTTCCCATAGTCGACTTATCAATATATTCGTTCACCGATTCTTTCTGTTCCCTCAACGGCCAATGCGGCTCCCCTATATTCCTTGAAGATTGCAATCGAGTCTAGACTCGGGATGTTGTCTCAGTGAACCTTGGAATTGACATGTCGACTATAATGGAATCCTTTTCAAAAGGAATTAGTCATGAGACAGGTTTCCTGAATTGATATCAATCAACTCAACCAGGACCTCGGGATGTTAGTTTCAAACATGGCGATCTAAACTATTAGTTTCGGTGTGTCCATATCAGAAATTTATTTGTTCATGTTCCTGGGTTGTTTTACCTGTTTATTTTGGGGAAGTGGAGTAGAGAAAAGAGAAAATGAATAGAATAAACTAATCTAAAATAATTTGTTGTAGGCAAGTTTCCGTTACGAGTAGTACAGACTATACCTGAGTAGTGAGTGCTACAAAACGTTTTCAATGGAGTCAAGTAGTGACACAGTGTTACTCCATGACAATAGCTATAACCATTGCAAGGTTCTAAGGCTGAAAGGTCAGGTTGAATATCATTGTTTGGATAAACAATTGGCCTGCAGAAGGGATCTATTAAAAGTAGACTCGTCACTTGTGGCATGAAAAGGAACTTTACCCGATATATACGGAATACCATGTGGAGAAGCATGGTCCAAGCGTATGAGATGTGTCGCGGATGATTAACCACCTAAGTATTGGAAATCAGAGATCGGCACAAATATGATGCAAAGCCAGGACTACCCCAGTTCTATACTTGGAAATGATGGAATTGAACCTATTCCATACTAAGCCCTTCAATTTCCAATTTCATCTTTCAACCCTTTGCTAAGTAGTAGCAGGATTATACGGAGTGCTCCGTACTCCATACTAACTACGACGTAGAGTAAGACCCACTTCATGATTACCCTAAGCTATACGAGTCAATCAAATGAACATGAAATGACAGGGGAAACGAATTTAAAGAAATCATGAGTAGATCATCACTTGCCAATTGTAATGCTCCGATGACATAGATCTCGATCTAGATCTCGGTGTTGCTGAGTATATTAGGATCGACTGGGACTTTTCAACTTTCAACATCTCAAATTTTCATATCTACCAACGATACTACTCAACCTGGCGTCATCTTAGACTAATTCAGTCAATTGATTTTCTTCATGCATGGAGGAGTTCGGTAGATCTAGAAACTTAGATCCACCTGGCACTCCATTTGGTTTGCTATGTTTTCCCTCCTGCATCTCTCGGCTTTGATTTTTTATTTTTTACTCTGAAAATTTATTTATGCTTCTCGGCTGAGATTCAACAATCAACGGATACGTGCGTCACGGCCTTCTGCAGTCTTTGAAGGCTCTACTGGAAAGTGGACTAGGCCTTAGTTATTGAATAGACTGTTTGTATCCTCAATTTCGTGGCTATATAATGGCCGCTGCCCGTTTGAACGATTCACATATACAAGGCTCCTTACAATTTCCAAAGCATTCACCTCTACCTATCTTCTTATTCTTCTTTTTAATTCCAACCTTCTGCATTGCCTCTCTGGGATCATTCTCCGGTGATCGACATCCACAATCCAGTTTCCAGATCCCCGGGCTCACGATACTTTTACTATCAAGTAGGTTACAGAGTCCCGGGTCAAACTAAAAGCTGAGCTAACTCCAACCCTCATCAGAACCAGAACGATCAAAATGGCAAACCAATGCTCCGGTCACGTCTTCGTCATTATTCAAGCCACGAATGGTAATATCCTGACGTGGCGCTGCTCCGATTGCAACTCAGGCCCATTCGTCGCTATCTGGCGGTGCAAGATCTGTGGTTATTTCCGGTGTAATGCCTGCCACAATGCAAAGGCATAGAAGGTGAGTAAGTACAAGGCTGAGCTGAATTTGCAGGTGGTTCCGAGGTCTCATGCTAATGCAATTTACCCAAAGTGGTTCAGCCCTCAGACCTTTTACCCCAGGGTATCCCTATCCCATCCAACATATTTTGATCCTATGCATTTGCGGTTCCCAAAAGTCTCCGAAAGTTTCAATGTTTGATTGGGGTGCATTCAGATGGAGTTTTTCTCATTTCCATTCATTATAATGATTATGTTCCTTTGCAAGGTTTACTATTAGATGGCTCAGCTTCTTTCAGGTGTTTTATATACTCTACAGTTTGGTTGATATCGGGATCGGAAAAAGGAAACAAAGATCTTACCAATTACATGTCTCCAAGGTTCTTTCCAAGGATCTCCAGGGCTGGTTCAAACCCAAGAAACAATCGGATCCAGAAGCATTCGAGATCGCCCATAAGATAGAGAATCCCTTTCTTGTACCAGTAATACGCGCACGCAAGTCTACGTAATAGGAACAATCCTTGCATAAATAGAGCCAATGCAGGGTCTTGCTTCATAAGGCCTTACAGCAAGTACCGGCATAAACGCCAATGGCACATTGCAACCCTACCGGACGCATGCACCCCAATGGCCGCGCAAGTCGAGAACAAACGAAAGATGCAATACGCAAGACGCAATACGCGAGACGAGGATGAGACGTATGGAGCTGGGTCCCGGGTCTCCACTCGATCTAGCGGAAGAGATATCCAGAAAAATGAAAAAGAAAAAAGAAAAAAGAAAAAATGAAGAAGAAAAAAAAAGGACGCGTTTCGTTTCGGGGAAGATGTTGAATAAGATAAGTTCGATTTGGAATGGCATCCATCTACAAGGTGTCCTATAGTGAAGACGGCGTATTCCAGTTCAACGTTGTATGCATGTAGTGCGTACTCTGACCCGCGTTGGCTGTAGGATATGGAAATGTAAAATCTGATTTACCTACGGCGTACTCCGTACTCGTAGTCTATCATATTGTTTGTATTATAGATCAGTCCTTAAGAGCAAATCAAATTCATGAATCGAGAGCTGTTCGAGTACCGGATCGGTTAAACCCGTCTCCACCGATCCATGCAAGGACTTCTGGAACTGGTTCCGAGGTACGGTACTTTCTTTCGGTGGGGTAGTAACGTTGGGGACAGAAGGCTATTAGCGCCAAAGTGGAGAAGGACTTGGCACAGGCGCTCTGCGCGTCAATAACAAAGCTATTGTTCAGTAGTTAGACTAATGTGAGGTTGTTGTAGCCTTATGGCCTTGGCCTTGAGATAAGACTTGCGACGGATGTTGAATGATCAGATTGAATTACTTTATATTGGGTCTTGAAATAGTAGATAAAAGATAAAAGATAAAATTGCTGGATGTATCCATACTGGAAATCCATAAATAGCTCGCTCAGCTAGAACAACTACGTGTAAATGCTCTAGAACACCGTTAGCGTACGAAGCCACCCCCTAAAACAGATCATGTACTCACCTCGGTGATCTGGTTCACAGCCAGCCCAGGTTCAGCCATCTCAGCATCACACAGGAAATTCAAAGGCAGCCACACCAAATGACCCCTGATGCGATCCAGCTTCTCACGCACCTCTTGAGCCGGCATGAACGGATCGAACAGATGGCCCTGCTTGTGCGCACCGCGAGGGTAGAAGTGGTCATAATCTTCAAAGGTCTTGATGTGATCGTCTGGATCGGCCCGGAATAGCACCCGATAGGTTTCGGTGTTAGTAGTAGCCCGCTCAGTCCAGGCGTTCCAGACCGCATCGCAGAGTGGATCGGCGACAAAGTCGTTCTCAGCACCTTCGTGAATCGAGTTTAGACAGACGTCTGGTGGCTTGGCGTTGTCTGATTCGGATGCATCGTAGTCCTGGGCTTCGAGGAGGCCCATGTGTTCGCGCCAGAGCTGTCGGCGCAATGTGGCCGCCAGTCTGGCTGCACGGTATGGCTGACCGTCCATTGTGCTGTCGATGAAGTCCTGGTCTTCCATTACGATGGCCAGTTCGCTGTCGTGGGAGCCGAGCTGCGACTACATGGGGTTAGTCGATGCATGAATGATTCAATCTTTTTTTCACTTACTCGATCGTTGATGTTCGCACTGCCGCAGATAATGATTCGGTCATCGACAATGCAAACCTTCCCGTGTACATAGAGCTCTTCCTGTACAAAGTTTGCCTTTTCAGCCTCGGGGTCGCCTTCCCAGACCTCGTCAGACATCTTACCACCATTCAACATGGTGGTATGAGCCACAGAGTCTCTGCTAGCATCGCCCAAGGCTTCGCGGTGCTGCTCAACCTGCTCCTCGTATTTCGCCAGCTTGTTCAGTTGCTCTTGTTTCTGATTGTTATCAACTTCGTAGCTCTTTTCGTTCTTGTCCGCATCGTCACCGACGGAAGGATGAACACTCTCGCTCATGATGGACTCGGCAATACCACGTTGAATATCCTGGTAAGTGACATCGGCCTTTTTCATAAATTCCTCAAGCTCTGGGGACTTATTAATTCTATCATAAGCCCGTAGAGCGAATACGAAGACGTGCTCTGATAGATATTAGTACGAAGTATAGGCTTGACAGTGAGAAAACCTTTTACCTTTCGGGTCGACGCCCGCATTTTCAATCTGGCCCATGATTGAGTGCTCGCCTCGACAGATCGACTTATACTGATAGTCCATAATGGCTCTGGTGCCTAGAGCAGCATTATCACGCAAGTCACCCGCAAACCCAGGAATGGCGGGAATAACGATGATGACGCGGAATTTGCGGCCCTCCTTGCCAGCTTTCACGCAGGCATCAACAATAGCACGGCCGATAGTGTTGACTATTGGGCGTTGCTGGTCACCGGTAGCAGTGACTACGGCAAGAATTAGCATCGTAATTGTATAGGGGCCTAAGGGGGTGGCATACTAAAGAACTGGTTCTCGATGTAGACGAAATGCTGAGCATTACGAATAGTCTCGATGTAAGCAGTCTGAATACTATGCTCATTCAAGATGCCGCTACTCCAATCATCACTGCTTCGCACCAGCTGCGCACGAACGGAGCCTTGCTGTCCACGTGGCTTACTCAATAATGGCGTAAGGGGATGCTGGATATATTCACCGCAAGGGTACTTCGGCCGCTGAACAGCAACGATATCCTCGTCCTCTCCAAGACGGCCTTCCAGAGTGATCCAGTCTACATTATCACTTCGCTTGTACTTGTCACGCTTGACAAAGTTCCAGCGGAGAACGAAATGCTCCGCGATATCATAGACACTGTCGCCAATAAGCCCGAATGCGACGTCGTGCCACGGCATACGACCGTACTCGGCTTTGCTAATTTCGTTACTCTGCCAATCTTCAACACTTTGGAAGTCCATAATTCTGTTGTTGTTAAATTCTTGACCGGGGAAGATGTCGTCCCGCAGACCAGCTGGATGTACGTCGGAAAGAGGGTGTTGGCGGGCATCCCAACGTCCAAAGCAGAGGTCAATTCCACCGATGAAGGCCATCGCGTAGTCAATGACAATAAATTTCTCGTGATGTGCCTGTATTGGTTAGTTGAATGCGATTGTGAATCTTATGTATCGTAGAATATCTACCCAGTAGAGAGTCATGTCTGCCGCATTCTCAAAGATGTTGTGGTCCGGATGGCGCAAAACACGAATATTGCCATGACCGGGTGTACCCTCAGGACATAGATTTTGCAACGCATGCTTGGTGTGTGCCGAATTGCAAGTCAGAGCTTGGTTAACCTGGAAAGAGATGGTTGTTAAATTTCCAGGTCCCTTTCCCAGAGATTATTAATCTCACCTCCTTGTAGACGATAATGTAGATCTTCACACCCGCCTCGGCACGACGCTTTAGAATATGATCCAACCGCCATTCTTGATGTTGTACAGGAGGACGACGGAGGAACAACTCAGGAGATATCCACCAATCAGCGAGATAGATGGTCTCAGTAGCCTTCTCCAGCGCCTCCGAGACAGCCCAGAGATAATCTAGTCCATCAACATACCACTTGATGCGATTACCTTCATGGATAGGCGCATATGATTGGAAGCGGTGGGACTCGGCAATGGCCGATCGTTTCTCATCGGTAGCTTGTTCGTGGGCCTCATCGTGACGGTGATTTGGGTTGATAATATTAAAAAATTTGCCGACCTTGTGTTTCATATGAGCTGCACCAGCTCTAGCATCATGGAACTGGGAGTCGAGATGGGAGTCTATTTTTGCCGGTGAATATGAGTAAGAGAATTTAAGTGATGAGCAAAGATATTCAGGGGGGAGGGGATCAAACCTTTGAGAGACTCTTCCAACTGGTCGAACTTCTGCTCGAGCTTGTCTTTAAATTTCTGCATGGTTGGGGGAGATGTGGAGGGGAAGGAGGGGAATGGATCTGACTACTAATTGACCACTGATGTCAGGCAATTTCACCCGCGGTTCACTCCCTTATTCGAGATCGCCCCACATGGTGCCGTAAACTTATTATACAGCTGAATTGTAAGGCATATAGGTACTACTAAGTGGGAGAAATATAAAATGATGATTATATAGATCTAGAGACCAATGGTATTATGAGATAAGATTGGAGAAAAAGTGGCCAGACATCTGGCCATCGTTCATCAGTGGAGAAGGACAGGTGGACGACGTCATAGCCGATCTCCACACAGAAAATTAGGTTGATAAGTATATATCTGAGCAGCTTTGATATTCAAATGCATGAATTTATTCAAAGCTTTGGAAGTCTATTGGTGAACATATATCCCCAGGTAGATCGGTGGCTACGTGGCCCTTCCCTGTCGAGATGGTGTGGTAAACTATACCCTAATCTGTACCTTAGATGTGTTCTCGTCAACAAAATCGGATGTATATATACCGACCTTGAGCTAAGGCTACCTAGGGAAACAGCACCTATATACATGGGCACTGGACACGGTGAGCTGGAAAGGTATTAAATTATCTTAAATGAGGTCAGAACACTAGCCCTCGAGACCTTGAACGGCCTTCAATACATTCGTTCAGGTTCACGGGTGTTTAGAATAAGCAAGGATTTGAGCATGTCAGTACACGGTTAACCACCTGAAACCCATGAAAATATGCAGTAGTAGGAACCTTTCAAGGTTATTTACCTAGCTAGATAGGTACCTTCAAAAGTTGAATCAACTGGTGTTTGTATCTACACTTTAATGTGTGGTGTCATAGTAAGTCTTAAGTTCCAAGCGACCAACTCTGGAGCGGCCACAAATGTTGTGACATTTGAATTTTTCAACATGGACAGCCTCTAGAATCACAGTTTGCAGCTCTCTCGAAGCCCATTTTACAGGAATAAATTGGATGTGACAGTGATGGTGACCGGGTGTTGTTTGTTTGGAATGCTTACCCGGTTGATCACGTGACTGGGAAAACAACGTTGTCTGAGGAACGGCTTGCTCTGTTGATTCCCTCACGACTTTTGACACCACGCGGCCCACGACAACTCCACGACACTTGGATAGATCAGTTGGGAGGTCAAGGTGATTTATTCACCAGATATTAGTTTTGGTTTTGTTTTTTTATGTTTTTGAATGGTCATTCATCGCCACGACTGCTCGTAAAAAACAGTGCAGGCCCTCCACTCATCTCCTGGGTGACGGGATCTCCTCCACACTCCTCACCGACCAGTCTGAAACTAGAATGCCTCCAGAACTAGGTGAGACTATCTTAGCCCTTTCCAGCCAGTCTACTGCTTGTGTCGTTACTCATGCCCCTCAAACTGTAGCACGCGCCCAGTCCCAAGGGAGCGTGTTCCCCCAGACTGCGCAACATATGGGACCTCATAGCCGGCCAGGAACGGCTGAGCCCATGCGCTCTCGATCAGAGAACATGTCTAGATCTGGTCTCCGTCCCAGATCTCGAGGATCAACAGCCAGCATACATTCTAGCACGACACAGCAAACCCAAGATCAACACATGGACAGCTTTCCGCAACAATTCATGCCATCCCAAGTTGCCAATCAAACCATGTTTGCCAATAACCCCGAGGACATGATCATGCGATATGGTCATCAATTTCATCACCCCCATGCGGCTATAGACCATGATGCTCATCCGGTTATTTCTCGACCCGATGAATACCCCCAGCACGCGATGCAAGCCCATAACCTGTCACATCACTCATTGCCTCCGAACGTTGCTCAGAGTGGGATTTCTGTTCCCCAGTACCAGCCCATGTATGATAGTGGGATCGAGAACCACATGCCAGAGCAGATAATCGAGAGCCAAGAAATTTCCGACATAGGTGGGAAGAAAAAACGGGGGTCCAGCTCAACCCAAGCTAACGACAATGAGCTGCGTAAGCTGCTTCGCTCGTACGAATCCTACTCGCTGCAACAGATGGCTGCCGAAGTCATGAAGCATGAAGGCGCTGGTGGAAAGGCGGAGAAAGTGAAGCAGGTCTTCGCCATGATTTGGTAATGATTCATTTTGATCTGGAATTGAACATCGGCGTCTAATATCTCTTATAGGTTGCGAGAGAACTGCCGGAAGAGCAACGATTCAGTACGACGAGACCGCGTCTATTGTTGCTATGCCGAGAAATGTGGAACGGAACGAGTATCAGTCTTGAACCCAGCATCTTTTGGAAAGCTGGTTCGCATCGTTTTTCCCAATATGCAAACTCGACGACTCGGCGTGCGTGGCGAGTCCAAATATCATTATGTTGACTTGTCAGTTATCGAAGAAAAGCAGCAGCGGCCACCACTAGCAGTCAGTGTCCATGCAGGACTCAATCAGCAGGCTCCGATTGCGGCTCCGGAAAGACCACTCAGTGGTATGCGATCCAGGAGGTAGGTTACTTAATACATCTGATATATTATCGAGGTTACTGACCCAGATCTTAGTATGAGCATCGCCCAACCAACTGCAGACACTGCAGTTTTCCCTTCACCCACAACCTCCTTCGCTCCGAGATTACAGAGCAACTCTCCCATTACTGGCTTTACCTCTGGCCCGGATGCCATCGTAACGACTGAAAATGTTGCTCATCAGGCCGGTAAAATCGTTAATCTCATGCTGCAATTCCCCACGGACGAGATGGTCTCCGCTGAGAACGACTCTTTCAACCTGCCCGATATTCGTCCCTACTTGCCGGCAAACACCGATCTCAAGGTTGCAGATGCGCTTGGAGCTTTATACCGATCGCACTGTATCTCAGTCATCGACAGTTTCCGATTTTGCAAGGAACGCAATCTCCTGAAATACTTTTCTGCCTTCCACGGAACTTTGACCGTTCCCGTCCAAAAACTTTTAACTCATCCTAACGTAGCCGCATGGATCAAGGAATGTGACTGGTTGATGTACCAAAAGATGATCCCTTTCGTTGCGCCTCTCACCACTCAAGTCGTCCCGAAGCCTGTTTTAGATGCTTTTCGATCCATCTCTAATCGCCTATGCAATCATATTGCCGAAACATTCAAAAGTCAGCCGACTCATATGACCGTTGCGCGCCTTATTCCAGCCAATATCTTCTGCAAGCTTCTCAAGCAGATGCTTGACGTTAACCAGGCTGCCAATGCGGCCGCTGCATGGCTCTGCCACCCGGATAATCGCATTCAAATGTGGGAGGACTTCAAGACTCTCGTGGACCCTCAAGAGATGATGACGAAGGCCAATCTTCCGACTGCCGTGCTGAAGGCCACTGAGCAAATATTTAAACACGACGTCCGTGCTCTGCTGACGCCGGTGAATGAAATTGACGCTACGGGATCCCTACCGTTCTATTCCAAGCCAGATACTGCGGAAGATATCGCTTCTCACGTTTGTCCCATTGAGAACAGCCCTGGAGATCAAGAGTACAACTTTCCAGACAAGTGGATCTTGTTTATTCTCAATCTACAAGTTATTTTCAAGTCCTATTCTAGCAAGTGCATTATCGCGAAAGCTGATGCTCTTTGGGATAACATTCTGCACCGCTTGACACTAGGCGGAGCACCCAGTTTCAGTGCTTGGTGGATGACAAAGGTGTTCTTTCACGAGATGATGGTTTGGCAAGCAGAAAAGGGCGGTTTCATGAGTAGCACTGCTGCCTCAGTTGATGCCCTCTCTTTTTCTGAGGAACCAAACCAAGTGGGACATTTTCAGTTTAAGCAGAACGGACGATCAACAAACCGCACCTCGTATGATGGTGATCAGCACATATCCAACCCCAACCACCCTGTGAACCAAAATGGGCCACATATTCCAAACGATGAAGGGGATGTCAAGCACATCCCAAATGACAAGGAGCTATCACTTGAAGATCCTGGCCTTCAAGGCCCAAACAACGATGACAGCGCCATTGACCTCGAAGACGACCCGCTGATGATGGTGGTTGGTAAATATGGAGACATGATGGCATCTGACCCCGCGGACGCCGAGGGTGATGTAGTTGTCATCTAAGTTCATTTCTCATTTCCTTTGTTATTTTCCTTGATTTTATGATTGGAGTTTCGGATATCCCGGTGTAAGTAGCTTATTCTTCCTGTGCCTTATTATTGGAAAGGTTTTCTATATTGGTGGGCGGCGTTTCCCACCATTCTATCTGAACGAAGAGATGAGACACGAGCATGGGATTCAGCCCGTGCATTTTGCATACAAAATGTCCCTGGTATAATTGTGCCCGAGGTTTGAAGTTTTTCTCGTCATAAAACATTTAATCGGACTGCATCCTCGGCTTAGTTCCTACTGACTTTACTTTCTTATGTTGTATCTATGGGTATCTTGAACATACACTCTAGCGTTGCATACATCCTAGCTCAAAGCCGAACTAGATCATAACAATGCTTGTCGGCTCTGCCTTCACATTTATCTTTCCTCAGGCTGTTGCTGCCAAGTAGCGTCTCTTGCTCACCGATGAGCAGAAGCGATAGCTTCCGTATGAGAAGAAGGTGGAGAAGCTCATGAAAGAGCCCTCCACGTAGCAGCGCATCCCCAGATAAAACCCATCAACAACACTGCTTCCAACAACAAAGGAGAAGGTACCGACCTAGTCAAAATTCTCCAATCATTGCGTCCTTCGTCAAGAGTTTCATCCGAAGATACTGTTCAATTCCGGGGATATCCGACGACCAGTTGAAATTGGAAATTCTTTTCGATGTGGATGTCCTGGATCTAGCCCGTTGCTACCTCAAAATTCGGGTGAAATTTCCACAAGCATTCACGAAGAAATTCCCTTTTCGGAAGGAATACTAGTTATTCCCCATTTCTTCGCAGTGGAGCTGCGAGAGCTCATACTATTGCCTCGGGTACGGCGTCGAATGTTGATATTGGATAGCGGCGTAGATTCGGTCTTTTTTCAAAAATCAAAAACGATCATGATAAAACACGTAAAATGGGAGTAGCAGCGATCGAAGTGAGATATGGTGAGAAAGACTGAGTTCTTTGCATTCGTAATTTTGTTTGGCGCAATTTGGTTCAGTTTCTGGACCGACTATAGCAGAAGCTCACTGCTGCTCAGTTGCCTCTCCCTACCCCCGCAAACCACCACTCCTGATTCTGTAGCTGTCTCTTTCTCTCACTGCTGTATAGCTGCAGCATCCCATAATACTGGCTAGCTGCCTAAATCGATTAGATATGACGAACCATGAGTATGGTGGGTTGGAAAAGATGAATACGTCCTTCACTAAACAAAAGAAAAGGAATTACAGAATGAGCAACCTGGCCATTAGGGAGTTCTCTACGCTTTACGGTCAAGCAATGAAGCTTCAAATTGCTCTGAGTTTTTCGCAAGACACCTGAATAGTTCGTCTTTATAATTTGCGGGCGAACAAGAAGCTTCTCCATCGATAGCTCTATCGGATTTCTTCCACGACCGCATATATTTTTGCACACTACGTACGACTCTGGAATCAGAAATTGGCTATGATATGATGTGATAAACACGATTAATGATGAGTATGAGCATCTGAACCAGCTAGATCATCAAACCCATTGATCGATACCATCGCCTCACTCGTCATCCACCGGTTCTAGAGCCTATATCTATTCATCAATTTTTTTTTTTTTGGTTTTGTCCTATCTTATGTCTACACTACTATGAGTCGTCTAATTTGGATGAAAACCGAGGAATTTCATTGAGACTTCATCTATTGTGTCTCGTAGAATAGAGGTAAAATGGGTTGTCAAAAGGTGTTAGTCTATCACGGAACCGACGAGAGGACCTGAAATTGATAACCCTTAATTACTGGCTCCTTAGAGAACGAACATAATATCTCGATATAAAACTTAAAGGTAATGAATATTGTCAATCTTTGCCGGATTGCACTAGATAACCCAGGACTATCCAATAAGGCTACCCTTATCGTTGGCACAATTGCCAACAAACAGAAACTTGCCTACTTCCTAGTGCAATTTCTTGATGACATCACCGAAAATGAGGGTTTGACTACCCAGGACAGAACGCAGTACTTTTCAAGGGTGAAAAGGAAGAAGCTTTGTTGAAAGAGTAACTTACAGAAATTCCCTTTGACGCATGGGAGTTTTAGACTTGGATGGACGAGACCGGAGTGTAGCCCCAAACTTGATTTCGATTTTAGGGTCACAGGTGACCATTTGGAGTCTTAGTTAGCCGGGTTTGCTACCTTGTTCTATGCTTTACCTTCTGTAAGCGACAACATAATGGCTAAATACCTTACGAAACTACGTACCTACACATACAAATAGCATCAAAATCGTAGAACACAAGAGGATACGAAATAATAGACTCAAAGTCTAACCTATCACATTATCTTGTCAAGAATTTTGCTCTTGGCCTCTCGAAATGAAAATCCAGTAGTAAAAGTTATCCTCTTATAATAGCTTCTTCTCTTCGAGCCGCCTGCCCGGCTCTTTTGATTTCTGATAAAGCCACCAACAAATTAAGACAGCCGTAGTCACAGGTACTATGATGCTAATCCAGACCCACCAAACTCCTGCTCCTGTGATGGTGCCCCCAAAGACCCCAGCACGAACCACCGTCGCTGCAAAGGTACCTGGCAGGAATGCCATTGTTAGGACAGCAATTGCATTCATAGGTGCGGAGTCTTGCTTCATGCTATTGCTGATTCGGATGTTATTAGTGGCATCTTGCTGGGTCATGAGGTTGTAGACCAGGGACATAGTGCTGTCTTTGCGCTGTTTGTAATTGAGAAACCAGATCTTCTGCTCGCTGGTAGACAAAAGGACTATACCGGGAGATCGATGAAACGAAGCGGGAGTGGACGTTGCGAATAGCCGTAGCTGTGATAATGCAAACATCCGCATTTCCGAGATGAGAGTCAGTATTCTGGGATATTATTTGGAGTTGTTTTGTCAGATATTTTAGTTTGGCTCGATCCTCGGCCTCAAGACCTTCAAGCTGGTCGTCTACTTTATTGATTTGAGCCCACATAAAGCGTCGGAAACGTTTGACGTGGAATTTGGAAGCCTCAAAGGACAAAGTTGAAAGTATTATGTGGATTTCAAAGGGGTCATCTAAAAAGACAGCTGGCCTATCAGCTGCAGAAGTGGTGTTCAGTGCAATTTTGAGTAAAGATTTGAGCGTCACAATGGATGTATCGAGTTCTTTGTGAGAAATAACATATGTTGTAAGGTTGCGGGTGGTATCGTAGCGCATGTAGACTGACAGCGGTGCTCCTTGGACCTGTAGATTCCAGCGAGGGTGTTGACAGAACAAATCTGAAGGTGGAATCACTATTTGTTACATCGGAAATTTGGGAGGTGATTATTTTCACCACAGGAAAGAAGCTTCCCATAATTATCTGCTGACCAATTTGAATGAGGAGCCCAATAATCTGGTCGACCGATCATGTTCATCATAAATAGAGGGTTAAGTTCCAGAGTGTTGAAGAGCTGATTAGTATTCTCTTGAGTCAATGCGATCTGTGGCCCATAAGAAGTTCCCTCGATAGGTGTCAAGGGCACGAAGCTTAGACACAGTCAATATAAATGAAAGAAAGCTATTTGAGGGAACCTTGAATTCTTATAAGACAAGCATGCTGTGACTTGAAGGAGTATTGCTTGGTTGTTTTGTAGCAAATAGCTTGAGCAATTTAGCTGTCTAATGTCCGAAACAAGAATGGAGACAAATGACCATCTTACCCGTAAAAGCTCGCCCATTTGGGCCTCATCTAGTATTAGCCATTCTTGAAATTATTAGCATCAAGTATAAAATTATGGCCCTGAGTTGAAGCAGCACCTACCTCCTCCCAGTGAGCTAACCTTCAGGCATTCTACCCGAGTTTCAGGAGAAAAGTTATCCCTTTTCTCCAAATGTTCATGACATTGCACGGCATTGAAGACCTGCTGAAGAGACTTGAGATTATCGAGCGGGTAATGGCCCCTGTCAAGGTTGAAATCGAAGGCAAGTTCATTCACAGATAGATCTGAGGCTTCGGCATATCGGTTTACATCATTTTGCGCTCTAGAGTTCGGGCGCTTCTCCACCTCGGTATGTACAAGGGATGCCTCGAGTTTAGAGAACTTGGTCAGATGGCCAGCCTCCGCCTGGTTGAGTGGGTCTTCTTGTTCGGACATGGAAAGCTACTACACAATGCTTTAACGGTGATGTACAAGAAAAATGACGAAAATTTTAGCAACAAAAGTCGAAATGCGGCCTGAAGCAGCACCTTTTAAGATCCAAGTGGTAGTTTTTATTCAGCCCCATTTTATACACGTCAGCCTTGGCATTTACCTGATTGTCCACTTACGTGAGCCTTGCCGCCGAGGCTGATTTGAATCAAATACATAGCTTTGGAGAGCGGCGGGAAATAGAAACTAGATGTGTTCATATAAAACTGTGGAAATGAAATCTACCAGGTACTAAAAAGGCTACCCAGGTACTCTGCACAAAGGAGGCAACTGCCGCTTTACCAAGATATTATTTGAATGTGTCTCCCCCTAAAATTTGACAGTCATGAACATATAATTGGCAATCGGATACCATTTACTTCCATGTAGCTCCCCAGGCCTTTTAGTCTTAATTTGTCAATCTACTTACCTGACATTCCTAAGATTATATTGAGGCTTTGAAACCTTCCTTTCAACCCTGGGACTACAATTTGAAAAAGAGCTCAGCTAAGTTTATTATTAGCAGATTTTTGGCTATTCGTAATCACTGAAATCGAATAAAATAGTAGTTACAGCCACATGGGCAAGAGTCAAAATGGTTCTAGGATTCAGCCTCTTAGGCCCAAGAGCCGAAGTGCCTCGTGTACCCTCTCCACTTGAGCCGCTTAATGTTTCTGCCCCTCACGCTCATAATTCTTGGATTCTTGAAACTTCTCAATTCAGTAATTATTACGTTTCATGATAATCGAAATGTCGTTTAATCCAACATATGATGACATTTGCGCAAAATTTGACTTTCTGATCGCAAATGGCATCATAAATTACCAGCAAAGCCAACCCATTCTTGTTGAGGATCAGGGCATGATAGTTCGTTATCGTAATCCCCCATTTATCCCATTATTTTTCTGAGATTATATCTAGTTTTCATTTCATATGATTGAATCCCTCGGCACAAAACCTCAAGCTGGGGACGAACTGATATCAAGCGGAGTCCACTCTCAGCCTATCTTATTTGGTCCGGGTAGCGACATAGCGAAAGATCATCCCGATATCTGTATAAGCACGGTCAATGGCACACACCACCTTGCTTTTAATAAATATCCTGTTTTCCGACCAATGCTGCTGCTGCTGACACTGGATTCTTATCGTCGGCAGCATGAGCCCCTTTCTATTGATGACATAACTGCGGGGTGGAGCGTGCTTTGTGGATTGGAAGAGGAGCATTTTGTTTTCTTCAATTGTACCGTCCTTGCGGGATCAAGCAGAGCGCATAAACATCTACAAGTTGTTCCGGCACCTGGGAAGCATGAGGGTTATGATGAGCATTTTAAATTCTTTCCGGATTATGATGATGCATCGGAGAAAAGTCATCCTACTTTTCAATACTTCTTGCAAAAATTTGAAGAGTTACCTGGAAGTGGGGTAAGAAATTGTGAGCACTTAGTTGAGATCTATGAGTATTTACTGCAACAAGCGAGGCATAAGCTTCTCTTGGCAGATGATATTCCTTGTCCTCACAATTTCGTTCTTACAAAGAGATGGATGGTGGTTATTCCTAGGCGGGCCCAAGTGTCTTTTGGTCTTACGGCAAACTCTCCCGGAATGATGGGCTCAATTTATATTTGGAATCAAGCGCAGCTGGACGCATGGAAAGAAAGTGGCCCGATGAATGTTCTGATGGGATTAGGACTACCAAAGAGAGATTGATATCGAATCAAGAAATTTTGTTCATTTAGCAGAAGAATACCTAATCCCGAGGTCCCCTTATGACTTCTACCCTTGCAAGGTTTACCCAACCTTAGTTTGATGTATAAATCAAAACTACAAAAAACACAAAACGTACAATAATCAGTATTTTCATGTGGTGCTTTTGGTGGTCTGGAATTTTCGTGTCTCGGTGGTCACCTGCCGCATAGAAAAATGGACACTAGATCGAACCAGTATTCCTCAGATAAAACAGCCAGAACAGGTTGTGCTTTCTACTCCTAATTCCTCTGTGGCGCAGGCCTTCTTGTTGACGTTTGGGGACCTTTTTGGGTCCAATCTGGTCTGGTTTCTGGCATGACGGGCCCAGGATCAGCTGATCCTGGATATTGCTGACTTCCGAACTGTCGCTGCGGTGGGGTTGGCCACCCAAGAGCAACATCTAGCGGCAAAGGGCCTTTTGATTCTGTCGCTCGCTTTAGCGGGCGTAGCTAGCTAGTAGCCGATAACTGAGAACGGGGTTTTACTGCAGTAAGATGATATGGAGTTTACTGCAGTAAATAGGGAGTTGGTGAGCTTCAACGAACCACTACTCAACACCGTAGAAAATTCACCTAGTGTAGTGGATTCTATGATACTGAATATTGCGGTTGTTGTGAAGTCTGCTTTTTCATTGATGAAAGAACTAGCTACTTATAGTATATGGGTGCTCCTCTGTCCTGGACGAATGTTGACATTCGTCCGAGACAGAAGAGACGGTGAAGATGGAACATTACTGTCGCGAATGCACATCGCTTAAGGGTGTCGTTTGCGATGAATGCATATCATTCAAGGATGCCGTGATATACTAATTCTAGTTCCAGAGTCATTGCCTGGGCAGAAGCTTTTCGGCCGAAATATTTTCCGTATGTTGATGGCCTTGTTTTTCGGCTGTCGCAACAGATTCTTTTGATTCTTTTGATTCTTATAATTATCATGCTTTAATGAGTTATGAGCTTACCTCAAATGGAGAACGCGAAACCTCCCGATCTATTCCCCGTGAAGCGAAAAATGATGCTCTGAACTATGCTTTTAGGAAATATAAGCCCTTAATAAAGATCTGGAGTCGATTTGCAGTCACCAAAATATGCATTGAACTCTTGATTCATCGCCTTTTTATCAACGATGGCCGCAATCATAAGTAAGAAGGCACGAGTACAAACTGGAACACCTCTTTTGCTCTTTATTGATTCAGGTGACTGATAAGGTACCATCATTTGATATAGCTCATATCACCCCTCGAACAAATGTCTATACATTGCGTTTTGAATAGTGAAATAACTCGTTTCGATTTCTTTGGCGGTTGAAAAGTATTATGCACTAGAGAGTTGTTGTACAGTTAAAATATAACACAGTCAGTATATAATCGAAATTAGGAATAATAAATGAAGGATAACTTTATTGCTATGCATGATCTGGAGTCCGCAGGGGGATGGAGGATTCAGTCGTGGTGTACACGGTTACGAAAAGTCAATTTTATAGAAATTTCGACAACTGAGGAGTAGATAGTTTGACTCAATCTATTCTTACCTCCTGGGCTGAAACACCACAATTTTCCTACAACAATACCAGCATAATAGTGGTGTTCCTTCAGTGTGTTGGGCAAATTGCACGCTGACCAATCAGTAAAGTTGACTCCTTTTCGTTTCAACCAGATCATCTACCACCACTCCTTCAGCCGCTGGTGCCGAGCTCACGACATCCACTATCTTGTCTGTACTCACTGCTACTGTGACCGCTTGCCTATCCGGAGCTCGCGACTGTCCAGCATCCGCTAAGTCGACTTTTGTGACCACTGAGACAATGAAAGCTTCAAACACCGCCTTTATAGTGGCTGAGGGCAAACCGAGCTCGGTCATCACACTATTGTCTGCGCTTCCAACTATCGCAGCGAGTAGTTCTAGTGCGGTAGAACCCACAGATGTCACAAAGGAAGCTGTGGTTGGACAAAGCACCTACATTTACTCTGAAACTGCATCCGCCGAATCAAGTGTGCCTACTTCTTCGACCAACGTCGATAAGGGAGCAATTAGCCAAGGAATCTCTACGCCTGTTCTCTCGACTCTGATTGCTTCTTCTTCTAGTGTCTCTACACAGTCTACTAGCACCAGTTCCATTGCTCCTTTGTAGTCTGTTAGCGCTGTGCTTACTGGACCTGCCACTCTCATTCAGATGCTTGTCATATCTGTCCTGAGCAGTCTTATTATACTTCTCTAGTTAATTCATCTTGTATCATTTAAAGTCTTAATAAAGAATACTTTACAGCAACCCCAACATCTAAGGCATTCAAAAGACTGCAGATTAGTAGTTAAATAAGACCAGAGCCACAGTAATGAATAATCTCATTAGTCTACGATGATTCTTCGGCAAGTTGACGTCGCGCTAAGCCTCAACTCTCTTGCAATCTATGTAGACTTTGGAAGTATGCGTGCAATTCCCTTCTGGGCAGTGTCAAGACTCTTTCGTATCTAGGTACCTATGCATACTATATGTTAACCATGCTATGCAAAAATACAATCGCGAATATTCATACGGTAAATGCTTGAAGCGGGGGCTAGACAAGTCGTGCATTTATCAAGCCATCATAGTCCTCAGCAAGCAACCACTCTTCAACATCGACTTTTTATTGATTGTCTCTATTGCCAAACTAGATCAAACTTATAGCTCGGCATAGCCAGAGGTTTCTCCTTTCTAAATATTACGTTGAGGCAGTTCAAAAGTGGTGTATTTAATCTGCATGGTACGCGAAACAAGTGCGGAAGCCCTGACTATAAAAGCCATCGGTTGCCACTGATCCATAACTTGATATAAACCTTGTAAAGGCTTCAAATTTTGAGATCGAACAGCCGCGTATATTCATCATCTTATTGAGCGTTTAAAAACACTTACAATGGTGCAGAAAAATATAGTTATGGTGTGGTACGCGTTGCTTCCTAGTTTTGTCTGAGTATCTACTAATTCTTGCTTAGTGCTGGAGTTGCCGGGTTAACTACGGCGATACCTTTGTCCAAGGACCCTAAATACAATGTTTTTGTAGCTGCAAAGCACATGCCCGGCGACTACGATATCGAATATGCTTCCTCATGGGCTTGAGCAAACTATATACCGTAAGCTTAACCTCTTCAGAGCTCAGCCCAGCACAGTGTTTGACCAATTACGACTCTCTAGTGTTTCCCACACCGGTACTGTCTCTGCCAAATGGGATAAAAATACTTGGGGCCCGCTTGAAGAGCTTGGCCCTGACTTTTAACCATGGAACTTGCTTCAAGTTTGTCTGCATCAACATGACCATCTACCTCCCTTGACTCGTTTCACATTGTTTGAAGCGCGGAGTGGTCTTTAAACGCGCCGTATTTCAGCACATCTTTGACGCCACAAAAGCTGGCGTCCACCCATCCGACAACGTCCATCTTGTCATCAACCGCACTGGTATCATGGCAAGCAAAATCGGCGGTGTCTAAGATAAAACTGTCTTGCCTGCTCGAGGACAGATTGTCATCATTCGTAACGATGCTGGAAAGATGATGGCTATCTCGGGAACCGGTGATGGAGACGAAGAAGCTTGCTACGTAATGACAAGAGTGGCTGGCGGTGGCACAATCCCGAGCGGATACTACCAGAAGGGCAACTGGAATAGACAGGTCGACTCCAATCTCACAGTCCGGATCATGAGGAGGGTGGTCAAGCTTTGTCCCGCGTTGACAGACGGGACAAGCATTGAGCACCTGGATATCGTTTGACACGGCATTGGTTTGCGACTAGTGAGAAAAGTTGGAACCAGAATCGAAAAGAAACGAATTGGAGGCCCGATTGTAGTGCACAACTAAGGTGCTGGCAGAGCCGGATACCAAAACTCTGATGGATGTGCACTAGCAGCAGTGAAGCTGATTGAGGAGGCTGTGGCTTCGCAATCGAAACTGTAATTAGACCCCATCCTGTACTGAATGTTCAATTCTCTGCTTGCACTAACCTGAAAGTTTTCTTCGTGTATATTATCGACGTTGGAAATTTGGCAATAAGTCATAAAGCTCATCTTATAGATTTACTAGCCTCATGCACGATTCAAGGCTTGAGATTTGAGGTTAATTTATTTAATGTCGTTTCCTGACGCTCCAGTTTCATCCACATATTAGGGAACCAGCTCTCACCACGCTCAATGTAATACTCGACGCAGATCGTAAGTTGTCAGCTCAAAAATAAGCAAGAGATACCAGTCTCTCTCGGGAATTTCCCGTGAGGATAATAGGTAGCAGTGTTGAAAATAGAAAGTGGGAGATATTAATCGGAATCGGTTGGCGTCTTGACTGCCTCTCAACCCTATCTCATTCTAATTGCATGTTCCGGATTCAATTTTAGAATCTTTTTCCCTTTGTCTTCCTGGATCGTGTTGTTTCAACGTAGTTAACCTAGTTAAATATTAAAAGTTCGTCAAAGTAAATCCCATACGAACGGGACACCCCACCGAATTTACGCGTCAGTCTCGTGTCTCTTATTTTCAACTACCCACCATGCCTCCAAAAATAGCTCCTATCATTCAAGATAAATAGGAACAGGAGAGGAATGTCTTTTTAGCTTTACAAGCTCTAAAGAATGGTCAAATATTGTCAATACGCCAAGCTGCAGCTATATTTAATATACCTAAATCGACTCTCCATCGCCGCCAATCTGGTGTTCAATCTTGGCTTGAAATACGCGCAAACAACCATAAATTGACTGAATCTAAAGAGGATTTATTGATTCAATGGGTCGTCTCTCTAGACGATCGCGGATGTGCTCCTAGGACTAAAGATGTTGGTAGAATGGCCAATATTCTGCTCGCCGACCCCCCCCCCCCCCCCTCTTATCGGACGAAACTGGGTCACCAACTTTACTACACGTTTACCTGAAATTCAAACTACCTATTCAAAACCACACGATTGGCAACGTGCGTGCCAGGAGGACTATGACGTGATAAATAACTGGTTCAAACTGGTTGAAAACACGATATCTATAATTTTGACGAGACAGGATTCGCGATGGGACGATATGCGACCGCAAAGGTGGTTACTAGAGCTGGATATTATGGTAGTAGAGCTCAAAACAGCCTGGAAACCGCGGATGGGTTACTGTTATTGAGTGTTTAGGCGCGTCTGGTTACACGCCTCCACCTTGTATCATCCTTAAAGGAAAGGTGATGATGCAGAGCTGGTTTGCTCCTGACCTTGGTTTACCATCTAATTGGTGAATCGAGATAAGCCCAAATGGCTGGGCATCAGATCAAATAGGGCTCCGATGGCTTGAAAAGCTCTTTATACCTGCTACTGCGCGTACTAAAGGACGGTATCGACTCCTGATCCTAGATGGTCATGGTAGCCATTTAAGCCCTGATTTCGACCGGATATGCGAAAAACATGATATTATACCACTTTGTATGCCTGCACATGCTTCACACCTTCTATAATCTCTTGATGTTGGGTGTTTTGCGGTGTTGAAACACTCTTATACTCGGCTGGTTGAGTCTAGAGTAGAGCTTGGCTTCAGCCACATCAATAAGGGAGATTTCCTAGAGATATACCCTACCGCGCGTGTTGAAGCTCTTCAATCTGCATCTAAAGTGCTCGCCGCGACCGGAATCGTGCCACTTGACCCTAGTAGAGTGCTTAAAAAGCTTACTATGCGCGTCCTAACACCACCACCACCACCTTCTAGGGGGAGTGATTCAAGCCGAAATTGGACACCAAGAACCCCTAAAACACAAAAAGATTTACGGCTTCAACATAAAGCTTTACTCCGTATAGTATTTCGAACACCACCATCGCCATCTAGGAGAGCATTAGACCAGATAATAGAGGGTGCAAATACCCTATATCAGGAGAATTCTCTTCTACTCCAGGAAAATAGGGATTTACGCGCCGCGCATGAGAAAAAAAGAAGCCAAAAGCACGTCCAAATCGACAAATGGCAGTAGTAGAGGGAGTTCCAATTCAGGAGGGAATGGACCTATTTGACGCGTCAAATACTGCTCCTAAACCTAATGATGCCAATTTACCATCAGAGGATCAGGCGCCTTTATAGGCGCCTCCAGCCCAACGCTGATGTGGAATATGCAGGAATCCTGGCCGTAGGGAAACCTGTCCTGACCGACCGATTCAATAGTTTTTTTGGTACTATTATATAGTATTCAATGGAGTTATTGGGATTCAAATATAGAAGTGGGTCTGGTTGTCCCGTTCGCCTATGTGTCCCGTTCGTATGGGATTTACTTTAACTAACGTGAATCCCGGTTGTTCCGTCATCCTGGTTGTTCCGTCACCCCATCAAAATTTCATAAAATTATAAATTTTTAACCCCAGATTTAAGAACAAAAATATAATAAATTTGACTAAATAACACGATTCTGACACTGATTGATCTTATACCCTATCTTACAACACCCAGAGCAGGTTGGCTGGCGTCTAGTTTTAGGCATTATAGGCAAATTAGTTTCAGTGGACATATTCTGAGCAGCTTCACCATCAGATATATATGTCACTTCATGACCATTCCTACCATCAACATCATTCTGAATCTCTCCTAAACCCCCTAAACTACCCTTGTGAACAGCCTGCTTCTTACTAGCTCCCCTTTTTCCACCTGTTTTTTATTCATCTTTTCTAAATGGCCACAGCGATCATCTAAAAAAATATGACGATGAACTGTTCGCATTGTGCGATCGTAATGGGTTTGAATAGCCCTTTTAGTAGGTGATGGAATCAAATCAAGTGCCGATTCTAGACCTAAATCAATACGAGATTTCGATTTTGCCAGTTTTTCAAGCGTTCAAAGAGAGCTGGAATCGCTATCACTGCTTGATGATGATGGTCGATCTGATATCAAAGGAAGTGGAGGTAAAGAATCAAGTTGAATATTCAACTTATCTAATACCTCATTTGGATTTAAAGGTACTATACCAGTAGCTTTAAAGTTATTGGTTATAGTAGTCGCTTTAAAAGCTCCAGATCGCGCATTAGGGAAGATATCAAGGAAGTCATCTTTATCGATCGAATTGGCACCAAATCGCATCCAATCTGATACCGCAGCGCTATAAAGCTTCTTTAAAGGCGAAAAACAGCCCACATCTAGAGGCTATAAAAGATGTGAAGCATGCGGTGGCATACAAAGAGCGATAACATCGTTTTCTTTACAGATATGATCAAATTCAGGGGTAAGATGGCTACCATGACCATCTAATATCAAAAGGCAAAATTTACCCCTTCGATTCCTAATATTAGGAATAAAGTGTAACTTTAGCCAGTCGATACTAATCTCATCTCTAGTCCACCCATTTGGACTAATATTGATTCGCCATTCACCCCCTTTAGGGAGCTTATTGAACCATCGCACCAAAAAAACCTTCCCTTTAAAGATGATGTAGGGTGGAAGGGCTTCTCCAGAAGACCTTATAGTTTCAATAACAGTGACCCATTCACGATTCCTAGGCTGTAAAACAGCTCTCCGTCCATGATATTCAGAAGATGTAATAATGGTTTGGGTTATATTAACTCCCATCGCGAAGCCAGATTCATCAAAGTTGAAGATGTCGTTCGAATCTATACCATATTCTTGAATGGTGTTTTGAACCAGTTTAAATCATGGTACAATAATTCGAGGGCCTTCAGCTTTAGCTCTCTTATAATTATATTTCTGAGAGAGGCGAGAAGTCAGGTTTTCGCGACGTTTGACAAAGCCTGTTACCCAGTTTTTGGTAACAGAAAGGGGGGTATCGGAGGTGGTTGAAAAACGCGACCGGAGTAAAAGATTGGCCATATCTCTTAACATAGCGGGAGTAAGAGCTGCACCTCTCTTATCTATAGAGACTAGCCAATTCTCCATCGATTCCTCTTCAATTTCAGAAAATCTATGACGAGAATGACGCTTCTCAGCCCAATTTTCAACACCCTTCATTCGATCAATCAAAGTTGTTCTTGGGACATTAAATGAGCGTGCAGCAGCTGCGATAGAAGGGTATCGACCATCTTTTATAGCCTGAATAGCTAACAAGATAAAGCCCTCCTGATCAATAGATTTCTGTCGTTTTTTAGAGCGAATTGGTGGCATAGTTGGTATTTGAAAACAATGGGTTACTATAGAGATGAATATTTTGGTAGGGTGACGGAACAACCAGGATGACGGAACAACCGGGATTCACGTTAACTAACTACGGCGTAGTTATTTAGTTAAAAACTTACTTGTAAGTCAGCGAGAAATGTTATGTAAGGCTTCCTCATACGATACTTCTGCTCTGCTTAAAAAACGAAGATAAAGCAGATAAATCAGGTAAGACTAAGATTCGTAGCTGATAGCTCGAATATGTCTGATATGGTTGATGAACCCGTGGTCCGTGGACTGCTTGCTTATTCCCAAATACGAGGTGCAGCTCCAGAAGTCCATCTCAAACTTTTGAAATCTATTCACCGCTCATGTTAAAGAAAAAGAGATTGTGATCAACAATACCCTTGCTAGCTACCTGAATAAGACAAAGCTCGATACCTAGGTAGATTCAAGGCCATAATAAATTGCTCATGTTTCACAACCAATACATCGTCTCTGCATGCATGAAAAGTGTAATAATGCAGGTGCCGGCATGCATTTGTAAGACCTGTCCACTCTCTGTATTTAGCTAATGCATACCTAGGTAACATGTAAAAAGCCCTGACTTACATAGGTTATGAAGGTTAAAACAGAGCTGATTCCTATCATTTCGTGGGTCTCCAATTAGAATTTCCACCTAAATCAAGCTTTCATCGTTGCCAAGGCGCGGGAGACAAATCAATTATGGCAATTTCATCTACAATCCTCTCATGTCTCCACAACATCTGTTGCTAATGTTCTGTGTGCAATTCTAGCATTTACAGCATTGAAAGTTCTTTGGAAAATATTTTATAACCTCTATTTTCACCCTCTCAGCAAATTTCCTGGTCCTAAATTCGCAGCCATGACGTTTCTCTATGAGTACTACTTTGATCTCATCAGAAATGGCACTTACATATGGGAAATTGAAAAGATGCATGCCAAGTATGGTAGGCATATCTAATTATTCATTGAAGCTTAACTTCTGATTCCAGTATAAAACAGGTCCTATCGTGCGTTTCAATCCTAACGAACTACATATTAAGGACTCTTCGTTTCACGATGAGATATACTCCTCGGGTCTTCGAAAGACCGATAGAGACCCGAACCAGACAGCTGGATTTGCCTCTCCAGGGTCGTTGATCAGCACTGTTCACCATGACCGTCACCGATTACGTCGTGGGCTGATAAACAACTTTTTCTCCAAGCGAGCTGTGGTGGCCTTAGAGCCTTCTATCCTAGATCAGATTTCGATTTTGATGACACGATTTGAGGAAGCAAAGAAGAAAAACACTGTTGTTTGCCTAAATGGTGTATTTGCTGCGCTCACAGCTGACGTTATTTCCGAGTACTCGTTTGATATGAGCTTTGACTTTCTTAAAAGTGAGGCGGATACAAATGACCTACAGCAAGCGGTTGAGGGCTCGTCAAAGATGTATCATGTTTTGCGAATTCTTCCGTTACTTCATCGCTTTATCGCTGATATCCCGCTATGGTTGATGAAAATGTTGTTCCCAGAAGGGGCTAAGCTTCTCGAAGTACAGCAGTCCATTCGGAAACAGTGTGTCGAGTGCTTGAAGGACTCATCTGCTGCCAAGGGCACTACTGAATCTATCTTCAGCACTCTGGCAGATCCTTCAACCCCCGCAGAGGAAAGAACAGCTGATCGATTGACTAATGAAGCGTGGGTTGTTTTAGCTGCGGGAATGGAGACCACAGCACGGACGCTGTCAGTTGGGATGTTTCACCTACTTAACAATAAGGTCATGATGCTGAAACTCCGTGAAGAGCTCAAAAAAGTTATGCCCAAACCGACAAGCCATATAACCTGGTCTCAGATTGAGCATCTCCCATTCTTGGTGAGTCGTTTTCGTTACAGTCGTTTAGTCTCTCTTTATCAAACTGACACTGACTGTTATGTAGAATGGTGTAGTACATGAAGCCTTAAGACTTTCATACGGAGTTGTATTTAGATCAGCTCGAATTGCCCCAACGGAAGCCATAGTCTACCACGATCGCGTCATTCCTGCAGGAGTAAGACCTACCATATCCATTTATGCAAAATCTCTGACTACACACCTAGATTTCAATGCTAATGATGATCAAATTTAGACTCCAGTCAGCCAGTCCGCTTATTTTGTTCTCACGGACCCCAAGGTTTTTCCAGCTCCTTTTGAATTTCAACCAGAACGGTGGATAGAGGCCGAGTCGCAGGGAAAATCTCTAAGTCGATTCTTTGTGACTTTCGGCAAGGGAACCCGACAATGCCTGGGCATGAAGTGAGTCATTCTAATGATGATGCGCTATTATTTGAAGGTCTTGTTATTAACTGCTTTGTGACTTCATAGTCTAGCGAACTGCGAATTGTATTTGACCATTGCACACATAGCCCGTCGATTTGATATGGAGCTTTATGAGACAGGGCCAGAGTGTATCGAGGTCAAGCGTGATCATTTACTCGGATATCCGAAAGCAGATGGGGCAAAGGTTATGGCTAAAGTTATTGGGATTGTAGAGTCGTAAGCTGCCTGAGCATAATCTCGACCTGGTCAGTACCAGAAAGAAGTACCTTCATGTTGCGCTAAGAGGCTCGGAACAAACAATTTCAGTGACATTAATAAATTAGGGAGCAAGAAGGAAATCTTGGGTAAAAGGATCTTTGATAGAGTCCGTACGTTTCCACACCTTCTTTGTACCAAATGAAGTATCTTTGAGACTATGGGACCATGGTTAGGGTATTCCTAACTAAAAGCGGGTAACTCAAGCTCTCAGATAAAGACAGCTAATCGTACTTTCCTAAGGTTGTGAATTGATCTGAATTATCTATTGACAAGCTAAAACGTTTTTTACAATCTTCACTATGCGAATGGTTACTTCAGTCTAGTGCAAACTTGAATAAAATTGTTCGAAATTCTAGAACAAGCGCACACAGGCACAAAGTCTGAGGTTGATAATTCAAGTTGAACGTTGAATAACTATACACCAGCCTCATTCGAGTGAATTTAGATTCACTACCTAAAATTGCTCAATGTTGATTTGTTGAACATCTATTCTTCATCAAAAACTACAACAAAACAAAATTTGAAGTGTATTCTTGCGGCCTTTTCTGGTGTCAAAGGAGGCTCTGTGAGCCCCACAACCATAAGAACCAAATAGGTGACTTACGCATGCTACAGGCATCAGCTTCCATAACCCTTAATCCAATGCTTGTATACATTTAAATTCTGGTCTGCCGTTCCCTGACCAGCCCCAGAGATAATTTTTTACTAACTACGGCCTCGAGTCCATCCATATAATGTGGGAAGTTGGAAATGAACAGAATGGGACTGGAAATCTACTTGGGTACATATCTAGGCAGTGCTATGCATCGATGAGCGAAATAGTCTTAATAGCTCGCTTTATCCAGGTAGTTATTTGAGAACCCGTCACCTAGGTATCAGACCTGTATTCATTAAACAAGCTTTTATCCGGTGCGAAGCTTCGACAGTCGCGTCGATAACAGCAAGCACACTCATTCGTGCAGTGCGAGTACAAGAATACAGCTGGCCTCTCCTTCGGGACATTCCTGAAGGAGCGGATTTTCTCGCAGCATCCACAGCCAAAGGCACAGCAACCTCCCCGGGCTCTGCATGCGAGTGATTCATCACGCCGTTTGTGTATAGGGGGTTTTCTTTCGTCTTCTCGGACCCATGCACCGCCAGGGTACTTCAAGGTATGACTCTTGATATCCCACCATTTCCCTTGAAGTTTTGTTGACAAGCTCTTCAATTCCTGTTGGAGTTTCCAGATCGCTACCTCTGGTGCCCGAGGCAGATCGCCTTCCCCTTCTTGGTATCTTTCAATTAATCCAGATATGTAGACCTCTCGCTGTACTAGTGTAGTCGACTCAGTCACCAACTTCCTCATGCCCTGGAGATAGAACATCTGCAAACTCATATCATCCTTTGAAGTCTGGAACTTGGCTATCAAGCTTGCGATGGTGAGGAGACCTTTCTGATTCGAAGATTGGAACCAATATTCTAAAATTTGCCACACATCGGCTCCTGAGTAAGAAAAAGCGATTGTGAGGCCGTGTAAAAGGACGAAAGATAACAAAAATAGCAGTGCAATCAGGATGCAGATGAGGACAATACAGAGAATGAGAGAGAGAATGGTTATCGATAGCAAGCGGAGGACATCTAACATAGTGCGCATCAGAGATATCGGATCCATTGTGTATCAACGTGATAGAATGGCGGTGACTGGAAGAAAGGTCAACGGTTTAATATTGAGATGAAGGAGAGATCAGAGATGGTCAGGAACACCCGTAATTAGAGATGCTTAAAAAACATCTGCTCGGGAACCTCGACTCAGCCCCCTCCTGTACGTGGATTCTGGCTCACGTGAATAAGAGCCTCTTCATTCAAATCAATAAAACATCCATCATTTCAAGAGTCCAAATCATCTGTTTTATATGCTTGCATTTGAATCTCGGGAATTGGAATGGACGGTCCATCGACGTCCATACGAAGAACGAAGTCTTCTATAATTATAAATTTTATCGAGTTTACTGTTGACGTGCCAAGACACGGCACGTCAGCTTGAGCCTCTGTATCTATCTTCTATCCGGCTGTGCCGATTTAGCGTATAACAAAGTGGAGTTAGATATGGAAAGCTCGCATCAGACGAAGCATACAAAACACCATGGACACCATCCAGAGGTCATGATATTTCCGTGGCATCAACGTTCGCATATCAACATCTCACAAGGCTAAGCCAAGTCTGGCATCATATTCACATTCTGTAGAATTCAATGAACAGTTTGGATATGGTGACGCGACGCCAAAGCAGCACTAGGATGTTAGCCGTAGCTCTATATATCACCTTCCCGAATGGTTTTTCACATACGACCACAGGGTGTGGAGAACAGGGCTTCCCGTCCGCTCAGCCGTACTTAAGCCACACGCCGGTCAGTTAGTAGTATGGTGGGTGACCACATGCGAATCCTGACTGTTGTATGTTTCTGTTTTTGTGTTTTTCACACTAAGCATTTTTTAAGACTACTCTAGAGGTAATCAAGGTTGTCCAACGTTCGCATCCCCACCACTTATATCCATCCACTCATGCCAATAAACTAAGGCTACTTGGCATCAAGAATGTAGGAGAAGTGAAGTGACGTGGAATAGATAGAGTGAGGTAAAAGTGAATGGAGAACAAGAGGGTTTTAATCTAACCTAGTTATTGTATACCTGTATACCTTTGTGGTTTATGATAGAATGCAAAGCATCTCAGAGCAAATAAGATCTTTCACATTGACTTCTGCCTTCGTTCTCATTCCTAGCTTCCTGTATAGATAGGTCATCCTATCTAGGATGATAGACGGATTTTTTGGAATTTCAAGCACAAAAAATAAGATAGTGAGAATCCTCATGCCCGAGAGACGAGAGATTTTACGTAGCATCACCTTTCGATTTCCAGTTCCTGAATTTCGTTCTTCTATCTGGACTACTCCAGAGTAGTCATCTTACCTTTCTGGCTCCCTGAATTTCTATCCACTCCTTGTGTAGATCCTGAGCCTGCAGTCCGACGCGCCAGAACAGCCTGAGCCAACTGAAGAGACCGGTACACCCATTACTCCGACACAACCACCGCCGCCCTTCGAAAACCATAAACCCTGGAAGGTGACATAGCTGTGTACAGAGCTAAAGAAGAGGCTTATTCTCTTCTTTCCATTATGCCGAAAGGCAGAACTCGTTGCGGCTCTCGAAGCGGACGACGCAGCTCTGCTACAGTAAGAAGCACGGGACTTTTATATCCTTACGAAGCATACCTTATCACTATTACGATTATATAACAGCATCACTACAAAATTACTCGGCGATAGAGCTTCATTTCACATTTTATTAATCCCCAAGCATCAAATAACTCAACATTATCACCACTACTTGTTTATCCTATAAGCGCGCTTTTAATTTCACTTTACTCAAACCTCACTTCACTCTGAGCGATCTCGAGGGCGAGGTCGTTTTCTTTTGTTCCAGGCATATATTAGGGTCAGGTGACCCAGGCTAGCGGGATAGTCCCATAGTGATAATGCATCATCTTTCACCACTCAACCTCTCAGCTTAACACCTCTGCTTCCATGTCAGAAATCATCGACGCGATGTTCCGTCGTGAGACTATTCGGGTAAACGACACCCGTACCGCCTTTGGTAATAAGCAAGGCCTCCACCGTTTCAAATTCTTAAGTTATCAAACCAGAAAAGCAGGATACATGGCTTCACGAGTGGCTTCGGCTGCTGCAAAAGGCCAATAAGAGGAACATGTATGCTTGGCCGCGTGATCATAAAGAAGGCACTGGGTCTTTCTTTTTAGCTGACCATGTCTGGATTTGGAATGCAGTGTCGGCAATTACCAAACTGTTTCCCCAGGAAAGTAATCGAGGGACGAACAGAACAAATCACAAGCGACGGAGTACTTTCCTGACAAGCATATCGGTGATAAATGCCGAGACAGCGAGAAAACAAATTTTGAAACGATTTACAACTTCTCATCGCGCGCCTTTGAATGAAAAAATGCTTGCTGTCAGGAGATCTGTTCGAGAGAGTCACTTCGACTTTCAATCATACGATACTGCCCTGTTTTATGGATTCCAATATTCCGATGGGCCTTTCTTAAGTCCCCAGGATTTGCGTTGGAAGGGCCTCACCAAAGCCCAGAGCCACTACGTAACAGAAGAGCAGAATCAATTCGACAACCCATCGAAAGACTGCATGATGCTCCTGATGGCTGATTACGGGGTGAACAATGAAATTGAAGGGATTTTTCAACAAGCGAGGACAGACTTCTTGGATCATTTCCTTTGCAATGGCCTCTGCCGCAGCTTTCCAAGCGAATATGATGCCCCAATTGACTCTCCTTCCCGTGACTATTTCCTACATGCCTTTTTCGAAGCTCAATACGTTCTTTGGATTTTATTTTTCAAATCTAAACCTGGAAAGGCTGACCTGGACAATTCTACGAAGCCTTCTCCCGAAGATCTTAACCCGGTAGTCGAATTCAATCCAGATCTTGACAAAAACATTATTTTTGAGCCTTCAGAGGAGTGGCTATACAACTATCCAGGTTTCCTTGACCAGAAGCCAGACATTGATCACGTAAATGATACAGCCCAAAACTGGTTATCCGATAAAGGGTGGCCTGATGCGAATAATCCTTCTATCAATATTTCAAGAAACAACTTGATGATCGATATACCCAGAAAGCAACCATCCCACTTCTCTTCTTTCCCAGAATCATTCGAGATCCTAAAATAGGAACGCAAGGCTAAAAAGCGACTGTTATGGTTTGCCCGTCCGGATGTAGGGATTGTGCGGCCAGCACTCCTCGCATCTCCTGGTCAGGAGCTAATTCAAATGCGTTCGTTTCTGGATCGTCACGCATCACACAGTTTATTCCTCGAAAACAAGGCCGTGCGAATCCGCAATGTCTGGGAAACGGAATTTCACTGTAGCTTTTTGCAACTTATTCGAAGGAAAAGAAGTGATTCAAGCGAATATTCCGCACATAACCACTCTTTGAATTTTGGCAAATGGAATCCTGATTCTGGCCAGTGGGACAAAAATGATGCCCACGAATCAATAGAAGACATCCTTAAAAAGCAATGTCCATTGGTCACCCCACGAGCTGTCCATGGATGGAAAGATGTTGCACTTGTTCACGGTTCTGCTAGTTTCCGTTTTGTTGGTGACTTTTTTGATCGGTACTGGACATGCCACTTTCTGGAAAGTTATCCCGCTGTGGAAAGCAAGATACAAACATCCATCAATGAGGACGATCCTTGCTCTTTTCTCTCTTGGGAAACGATAGACTCTCGGATCAAAAAGGGTCAAAAAAGGGTCAAGTGGAATATGGGGATCTTTTGAGTAGTGTATTCGAGGAAGGATCAAACAAGGCACAGTTTCCACAAAAGGTACAGTTAGTTCCCAGGCTATGAAACTGATGTTCAGTGCTCTAATATCAACAGGTATGGCAGCAGCGAAGAGTTCTCGAGGGCTTGATATTCTCCAAGATAGTTACCGTGATCAACCAAAGCACTTCGATCATTCACGCTGAAGTTGTGAGTCAACTGGGACAGAAGGACATGAAGAATATTACTTCTGAGGGCATTTTCGAGTCGAATGAGATCTGGTCTTCGATGAATGAAGCCATAGAAACCCTGAAAGAAGATCTAAGACAGATTAGCAAGCATATTGAGGACTGGAAAGTGCGAGAAGAGCTTTTGAAAAACGAGAGACCGAGATGGACACGGAATAATAAGTATCGATTTCGCGACATAATCAATCGAGTTCACCTTCTGCAAGATGTTGTCGAACGCAACTTCAAGGCAACTGAGGCTGATATCCGGAAGGTCTCTCAAATACTGAAACTGCGACAGGAGACTCAGAAGGCGAAGTATGACCAGAAAATGACAGACCTCTCTTTCCGTCAAAATAACCACGTCGCATTGTTTACCTATTCTACTGTCTTCTTCCTTCCATTAGGCTTTGCAACAAGCTTTTTCAGTATGCAAGCGGCACCTTCGTTCTACCTAATGAGACAAATGGTCTTTTGTTTCCTTGCAGTTCTGGGTATTCTGATTGCTGTTGCTGCAATTGCTTTCATACTGCTTGTAGAAGAAGGACGTCGAGGAGCTCTAAGCGCTTACAATAAACTTCTAGATTTGTTAAGTCGCAAAAAACTGCCGGATGAAGAGAATTCATCAAATCAACCAAGAATGAAATCAGGTCAGTTGAAGCGTAACAAGAGCAATATAAAAAGAAATCAACTAATAAATTGACAGATTCGAATATATCTCAAACGATGCTTTAGAAGTTAGATCACTTAGTTTTTGTTTATGAACATCTTTCGGGTTGATTTTCCCCCTGTGTTACGGACCTAGCGAATAGATGTACGCTAGCAGGGGTTGTCTACGCAAAAGAAACCCAATAAACTTGGGATCACGTTATAGGATGGTCAAGACCATGAGGGGTTACGTGAGACGTTCATAATGTCAATGGTTAGAATACCGCCTACCATTTGTAGCTTAGCTTGTTGCATACTGCCCATTTATTACTGCCGGATTGATGCCTTACGCACTTTCCAACTAACAACAATACTCTCGTCTTTACCATTCCAGACCGCTTTCCGTATTCAATTGACACACTTGCCGCATCACATGGATTTATAACTATGTCAATTGAATACGGGAAGCGGTCTGGAATGGTAAAGACGAGAGTATTGTTGTTAGTTGGAAAGTGCGTAAGGCATCAATCCGGCAGTAATAAATGGGCAGTATGCAGTAAGCTAAGCTACAAATGGTAGGCGGTATTCTAACCATTGACAAATCCACTAGGTCATGTGAGTGACCGCCCTATTACTAATACTAGCAAACTGGCATTCTGCCACATCCTATACAAACAAACCATACTAACCAAACCAAGCAAACAGTCTTGTCGAATCCATTACTGTCAAGGGAATGGCGGTTTAGGCTCGATTCGGACTAGTTTGATATGGTTTGGTCTGTTTGCATGACCCGCTTTACGGTGTGTATTTAAACCAGATTACGTCCTAGTTAGGAAATTCAGTTTCATTCATTTGTGGCATTTGAATGATTGGCCAGTCTGAACCAGTCGATTTGACAATTACCATTCTCATTCGACTCATTCAGATAACATCCAAAGAGGCAACTGATTCAATTCCGAAAAAACCTTTACTGTATGAGGAGCTGGCTTGTAAAGCTTCTCGAGCGGCCAGAGGATTGCAAACAATTAGATTCTGTCAATTTCAATACTTGGAAATACGTTAATTTTTGAAGTGTAAAATAAAAAATTCATGATATATGGGATCAAAAGAAATTTTCATTCTATATGAGGCAAAGTTCTTACGAAACCCATGAAGTAGACTACCTAGGTACTTTCTCAGGTCTATCGAAAGCGTCGGTCTTACTTGGATCTAAAGTGGATGTATATCTGAATATCCCTTTAATAAATAGCTATCACAGCAAACCTTCACGCTTGGGTATAAAAAAGAATAAAAAAATGAAACGAGAATGAAAAAAGCAAAAGATGAGTACAGAAGCAGAAGAGAGCCAAAAATAGCGAAGAAAGAACAAAGAAAAGCAAAGAAAAGCAAAAAAGAGGTATGAGAGGGAAGGGACTAGCAATTCCAATTGATGAGAACAGCTTGGACCTGAGAGTTTGAGAACAAGATATCTTTCTCTTGTCTCGCCTTTCGAGGTGGGCGATTGAACAAAGCTTCAAAATTGAAGCTTAATTGTCCCGATGTTGCGAGCCGGGTACCTTGACCACCTGGTCTCCAGGCGTGAACTTCTTGCAGACAAATTGGCTGTTGCTGGATGAGGGGTGTCGGAGTCATTGGCGGGAGCGCATTCATGCGCTTTAAAAGGTCAATATCTCCTAAGGAGAGGGGAACAGGTGAATTGGCTGGCGCAAGTTGCCAGAGAAAAAAGCTGACTTTCGCACTAGTGATGTTGATAAGAAGCACAAAACGTGTCTCACCCCCAGAATTGTTGAACCACCATACTGCGTCTCTCTCGAGCTGGGATAGGGACTCCGACATGCCGGTCTCGATGACAAATGTAGGCCATCCAGACTCGTTCATGTTGCCTCCTCTGCGAGATTCGGGCACAAGTCCATTGTCTGGTTGTTTTCCCTTGTTCGGCGTTGGTTTATAGGTTCCTGTACCAATCCAGTCGTATTGAATCGGGTCAATGCCCATAATGGTACTGGTATATGTGATTTGACCACAGGTTCGACTTGTCGCTAGCTCATGGGAAAAGCTAGGGATCATCAAAAGTCCAGTACTGCCGTCCCATTCAAGTTTGTATGAAATTCCAAGGCAACGGGGTTCTTCATTAAGACGCTGAATCATACGCGGTGTAAGTCCGAGGACTAGCAAGTATTGATTTGTTCCTCCTTCCATGAGACTGGTATATATCTCGTGGATTGCGGATTGGAGGCGATGGGGCTGTGTGAAGGTATGTACGACGTATCCGACCGGTAGACAGGTCATAATTCCTGAACTGGTGGTATTTGGAGAAGTCATGGTAGCTCCTCTGCCCACAAAGGCCAGAGACAGCTGCGAAAAGCTGTCAGCAATGCACGCCATTCTTAATGGCAAGAAAAATTTCGCGAACTAAGGAAGAGGAAAAGGGGATTTGAACGGAGGGAGATGACATACTTGAATGATACTTTTCTAAACAGCAGGTGCGCTTTTTTTTTCTAAGTGGCAGGAGCGAAGAAATTGAAATTTACTTTTGATGCTTCCATTCTCGACCTTAACCTAAACTAGCGGTCTCCACTTATTTAATAAATAAAACTAATATAAACACTAGTCCATATTAGGTTAGCTTATCTAATTGTCGCCCGCGGCAGATCCGCTCACCCCACTCTTCCCCACTCGCTTCATACCAAGCAGAGAACAACAACAGTTGAAGCTGTCATTCGAAACTTCCTAATGGGGTAGTCCCTTTAGCGAAGCACTTCTGCGCTTTTTTCGCTTAACCGCGTCTCTTATTTTTCTTACTCTCTCGCCAGGTCCCCCTTGTTCAACCCTCAATATCCACATTGACTCCGTTATGCCTAGTTCCTCGAGAACACCTGTTTCCTTTTCTCCTAGAAATGTTCAAATCTTTAACGGCATTACTCGAGAGCACCTTGGCGGTGTGCTCTAATCAGGCTTAATCACGAATAATAACTTCTTCTCTATGCTCGAAATCCTACTCTTCACGAGTGTACCCATCACAGTCAAATCAAAAATAACAGGGCAAAATCTTCAACATGATAGCCATTGCCTTAGTCTTGATGATTACGACGTTTATATGGTACCCATCACTGAAACCATAGTGGTGAATAACGAGCCTATCTTCCAAAGAATCCTTTCACATAATAAGACTAGTAGAGAGGAATCTTTCCCAGAGGATATACGTCTCCGTGATGAAGCATGTTGCCTTTCTGGCCTTTAAGTAGCACTCTAGCAGTATGATGATTAGGAGGGGTTTAAAGCCGCGCATATTTTCCCCCTTGCTAATAAAACCTTAAGGAATATTTGGGGTTTCAGTCGCTGGATCAATAATAGGGCAACAGGGAGACCTATAAGTTCAATCAACTCAATACAGAATGGCCTCTTGGTTGATAGGGGTATCCACCAATCCTTTGACTATTTCCGCGTATCCGTTAATCCGGACGATGGTTATAAAATCACAACCTTCAGACCAAACAGCCGTGCTATTGATGGTCGAATTATGGAACCAGCTTGCCGTGACCCTAATGACCTAAATCATATATCTAATAATCTCTTAAATAAGCACTTCCGCCAAGCTGATCTCGTCAATATGAGAGGGGCTGGAGAATCCAGCTGGGATGAAGATTTCACTCCCGGGCGAGACATAATGCGAGTTATTCGTTCGGGACCTCTCCTGGAGGAAGGCATGGAGGCTGAGCTCTGGGGCCGGCTCGCGGGGCTGGAGATTCGACAAGATCAGGATAATGAAGAGGCCTGAGAACTCGGCCTTGTAATATTCGGTTTGTGCGGTTGTGGTTTGTATCATCAAGGTTTGTATTATCATGTTTGTCGAATTCCATGGTTACTCTGTTTCAGTCCTTCGATCAGTCAAAATAGACGACGATTCAGGTCGATATCGTATCATCCATATCTGTTGCACCCGTGGACGGAAATACCGACCACAAGTTAATAAACAGAGGGAAGGAACCACTCGTGTAATTGACTGCCCATTTCGCCTCTTATTACACCCAACAGATGACTACCAGCTACGTCTTACAGAGAATGTTACCTATAACTATGGTCCATCAGACTATATCTCAACACATTCTATTCATCGCCGCCGAGAGCTGAATCTAACACCATCATTGATCCTCAATCAGTTACAACAAGGTCTTAAGCCATAAAAGATTGTTACTGGGCTCCGGAGAACTGATCCTCGGTCTTGTATTATCGCAAAAGATGTTTACAACCTTATCTAGAAGACTCAAATTGACTATCTAGCTAGACGAACACCTATGCAGGCACTAATTGATGATCTTCTTGTTAATAGTGTCGGAATATAGAAGCACACATGCTTCGCACTCGGAACGGACCAAGCTAGGATCTGCATGATCCCCGAGTCACGGGACTATGGGACAGTATATCAGGCACTAGAATAGCTATTTGAATACACACACTTCACACATCTTTGCACAACGTATATATATCGAACCTAGGACGAATCATTCCCTTCTCATATAGTATACAGTGCACCGTGTGAATGTCCTTTTGACCGTAGGTCAATCGACAAATAGCGTTTGGAAGCTTCAAGCTGAAGTCGATTTACTTAATATTCTAAGCCTCTTGTTCTATGCACACCGGACGAGCATATCCTTACTATAGATTAATACTTGGGTTATTTCTATAGATGCAACCTTTAAAACTAATAAATACTAACTCCCACTGCTCTATTCAAGCATGGGGCAGATATTCAAACCGCGACAAATAATGGCTGGACTCTATTCTGTGCGGCTTCCAGTTCAGGCCATCTCGAAGTGGTCAAGTTCTTATTCGAGCATGGCGCAGATACCGACGTCAAGAAACCTACAAAGGACGGATTGACTCCAATTCATATAGCCTCAAAATCAAGCCATCACGAAATCTTCCAATTCCTATATGAGCATGGATCTCACAGCGACATAGAAAAAGGGACATATTCTGAAGCGACTGCCAATAGCTTGGGTGTCTAATCGCACTCCCTCTTTCTCTTAATACGTTTGCTTCTCGTCATCTATCCATCTATTTAATTCGCAGCATTGCTAAATTGTTTATTACGCTGCCCCAGAATAAGCTTATATATTAACTATATCCTAAGATAGAATTATGCTAAAGTTCCCTCAGCGTTTTCAAATTGCATGGAATTTCTCAAACACTCGCTTTCCATCCAGTTTGATACTTTTCTTCCTCTCATAATATAAAAACCTATGTCTAACACGGCAGAAATCAAGATGAGCATTATTTGACTCCTGTAAAACGCGATTACTGGTATAGACAGATACCTAATATCCTGACTTAATCTTAAAGATCATACCTAGGTAATGGTTTCGAATCATCTACAAATTCAGATCCTTCTCGGCACGTGTACTGTCGGTTGACTAGGTTATTACCGAAGCAGACAGCTATTGATATCGTTTCTGTACGTATATAATAGGTGTATGCATATTGGGTAAAAGTGAAGTGTCATTCTAAAATGCTCAGGTGAAAGAAGATATAGTAGCTGCCATGCCAAGATCACATGATCTTGGTATGTCAGCTGATATTCGTTCCAACATGTACCCTCAAGACAGATTGAAAGCTCCATTCCGCGACTCTCTCGAAAGTCTAGAACTAAAGTTCGAGGTAGGCTAAACGATTAATTATTCTGAAAATTGCCGAGCTAATCAGTTCTTACGATAGAGAGGTCTATAATCTCGGTCCTCTAGGCCTGAGAAATCAATAAAATGCTCAAGATCAGGTAGGGATACTCTTTCATCATCTGCAAAGTTTAGAGGGCTTTTCCCATTCGTTCATGTCAATTTTAGGATATGGAAAGCATCTGTCTTGAAACAAGTAGTTCAAACATCGCCCGAATGTTTCCATTTCGACGCTTGCAAGCCAACTAGAATCTCGAGGAATTTGACATATAACGATAAAATGTATATAGCTAAGCTGTAGATTTAGTGAACACTCTTATATTGTTGTCAATGTTATAGTCTCGGAATTTCGTTAGTTATTCACGGAATCCCGCTATTGATAGTTAGTCATCTCACCTCTCGGAATTCCGAATATGAAGCAAGTTGCAACATTCCCCTTCAGCTTTTTTGAAAATCATCCCTCTCAATCTCTGTTCTACTCGATAGATTTACTGATTTAAGGCAGTTTTCGCTATTAATCTATTCTCCGATAGGCTTAATCTAAAATTACAAATCAGCCTATAGACACGGAGATAAGGTCACTGGAGTTAGTCCCGCATTCCTTATGGCCGGTAAGCAATATGCTTTACCATTCCCTTTTAGATTTCTAGTATCACTTGTTTATGTAGCGACCCTTCTGGACTTCTTCAATGTTACAATCACAGAGAAACAGGCTGGCTCCGCGCAGAAAATTGCGATCAGACCGAGACCCGCGCGATGACTGGTCCGAGGTAAGCGATATAACGGAGCGACGGAGACGACAAAATCGGCTAAACCAGAGGGCATGTAACAGGTTGAATCCTGGTGAACTATCACGTGGTTGTACCACGTGACCCACCAACCGCATACCTCACGATTCCACCCCGAATTGTTCACGTTCTTCAAGGATTTTGTAAATAGCATGTGCCTAGCTAGTTCTGAATTCAAGATTAGCTTTAGCCCTTCACATACAAAATCCTTCCTCTAACGAGAGTAAAACCCACGACCGACGATAAGAAAAGCGCTCTCAGAAAGTATCTGATCGAGCCACATACAACAGACGAACGAATCGCTCTCGGAAAGAATCCGATCGAGCATACCAACGAATACGAAAAGCTCTTAGAAAGTATCTAATTGAGCGTCCTACGAATACGAAATCGCTCTTAGAAAGTATCTAGTTAAGCATCCGACAAACGAATTGAAGACGGAAAGCATCCGATTCAAACACGAGAAGAAAACGAATATCTTCATCATCATGACTGTAAGCGAACCGTCGAGCCCACCCGAGTAGGCCAGGACGTTGATGCAGCACATCAGTCAGACAAGTATTAGTACCGATGAGAGAATTAGAAGACTCGAAGAATTAGTGGTTCGGTCCTAGGAGCGAGCCGCTCCCGAACCACCCACGGAACCATAAGGGATACCAATCGAATCAACCAGCGATAATAACCAGATTCGACGACCTCACCCTCGTCTCCCCGACCCCGCGATGTATATAGGAAACATCTCTGATTGGCCAACCTGGAGAATCTCGATAGAGAACAAATTGCTAGTAGACGGAGCTGCCATCGGTACCCCATAAGAGCAATTCCTCTATACATTTTCCCGCCTAGAGAAAATGGCCGCCAAGAACACCGGAACGTTTATGAAGACACAACGAAGCGAAGGCAACCCGTATATGCTTCTGGAATATCTTGAGAGGATGTATAGAGACCCTAACGCTCGATCACGAGCAGCTCGGCGTCTATATCAGCTTAAACAGAAGCCCGACTAGCCTTTTTCATGATTCCTTCCCTAGTTAGAAAGAGAGCTCGTAGATGCTAGTGCAACCGAATAGCACGACGAAGCAAAACGACAACTCTTACTAAACGCTCTTAACGAAGATATAACGAATTCGCTTATGAATTGTGGTGTTCCCTATGATTTTATAGGTCTTATCACACAGCTCCACGAAATCGACACTGATAGCGAGACACTGAATATCGTATTAGGCAGATACCAGTTATCTACTCGCCAGCGAATCTAAAGAGATCAATCAACCATAGCTATAGAGGATAGGATAGACTAGACTCTAATAGTAAACACGAACACCACATAGACAAATTCGTCCCGATTCGTGAACGAAAAGGGACAGGTTCGTAAAGAGGATCAACATCTCGTGGGAAAACGTGCAAAATGGGTCGAGAAAGAAGAACTCCAACGTCGCTATATAGAAAAGAGATGTCTACGATATAGTCGAGATAACTGTTGGTAAAGTATATGCCCTTTACTGCCCGCACGGAATCCGAACCAAGTAGTGGTACGGAATATAGTAGTCGAAGAACCAAGATCGAGCCACCCCCGAAGAAGGGAGTATTCGCCAGCGATCGAAGAAGATGAAGCGGAGAATGATTCGGGAAAAGATTAGCTCCTGCACTAAACCGCGAGCAGGAGTAGAAGGGGGTTGAGAAGCTGCTAAAGAAAGAGGCGTTATTCTATATCGATGCTAGAGTTAATGGAATTCAATTCGCGAAGACTTTAGTAGACAACGGAAGCGATAGCTATGCATCTATCAGCGGACACCTAGCGCAATCTCTTAACCTTCCGTGTATCCCGATTCCACCACGAATCCTGAACGGAGTCATCAAGAATCAAGGACGGATCACTTAGGCCATATACTTCGATCTTGATGTTAATGGACTATAATAGCAGAAAGTCTTTGCCTATATCATTCTAAGACAGTCAGACGAAATGATACTTAGGACGCCTTGGTTAAAAGATGTCGACGGAGTTTACGCTGCGAAACGAGGGTATTTAGATATCTATTCGAGAAATGGAGAGCGCATTCGTTGTTGGAACCGTATCGACCCGTCAATCGGTCTAATAAAAGTAAAGAGATTGAAAGTATAGTAATCATCTGCGGGAGAAATCAAAGAACTATTCGATAGCATTTCGTCGCCGGACCACCTCCGAATAGCTAAAGTGACTATGGATGATATCGATAAGGCGCTGTAACCTAAGAAATTCACCGATCCGAGAGCTAAACTTCCCCCATAATATCTCCCTTGGTTAGATGTTTTTAGCTAGGAGAAAGCAGACAAGCTTCCGA